ACTTAGATCTAACTCTTTATAAATATTATCTATATATATTTATATATCACGGCCGATTCTTATAGAGAATAATAATATATTAATTTAAATAATAGATTCTTTCTATTTTCTAGTTTAATCTTTAAGTTAATATCTTTATAATAAGAAAATAACTTCTATAGTTCTATTTTTAAAAATATACTTATAAATTTATTATATTACTCTAGTAGCTCTTTACCTATAATATTATTTTAATTATCTATTATACTTATTATAAAGATCTTGCTTTAGTCTTTATAAATAGTAATCTTAAAGTCTTTTATAAAAGTAATATCTACTAATATTTTATATAAATTAAAGATATATTCTCAGGCTATCTAATTTATAGTTAGATTATAGATTATTAACTAGAATATCTCTAGTATTATCTCTATTATATCTAGAGATATTATTATAAAAATATAAAAGATTTACTATATACTTTATAAATTTTAAAAATTAAACTTTATCTTTATAATTTTATAATTCTATAACTTCTTTTTATTTACTATTTATATATAGATCTAGTAAGAGAGTAGCTTCTATCCTACTTATTTTATAAAAAAAGATAGTATAATATTAATAATATTTTTATAATTTATTAATATCTTATAATCTATTATAATACTATTTAATAAGGAAACTCTTATAGCTAAAAAGATTTTTTCTATTATAAATTAATTCTTATTAATAACTAGTTATTAAATATCTATTATTATTATAGTTATAAGGTCTCTTTATTATATAATTAATACTTAATTTACTATAAGTCTAGGATAGTTTAGCTTGATATATCCTAGCTTATTATAATTAAAGTATTATAAATTCTAATTTTTATTATTAGAGAATTTTTTTTTCTTATTCTTAAAATATTCTAGTCTATTATATTTTTATAAAATCTTAAACTTCTCTCTATTTACTTATAAAAGACTATTCTTTTATAATAGATAGTTTATAGATTTTATTCCTTAATTAAGCTACTCTTATAGTAGTACTAGAAGACTTAGTTATAGCTTTATAATAAGAGATATTAATTCTATAAGTATAGTTAGGAACTATAGCTATTTATAAATCCTTTACTTAATAGCTACTAGATAGGATTTAAAAAATATTTATAGTATAATAGTATTAGTATCTAAGCTCTTATCTCTAAATTTTAACTACTACTTATACTAGTATTAAAGATAAGTATAATTATTTTTATCTTCTATAGCTTATATATAGAGGGCTTTACTTTATATTATATAAAATTTATCTACAGGGTCTTCTAATTATAATTATAAAAACTTATAAAAATTATTTTATATAGAATTATTCTTTATAGCTAACTCTAACTTCTAGATTCTTTAAAGAGTTAAATTAAGATAGAGTATTATAAGATAAAGAAGATTCTTATTTAAATAGTTACTAATATCTCTATATATCTTAATCTTTTATATGAAGCTACAGTAATTTATATAATTTATTATATAGTACTATTCTTTCTTTACAGGTATCTATAATAGTAGCAGGTATTTTAAGGGTAGTATAGAGAAAATAGATCTATTATAATTATATTTTTTTATTATTTATAATATACTAGTTCTCTATTAGATTACTATAATTAACTCTCTTTATTCTTCTATATTATAGATCTTCTATATTTATCTATAAAGCTCCTCTAGCAGTAAATCTATAAGGTCTTATTATAAAAAGGTTACTCTACCTTTCTGGTTAGTTATAGTAGATAATTATAAAAAATCTAGCTTATTACTTAATACTATTATAAGGTTTATTTATAAAGAATAAATTATTACTTTATAAGAGAATTCTAGGGCTTGCAAGCCTTATTATATATTAAGTATTATTATCCCTGATAGACTAAATATAAAGTAAAATATTAAAATTATAAGATCCTTAGTCTTAGGGTTATTATAAGTAGTATAAAAAAATATAATATACTTAAATAATAGAGAATATAGTCTTACAAGAGTAAGATTTTAAGAATTAAGAATAATTAATAGATTAATACTAAAGTTCTAAGTATATACTCTTTATAAAGTAAAGAGGTATCTCTCTAGCTAAGTCAGCTTCAGGCTGACTTAGCTTGCGAATACTTAGTCTTCTTCGCAGAGGCCTTACAACTAGTTTATAAAATCTAGAAAGGCTAGAATATTATAAACTATCTCTAATATTAGCTAGTCTTAAATAATAACTATTTATAATAGCTCTATCTCTATCTCTTATAGAGTAATAATATACCCTAAAAAGTTAATCTATTATATTATAAAGGAGTACTTACTTTATTTATAGTATAGTCTAGTCTTATAAAGTCTCTTCAGTACTTTATATATATAATATTAATATTTAGCTATATCTTATAAGAAGATAATAATATTATTAATATATATTACTAGTATAATATCTAGCAGGTTATAGAATATCTAATCTATATATTCTTAAAATATTATAGGAGTATTAGTTAGTTTAAAAAATATAATTAAATACTTAAATAATCTATATTTTATATAGAATACTATCTTCTACTTATCTCTCTTTATAATTTAGATTTAGTTATAGATATTATAAAGATCTAGCTATATAAAGATCTTTATACTATTTAGTTATAAAATTATCTTATTAATTAATAGTAGTAGGTATTAATTCTTTAGTATTATTATATTTAAATTATAAAAGTCTATATATATTTAAATACTACTATTTTTTTTTACTATATATTATAAAAAGGCACCTGCAGAGGATTTAAATATTTAGATCTAATTCTTTATAAGTATTATCTATATATATTTATATATTATAGCTAATTCCTGCAGGGAAAAATAATATATTAATTTAAATAATAGATTCTTTTTATCTTCTAGTTTAATCTTTAAGTTAATATTTTTATAATAAGAAGATAACTCCTATAATTCTATCTTTAAGAATATATTTATAAATATATTATATTACTCTAGTAGTTCTTTATCTATAATAATATTTTAAATATCTATTATACTTATTATAAAAATCTTATTTTAATTATTATAGATTATAATCTTAAAATCCTCTATAGAGATAATATCTACTAATATTTTTTATAAATTAAAAATATACTTCTAGGCTATCTAGTTTATAATTAAATTATAGATTATTAACTAGAATATCTTTAGTATTATCTTTATTATATCTGGAGATACTATTATAAGGATATAGAAGGCCTGCTATATACTTTATAAGTCTTAGAGATTAAGCTCTATCTCTATAATTCTATAATTTAGTAACTTCTTCTTATTTATTACTTATATATAGATCTAATAAAAGAGTAGTTTCTATTCTACTTACTTTATAAGAAGAGATAGAATAATATTAATAGTATTTTTATAGTTTATTAATACTTTATAATCTATTATAATATTATTTAGTAAGGAAATCTTTATAATTAAGAAGATTTTTTCTACTATAAATTAGTCCTTATTAATAACTAGTTATTAGATATCTATTACTACTATAATTATAAGGTCCTTCTATTATATAATTAATACTTAATTTATTATAAATCTAGGGTAATTTAGCTTAATATATTCTAGCTTATTATAATTAAAGTATTATAGATTCTAATTTTTATTATTAGAAAATTCTTTCTTTTTATTCTTAAAGTATTCTAGTCTATTATATTTTTATAAGATCTTAAACTTCTTTTTATTTTTTTACAGGAGACTATTTTTTTATAATAATTAATTTATAGATTTTATTTTTTAATTTAACTATTCTTATAGTAGTACTAGAAGACTTAGTTAAAGTTTTATAATAAAAGATACTAATTCTATAAGAGTAGTTAAGAATTATAGCTATTTATAAATCCTTTACTTAATAGCTACTAGATAAGATTTAAAGAATATTTATAATATAATAATATTAATATCTAAGCTCTTATTCTTAAATTCTAACTACTATTTATACTAGTACTATAAATAGGTATAATTATTTTCTCTTTTTATAGTTTATATATAAAGAGCTTTATTCTATATTATATAAAGTCTATCTACAGGATCTCCTAACTATAGTTATAGAAATTTATAAAGATTATTCTATATAGGATTCTTTTTTATAGATAACTCTAACTTCTATATTCCTTAAAAAGTTAAATTAAGATAGAATACTATAAGATAAAGAAGATCTTTATCTAAGTAATTACTAGTATCTCTATATATCTTAATCTTTTATATAAAGCTATAGTAGTTTATATAATTAGTTATATAGTACTACTCTTCTTTTATAGGTATTTTAAATAGTAAGAAGTATTTTAGAACTAGTAAAGATAAGATAAATCTATTATAATTATATTTTCTTATTATCTATAGTATAGTAGATCTATATTAGATTATTATAATTAATTTTTTTTACTTCTCTATTTTTCTAATCTATTCTATCTATCTATAAAGCTTTTCTAGCGGTAGGACTTCCAGGCCTTACTATAAAGGAGTTAAAGTAGTCTTATAACTAATATATAAAGTAGTTTATAAAGACTTGGACTCTTTACTTAGGGATATTATAAGATTTATTTATAAGAGATATATTATATTAGATTTTTATTATTATTCTAGTGCTTGTGAACCTGATTATATATTAGATATTATTACCCCTGATAGACTATATATAAAGTTAAGTATTAAAATTATAAGGTCCTTAGCCTTTAGGGTTATTATAAATAGTATAAAAGAGTATAATACACCTAATAATAAGAAATATAGTATTATAAAGCTGGATTTTAAGAATTAAAAATAGTTAATAGATTAATACTAAAGTTCTGAGTATATGCCCTTCGCGAAGTGAAGGAATATCTCTCTAGCTGAGTCAGCTTCAGGCTGACTCAGCTTGCGAATACTCAGTATTCTCGCGGAGGCCTCACATATACTATATATATAATAATAGATTCTAGAATTTAAAATTATAGCTATAGGAAAATAAGTCTTATTCTTACTTTTTATAAAATCTATAGCTCAGCCGGAGCTATATAAGAGATATAATTATATAATCTTTTTTAATCTAGTTATAGTCTATCTAGGGTTAGCCATGTCTAACAAACCGGGTGGACCCTAATCCGGTCATACATACGGCCGGATACCGCCTGTGGGTTAGGGCTAGGGCTAGTCCCATAACCTGGTCCGGCCTGGGCCGTGACAGGACCTTATATAAGCCTAAACTCGACCGAACTCGATTGTGTACAAGTCTAGCCGTGACATAGACCCAGGAGGTTCAGGCCAGGTTAGGTATAGGATTTCAGGGCAGGTTGTGAATGTCTATTGGGGCGTAGTTGAAAGCTCAAGTAAGGTATAGGATCCGGCCGAAAATCATGAAATGGGGAAACTAGATCCGCTTGCTCCGTCAACTCCTGCCGAGGTACATCCTTAGCTCATCTACCCAGGACCTCGGGGTGAATATATTCCCAGCATGCAAGGCCGAGTCAATACCGTTGATGGACTTGACATTGTCGCGGATCTCTTTAGCAATGTGGGAATCTGCAGGCATGACTGTGGCATCTGCCGAAGCCTCTCCTTCCGCAGTGCTTGCTGCACCCTGATCAGAGGAATTTATGGGCCTTGTCTGGCAGTGAGCATCAAACTGTGAGGTGAGCGCTTCCATGGACGAGTCATGGATTAAACCGATGCTCTTGAGACCCACATCATGCTGGACCTCATACACGCGCCCAAAGTGGATCCGAGCAGAACTGGGCAATGCTGTGGATGGATGCTCGGCTTTTAGGCGTATGGGTTGAAGTTTGATGCCTTTTTCTTTCGGCAACAAAGGGGGAATATCTTTTGAGGAGTGGAGTATAGAAAAGAGCTCTTGGTCAGGTTGGTCAGAGCTTCCCCTTCCAGCATATCTGTATGTAGAAAATGGTCAGTCATGGTAAATGTGCCGCAAGTCTGCACAGTACGCACGTGTGTATACCAAGGCAAAGGCAGGATTCAGTGCCCTGTCGGACAACAACAAACCGGCGAAGCATAATGGATCCAACCCAAGGATCATGTGCGTTGCTGGCAGGGAGCCAATCGCTGAGTTTTCGGACGAGGTCCTCGATTTGACCACTGGATAGCACAGGGCGATCTGTACCCATTTCATCTAAACCTATATATTTATGCCTCTGATATCGGCTTGACTTATCCCGCAGTTCAAGGTATTGCGCGTTGTGATTTACTCTGAAGTGGTTGTCAACCCAAAAGGCCTTGTGGAACACGGCCTTGGTTGAACAGAGATGACATCGAACTCGACCGTCGTCTAGGACACTCCCGAACTGGAACATTGCAGCCAGTGGGAGCTTATGAATATCCTTGAGGTTCTTCTTCTGCCGGATAGCTCGTTCCTTCTCACGCTCATGAATGTTTGGAATTGATTTCAAAGGGACCCATTCGAATGGCAGACTTCCCCAATTAATCATTGTATGAGTATCTGTTGTATGCAGCAACAGCCTTCCTTCAACAGCCACCGAGAATACCTGGCCAGGCCTAAAAAAGTCTGAGGCCTTGGCTCGGGGCACCATGCCAAAGTCTTAACCGGAAGTTAGCTGGCATGCACCACACCATGTTACAGTACCAGCACTTACTGGGGCTTGAACAATTTGTGCTTTTATTTGTGAGAGTGGCACATAATTTAACATGCGGAAAGCCACACTTGGAGGAGCCTTCACTCTGACCTACTCGATAAAATTTCACTGAATATCCGAGTTGGCTCTCAGTGCTACATCTAGTATTAGTGATGTTGTTCGTTCCTGAGTATAGATGTGCAGTACTTGAACCAACAGGCCATCTGTATTAGAATGCTGAGAGACAGCAAGTTCGAATTAAGGATCTCGGAGAGTCTCTTTATCTACAGGAAGGCTGGTTGTCAGCACGTTTCCTAAGAATCCACAGGGAATGTCATGCTCTCACCTCGTCAGGCATCTTCAACGACCATTTACTTTTCAAGTAAATGTCTTTAACCGGCTTTCCAGATCCCCCTGTCTGTAGACCCTCTCGATAATGGTCCAATCTGACCATGAACTCACCCATCGCCTCGTTGATTCCGTTGGTAAGGAAGAGGACGGCATTCAAAGTCGACTGGGCAAGTTGGTTAGCCGCCCGGAGTTGCTCAACTTGGAGGAGGACTTTGTGCACGATGAGAAACTTCGAAGTCAAAGTTCGGTAGTCTCTTGATGTGCCTTTCGTTTCCGAGAGCGACTTGTAGAGCTTGTAAGCCAGGCTTGCCCCGGCGAGGAAGTCTCCGACACTGAACCCAAAGGACATGGTGAGTGCGGGCACGTTTGTTGAGAGAGTTGAGATAAAGTCTTCCTAATTCAGGATCTTATCAAGAATACCCCGCTGACAGTAAGCATGGGGGGTCTGTGCTGCACCTCCACGTCAATGTTGCATGCACATTCCCTCAAGGCTTGTCTGATTGGCTCTTTGTGCACAAGACTCGCAAAATATTATTGGGAGGTGCGGCGAGGCTGAATCCAGAAGGTCGAACAGCAGCCAAGGCTCCTTTCCCTCCCAGAAGCAAGGCGGACTGCGGCTGTGTGTATCTTTGCTCCAGATACATTTCACTGGAGAGTGGTCTAAGGTTAATGCTATTAGGCCTCGAGATGGTCCGACTCAGGTTCCAAGGTCTCGGACCACGAGTTGAACCTCATGGAACCTGAATTGCATAAATATGCCAAGACCTTCCTCTTTCGGCTGAATAAATTGATGACTTGGATAAGGAGGCGCTGCAAGCTCGAGCTGCGATGAAAAGAATGGACCCTTAGAATAATAGTATGCCTTGAGCTTTATGGTTTAATTTGATTTGAAAACACTCAAGCGTCAACTATCAAGGCTGTACGAGCAAGTGGCCAGGTCAAAGGAGTCTATCTACATAAATGTCATATGATACTTATATACTCATTAATCTTCACAAGCCCTATCAGTCTCTAAAGTAGCATTTATAGCCGTAAGCTCGTAGAGGGTTCCAGTGAAAATAGTTGACTAGCAATGGACATATATATATTTATATGGGAAATGATTTCAAGGAACTGACCATCCTACAAGATTACCTTTATTGTCCCGTCAATAGAGACCTGATATTACTATATACTTACAGACCTAGTTACTACACTCGTAGCGATTCTGTTTTCTTTACCTAGTCTAGGAGAAACAGATAGTTATTTATGGTCTTCTGACACGCACTCTCTATAGAGGGTACTCAGTATTGTACCTACTTTCTTGAAGAGGTGCGAAGACCACAATCGCTCGGTCAGTGAAGTGGTTCCTTACCTCACTAACTAGCTTGGTATATCCTCTATAATAGGCAGCATCTCGGCTTCCTTATAGGCGTCTTTTCATCCTGCCAAGTATAATAGAACATCATGTCAGCGGAAATGTGTTTGGTAGCACCTCTTCCGTGCCTTTTCGGCTTACCTATCGTTCGGCTTGTCGGAGATCACGGCTCCTACATATATGACGCTTTATATACTGTCTACTATGCTTTCGTCTTCCTCGCACACAATGGCCTGCTTGGCATACGCATTACTACGCGATTCCCATCAAATCAAAACCATAAGAACAACCAGTGTTCTATTCTAAGCAACATCGACTAAGGTCACATTTAATGTACACAAGCATGTTGAATACTTTCACAGTACCAAACCAACCCGTAGCTCACATATGATCCAGCTCATACTGTTCAGTCGAAAGAATAATAAGTCATGGACTTAAGAGACAGTGAAAGAAGCCGAGCCACTCGACTGATATCCCTCAGTAGCAAGGATCATGTAGTTGTGGGTGCCAAGCTCCAAGCCGCTCTGAGCCCAAGCATCAAAATGGTTCTGCACAGTAACCGTGCCGCTGGTGCGGTGGTCGGCGCGAACAGACCAGAACTGCGTGAAAGTAGCAGTACCCTCGATGCTGGGCGCGTCGGTCCGAGTAGTCTTGAAGATTTTGTAAGTGCTGCCATCACTCTCAATCGAGCCCAGCTCCTCTGCCTCGCTGGAAGGGTCGTAGGTGCTGAATGCCTCGACGATGTAGTACTCAATCAGAGGCGAGGTGGTCCAGCCATACACGGAAACATAGCTGTTACCGCTGGGCTCCCAGGTGCCGTCGTAGGTCACGCTCCTTTACGCACGTAGATTAGTTACTGCAATATATAGGATATATGATGAAGATGGGGTGTCATGTGAGGACTTACTGGCCCTCACCCGGGTTCCAGCCCTTGCCAGCGACAAAGTTGCCGCTGTCCTGCCAGGTGACACTGTAGCTTCCCCCGTCACCGTTGGTGTAGCTCACAGAGCCGCCACCATCAGTCCAGAAGGAATAGTAATAGCCGTTGTTGGTGCCAGTCTCGGAGTCGGAGATTTGGCGCTTGTAAAGGTTGAGCATGGCATCGCCATTGACGCCAGGCAGAGCCAATACGGGCACGACAGCTGCGGCCCCAAGGGCAAGAATGCGCGAGAGGATCATTTTGCTGGTTTGTTGGTGTTTGATTATGAGATGCGATGTTGAGGGAGGGTGATGTTGGGGGACATGAAGCCGGTATTTATATCGTTGTTTTGGCAGCTCTATTTAGCCAGAAGAGTCCATAATCCAGCAATTGCGGATGTTTGAGGATTCGGCAGAAGCACTCAAGCTCAGGCCTCATCTCAATGCCTCAGACGACGCCAAGCTGAAAAGTTCCTGGGATCGGCGTTTCAGATCGGTGATCTCTACTCTGTCCGGACGCGGCCAGTAGCCCGAGAAGGACTAAGCCCCTACTATGGTGTCCAAATCCGAGGCGGAATGTGGGTAAGTCTGAGGTTGAGTTTCATCTCAGAACTTAAAGTCTAGAACCAGAACAAGTGCCGGCTAAATGACGCGACAGATGGTGGTGGGGTGAGTACATTCAGCCTTATTGCGAGGATGGACCTTCCACCTGACATCACCTGTATCATCAACAGAATCTATTGCCTCGTGGTGTTGGAGGGGAGTTGAATCAATTACCCAAGAGGATAATTTGCCCTCCGACGCCCAGTCCCTGGCTGAAACGTCGGGTGGGACTACAGCATTATTCTAGGCTATTCACATTTTCCAAAGAGAGTGACATGGCCATTGTCGTTCATTGTAGAAAGAGTAGCGGACAACAGTGTTATGAGGCAATGTGCAAGTGCGGCTCTGACATTCATGGCATCTTGCTCATTTGCCGAAGTAATCACATTCTTAGCCTGCAAACCACCTATCATCCCAGTACAATGGGCCTGAATAGTTTGTCGAACTTTATCCGAAACACTTAGAGCATCAACAAGCACTGGGAAGTCAGAAAAAGTATAGTGCTGCTATTCATTCCCTGTGCACCACTATTCATTTCTGTAATTATCACTATACCTTTTAAACATCACATTTACTTTTCATAACCAACCTCTCAAGGGCAAAGCTTTCCGCCCCCTAGGAGTTGCTCAATACTGGAGCATAGAGATTGATTAGGTCATGCTAATAAACTAACTAACTATAAGCTAACTATAAATGGTGGGAGGCAGTTAAGCCGAAGTTCACCCATTAGGGCTACAGTGCATGCTGGATTCTTCACAGAGTGGTGTCAAAGTGCGAGACGCGAACTATGTGCAACAGCAACAGGTCTTCCTACTAATCAAACCAGAGCAAGATGAGCAGATTATTTGCCAAGTGCCCAGAAACAACTATACAATTATTTACGCGGCAACGTTCGGGCCGGACAGGGCGTGTTCGGACCGGACCTCAGGCAACAGGCAACCCTGTTACAGTGGGCAATTTTGAGCTGTTAATTATAGTAGTGATTCTCATCTTGTGAAGTCTCAACTTTTAAAGTAAGAAAGGGTTAAAATAAAGCCGAGAAAAACGAGTAAGTAGAAAAAAAAAATAAAAAAAAAAATAAAAAGAAAAATAAAAAAGAAAAAAGAAAGAGAAAGAGAGAGAGGCAAAACAAGACTATCTACCGAACTCTACCTGCTGGTAATTGAGACCTTTGAAAACCTGTCCTCAAGCACAACAAGGCCCCCCGCCTGCGCCTCAGACCAAATAGCAATCTCCTCCTCGTCCTGAACTCGCAACCCTCTTTCTCCCGACCCACACCGCGCGCTTCGGCCAGGGAATATCAGGACAGACTGTGGCCCCGATCTCGACACAGTAGAGGCGGTCAGGATCCCCGTTTTGCAAAGCAGAGGCTTCAGCGTCATTGCGGCAGTACAGATGATGTTGACACCGAACTCAACGTCCATGCAGATGTTGAGGTTCTCCGCGGCGCGTTTGGGGATCTGGAAAAGGCGGTAGGTAAAGTATATTCGGGCGATTGCTGCGATGCTTGCACTGATTTCGACACCGGAGGCATGGTTAGCTACGTGAATGCTGCGGTTGGCTGCATAATGAGAAAGCAGGCCCGATAGTGGCAGTGGCAGGCATTTGTAACATCGGGGGCACGATCGATGCACGATCCATCGGATCCATGTATGTTGCTAGATAATAGGGATAATACTCACAGCGACCCAACAGCAATCGTAACGCCGACTGAAATTCTCAACAGCATGCGCATCTGCAACTTGCGGAGCACGACCGCAGGAATAACGATGCCTAGTACAAGGTCCACGACCAGCAGAACTCCGGCGTGGACTAGGAGCGATATTCCCCACGTGTTCTGTACATGGCAGGTGCCCTCAACAGCAGGTCCTTCCCAGAGCTTGCGAACGGGCTCGCAAGAGAACAGGATCCAGAAGAACTCGAAGATGGTGATGATCGTAGTGGCGATGGCGAGGAGGATAATCGTCCCTGTCAGGGCTTTGCTCAGCGCGATCCTGTACAGCGTGACACAGAAGGAGAGCTTGATTATCCATGTTCCGGCTGTGTAGAAAAGGACCATGAGCCAGTTGGCTATCTAGAAGTTGTCAATGTGGGTTAGCGGACTTTTTATGGAGAAGCAGGGTGATATCCTGGCCGCATTGGCAGGCATATCAAGATGAAGGGTATGGGAGCGACGCACGATGATTTTAACACCAGCCGCTACCCTTTCGCTGTCTCCCAAGCCGACATAGAGGGTGATTGCGCGCGTAATGTATACAAACTTTGCGGAAGTGGTTAGCAAGAGTGGACGCACAGCACGCTTCCGAATCCGTAGCAAGAATCCGAAACTCACAAAAGCGAGTATACTCAGGTAGTCATCAAGCGCAAGAGCCTTCATAAGCCCCAACCGCGTAAAGACACGCAGAGCCATGAACAGAGTAACAAAACATAGCAACACGGTCTGGACAAGCTGCGAAGTCTGCATTGCATCGCGTGCGTGCCGTGCACGAATACAAGATAAGACACTATGACAAAGAAGAGTGATATGAAGATAATCTCGGCAGGAAAATATATTGCAGGGTTTAACTGCAGGGACGAACGAAGGGGAGGACTCACGCTCATAAATGTGGGGACCCCACACACTCCCGGTAATTGCGGAGAAGAAAGTCTTGCCTGGCTCTCCGGTTCGAATTAGAATTCGAACTTGACCCATGGTTACTAGGGCCCTGAAGTTGTGTGCCCGTATGCAGCCTGCTCCCAATATCCTGTGCTGTGTAACTCAGTTGCTGTAGGCAGGACTGTCATGGCCGATTGTAGGAACTGGGATATGACGGCTTGATAGTAGGCTACTGGTGGTTGGACTTCCGGGTGCTTGAACCCCTTTCCTACTTTACAGACATGTGGCGACAAAGTGTGATGGTCGCCCTGGTAGGGCAGTACACACAAATCCAGATTCTCTTCTAGACTGCTATCCTGGAGACCTATACAACGCGTCTACATGGTGTTATGATAACTTGGAACTTGTCACTGCTTAGTTATTAGTATTCAAGTCTTTCATGGGTTCACTGTTGTCTAATTCAGCCCACACCAACCCGTTGAATCTAACCCGAATTCAACCTAACCCCGCTGCGGGTTGAATGAATGGCAAACCCCTCCGGCAAGGGATTGGTGCGTGTTTTCTGGGCTGCTGGTGCCACTTTCTGCGGGGGTAACAGACAAGTGGTAACCACTTTGCATGTTATTGGGATCCTGTGATGAACCTCGGTGAGATATGGCGGTGCCTGTGCCTTACTATTGGAAGCACCGCGGTATATCTTCATGGGCCCGTGAAGAAGTTCAACGGTTTGCAACCTGGCTAAGAACTCAAATCCCGCATCAACTGCCGCATACAGTTCCCGAAACTGTGTGCCGTGAAGATCTTCGGGCCCTAATATACTCGCCGTGTGATAGTCTACTGCAATTCGAAGCTGAGATCGTACGGGCCGGTTCCGGAAACGAGCTAACGGGAGCACACTGACAGATGTCAGTCGGCTGGTCATGCATGTTGACCCTTGCTGGATTAGCAGACCTATTCAGTCGGATGGAAATGTATATATATACTGCCTTTCAACAGTAGCACCATTAAATCGAGGCACAATCAATACCAATTGAATATCCAGTGCAAAGGTTCCTTAATCATCATGAAGCTTCAACTACTGGCATTCGCTGCGGTGGCTCTAGCAGCTCTAGAGAAACGTGCGCCCTCCGTCGAGATCGCCAATGGAACCATTATCGGTGGAAGCAGCGACAACGTCGAGTTCTTCAAGGGAATCCCATTTGCGCAGCCCCCGGTGGGTAATCTGCGATTCCAGCGTCCGAAGCCATTCGATTCGAACTTTGGCGAGTTAGATGGCACCAAGACCGCATCCGTGTGTGTGCAGGCCGACGGTTCTACCGGGTCCGAGGACTGCCTGAAGCTTCTTGTCCTTCGTCCAGCCACCCGCCCCAGCACCAAAAAGCTGCCCGTGGTCGCGTTTATCCACGGCGGTTCCTTTGCCGCCGGCGGTGCCGAAGATGGGAACGACGGCACCACGCTGGTCGCGAAGGCAGCCGAAATGGACCTGCCGTTTATCTTTGTCTCCATCCAGTACCGCCTTGGTGCGTTCGGCTTCTTGCCGGGCAAGGAGATGGTTGGCAATGCGAACTTGGGACTGCGTGATCAGCGACTGGCTATCGAATGGGTCCATGGTATGAATACAGCCTCCAATACACACTAAGCGTCGGACCTAGCATTAACCACGGAATTGGATACAGATAACATCGCTGCATTCGGCGGGGACCCGGACAAAGTGGTTCTCTACGGCTTCAGTGCAGGGTCAATGTCCACACTAGATCACACAGTGATCAACGGAGGCAACGCCGACGGTCTTTTCCGCGGCGTCATGCTGGGATCAGGGTCTATTTTGCCTGCCCTTCCTGTAGACCACCCCAAGGCCCAAGACGTGTATGACACGGTGGTTTCTCGCGCAGGCTGCAGTTCCAGCGGTACTAATAATAGCCTTGACTGCCTGCGAGCACTGGACGCCAAAGTGCTGCAAAAGGCCGCATACAGCCTGAGTACAGAATATGGCCACTTGGGCATCAACCTGCCTTATTTCCCGCGTCCTGATCCCTCAGACGAATTCTTCGCCGTCAGCCCTGACGCCGCCATTAGCCAGGGTAAATTCGCCAAAGTGCCCGTGCTGAGCGGAGACACAGAAGACGAGGGCACCTTGTTCGCGTTGACGCAGGCAAATATCACCACCGACGCAGAGCTGAAGGATTACATAGCCACCTATTTCCCGGGCCACGAGCAAGACAGCAAAACTCTAGTCTCCAAGTACCCCGACGACAACGGGATAAGTGGTTCCCCATACCGCACCGGGCTCGAGTACAACGTCTTTGGCCAGTTCAAGCGCCTCGCGGCGATCCTGGGCGATCTTGCCTTCATCTTTGAACGCCGCTTCCACCTGCAGCATGTCTGCTCGCATGTGCCATGCTATTCGTATCTGAACTCTGCCATTCATGGCTCCAACCCTCTCGGCTCCTTCCACGGCTCGGATGGGATGGTGCTGCTCTCCAATGTCTCGACTGTCCCGGCTCAGACCCAGCAGCGCTATGCGATATCATTTATAAGCACCCTTGATCCCAATGGCGGTGGAATATCCAGCCCGCTGATCCAGTGGCCAAAGTATACCCCGTCCGACGCTCAGCTGGTCCATGAGGAGGGATTTAAGAATGAGCTTACCACAGATGACTTCCGAGCTAAGCAGTATGACTTTTGGAGCGAGAATATTGAGAACTTCCGTCTCTAGATATCCCCAGCTTGCGATAGTGGCTTGCCTCGAAGGTCTCGACTTCAATTAGCCGATGGGTTTCCAAGGCATGTACAATACCTGGTATAGGGGCGTTATATTTACTCTTTGATGCCCTATACCGTCCAATATTATTTTGCTGTTGTTTTTATTTCGATTCTCCCTGTTGATGTTGCGCATAACATCCTCACTTTGTTATATAATTGCTTTCCGTCTCTCAACATAGGAAATCCTAGAGATGACACAAGCTTGGAAAAATCAATATTCCGTATATGAAGCCATTATGAGTCTGCAGTAACACAATACCCCTCAAATATATAGCTTAAGTCGTTATACCTGTGGGTCTGTCGGAACTGCATGTACACTATTCTTCTTCGTATCTTCGGAGGCAAGAACTACATCTTCCGATCCAATCTGTCATCAGTCAGCCCAAATTACGAATACCTCTCGATATCCAATTGATATACAATTCTTCCATATAGCCAATGGTGTGGGGAACCAGCAGCCACATGTGTTCCCAAATAGGTATCCAGAGCCCAAGGGGGCCAAATCCACTACCGAGATCCTAGGTAGGCTGCTGGTAGTCTAAGAGGCAGAGCCTGACATCCTCCTCTGGAAATAAATATAAAATCTGGAAGCCTGTAACCATCTCTGGTCTGGTCAAGCCCCCTCACTAAGCTGACTCCCCCGGTCCCGACGTCCGGTCTGGGGTAAACCGCCGATTGAGTTTAGTCTTTTCTGGGAAAGGAGTTGTGGCGCTGCCAAGTCTTCCTGGTTTAGCCTGGACCTGCAGATAGGCAGGGACGGGCGGATGACACTATTACTGACTTGCGGGGACCTTGCCGAACAGGTGCACGACTACCTCATCCGGCCCGGACGCAAGGCAACTGCTGAACGTTAGATCCGGGTTGAATTGAAGAGGAATAGTACGAAGGATCTGGGAATGATGATGTAATGAGAGGTACCAGGTTGGTGAAACTCAGTCTCCCCGTTATTACACTACGGGCTCTACAAGCTCCCACTGGTGTACGCGTGCACTTTGTCGACAACGATAAAAGTGGTACTAGGAGAGTATGTCACAAAATGAAGGGGCAAAAAAAAAAAAAAGGAAAAGAAAAGGCAGTGAAAGAAAATTGAACTTTGGCGCCAATGTACTTTAGGCTTATGCAAGGTTAGGGTTCCAGTTTGAGTCTGCGAAATATATATTGACAGATCTATCAGCTCAGCTCTAGTGGACATCCCCGGATTAAAAAATTACAGGCGAGCATCCATGACGCCTCTTCTATCTATCTGCCATAATTCGCACGTAAACAAATCAGAAGGGAGGAAATTAATGACACATCGGCTCTATACAAACGAGCTCTGGCAGGAGTAGCTGCTCGCCTTGTTCGGGTCCCCCTTGCCATCATACCGCGCCACAAGTGGATAGCGGCAGATATTGCGAGTCACAGTAGCGTCGCTGGAGTCCTTGTACTCGGCGTGCAATACATCTGGGGCCTTGCCCTTTTCTACCCATGCAACTAAAGCGTCAAGGGTGTTGGTCGGGACAGGCCCATTGCCGCCTCCGCAGTGGTCGACCCCGGGCGCGAGGAAGAGACGATAAAACGCGTTGGTAGTGTCTGGTCCGCCCATGACGCGCTCGACCTGGTCGCGGTAGATAAGCGTGTTCTTTGCTGTGAGAAGGCCGTCCGCCAACCCGTGCCAAGTAAGGAGTTTGCCGCCGTGGTTGCGGAAGGGGCTAAGATCCGGGTTGGATGTGCCGATGAGGCCGCCGTACTCGGCCCAGGCTTGGGAGAGGTAGTTGGGGAAGTCGTCTGTTGTGATTGAGGACAGGTTGAAGGATTTGTTCTTCTCCAGGAATATCGAGAACCAGGCCGCGGAGAGTGGAAAGTCCATGCCGCCGCTGACATCGCCGAGGGACAGTGTGCCGGCCAGATAAGCTGGAGTGGTGCCCCACGTGAGGCCCGGCTCGAGGGGTTTGCCAGTTGGACTCACGGGTCCGTCATAGATGTGCTGGAAGATGTCGGCGGTGTTGTGCGAGATGGGGATATTCTGTCCGTTGCAGTTGGCGGAGTGGCCCACGAGTGTCTGGGGGTGGAACTGGCAGTTGAAGGGATCCGCGACGACGCCATCTTTCACACCGTCGAGTTCGTCGCACGCCGCGATTGTTTCGTTCAACAAGTACTGGAACTCGCAAGCTCTGGGGTAGTGCTGGTAAGTGTCCATGACGATCTGCGGCCACTGTAGACTGGTAACAACGCTCGGCCAGCGCAGAGCTGGAGCGTGTGCGACAATCCCATCAAAGTCTTCTGGGTAGCGCTGGGCCATCATGTAGCCCTGACGGCCGCCGGTCGAACAACCAGTCCAGTAGGAATGATGAGGGGCTTTGCCATAAAAACTGGCCGAGGCTGCCTTGCCCACGATGGCCAGTTCATGCAGGGCGCGTGCAGAAAAGTCGGAAAAGGTGCCGAGATCGATCTCTCCCTCGGGGCTCAGGATATCAGGGGAGACAGTGACCTGGTCTTCTCCCAAGCCACCGCCATCCGTAGTGCCCACCGCGAACCCATGGGCGGCTGCGTTGCCGAGTTCCTCTTCGCTCGCGCCTGCTGCATAGCCGCCACCTCCCAAAGCCTGGAATCGGCCGTTCCAGCTGGTTAGCGGGAGCCAAAGCTGGAAGTTGACCTCGTCATCGAGGCCCGGGTGGGTCAGCGTCACGTTGATGTCGCAGACTCGGAGGTCGCTCGCGGCGACGGGCCCATTGATGCTGTCGCCGACAAAGGAGTTACTGATTCCATGGAGCTCCGCGGCGACAAAGGAGGTGATGACTGCGCCTGGCACCTGGGGAGCGTCGAGCTTGCTGCAGCTGGAGGTGCTCGGAACGCTTCCCATCATGGCGGGTCAGAATGCAGTTGGGTTACAGCAAGACACCAAGTGGCTATGACATCGGCCGGAATTTATCAGCACTGGTAAATGCCCCTTGCAAGGATGCTTGGTTGCTTGGTTGCTTAACCTTTCCCCAGGCTGTGGCGACCGGGCCGGACCCGGTACGGATGATCATATTGGCAGAAGGCTGCGTTGATTAATGATACGAGAACACTTCACTGGATCAAATTCGCAGTGCTTGGCAAATCAGAGACCGGGCCGAACGAGAGCCTGTGACAGAATGGGCGAGCCAGGCTGCTCGGCCAGCACTAGACCGAGGCCTGTCGAGTTTGTGTGTTTCTGTGGGGGGGTGGATGCAGGATTCTTGCCCGCACGCCACCCATCCACCCCCAGCAACACCCCGGGCAGGCAGTTCATCTCCCCGTTGGCCTAATCCTGGCCTCTGGATAGGAGAACATCCGCTGCTGTATCCATTCGAGCAGAGCTCTGATCATGGCCGCCGTCAATGCCGCCCCCAGGCGCTCTGTCCAGGCATGTTCGCGTTGTCGCCAGCAAAAGGTACGTTTGCGAAGAGGATCTGCGACTCCTCGTGAGAATTGACAGCAAGCAGATGAAATGCTCAGGCGGCCCAGCCCCCTGTGAGCGCTGTGCGAGGTTCGGCCGCGATTGCATCTTCGAGCCCCCCAATATGAATCTCGCTACGACCAGCACTTTTGCGCCCCGTGCCGAGAATCACCACCACCAGCAGCCTCCGCTGACTCCCTCCGACGGCTCTTTGACGCTGGAACATCAGGAACACCTTCACCGCAGTCCCTCGAGTGCTCGCAATCGCAGCCTGGACGCGGTCAGCACAGGAGGTTCCGGCGGGGGAACGCGTCCCCAACCGCCAGCTTCGCGACCCACAGGCCTGCTGCCTAATGCGACACCTTATTCCAGTGTGCAGGAGCTGGAAACTAACTGCCACCACTGGGCGGGGGGATATCAAACTCCGTCGGATGGGCACAGTACTGGTGACAAAAGACGGCGATGCACAGGGGGTCGACAGGCAGCCAGCCCCGGCGATCGCGCCGGCCTTTCAGCGTGTCTCATGGAGGCCGGCATCACCCTGGCTGACGCACAAGAGCTTTTCAAGCTGTTTGGCGAGCGACTGTCTCCCTTCATCCCTTCCTTCTATGCGACTGATTTCAACAGCCTCCCCTCCGAGCCGCTTTACGTCCTGGCCGCAATTAATGCCGTTGCGCGCTATCTTCCTGACTCCGACGCCCTGCGTGATCGCATATGTCGCATTCTGCGTCGGCTGGTCTCGGACTTGATTCTTCAGCCGACTGGAGATCAGGCAAGTGCAGCAATGTTGGAGAACATGCAGGGCCTTGTTGTTCTGTATTCGTGCTGCGAAGCGACCGGGCCCAGTCCCGATCATCGGCAGGGGGATTCTGGCTTCGACATGCTCACGCTGAAGGGAATCGCTGAGGCGTACGCTGTAAAGTGCAAGATTGGCGTTGACTGTGCCCTGAACAAAGTATCCAGTGATAAGCTGCCTTTGGTGTGGGTGGTGTGGCTGTACACAATGAGCCATCAGTAGGACCCCCATCCTTGACTTACTGCAGGCTTCCCTCGACTAATGAACTCTAGTTGCGCTGTCATTCACGGCTGTCCTCGGACCCTCTCTGGCTCAATTGAGCTTCTCCGGGTCAAGGTAGCCCTGGAGCAGACGGTCCATCATCCGCGCATTCGCCTGCTGCTGGGCGAGTGCGAGCTTTGTCTGCTGTGGGAAAGAGCTTCTGCTATCCAGGGGAGCAACCCACAAACTGTGTATGAGGCACTGGATCTCTGGAAAGCGGAATGGCAAGAGTTCCTGTCTGGTGGTACGCGGACCTTTTTTTTGGGATTCTCTCCTTAACCCCTTGCTAACCGGTGCGGTTCTCTAGGCGCGGCCCAAGGTCGACACTTGTATTTCCACTACTTCTTCACACGCTTTCACCTCTTGACACACATGGTTGGTGAGACCGGCGAGCTCTATATTGCGGTGGGTGAGAGCCTTGATGCAGCACGGGATTTCCTACACTGGATCGGGAGCCTGTCGCCGATATCCAAGGATCGTCTGCGCTATCTCTGCGACTTTGCCTTTGTGCTCATGGCCTATGTGGGCTTATATGTCCTCCGGGCTCTAAGGAGTGATGTAGTCACTCTGGAGAATCAGAGAGAGTTTCTACGGATGATTCAAGATCTGGCCTCACTCATGAAGTCGTTGGGCCCGAGAGGCGATACTCGGCCGACCGTATACGGGTATGCGCTGGAGGCCATGTGCAAGCAGTATCGAATCACCAGAATGGATGGCCAGCCTACTGGACATGCGGCTAATCTACAAAACGTAGCCGAGGTGGTTGGTCTGTCTCGACCGTCTCAGGTCAACATGGACCTCCCAATGCCAGCAGAAGGTCTCATGGACGAGGACCTTCTCCGCCAGAGCCGATTATCTCCGGGATTTTGGACACTTGATCCGGATCTCTCCGTGTTTGACGGGATAATGGCCGGTATCCCGGTGCCTGAGGAGCCATAATCACACAAGTAAGTCTAAAGGTATCTATATATTGGCAGGTCAGAAGGCGGATGCTCGAGACTAGGCCTATTTTAATACATGCTGCGACACGGTACAGACGGCACTCTCACATGCGTGAGGTGAGCGGATGATACAGCACTTTCACTGCCTCGGGGTCTCCTGAAAACTGGCCAACTTCCAGCACAACTTGCGTCACGTCCCACAGCAGCTGCCCATTCACCCATCGGTGAAAGGGGCTGGAGGCTGCTACAACCTCTATTGATTTTGCCTCGTGGGCGCGCAGCTCAACGGCCTGGAAGCCCGCCAGAACTCGCGTAGGGAAGTCATCTGCTGCCGTGCGGAACTTGGGGCATCCATACACTTGCACGACGCATCGTCCTGCTCGCTCGCCGACATTGCGCACCTGCACCTGCAGCCGAATTCCCTGGGTATGGGCGCCTCCAATCACTGCTCTCTCAACGAGATATTTGGTGTAGGAAAGTCCGAACCCGAGCGGGTATGCGGCTGTCACCCCTCGGCGGTCATGGAGGCGCTGTCCAACCCATTTTGTGTATGTAATTTCGTTCGCATTGGCGTCAAACTCGGGCAGGCCTGCCTCGCTTCGGGGCATACACCACGGCAAATGTCCACTAGGGTTCACCGCGCCTGTCAGGACGTCTGCGAGCGCCCTTCCCCCCTCGCATCCACTATACCAGCTCACCAGGAACGCGGGAACCTTGAACCTCCACTCTTCTGCAATGATTGCACCTGCTGTTATCACTGAAACGATAACTCGGGGATTCACAGTAGCGACGGCATGAATCAACCTCACATCCTCGTCGCGGAGACGCAGCGAGCGTCGGTCACCCCCAGTGGGCCTTGACTGAAGTTCCTCCGGCTCCCCCGGGCTAGCCGTGGCTGCGGATTTCACTGCTGCCTTCCTGGCGGACTGGACACGTCTAGCCCAGTAGGAATCATCAGGCTCCGGTAACAACGCCTGCGCACTGGGATCGGTTTCCCTCGACGGCCGGAGGAACTCGCCTTCGTCCTCTGCATCGTATCCCACCACCAAGACAACCACGTCTGCTTTCGTTGCGGCGCTCACGGCACCTTCCTCATTATCAGAGTCGGAAAGTAGAATCCTGACATGCGGAAGCGCATCTTTTATCCCGTCGTACAGGGATATGACCTCCGGGCACGCTACCAATGACGATGCACGATCCCCCGTCTGGCGCGAGGTGGCTAGGCGGCCAATAACCGCGAGACTGCCTAGTCTCTCCGGCAGTGGCAGTAGTCGTTCGCCGTTGACCTGGGCATTTTTCAGCAGGACCATGGATTTCGATGCGACTTCGCGGGCTAGCTGGCGCGACGCCTTGTTGAATACCACGTCAATGGTGGGCTCTTCTGGGTTGCGAGTCGCATAGTGGAGCAGCTGGATGGTCAGGATTCGGTGCGCGACTTGGTTGATTTCTGTCCAGCTGAGTTCGCCAGAGTCCAGAGCCGGACGCACCGAGGCTTCTCGCCGATTGCGGAATGGGGCTTCGATGTCAAGCCCGGCCTTGACGGACTTGACGCCGTCACGCACTCCGAACACCCAGTCAGATATGACGACTCCCTTAAACCCCCACAAGTTGCGCAAGATGTTGGTCAATAAGTGCTGGTTTTCACTGGCCCACTCTCCGTTGACCGAGTTGTACGCCGACATGATGACCGGCGCACCCTCTTCCACACATCGCTTGAAGTGCGGCAGGTACAACTCGTATAGCGCGGCCTCGTCCACATGCACATTGACGCGGAACCGTGCAGTTTCCATTGAATTCAGCGCGAAGTGCTTCACACAGGCCATGACATTCGGCCTCAGACCGCGCACATGGGCCGCTCCAAACTCGCCAAGGAGCAGTGGATCTTCGCCATATGTTTCCTGGACACGTCCCCACGCCGGATGTCGGGGCAAGTTAATTGAAGCGCTGCCTACCGTGTTGGCCGTGTACACCCGTGCTTCGAGGCCGATGACTTCCGCAACACGTTCCTCCACGCGAGGGTCCCACGTCGCCCCCCGTGCCATCGAGACCGGAAACGCGGTTGCTTTGTTGATGTTGACACCGCGCGGACCATCGCAGTATCGGATGCCGGGGATCCCTAACCTCTTGATTTCGCCATGAACGTATGGATTCGCGAGATAGTATCCAGTGTAGAGCTTGTGCATTCCCTCCCAGAATCCGGGATCGCCATGCAGTAGGCCAAGCCTTTCCTCTTCATTGAGCTCATGGAGCAGCTCTCTTGCCGCAAGGGATGGATCCTGGCCGGATTTCACGGACTCGACCGCCGTCTGGAAGTCGATGTTTTGTGTCATGGCCGTTGCGAGCCTCGCAGCTTGGCAGAGAACAAGTCGCCAGTTGAGAGGGTATCCACCAAATGATGGAAAAAGAACGAAATCGGAGAGAATAGTCTGTCTGGCGTTCGGTTGCCCTTCTATGTCTTAATAGTCACTAGGTCAATCATAGTCTCTCCATCTTATTCCACAGCTCCGATACAGCCGACTGTGTCAAGGAGTATAGCCTCCACTCGACCGGCCGGACCGCTTCGGGTTACGTGCACGTTCGGGCCTCGTCTGGCCATCTGCCCGGTTATTCGACTCTGTCGGGAGGCTGGAAACGAAGATACGGGGGCCTTTCGGGGCCCAGACCCTTTGGGTGCGGCCTACTGTGTGTAAGCTACAGAGGGCGTTGGTGTCGGACTATATCGAATACTACTAGTTGTACTGGATGGCCCATGGGAAATTCAAGGTCAGAACACGGATTGCGTGTGGTACGATAATAGAGTTAACCGAAATTATACGGCTACAATTACTATATTATTATATCTTAACCCTAATATATTGCTAGATTTACATGGCGGTATTTCGATATCTCTATATATATTAATATATATATTTCTGTGTATTGCCCATAGAAGTAATAGCAGAGAATAATGTGGAGTGATAGGCTTTCTCTTGGGCGTCCCTAATTCTAAAACACATATCTTAGCTTCATCCAGCTCATTTCCAGAACGGAGAGTAATTATGACTGCTAGGCATCTTCTGATGTACGAATGCCGTAGATGGCTGGAATTGGGTACGCCTAATTTTCGCACACGACAATATCATATCATGGACCAACTCGGCCCGGATTAGGGCATATATGATGTGGCAGTCCGGCCCGAGCACTGGCATCCCCTTTTCCCCCACAGTTCACGCGCAGCCACGTGCTGTCAAGGTTGTTCGTTCCCTTTTCCGGCAATATGTTCGGGTATATATAGCAAAGGATGTCGCTCCCTGCTATTGCTGGGTTTCGAAGCCAGTGACGATCTTGTTTCATTGCCATCGTCGATCGACACCCGCATCCCGGTTCGCCCAAGGATTGCGTAATATATGTTGATAATGCGGCTCAAGCTGTTGTTTGTGGTAACTGCGCAGCTGGCTCTAGTAAGCAGCCGAGGCCAGAACGATTCAGTTGATGTTGCAGCATTGGAGAGCTTTTGGTCGTATGGCAGGTCTGAGCCCGTCTACCCCAGCCGTAAGTAAACAAACAAACACCTAGACGGGGCATTGGCCTCATTTCGAATGAATGAGACTTTTTGGTGTTTCCCTCAGGCTAACTGTTTTACTTCCACCATTAGCTGAGATAGCAGGATGGGAAGACTGGGCAACTGCGTACAGAAAAGCCAAATCCCTTGTCGGACAGATGACCAACGACGAGAAGAGCAACCTGACATATGGCTACAAATCGAACTCCACGGGATGCTCCGGTATATCCGGCGGCGCGCCTCGGGTCGGATTCCCGGGCATCTGTTTGCACGATGCGGAAAATGGGGTCAGGGGTACGGACATGGTCAATGCATATCCCGCCGGCATCCATGCTGGGGCGTCTTGGAATCGAGACCTTACACATGCGCGGTCTTACTATATCGGCACAGAGTTTAAGAGGAAGGGAGTCAATGTCGCGCTCGGACCGGTTGCCGGTCCGATTGGAAGAATTGCAAGAGGTGGGCGCAATTGGGAGGGATTCAGTACTGATCCATACCTCGCCGGTGTGCTGACGGGCGACTCCGTGCGTGGGCTGCAGAAGTCGGTGATTGCGTGCGTCAAGCACCTGATCGGGAACGAGCAGGAGACAAATCGCATGCCTCCGATGCTTTTCCCAGGCACTGCCAATAACTCCGTTTCTTCGAATATCGACGATAAGGCGATGCACGAACTGTATCTGTGGCCCTTTCAGGATGCCGTAAAGGCCGGGGCTGGCTCGGCAATGTGCAGCTACCAGCGCATCAACAATAGCTACGGATGCCAGAATAGCAAGGTTATGAATGGGCTGCTTAAGGGAGAGCTTGGCTTCCAAGGGTTTGTGGTCTCTGATTGGGAGGGTCAGTATACTGGGCTTGCGAGTGCAGCGGCAGGTCTTGATATGGCAATGCCGACTTCACCATACTGGGCAAACGGAACGCTGTCGCTTAGTATAAACAATGGCTCGCTCTCGCAGGCAAGGCTTGATGACATGGCCACCAGGATTGTGGCTGCGTGGTACAAGTACTCGCCTCTGAAGAGCCCTGGACATGGAATACCCGCGAGTCCTCTCCTCCCGCATACCCTGACTGATGCGCGTGATCCTGAATCCAAGGAGACACGGCTACAGAGTGCAGTCGAAGGCCATGTTCTGGTAAAGAACATCAAGAATGCACTTCCATTGCACAAACCCAAGTTCCTGTCGCTTTTTGGCTACGATGCAGTGGCCGCGACGCGGTTTAGCGGACGGTGGATGGGCCTCGACAACACCCTTATCTACCCGGACGGTACCGCTGCTGATTATCTTCGATTGGCTCATATCATTACGTCCAGCGCAGACCCCAACGACAATGGGCCCGGCGTGGCGCTCAATGGAACCCTTATTTCGGGCGGAGGCTCCGGCTCCACCACACCAGCATATATCGACGCCCCATTCGACGCGTTCCAGCGCCAGGCCTACGAGGATGGGACGTTCCTGTCGTGGGACTTTGTTTCGCAGCACCCGCAGGTGAATCAAGCAAGTGAAGCCTGTATTGTATTCATTAATGAACAGTCCTCCGAGGGTTGGGACCGCCCATATCTAGCCGACCCATACTCAGACGAGCTGGTGGAGAGCGTCGCAGGCCAATGCAATAATACCATAGTTATTATCCATAACGCAGGCATCCGTCTGGTTGACCGCTGGATTGATAATTCTAACATCACCGCCGTCCTCTATGCGCATGTGCCGGGCCAGGATTCCGGTCGTGCACTTATCGAAGTAATGTACGGGAAGCAGTCGCCGTCCGGCCGCCTGCCCTATACAGTTGCCCGGAAGGCCTCTGACTACAGAGATCTTCTCGGCCCCGAGGTGCCTAGAGGTGATTTGAATGCCTACTACCCACAGTCTAACTTCTCCGAGGGCGTGTATATTGACTATAAGGCCTTTGAGGCGCCGGGAATTACGCCACGGTATAGCTTTGGATTTGGACTAACCTACACGTCCTTTGCATATTCCCAGCTATCAGTTCGCCTCAGGCGCGAAGTCAACATGGCGGAACTGCCACCCGGTAAGGTAATCAAAGAGGGGGGGCTACCTTCTCTATGGGATGTTGTCGCGGAGGTGAGCTGTACTGTCACGAACGTGGGGGAGGTTAAAGCCGCCGAGGTAGCGCAGCTGTATGTTGGTCTGCCTGGAGGGCCAAAGAAGGTCCTGCGCGGCTTTGAGAAACAGGGTCTCCGGCCTGGCCAGGGGAAAAGGTTCAGCTTCGAACTCACCCGACGCGATCTGAGCACATGGGATGTCGCGAGGCAGAGTTGGGTTTTGCAGCGTGGCAGATACCCGATCTACATCGGCAAGAGTGTCTTGGATATTCAGCTGACAGGTACTCTGCGAGTATGATATGGCCATGGTTAGCTTGGTCGTAGCACAAGTCATAGATCTCGTCACCACTTATTCTCCTGAATATGTAATTATGTTGGCCATCGCACTATAACTTTTTCTCCTATGTCAATCTGTTCAAGTCTACCGCCTATGATCACGGTGATTACGGGGCCGAATCGAGCGAGGTGCGCCATGTAGATTTGCTAAATTAGATATCCAACGTCTACGGTGGCCCTAACGAGGTACTATCATGTGAATGATCACAAGGGCCCGAAGATACTTGTCTTCCCTCCTGCTCATCTCGTTCGGCTCACCCTCATGCACTCCCGGTACAGTACTGCTTCCCGATCGGGCCGGAGCCGGCTGTGGATGAAGATCACCTGCGTGCCATTGGCCGCTGCTATATGAATTGATGCAGAGAGGCCCCTGACTCAGAGGCAGGTTTCTGTTGTGCGCCTCCAAGTTGGAATTGGCAATTTCCAATGGCTATGTTTGGTTGGGTGCGGGATCCCCAAGTCTGAATACCGCTTGAACTCACGAAGGATGCTGAACAGATGTACTTCTAGCTCTCCTATCTGGTCTGCCTCACCATCCTAGGCAGTCGTGGCGCGTGCCTCGAGAACGCGACCTCCTTCAAGTCACTAGACTGGTCGGAATTCAAAGACCCCCCTGTAAACGTACGGCCTCGGTTCCGCTATTGGCTTCCTGACGCGTCGGTGGAAGTCGGCCCTGCAGTGCAAGATGTCGCACGCGCAAAGCAGGTTGGCGCTGGCGGACTGGAGGTACTCGGCTTCTACGGATACGAAACGACTCCAGGGTATTATGTTCCTGTTGACTGGTCAACCTACAGCTGGGGTGGCGAGGCATGGCGTAAGTATCCCAACACAGAAACGAGGCATTGAAAAACACATCCTAAAGGAGCAACGGTAGAAACAATTTTCAAGGCACTTCTGCAGGCACACCGCGAAAACAGCCTGATTATGGACTTTGCCATTGGGGCTTCTATGGGGCAGGGTGTTCCGGCTGAGTTGGACAATGAAGGTCTGGCATGGGATCTTACTTCGTTCAACTTTACCGTCCCGCTCGGCGGTTCGTTTGACGAGAAGATACCCGGCTGGGGTCCAGGCATTGAGCCGGCAGCTGGAAAGTTACTGGCTGTCATTGCGGGCACGGCTGTTTCGTCTGTCAATACAAGCAGCCCTGAGCCGGGTCTGCCTCATGGGGCTCCAGCGCCACGGATACAGGTAACGCTGGCGGCCGACAGTCTTGTTGATATCACGTCGAAAGTCTCCTCCGACGGTCATTTATCCATCAACTTCCCCGAGAGTGATGGTATTGAGCACGTGGTATTTGTGGTCTACGAGCACCTGTTCCATCATGGGGTCTACCAACCTCCCTCACTCTTGGGAGGCCCCCAGGGCAAGCCGACTAGCTTCTTGAATAACGGCTCGTGGGTGGTAGACCATTTCTCTGAAAAGGGAGCGCGTGTGACTACCGACTTCTGGGACAAGTACTTGCTCGGCAATGGGACGCGCGAGCTGATCGCAGAGGTTGGAAACTATGCGTGGGAGGACAGTGCGGAGATTCCCAATAAGGTCTTCTGGACGCCCTCTTTGCCAGAGGTCTTTCGACGGCGGACAGGCGATGAGATCTCCAAATGGCTTCCCATACTCTTCCACCAGAATGGGTACGGCTCCAGACTGGCGCCATCTGTCTGGTGGATTACGGACGAGCAGGACGCGGGAAATGCGCATATCGCTGATTATCGAGCCACGGTCTGACACCCGTTTCCTTCTTCTGCGTGCGATTGAGTCTAGGCTTGCTGATTGGGACATATATAGCTCGGGGAATTGCAGGGAAAGTATCTCAAAGCACTGGGCGAGTGGTCGAAATCGCTCGGCGTCGAGTTCTCGAACCAAGTAGGCTACAACATGCCTGTTGACATGGTTGGTTCCACCTGCCAGTACAACCTTACTTGAGCTAATCAGGAAGTGAAGCAACGCAACATTCATTTAGTGGATGCGCCCGAGTGCGAGAGTCTAGGCTTCAACAACGACATCGACGCATACCGCCAATACGCCGGTCCTGCAAATCTCGCGGGCAAGCGTGTCATCTCCTCTGAATTGGGCGCGGACTCCAGCTACGCCTATCAACAAAATTTCACGAGACTATTGTGGGAAGTCAATCGATCGATTGTTGGTTCGGTCAACCAGTTCGTGTTGCACGGCTTTCCGTATTCAGGCCAGGTAACTTGCGCTTTCCAGGAAGCCATGGCGTGGAAATCGTTTGCTTACTCTTGACTCTGATAGTATCCTAACACCACCTGGCCGGGCATCAATACGTTTGTGTATTTTTTCTCCGAAATGCATGGCCCGCATCAACCTGGGTGGGACTACTATCGACCTGCTCTGGACTATATTGCAAGACTGTCCGCAATATCTCAGACAGGTTCTGCCAAAAAGGACATTGCATTCTATTCGAAGTATACAACGTACCCGTCAGTGCCTCGGGACTACGCTCCTGAGGATCTGAATCAGGCCGGTTAGTTATCATTATCTGCGGTAATAGCCATTTCTCACACTATCGTGGTCGATATTTAGGGTATACCTACGAGTACCTGAGCCCCGACAACTTCGATCTTCCATCCGCACACGCCTCTGGCGGTGTTCTTGCTCCTGAACAGCAGGGCTTCAGAGCCATGGTAGTCCGTTCTAATGACAGCATGACTGCTGAGGGAGTTGACCATCTCGCTCAATTCGCCCGCGCAGGGCTGCCGCTGATATTCTTCGGCGGCCCACCGTCCGGATGCCTGGGGTTCAATATAAGCTGCAACGCACACGTTACCAAGACCATCGACAGCATTTCCCGCCTCAGTAATGTCCACGTCGTACACAATGGAGGACTGGCAGACACACTGCTGAAATTGCATATCTATCCACGAGCCCGTCTAACCACGCACAGCCCGTGGTTCACTCAATGGCGACACGACCCGCAGACTGGCGTCGATTACGTATTCTTATTCAACAACCTGGAGCGCTCGTCCTCAAAGCCCGTGCTCAGTAGCGGTTTCGTCGACTTCGAGACAAGAGGAACCCCCTACCGACTCGATCCGTGGACAGGCCAATACGCCCGTATCCCCACGTACACGCGCACGAAGCGCACAACCCGCATATTCTTCGAGCTTGCCGAGGGCCAAAGTGTCCTCCTGGCCTTTACCCCAGAGCCGACGCGCAATGATCAACTCACGTTCACCGAAGGGCCCATCCTCGATATCACCTTGCCGGCTCCTCTGTCGAGCAACAAGCCCAATGCGACAACGGTCAAAATAAGAAATGGCGTGCCTGGTCGTCCGTCGCGTGCCTCGGTTACAGAGACAAATGGAAAACGTCACTCGTTAGAAGTTCTCGTCGAGCCTTCTCGTCGCTTACAGGACTGGACACTCACCGTTGAACACTGGGACCCTCCCCAGGACCACTTTGATACCTACGGGACCGTGAAATGGAATTCCACATATAGAGGATTGAAGGACCTAAGGGCCTGGACGAGTATATCCGACGAGCTCCGCAACGCCAGTGGCCGCGGGTTTTACAGTACCACGTTTCAATGGGGCTCCGGCGAAGATGGAGATGATAGAACTACACAGAGCAGCGGGGCGTACCTCGAACTCCCTCCGATTTCACACACGGTGCAGATATTTCTCAACTCACGTCTTCTTCCCGCGGTGGACATATACCGCCCAATCGTGGATATAACGGCATACCTCGTACACGGCAGGAATAAGCTGGAGGTTATCGTTGCAACGCCGCTTGGAAATGCGCTTCGACCTGTCTGGAAGCGGCTGGTGACTGGCGGGCACTTTCTTGCCGAGGGGACGGAGAACATCGCCCCTGTGCCGGTTGAGGCTGAGTACGGGCTACTGGGAGAGGTGGTAGTGGTACCTTTTGTGCAGTGCCATTTGAGGGGTTCTGGGGGTGCGAGGCGATGTGAGGAGTAGATTAAGTTCCTGTATCTCTGTATCTAGGGAATGTGCTGCACGGGGAGGGAGCATTTAAAGAATAGTACATGTTCAATCAGGATACATCATGTGTATAGAAGAGTAGGTTCTAGGCCAGGTCCGTCCGGTCCGGATAACGCGAAGGGCTGCCGGTGTGACATGGTGCTCCGCCGGGTGACGATAATAATATATATACTCGCCCGGGTACGAAGTTTGCTTGAAGTCTCTAACTAATGACGCTTTAAACCACGAAGAATCTAGCATCTATACAACCCCTATGCCAAAACGCATAATCATAACCGGCGGGTCCGGCCAAGTCGGCCGCCATATAATCACTCAACTCCTCGGCAAAGGCCACAGCATCCTAAACCTGGATCTCACGGCAGGCCCACCGACAGTGCACACCATCAAAACCGATCTGACAAACGGTGGCGACGTCTACAACGCTCTTAACTCACACTTTGCCTTGTCTGAACCCTTTCCTGCACAACCGTCCTGCGTCCCGGACGTCCTTATCCATCTCGCCGGCCACGCGCGCAACATGCTCGTTCCTGACAACAGGACGTTCCGGGACAATGTCACTGCGGCGTATAATGTGCTGGACGCGGCGTGCAAGCTGGGCATCAGGAAGATCATCGTCGCGAGCTCGATATGCGCGTATGGGGTGACGTATGCGTATGGCGATGTGGATTTCGCTTCTTTCCCTGTTACCGAGGAGCAGACGGTGCCCGCGCCCATGGATCCATATGCGCTGTCGAAACGATGTACGGAGGTTCTTGCGGAGGGGTTCGCAAAGCGGTTTGCCGGTTTTGATGTGTATGTTTTGCGGATTGGGAGGGTAGTCCTCCCCGGTGACTACAATGCAGCTTTTGAGTCGTACGTGAAGGAGCCAGTTAGGTGGAAGGGGCATGGGTGGTCGTATGTGGATGTAAGGGATCTGGGGGCCATGTGTGAGCGCGGCGTTGAAGTGAATGGACTGGGTTTCCAGATCTTCAACGCGGTCAATGATGAAATTACGTGTGACAGGAAGGCTGGGGAGCTTGTTGCGGAGGTTTGTCCTGCGGTTCCGGTGACGAGGGAGCTGGAGGATCGCGAGGCCCCGATTTCAAATGCGAAGATCAAGCTCTTGTTGGGGTTCAGGGAGGAGCATTGTTGGAGGGATTACTATGTACCACAGGAATAGGAACAGCACACTTTATATCATTCAAAGGCGGGAAACTGTCGACTCTGACACTCGTTCAAGGGTCGCCGCGCCCCGCCAGCAACTCCGCGTTGGTAAAATGCCCTACACCAGTTGAATCTGACCAGATAGCTTCATCATCGTCCCGCTCAAGCGGAGCGAGAAGTGGCCGTGGCGGCCAGTCTTCCTTCGCGGTATATGGGCGGCGAAACTCATGCACCCCTGACCCAATCCATGTCCCCGGTTCATCCTCCTCTACTATGTCCGTATGTTGTTCGTCAGGAGTTGTGACGAATGCCCTTGTATTCAGCGGAATCTGCACAACCATGCGGAATTCCCCCTTGTCTGTCTCCCACCGACAGCGGACCTCACCATGGGGCCCATCGAAACGCGTCTCAGCCCACTGCAGCTCCTCTCCAACCACGGGCCGAATCCTGACGGTCTTCCACCCTGGCTCCAACGGCGCAATACCACCAACACTGGTATGAAGCCAGTTGGCAATCGACCCCAAAGCGTAGTGGTTGAAGCTGGTCATCTCACCGGGGTTAACTGAGCCGTCAGGCTGGATGCTATCCCAGCGCTCCCAAACCGTTGTTGCACCCTGCGTCAGTGGATATAACCAGGAGGGGCATCTCTTGTGTAGTAGCATTCGGTATGCCAGAGAGGGTTGACGTGTAAGGGTCAGGGCTTCTGTAATGAACTTGGTCCCGACGAATCCTGATGTGACTGCGAACTTGCCCCGTCGAACGAGGCGAGAGAGGCTAGCTGCCGCAGTGCGCCTCTGATCTATATTTCGGTACAGCGAGAAGCAAATTGCGAGGGAAATAGCACACTGGGTGTTGGACATGATGTTCCCCTGGGGGGAAATGTACTTTGCGGCGAAGACCTCCCTGAGGCGTTCCGCGTCGGCCGTGTAGCGCTTTGCGTCTTGTATATGTCCAATAGTCTTGCATATCGCCCCGAGTGTGGATGTTATATGCACGAGGTATGCATCTGCTACCAACACCCCGTCCGTCCGGGAGTCCTTAGGATGATCCGGTGGAGCTGTTGGATCTAACCAATCGCCCAGTTGAAATCTTTCTGGATCCCAGAGCCCGTCAGCACCCCGTGGTATGCCGCGATCCAGCCACGTTGTCATGCTTTTGTGCTGGCGCCGGAGAATGCTCGGGTCGGCTGAGTACTGATGCAATACGTCTGGTACTATTACCACAGCATCACCCCAGACAGCCTGTGGCAGGCTCCTACCGGCCTTCTGAATCACATCAGGCACAACTAGAGGCGGAACTCCACCGCGGTGGGTCTCAAGCTGCTCAGCCGATAGATCCTGCAGCCACTCGGCGAGCATGCCTGTAGTGTTGAAGAGATACGCGGCAGTGTTTGAGAACACTTGCAGATCGCCAGTCCACCCGAGTCGCTCGTCACGCTGTGGGCAGTCAGTCGGAACTGAAACAAAGTTGCCACGCATACCCCAGACGATGTTGTTGTGGAGACGGTTAATGTGGCTGTTCGAGCACGCAAACCATCCTCGACGCGGCATATCGGTGTGCATAACAAGGGCAACAAAGTTATCGGGCGAAGGTTGTCCGCCGGCCCAACCATCAACCTGGACGTACCGAAAGCCATGGAATGTGAATGCCGGTGTCCAGTTAGAGAGCTCTTTTCCAGACCCTAGGATAACGTCGGTGCATTTCGCCGTGCGGAGGGGGCGCGTACACAGCTCGCCATCCTCTAGGACCTCTGCATGGGTGAGAGAGAGCTGCCAGTCCTGGGGGATTGTGGCTGACCGGATACGGACCTTTCCCACCAGATTCTGACCAAAGTCCAGAATCACCTTTCCGCTGGGGCTGACCACAAGTTCCGAAACTGGGATTTCTTGGACCACTCGAACCGGGGGTGCGTCTGGGGCGACCAACCTCCCCTGTGGCCAGCCCACCACGCGCGCGGCGACTGCTGGTGAGTCCCTCTGGTCGTGGCCAGCAATCGTCCATGAAGCATCATCGCGCCTCATATCATACACCTCGCCGTCGTAAATCTCACTGGACTGGATTGCGCTCTGCAGGCACTCCCACGTGTCGTCTGACGGCAGCATCCAGCAGATCCCAGTCGTCTCTGTCGTAACCTCAAGCTGGGCAAGAACAGCGAGGTCTGCACTGCCATAGCAGCACCGCTTCCCGCCATTGAACCCTAATCGGCCTGCGTACCATCCTGGCCCGACTTCCACGGCCAGCACATTCTCCCCGTCATCGTGCAGAAGATCCGTAACGTCAAATGTCTGAAAGTTCAGTCGATGGTCATAAGCAGTCCACCCAGGCGCCAAGCAGTAGTCGCCAATACGGGTTCCATTCAGAAAGGCGTGATACACCCCCAGGGAAGTAATGTACAGCCGCGCCCCAGTCTTAGGGACACAGTTGATCGGTAGCTGGAACCGCTTGCGGAACCGAATTGGGGCCAGCGGCGCGGCAGCATCGATGGGGCGAGCCGATGTTATAAACGCTGCGTGCCAGTCCTCCTGTCTCAACAGGCTGGCCTCGACAGTTGCCCATTCCGACCACTCACTGACACTTTGCTCGTCTGCGGCGTTCTCCTTGCCATGGCAGCGTACTCGGACGCGGGCTGCTTCGCGCGACTCGAGGGGCTTCCAGGGCCACGGAACCAGCACGGATTGGTCGCTGTCGACATAATACCTCTGCTCCAGTTGCTGTCTTCCTCGAGCTACCTGGAGTTCATAGGCCGTCTGGGTCCAGTCCCTGGGGTGTCTGGTGCCAGGGGTAGTGAGCTTCCATGACAGACGCGGTGATGGGTGGCCGATCCCGAAGCCGGTCGCATGGTGCTCGAACTGCAGTGCAGTCGGTGAGACGAGGGTACTACTCATGGCGTGCGCTTGAGGGCGACAAATCGTTTGCATTGCTCATCAACTGTTCTCTGCTTTATCTGAGGCCGTGACTGGAACCCCGAGCATCCTGCCGGTCCGTCCCGGATCCGGACGGGCATCAGCGCTCGTCCGGCCCGGACCTGCTGTCATGTACGGTTGTATCGTCATGCCAGCTAGTTAATCAAGTGGGTGCTTAACCCATGATAAGGTCAGCGTGGAATCCCAGATTCCCCATCATCTTGGCATGGCCAATATCGCACTCTAGCGCCGCCCCGTCTCACCGTGTAAGACCAATTCATACTTATCGCCAGCCTTGGACCCAGACAGAAATTCCGGACAGGCACGGTTGATTATCTCTGTGACGATGTCGCACACCCAAAAGAAAGATGACCTGGGAAGCGCGGAGAACGTAGAGGACGCGCAGGCCTCACCTGCCGCACACGAGCACGAGCACGAGCACCCGGAGTGCAGTCTGGACGACCTCAGTGTATGGAAGTGCGTGAAGCAGAACCCCAAGGCAATTTTCTACTCGTTCCTCATGTCGATCGGCCCGACGGCGTTTGGATTTGACAACCTCGTTGTCGGTCTGGTGGCCTCGATGCCCGGTTTCCAGTGAGTCGTCTGCCTCCCATCGCGGCCCTGTTGTACTTGCTAACTGTGAATAGGATGGTCTTTGGAGAGATGATCGACGGCAAGCTCTTTGTGCCCTCGCTTTGGCTCGCCCTCTGGAACGCCATGACCGCCGTTGGTATCATGGTGGGTGCAGTGACCAACGGGTACGTCCAGGACCGCTTCGGGCGCCGCTGGTCGTTCTCTCTGGGTGGTGTCATTGCGACGGTTGGAATTGCCATCTGCTACATCAGCGACCGGAGGGACCTTCTGGGCGGCCGGCGCAACATGTTTCTCGGGGGTAAGATAGTGCTTGGTGCCGGGCTGGGCATCTTCCAATCCACCAGCCAAACGTACATTTCCGAGATTGCTCCGGTGAGGATTCGCGGTCCGCTGCTCTCCAGCTATACATTCATGAGCGTACGTTTGCCGGTTTCATCGTCGACAAAATGCAGCTGCTAACCACGCATTACAGGTCGTTGGCCAGCTGGTCGGCACGTCAATCGTATACTCGCGTGTGACAATGCTCGAACCAGCCTCCTACCAAATCCCCCTCGCTGCCCAATGGGCCTTCTCTGGGGCAATCATCCTCATCGGCCTCATCATCCCCGAAAGCCCGGTCTACTATCTCAAGAAAAACAACATCGAGAAGGCTGCACGGTGCTACCGCCGCCTGTACTTCGGCTCTGACCACTCCGTCGCACTCACAAAGGCGAAGGAAACCCTCGAATATGAACAGGCCAACGAGCTACACGGAAAACAGTCTTCCTTGCTGCTAGAGTGCTTCCGCGGAGTCAACTGGCGCCGCACTCGCATTGCCGTCCTTGCCGTCTCCCTGCAGCAGTGCCTGGGCATGAGCTATATCGGCCACTGCTCGTACATTCTGCAGCAGGCTGGGATGGCCGCTAACAAGTCGCTCATGCTGATGCAGGTTGCGATCGGTGTCGGCCTGCCAGCGAATGTCATATCTTGGTTCCTGATGGCTACCTTGGGCAGAAGAACCATTATCCTTTGGAGTACACTTGCGGTTGGACTCTTGTGGCTGGCGTCCGGTATTGCCGGGTGCTTCCCTTCCAGCAATACGGCACTTTTGTTAGTGATCTACAACTACGTCACATATCCTTCCTACTAACGATGTAATCGCAGGTTCGTCGGCATCGCCATGATAATCATCATGTTCACCTTCGGTCTAGGAGTCGGCGGTGCATATCCCGTCGTCGCCGCCGAAGTGTCCGCAGCGCAGCTTCGCGCCCATACGCAGGGGATTGCCTACATGGCTGGCGGCTTCTCAACATGGCTCTTCTCATTCGTCGTGCCTTACATGTTTAATACTGACGAGGGGAATCTGGGTGCGCGCACGGGCTTCGTCTTCGCGGCGCTGTGTGTGCTTGGCGCTGTCGTGGTGTTTATGGAGTTCCCCGAGACCAAGGGCAGGAGTTATCGCGAGCTGGATGAAATGTTTGATTGCAAGGTCCCTGCGAGGAAGTTTGGCGATTATGTATTTACGGAGGAAGGGGTGGGTGCAAAGGGGGAGGTATAGCGGCTAGGATGTAGGCAAGCTAGACAGCATCGTCGCCAAAAGCTGTGCCATTCTATCACAGCCCGAAAAATACCCCACGTTCCTAGCTGCCTGCTCGTATCCTCCTGATATATTCCAGGTAGGTAGGATAGATCTTATCTAAAATACCTAGGACTGAATTAACTTGATACTATCTTTAGATATAGCCTGGCTATATAGACCTGGTAGGTTATCCCCTTTACTAGAACTAGATATAAAATAATATAGGGTAAACCCGAGCGTATTCATATTGATTGGACTATAAAGCTCACAGTAGAAGACCAAGGCATGCCACCATGCACGATTGGCACCACAAGGGGGATATAACGGAAGCAAATCCAAGCTAAATGAGAGTAATATAAACATGTAACTTAAAGAGTGACTCTCCCGTCCCTGGAGGGATAAACAATCCACCAGCCTAGCATTCAAACTCAATCTTGCACTGAGCACCCGTAGAAATTCCAATACCGTAGAAATCACTATCAAGATCGCTAGGTGGCAGGCCATCGATATGGCCCATGCCATTGTAAGAGCCGTGGCATTCCCTGGAGAGACAAATCAGTATTTATACATGGCAGTCAAACAAAGGCGTTATTAGGGCATACTTGAAGGTATTGACATTGCAGGTACTAGCCCACCCAAATGTATCGACGAGCCCGTCACCCTCGATGTGCGCGAGGTCGGTGCAGGCACCCTCATCACCCTCGAGTTGGCCAATTTGATCGCCATCGCCGTTTAACAGGACGACTCCGCTCGATCCACCCTGGGGGCCTGCGCCAACCACGGAGCTGGTAGTCAGCCAGCCGACAGCAGAGCAGGTGGCTGCAAGGGTATTTGGGAGGCATGAAGCCATGAAAAGTGCTGGGACAATAGACTTGAACATATTGCGTAGGAAAGATAGATTTCAAGATTTAGGAAATTCAAGATGTAATAGAAGATCAATGCTTGATCGTGCTGGTGATGAAGAGCCTGGATAACTGCGAGAGCCGTGGTCTTTATATACCTGGATCTCGCATTGTATTTCTACAGAAATAAAGATTCCATACTTCGTATATTCTACATGTATCTGTCTATGAAGCTGGCCAAGCCTTCTTGGCCTGTATAATAACCCCTTTAAGAATGATCCTCGAGTCGTATCCGGTAAACCAGGATGCCCAGGCCTGTACGGGGCGGAATGGCGCTTCTCAAAGCTATCAGGGAAAGCCTGTGAAACTGGGGGCCGGGGCCAAGCACCCGCCCACAGCGAGTTGTTTTGGCATGTAGTGGGGGCCTGTTGTGATCAGCGGGGGCCATGCCTGCAGGCGGTGGTTGCGGAACGAGAGGCTGTGGGGATGATTGCACTCCAGCTCCGCCGTAGACGCGTAACCAGAGTACATCTTTCTTCGAAGTCAGGCTCTCCGTGTGGTTTGTAATGACCCCACAGATGATCCCAAGCAGAAGAGACCCTCAGGGCAGGAATCCTCGTCCAATAACATTTACATCGTATGTTAGCAGAGTCTGACACTGCGTAGTGGAGATTGGGGGCCAAGGTCGGTAAGGCTGACAGAGCTTCCGGCTCTATGTATTAGATATGCAGACCGTAGAGCCACCAATATCAGTCGAACACAGCTTGAGCCGACGGGAGAAGCTGGTCAACCAAAAGGGTTCCAACGAATTCCCATCCCTCCAGGTACCCCTGTCCGAACACAGTAATATATGGACAAGGAGTAACCATCCGAGTTAAGCGCACTGTTTTACACTACCCTGCAGGACTAGGTGAGGTCATAGTATATACAGGATTCGTACCAGACATGCATCTGGGTTGGGGCGGGTTGAGCCTTATCCCCCTAAACCGATCAGGTTAGGATCTTTCTAAACCCACCCCGAAATAGGCCCCGAAACACGCACTAAACCCAATATAATAGTGATATTTCCGAAATAGGATAGGGCTAATGATAATAGGCCTAATCCTAGTGCCTCGGCCTGAAGGGATCCGACGTCCGATCCCGTTCTCTGTCCGCTGATGCTGGTGACCTTGCTTTTGGCCTTCAGAGCCGGGGTATCCACCTGGACAGTGTTACCTTGGTGACATTCTATTTACTAGTATGTTCTTACACAGAGGGCTCCGTCACCTTGTAGTAGTGGTATGCGCCGCTATATGCGGGCGCCGGGCAAGTGTGCCTGAGGCAACTGCAGCCGCCACTTGACGTAGAGATGGTCCTCCGATTGTCCTCCTGGCGAGGACCAGCGATTAGTTCTGTGGAATAAGGCGCCCACCTTTCTGTTAAATTATTACCACCCACTGGTCTAGAATAGTTATTAACCTCCCAGGTTAACTATAGCTAGATTTAAACCTTGACTATCTATCTATAGAGTCTAGTTATACTATAAGAATATATATCTAGATAAGTATATTCCTAACTAGGCTAAAAGATTACTATAACCAGACTCTATAGTCCGGCCTGCCCAGATTACATCTATATAGTCTATATAGGTCGCGACATATAATTAGTTATAGGTGGTAGTAGTAATCTTCTATTAAAATTAGTTTCTGTAAGGCCCCCGCGGGTGCCTGGATTCTAGCTATGTCAACGTACTAAAAGAATCTGGTTCAACCAATCAGGTTTCTCCATTGGAAACAGAATGAATTGCTTAAGGATCTATAGAACTGGAGTATCTAGAGGTCTTATATAGAACCCCCCTCAAGGGTCGTCTCCGACAGTGGACAGGTGGCGGTCCTGACGCTTGACCACGCCAGGTCAGGCAGTTAGACTATTATACAGTTTCCTTTGGTAGATCCTTCCTAGTTAGGAATATGGGAGGCCTTTGTTGCCTCTGCAGGATTGTGATATATCCATAGAAAGGAAAAAGCGGGAGCAAGGAGGCAGGGACTGTTATGCAAGGCTGATGATACATGCCACAGGGGCCACGTCACGCGATATTTGGTGAAGACCGATTGATTCTCGTTATTGTTAAACCCCCGTTGCAGTCGCCGTGGATTGACACATAATAATTTCCTTCATACATTTATAAGATTATATGATGGTGTCTTGGATTATAGTACTTGGAATGACTGTCACTGCTATTGCTAGCCTGTTCAGGGCTGTAGATAGTAGATAATCCGCTCTATATTCTATCTTGATGACTGATAGTATAGTCAGGCGTGGAGAGGCTACTTAGAGTTCTGTTACTACTAGTAATTACTCTATATACCTTAAAATTAGACTTTTTTAATATATAATCCTTAAGCTGCAAGGCTACTATAGGATAGTCTAACCAGTAGATATAAAGAAAGATTATAAAGTATATCTAGCTAAGAGTATTAATAGCACTCTCGTGTCTCTTCTCAGTTTAAGCAGTAATAATTCTGATATTATAAATATATTTTCCTTAGGAAGGGCTATTTTATACTAGTTTAAATTATCTATTATATCTTTCTCTCTACTCTGTAGCAAGCTGTAGGGATCTACCCTTAAAATTAGCTAACTATTAGGCAAGATATTATTAGTCACAGAATAATATATACTGGTCTACTCTAGAGTCTATAGAAAAGTTACTCGGTAAATATTCTTAAAGTATAGATAATAGGGTTATATTTTACTCTTTCTTTCTAGGTACTGACACTCTAGGTAGGTAGTATACTATATTTTATATTTTCTCTTAATATAATAGTCCTGGATAAGATCTATCTACTTATCTTATTCTATACCTGGGTTCCTTTTACTATTAAAGCTAATAATATAACTCTTACTAATAATATTATACTCTAGCTGGATAATATATAGTTATACTATTACTATAGTACAGGCCTCTTAGTCTATAGCTATAATATAACTGGTATTTTACTATAGATAAGCTCTGTAAATAGTAAAAGCCCTTTTATCTAGGGTCAAGGAGTGGGATAGCATTTTCTAGGTCTATTACAGCTATTTAATATCTCCCGGGAGGCTGGGATACTGAGCCTAATATAGCTTATATATATTTAACAGTAATTTATTAACTTGGCTAATACTGTTATTTGCCATGCTAATCTAGAAACAGGTTATTAGTAGTAGATAATAGATTATAGTAGCCGAGAGAGTAACTTTATTAAATTAAGCGTGTTATTTATATTTATATATATCCTGTTGAAAATTGAATGACTAGGTTATGAGTTAGAGTGTGAAGAGCAAGCCACTAGCTATGGTAAAGTAGTAAAGAAATATTATTAATATCTTGTCAAGATAGCCTTGACCCTATACCAGAACGGGAGTATAGGATTAGATAATATTTTAGGAATAACCTGAATTTATAGAAATCTTTTATATCTAGTAGGGTCTGAGTGTCTGTTATTATATATTAATTATGCCTGCTTATATTAAATAGTATTATACAAGCAGGCTACTTGATATAAATAATATATACAGCACAGCATTATTCATTCTTGCAAGCCTGGAGTATAAGAAGATAAGAGTGTCCCAGCTAGGGTTTCACTAGCAGGCCGACCACTCCCTTCAATAGGAGTACCCAGCGGATTTCCACTATTGGGGGTGACTATGACTTGGTGTGTGCTTGCCAGCTGGTGTTTATTGAACGGTTTGATGAGACTCTTTTTATAAAGATTATAGGCCCGGGAAATAGTAAAATTAAGGCTTTATATAAAGCTTACTTACTTTAGTTAAAGGATTAGAGTAAAGATAAAAAATAATTAATTCTTTAAATTATTTTTTCCTAATTATAATACTAATATAATATAAGGGTCCTTGGCCTTTAGGGTTGTTGCGAATAGTGTGAAAGAGTGTAATACACCTAGTAAAAGGAATATAGAGGTTGCCAATAGTATATTCCAAGAAAGAAGGATTGTTATTAGATTAATGCTGAAGTTCTGAGTCTTCTCTCTTCGCGAAGCAAAGAGAGTTACCGAGTTAGCCAGAGGCTGACTCAGCCCTGCTCCTCGCGAGCAGGTAGAGGGTTTTGCGGAGGGTCTTCAGCAAAGCTGGTTTACAATAGCTCCCAATAACAGTCCTGCCCAAGTAGACCAGACCTTTCTATCTCACTTTCGGTCTGCTCAACGGCCAGTCTCTGCTGGGTCCGTTGTGCCTTCTTTCCATTTTTTTTTTTTTTTTTTTTTGTGTTTGGCACCGGCTCCACTGTTGGTATCGACACCGTCCCAAGGGTGAGGAGGTTCTTTTGCAGACGACCCAAAGACATTGGCTCAAACTTCGCTCTATCAGTTGTACAGAGGGTTATAGTTAGGAAAGAAAGATTAATACTAGTAAGAATAGGTTTCAAGACCCAGGAATGCTTGTAGGAGGATATATAAGATCTACGATCTTCCATAAAGATCCATCGTTATGCGTGATCAACCAAGCCCTGTAGCACACCACCATACAGAGTTCTACAAAGTTGTATACATATATATATATATATATATATTGTATCTCATTGAGAATACATCGCTAGTGCCTCTAATTTATATACCACTCGATCATAGCCCTAGAATATCTCAAAGGATTAGGAAGGCGGAATCTGTATTTAGAGTACCGTAATGTATTCTTCAGTCTTTGTGAGGTGACGCAAACTTTTGTCATACCAGTGTAGATCTTCGGGGGGTACACGATGTCAAAATGCCGCCAAGACAGGCGTTCAGGGGTGTATGGTGAGTCTTGAAGGAGGGATCGAGATTGAATCTCTGCATGTAAGTGGTGAAACTGATTTCGATCCAGACTGTCTATCGCAGCTTTGGCGCTGATCAGTTTGATTTTCAGTTTCCAAGGGTCGCAAAATCAGACTATTGAGTTTCCTGCCGCTTCCTATTCATTATCTTCAAATGTTCATCACTCCGCCGAGCTACCGATCACAGTAGGAGATGTGCCCATCGCAGTTCCACTCCTGCGCATTGACACCACGGTTTGCCGATCTATCCAGAATGCGAATGACGTGGCGAGCTGATATTGAGCTCGCCAGATAAAATGGGATCCATGACCACAATGCCCAACACAGTGAGGGCTCGCCCAAATCGTCGTTCGCGCTTAATGATTGCAGATGCATTTCCGTCGCTGGAGGTGCAAGAAGAAGGTCCCCCCTGCGGAAAGCGCAGAGACATCTTCTCTACAGGCCCCGGTTGGCAAATTACCGTCAACGCATCCCGCACCAGCACCAGCACCGGGACCCGAACAGCCCAGGCAGGCCGTACCGGGGCCATTGCCTCAGTCACCGCAGCCAAGTGAACCATCAAAAGAGATAGTGCCAGTCTCTGACAGCAAATGCCAAGATGTGACGGCGCATGTGAAGCAGCCTCCAGAAATGGACCCAGCGTTGATGGCGCTCTGGGTTCAGATTCAGGATCGAGTGCAGCAAATTGCGGCGCGGGAGAAGAAAACAGTCAACGAAAACCTGGAACTCGAAGACTTTATCGAGAATGTTGAACAGAAAGAGCCGCGCAAGAGAGACAAAGCGAAAGCGATTTTTGGCAACACCTTGACTGTTATCGGGAAGGTTGGCGGGATGGCCGCAGATGCGGCGTCGCAGGTAAATCATCCTCGGAATTTACAATTATTTTGCTTGATCGCGTGGCACATATGATTAATCCACGAGTTGATAGGTATTTGCACCCGCGGCGCAATGCTACAACGTCATCAGCTTCCTTATCGACGCGTATGAAGGCTACCAGGGTGCGTTTGACGGACTGGGGGAGCTGTTCGAAGAATGTACAGATTATCTCAATCGCCTGCACTCCTACGTCAAGGGGAAAATGGACGCCAGGTTAACCAAGATAGCGGTCCAGCAGATGGACTTGTTTGTGAGAGTCTGCGACGCGGCCTTGGATCTGCGCTACTCCTACGGTGAAAAGATCAAAACGGCGTTAAAGGTCATGTTTTTGGCAGACGACGGCATCCAGCCTTTGCTGGGCCAAATGGCCAAGCTCGTCAACAAAGAGCGGAATCTGGTCGCTGCTGAAACGTTTCTCTTCTCCCGCGAGGCAGCAGATGCGGCCAAGGAAGCACTGGATGCGACCAGAAGGGTCGAAGTCGCTGTGTCTGCGATTCATGCGCAAGGAAAGGACGCCAATAGGGAGACCACGATCAAGAAGGCCCTTGGTCTTCCAGGGGAGCCGGAGACTCCCTGGCGCCTCCGCTACCGTGATTATTTGCGTCACAGACTGCGAGAGACAGGACAGTGGATCTTCAACGAGCCAGCATTTTCTAGCTGGGAGACAGGCCAATCGGAAACCAATATTCTCGCAATCGAGGGAGGAAATGGCACTGGCAAGAGCTTTCTGTCGTCGGCGATCATCCACCATTTTCTGCACAAGAAAGAAGCCACACAAACGGACCGCCGAGTTGCCACCGCATATTATTTCTTTGAAGGATCAGAGCGCGATGAATTGAAGGACGCAAGAAATCTCGAGACTGCGGCTAAGTCCCTTGTCTGGCAGTTCACGCAGGCCGAGAGGCAGTACATGAAGTCTGTGGCGAGGATCTGTGCAGCGACCCAAGAGATCGATCCCTCCTCCATTTCCAGCGATCTTTTGTTCGAGAATGCAGACCTGCTCGATATGGACGTCATGTTCTATATTGTGATTGATGGTCTGAGTGGTAAGATGGGACAGGGCATGCAGCGGTTTCTGAAACGTGCATCCAATGTGAAGGCTGGTCAACGTGTCCGAGTACTATTGACGGTCGACCCCCAGTGTTCCCGGCATCTGGATACTGTCGATAGCATCTCTTTTAATTCTATTTCTCTCAGTTCGAAAAACCGTCCAGACGTGGAAAGAGTTATCGAGTCGAGAATGGATTCCATGCCCACCCTGCGTGATAAAGCACGACCCGGGATATCACAGCTTAGGGCCAGAGTCTGTGAGGAGCTCTGTCGAGTAACAGACGGTGATTATTTCCGCATCAATCTGGCCCTTGACGATATCAGCAAGCGGCAGTACGAGTCTGCTATCGTGAATGCTCTCAAGAAGGCAGGAGACGGGCGTATCAAGCAAATCAGGAATGAAATTGAACGCCTGAACCACAACTGCTCGGAGGCAGAGATTTCCGAGATCAATGAGATCATCCTTTGGATCCGACGGTATCGCGAGAATTTAACTGAAAAGCAGATGACTGAAGCTTTACGAGCAGCTGTTGGCGAATCGTCCCTGTTGACGCTAGCGGATAAGATCAGGGAGAATTACCCTGTGTTCAAACTTACCAGTAAAGGCGAAGTGGTTTTCCGTGCTCCTGAGGTTGAGGACTCCATCCCCGACAAGCGAGATCTGTCCTCTGCACGAGAGCAGGGTGGCCCAGGAGCAGCAGTGTCACCGGGTGAGACGGCCATGGTCAAGCACTTCCTGTCTACAGTCTGCCCACCCGAAACATACCTTAAGCTAGACCTGGACAACTTCCTCAAAGACAAGAGGCAGGATCGGAGAAATCGAATCTACAAAGACGATCCAACCTTCGAGGAGGCCAAGATGGCGCTTACTTGTTTGCGCCTGCTCACTGGAGAGACAGAACATTCGAGTGCAGCTCTCGTATCGTACGCCAGAAGCAACCTCAAACAGCACCTGTCTGCTGTCAACATGGCGCTCGTGGACGTCGAATGCAAGAGGCGTTTTGGGCCCCTCCTGATCAAACTCTTTACTAATCACAAATCCATCGACATCGCAATGGATAATGACGACGGTGGCGAGGCTAAACAGCGCCTCATCGCCGCTAGATTGATGCTCGGCGACGGCTTCACTGCACTCATTCTTCGTTGGTTCGGTGATACGGCGGTCGGACTCGATATCAGTGATGAAGATCGGAATTGGATCACCGGTCTGCATGATACTGATGGCCATCAAGAGTTGTTGACGCCAATTGTGACGCGGATGGCCATTCATTTATTGCAAGAGCCGCACTTCAATCCACTCCTATTGAGCGCCTTTGGATTCATCAAAGAATTTTTACAAAAGGTTAGTAATCAGTTTTGATCTCTTCGTGAAATAGCTGTCTGAAACACTGTTAACATTGTCTATAGTTTGAACCCGACTACCTCACGCCGTTTACCAGCCCCGTGGAAACAGTTCCAGCAATTGAACAGTGGTGCGAGGAATTATTGAAAGTGTCAAAGACTTCAGTGTGGCACACGCAAATTGGCAGCCTTCTTCAACTAGGAAAGAACAATCAGGCAGCGGAGGACCGGGCCCGCAGAGCCTTGCAGATAGATCCGAATGACTGGAGAGCATCGACTTTGTTGGCTTGTCTGGTCAGCCCTCGCGATGGAATAACAATCCTGAAGCCAGCCGCAGAAGCTCTTGAGTCCAGTAGCGAATGGAAGCTATCATCTCCTCATCGAATGGGACTCGCCAAGATGTTGTGCATTCTTGCGGAGCTCAGCTGGCATGAAGGGCACACTGATGCTGCCATCAACTTTTGGAACAGGGCGGTCGAAGTTGATTTCACTGACTACGTGCGCGAGATCTTTTGTTTACGTTTCTTGGCGAGCCAGGAGAGATGGCCCGAGATCATGAAGATTTTGGGCAAGATACAGGAGGAATCTACGGAGCAGCTACAGGGTCTATCTGAATTGATAGCCCTTAATGGTGGTAAAGCATTTCCTCATCCGATAGCGTTGCAAGCTGCTCTTCATACAGAACAACTGGAGTTCTTAGTTTCAGCTTACGAGCGCGCAGTTGAACTCGTCGAAGAACGTGGGGAGCGCAACACAGAATGCCGGCTTCTGTATCATTGTGGACAAGCAACCCATGCGCTGCAGAACGGCTCGTCCAAGGCAAACAAGCACTGGCGTCGGGCCCTTAGCAGCGCCGGCAGCGTTGACAAGTACCTCTTATCGTCACTGATCAGTATTATCGCGCCATACTACGCACGAAAGGCAGACGCTTCGGGGCCTGATACCGAATCAGTCTCGGATTATCTCAAGAGGATTGAAACACTCCTGCCCGAGGGCACCCCGGAGGGTGATGTTCTCGTTCCTCCGAGGCTCTACATTGCTCGGTATCACTGGCGCAAGGGCAACCAAGTCAAGGCCAAGCAGATCGCTCGAGACAGCGTGAAGCTAAGTCTGGATATCCTCTCTGACGGCGATGAAGGGAACGATCTTCCAGCCTACAGCCAGCTCCTATCAGTATTTATTGCCTTCGGAGACATGGCAAACCTGATGGCAACCAGGGCGCTGATGGAATTGAATTTCAAAGGGCAGCAGGTGCTCGGATGCAACGGCTGGTGCAATCGCGTCTGGCAATACTCGGAAAAGACGCAGTGGTGTCAAGATTGCATTAACGCGTCCTTTGAGGACGAGTGTGCTCAAAAGATCGAACAGGATGCGCTCCCAGCTGCGGTGTGTGACAGTACGCATCAATTTCTGCGCGCCCCTCGGTTGGATGACTCCGTGGAACTCACCCCATACCGAATGGTGCCGTTTGAAGGTGAAGAGATCACATTTGATGATTGGTTGGGCCGCATCGAGAAGGAGTATGTCAGTTTCGAGAATTGAAAACCGCGGCAACGCTCCCACTGTATGATATACTGAAATCCATTGGATAAACATTTGAACAATGAAGCGGACTTCAATTGTTTAATATATATGTAGTCGCGTACCTAGTAGCTACTTTGGTCGGGTATATATATTGATTTATATAGCTATCACCCCACGAAGTACAAGACTGCTCCATCCTTTCAGCTCTCCTGGGTTTCAAGCTCCACCCTATAGATCTTATTCCTTCCGAAGATATACAGCCATCTCCCCGCCCACGCCATATTCACGGCCACATCGTCACGATCAACCTTGATCCTCCCCAACAGCGTCCCCGCGCGATCAAAAACATCCACAGCCCCAACAACAGCGCCATAAACCCTCCCTTCGTGATCCGTCTTTATCCCGTCAGGAAATCCCGCATCAGCATACGCAAAGATCTCCTGATTCGAAATCCCGCTCTCGTGCACGTCGTATGCATAGATCGTCCGACCTCCGTGTGGATCTGAGCTCGACTCCCCCCGGTTCGTGATGAAGAGCTTATTCTGATCGCTGCTTAGTGCGAGCCCATTAGGATTGAAAAATGAGCCCTCTGCAGCGCCGGCTACCATTTTTATGTTCCCGCTTTGCATGTCCCACCGGTACACGCCGTTTGCAAGCTCGGGGAACAGCGTATCGTTGAAGTTATCGTACCCGTAGTAACCGTCTGTGAAGAAGGCGACGCCGCTCTGGGATATTACGACGTCGTTGAGGGAATTGAACCGGTGGCTGTAAAAATTGTTCTTTACTATTTCTGTCTTCATTGTGGTTGGGTCCATTCGTACGATCGCGCTGGGCGTTGTGTAGTTGCCTTCATGGGCCCAGTAGACGGAGCCATTGAAGTACGTGGCACCGTTGGCGATGGTGAGTGGCGGATCTGGGTAGGCCTTCTGGACGACCGGAGAGGAATGGTTTGAGATATCAATTTTCCACACGTAGGGAATCGCTTGCATGCCATAGCCAGGTCTGGGGGAAAATAGCTCCGCGACGAAGATCGTGTCCGTCTCGAGGACGTACACGGAGCCGTCGTGAATCTGGCGTTGAGCATAGTTGGGGGGCGCTGGGAAAGTGAATATTTCTTCAACTATTTTCTGTTCGGTGTGGTTTGCTATTCCGAGGAGCTGTGTACGTGTTAGTCCATGGGCAAGTATGTAGTTACTATATGTATAGAGCGTCGATCCTGGGAACGAACCTTGTAGAAAGCATCGTCGTAGACGACGAACGAGGCATTCGCAATTGTCTCTAGGTCCTCTTCGATCTCCGAGTAGTCAGGCTCCGGGAGAAGGTCTGTTTCCCAGAATGGAACCGTCACGTTACGGTTGAAGTTCTTGTAGGGAAAGACATCATTCCACGGTTTGGTGATTTTCACCACGTTGGGACCGACGAGAAGACCGCCGGCAACAGCGAGGGTAGGAAGGAGCAGAAGTGACATGAGTCTCATAGTGGCTGTCCCGGATGCGCGAGGGTGTGGTTGTTGTTCTCAGGAACATACCCTGGGGGAAGCTGGTAGTTTTATAGGGTTGTAACTATGTGAAGCTGTTCGGCATCTTACCGGCCGCACATTTTGATTGTCGGAACTATCAATCTTGGCCTTGCGTAGAAGGTCCAAGCGCTTTGCTTACTTTAGTGGCATCTAACCGTGGCAATGCGTTCGGGCGAAAAGGATTGAAATGGAGTTACTGCGAATTCGGCATTACCTTTCGCCAATCTTCTTCGTCATCTCGAACCCTAATTAAGATAGAGATAACAAGCTTTTTTATTTGAACCCAGCCGTCATTGCTCAAGGCCATTTGAACGCTGCCTGTTGGTAGCGGCGTATGGCTCATCTTCCAGGCATACTCACAGCACAAATCTATACATAGGATGCTCATCGCCTTGGTCCGCAATATCAAGCGGCGCGTAGCGCGCATCACTCGCTCCAAACTCCCGATCTCGCCGTCGATTCTCGAGTACCAAGAGCTGTCGCAGTACAAGGGAAAGCGTGGCAGCGGCAAAGAGAACCCCCGCACAAATCCACATGCCGCGCGAATATATAGGGCCCTCACTAGACGGGAAAATCCGAGCTCCAAGAAGCGGGCCGCATTGTCCAATCATGCCAAAAATCGCTAGCCCAACGCCTCGTTTTGACGATGAACCTTGGTTATCTGTTACCCATGTGAACGTAAGCGAGACTGCGGGAAATACTCCGGCGCAGACGAGGAAGGTAGCGAAGAATCGGACGGCGTTGGTGGAGACCAAAGCCAGAATAACGTATCCGGCGCCTCCGACCAAGGTGAAGAGGGAAATGAAGAGGCCTCTAGTCTGGCAATAGTCGGACGCAAAGCTGATTCCCACACAGAAGAAACACGCTGAAAGGTACGGGATCGCCGAGAAACCTTCCGCCCGGGTGGGGGAGAATCCCATGTCTGTTAGGATGGTGGGCAGGTAGGCCGGGAGTGAGCCGAAGGCAGTGTTCAAGCAGAAGATAATTGCTGCCTGAAGGTAGTTTTTGTAGTCAGAAAAGGCAGCAAAGGCTTGTTTAAAGTTGATATTCTTCTGATGGTCGTTGCCACGGGCAATTACTGCGCGTTGCCCAATAATTTCGTTGTGGCGGTCATCGAGAAATGGACATTCGAACGGGCCATTGGGCAAATAGAGGTATGCCATAGCGGCAAGAATGATCGTGGGTGCTCCCTCTGAGATTAATGCGTTAGTCCATTATACCACTTCACCACAACGGGCCGGGGTACCAATGAGAAATATAAGCTGCCAGTGCTCGAGGCTAGATCTTGCATGGACAACACCGTATGCAATCGCCGAGGCTATTCCATTTGCCAAGGGAGCGCACGACATGAACAAGCCGTAACGTAGCCCCATCTCGCGACGATGGTAGAAGAAGCTCAGGTAGAGAGCAACTGCAGGAACAAATCCCGCCTCGAAAATACCGACCAGAATGCGCAGCACAAGCAGGCCTGCATAATTCACCGTCGCCGCCTGGATCATATCCATCGAGCCCCATCCAAGTGCCATCAAGGCCGCCCATAGCTGTACATATCAGTTCCGTCTCTCACTTGATATAGGTAATGAACTGCTTACAGGAAGAGGAACTACTTTCCATGCCAGGATCAGCTATTCACTCGTCAGCTTTACCTTGAGCAATTTAGCGGTAGTGCCCACAAACCCAGTGAAAACATATATAAGCAATGTAGTAGACGGTGACGACCATCGAGTACTGAGCTGAGGTCATACCCCACGCTTTGCCCATGCCAGCCGTTTTTGCATTGCCGATGTTGCCCCTGTCCATGTACGAGCAAAGGTATAGACCACCGAGCCTGTGAGCGAATCAGCGGGACTGGTTGGCTTCCAAGAATACCAAGGATACCAAGACGCGGGATACGAACAATGGAATTAGATGCCAATCTAGTCGCCGGAGCGCTTGTTTCTCTTCTTCCTTGCCCCATCTCTCTTGCACGGACTGTTTCGCTGGCGCTGCGGAATCAACGTTCTCCAGGCACTTAACCTCTCCCACTTGTCTCGTGCTTTTCGCCATTGTCATTGTCTCAATTGTCAAGTCAAGGAGCTATCGCCCTTCTTCATGTATTCCTAAATCAAGTTATTTAACGAGCATGGAAAACTTAGTCAAGGCTCGGAGTCAGACCGAGGATTTGTTGGCGGTATGTTGCCGAGCCGGTGGGTACAAGTTGTACAAGTATCCGGCAACTTTCCGCCGTTGGATTCAAGGTGGAGATCGTACTCCAAGTTTCGTATGTCGTTACGTAGGGAGAGTTGGAGCCGGGGTTAGAACTTGTCTTTTACTGGAATTGCTGTCCGAAGGGACTGCAATAAGCCATGTCCGGCACAAATCCCCCGCCAAAATCATCCAAATACCACCCCAGGGAGGCTGGGTCCAGCTCCAGTTCAGAGTGCATCATCCCTTGCATGCTTTCCCACAGTCCTGACTCCAGCGGGTCAGCTCCGGTGTTGTTCTCTGCTGGGTTGTACACGTTTTGCTCCTCCACCGTAGACACAGGTGTGTGCAACGGGTGCTGAGTGCTCTCGATTGTAGCATCCTGTACATGATCCGACAGCTCCATCCCCTGTGACAGTGTGGTATGCGGGATTTGCGTCTCAGAAGACCACTGGGGACCAAGGTGCGAACGGATAATCTCTACACTCCGCTTAATACCGGGGGTTTGTTTGACTTCCGTTTCGAGCATTTGCAGGGTGATTGTTAAGCGGCCCGCGGCCATGTCGGCAACTGTTTTCTCATCGTGCTGCATAAGACGGACGTCAATAGTGGCCGCTGTGTAGACACAGTAGGACACCAGGTAACTCTGGTACTGAAACGCAAACAGCCTCCCGTATGTTCGGAAGAGTTCGTTGACGGCCATGGTCTGTTCTGTGCAGACCTCCTGTGCCCGCAGTGCGAGGGGATGTTCGCGCAATTTTGCTTCCCATCTCCAAGTGAAAAACGGCCGGTAGATCAATATTAGGATCGTATGGTAGAGGATACTATTTATTCTCAGTGATCGTAACAATAATGCAATGGTCGAAACTCACTTTAAGCACAGGATATGAGGTGGGACGCAAGATTGCAGGTTTGCCGCATCATCCACACGGAGAAAGCTGGGCAGCTGCTCGTGGAAACAACGAAGCTTCTTCTCAAGTCTGAATATCGCAGCAGGGTTAATGTTGCGAACGTCCTCGCTGTATACAGTATTGTAGCTCTCGTTTATAATCTGAAAACTCATCAGCTGAGGGTCCTGGGTGGATGGGAAACCAGCCCATACCGCTCCAAGTTTACACAAATACTGGAATGTCACTGTGCTGTGGCACTTTGTCGGGGGGTAGATTTTGTCTGTCTCTAGCAGGTGTGGCGGCTGCCATATGTCCTCCTCGTCGGATTCGTCGACTGTTACGGTCCGGATGGTCAGCATGAGATTCACCACCGGTATGACTGGGCGTTTGGGAACGGTAGAGAACCAAAGAGAAATGGTACGCACATAGCGACGACGGTGTATAAGGCATGTCTCTTAAGGATGGCGGACGTCCTAGACAGAGACTGATTGATCTTTTTAGATGTGTCAGTCATATACTGGCGACGCACTCGCTCGATAGAAGGCTCACTTATCCCACGCAAACACAGACAGGTATAGTCGCTTTCGTACTTCGAGATCGTCCGGCTCCATATTCCTCATACTAAACTTGGTTCTCTTCAGGTGTAACCCAAGGTCGGTGATCATTCGAATGGCCTTCAGAAATCAGCGAAAACAAACATGCAGGGGATCCTAAGGTGCTATTACCATTCCTGTATATAGCCAGCCCTCGCTACTTTTACCTACCGCGCATTGTCTGCCACCCAGGATTAGAAGACCTTGGATGGTCGGTACTCTAGGCCTGGTTTGTTTCATCTCGTCAATCAGAAGCAGCATCGCTTGTTGTAGGAACGTTTCTCCCCTCTCAAAAGGTGCAAACCTAGGGTCATTGTCTGGCATATGTCGGCATGCGTGCGCCAGGATCGCGTTGAGCAAGAATTTGGAGAAGTAGGGCCCTCCGAGGGCCATGTCGCGGAAGAAGACTAACGTGCTTAACATCCTACCGTTGTAGAGGTCCAAGATGGCAACTTACGTCGTCTATAGACATAGTTATGAAGAGGCGCCTGCCATGCCCAATACACCTTCAGAAGGCTGGAGCAAGTAACGGGATCAGCTTCCGTGTAGAGATGAATGTTAGTATACGCTGTTCTCTCCCAAGATTCCTGGAAGGGCGCATTAGAATGCAACCACTTTTTGTGATAAACCTCCATCTCTTGGATTTCAGTGGCTTGGGTATCTGATTGCTCAGCGACTTGCGCCCGGCCATCTGAGAGCGCATGGAATCGAGATGTCGCTCCAAAGTATTGTTGCTGGAAGGCGATCAGCGTATTTTCAGGGAAACAGCGGGCGACAAACTAACTCTCCCTTCCACGTCGAGGCTGTCAATGGCACCGCCGTCAAACGAAATCTCATCATGTAGAGCCAGTCTATCGTGCTCAGCCGGCGAAGGACTGAGCTCCATCGACTGCCGAGCATGGTTATCCGATTGACGCTGTCGCAGCTGAAGGACAAGCTCTGTAAGGCGGCTGTCTCTTGCAGTCGAATCGAGAGTTGCCAATTCTTCAATTTGGTTTTCTAATTCTTGCACGCGCGCCTTGCATAGTTGCAGCTCATCAGCCAGACGCGACACAAAGACTGACTGGTCTCTATAATGGCAGGTCGCCCTTGACCGCGTACAGTTGACGCAAGTGGGTCGTCGTCCATCGCACTTGACCTTCCTACGGCGGCACTCGAGGCAGGCAAAATCGTATTTGCGTACTTTCGCGCGCGACGAGCCCATCGCTGCAGACATGGGTGTTTGGAAGAGAATGGGCGTGGCTGTTGCGGGGAACTGCAGCTTGTGAAGAGTCTCCGCCGCCTTCCTATTTGGTTTGCCAGTCTATTGGGTGAGCGTCAGATATTGAAAGCCCAGTTAAGAATGTTTTGGGGGCAAACATTTGTTTAGAAGCAGAGATTCCGTCAAGAGACTGCATATGTATTCCCGGGATCGGTAGGCCACTCTGCGACCCGCATGGTCACTTATGGTGCTGTCCCTACGCTCATTCCGTCTATCTGTCTTGGATAATAGCCAGAACTTCTGTGATTCTGTGCGTATAGTAGTCAAAATATTTCTTTTTGATCTTCTTATTCATTTACTTGTTTTATTTTTATTTTTGGGGTTTTTTTTTTTTTTTTTTTTTTTTTTTNTTTTTTTTTTTTTTTTTTTTTTTTTTTTGACTGTTCAGCATATATATATATACAGATATGTATCTCGAGAGGCGCACATGTATCGGCAATTCCGTAATTCTGAGCCCTCAAATCCGTCCATCCAGGGAGTCCGCAAACCCTGTGCCTACTATTCCCACCCCTCTCTAACTCACAGAATGAACCTGAAGCCAGGATGATCATCGCCGGAGTTGACCACCTCGTCCGGCATCTCTCCAACATCTACACTCCCATTCTCTGCGTCCCGGCGTTTGTTCTCCCTGCTCATCGAATACCTCAACACCTGCGCCAGCAGCGCGGCAAAAAACAACAACCCAGCACTGATCGCCATCCCCTTCACATATAACGGCCCTTCTTCCTTGGGGAAGAACCGTGAGCCCGCGATTGAGCCTGTTTGGCCGACCATCCCGAAGATCATGAGCCCAGCCCCGCGTTTCGAGGCAGAGCCCTGGTTATCGGTAACCCAGGTAAATGTTAGTGCGACGGCTGGGAAGACACCCGCACAGATGAGGTATGTTGCGAAGTAGCGAACGCCACTGGTTTCAACCAGGGCTTGCACGAGGTACCCGATCGCGCCGACGGTGCTGAGAGCAGTCAGGAAGTAAGAGCGGTTGCCCAGCCTATCAGACGCGAAGGAGGCTGCCAGGCAGACAAAGTATGAGGCTAGATAGGGAGGTGCGGACAGGCCTTGGGCTTGTACGGAGGAATAGCCGATGTCTTCGATAATGGTCGGGAGAAATGCAGGGAGAGCGGCGAAGGCAGCCTGGAGGAAGATAGATGATTAGCATCAAACTTGGTGGGTTTGCGGCGAGGACGTACATTCAAGCAGAAGATAATGACAGCTTGGAAATAATTCTTGTAGTCGTAGAAAGCGGCAAAAACCTGCTTAAGGTCCAGCTTGCCCTTTTCTTCGTGGCCACGCGCTTTTAGGGCACGCAGGCGGACGATTTCATTCTCTGGCTTTGTGAGGAAGTGGCATTCGCCCGGGCCTTTGGGGAGGAACATGTACGCCAGTGGTGCGATTAAGATAGTGGGAATGCCCTCTGGGAGAACAATTGATGGTCAGATGAGCCAGCCATACGACAGAGAGTAGACTCACCGACGATGAACAGCAACTGCCACTGAGCAAGCGATGTCCTCGCATGCACAATGCCGTAGGCCAATGCCGACGCAAAGCAGTTGGCGATTGGCGAAAAGGAAATGAACAAACCATATCGGAAGCCCATTTCTGACCGCTGGTAGAAGAATGACAGGAAGAAGGCAACACCAGGGGCGAACCCGGCCTCAAAAGCCCCGATCAGACACCGCAGTGCGATCATCCCGGCGAAGTTTGTCGTCGCTGCCTGCAGAATACTGGCAGCGCCCCATCCGAAGGCCATGATAGCGACCCACATCTAGACTGAGGGTAAGCAACTGCACGCCTTGATCGGGGGGGGACAAGAACTCACTGGGAGCGAAACCAGCTTCCATAGCAGGATAAACCAATGGAAGGCGATGTAAGCAATGTAGTACGCAGTGATGATCCAGGAGTACTGGTTGGAAGTGATGCCCCATTCCTCACCCATACCAGCCGTATAAGCGTTTCCAACATTTCCTCTGTCGATATACGACAGCATGTACAGTACACCAAGCCTGTGGCTGTCAGCACAAGCATCACAAGGTCAGAGTCAAGGGCTCGAACAAAGGGATCAGATTCCAATCCAACTTGCGGAACGCCTTCGTCTTCTCTGCGTCCGAGTACTGAGCAAGAAGGTCACCGGCCGAAGCATTTTCGCTATGTTTAACATCTTCCATGTCCTTAACAAGATCTCCGTTGTCGTGGCCGATCTCTTGAGTGGCCATTTTGATATCACGTTGTAATAAGACGAAGTGTATTGGAGATGAGAAGCACGGCGCTTGTTGGAACAGACAAGTAGACCGTCCTTACTCGTCTTTATATCTCCCGCGGAGGGAAGTGGATGGACTGGTCCCCTCCACCGAGAAATTCGCATTTCCGGGCGTTGGCAGGGTCAAGGAATCCGGGGTCAACCTGGGGACGAAAGCGAATGAAGGGATTGCTTGACCCGTGCCAAGTCTCGCCATCTTACCGTATATTGACACTGGCTGTCGGCATGATTCCGGGGAGCCTACAATCCGTTCGAGATGCTGCACGTAAGTCCCACGTGCGTGTCCTCTCGTTTGCCTGCTGCGGGGTATTAACCCAAGTAGACTATCTGGGCCATCTATACCGCGGAGTTAAGCCGTCATGGTCCAAGGGGGGAAGCATGCCTGCTTGATTGATTTCCTGTATTAAGCGGCGGAAACTGGATATTGACATAACTCTTTGCGAATCTCGGCACCGAATTGGCATCAGTCTAACTAACATCTGTCTATTTCCCTCGCTAAAAGACCGCAGTAGCATTTGGTGGACTGGCAACCCCTCCGGGCAGGTTCAACGGTTGGCTAGTCAACAAGAAAGTCCACCGATTCATCTTCTTACAAGTCTCGCTGAGCTCCTCCAGATCCCAGCACTCCCCAATTGGCGTGCCCCAGCCGCTAAGCAGCACCTCGTGCATACACACGCCCCAAGACCTTGGGGACGGCCAGGCCTCGTAGGCAACTGTATCGCTGGCCACGGCTGCAAACTGCTGCTCCCAGTGCCATCGAAAGTAGTCCTCTGTGGCTTCAACTCCGATCGATGCGCGATCATCGCGACCACCGAGTCTTTCTTTTTCCTCCGTGCTTAGTTTTGAATATGCCGCTGTCCAGCCTGTGCGGATTATAAGGACGTCACCCCTCCGGAAAGTAACACCTTGCTCTCGTGCAACCTGTAGTAACTGCTCTAGTGGGATTGCTTGGTTGGTAAATGCCCGGTGCGGTAAGCCATTCCTTAACGCGAACGAGTACCAATCCACAAGGACTCCGCGAGTCACTATCGGGTTTATTGCGACGTCTAGAAGTGCTTATCAGATTCCGCGTGGGGAATGCAATATCGGCTCTCCGACTTACTTTGAATCCCTATCCTTTCTGTCGCTAGCAGCTCCTCCTGTGTAACCCCATTGTAGAATTGACCCGTTTCCTTGTACGGGAAATGTCGGAGTCCATCCCAATGGCTGGAGCTCTGCGTGTTGAAGTCGAGCTGTAATATCTTCGGTGTAAGTATACATTACATTTCTAGGCAGCAGGCATCCCACCTCGTCGTCATTGGCATGCCCTTTGGCGATGAAGGTATGCACACACGGCTTCCTGCGGGGATTCATCGGTTTGAGCGGCACGTCCAACGGGAGGCTGGGTGGAATGCAGTCAGTGCTCAGCCCAAATACTGTAAGGCGATGGAAGTCAAATGTACTTCAGGTTAACTGATTTCCCCAGGGCAACCTCCGCCGCGGCCGACCGGCTGACATCCTCCGTGATCAGATTCAGCGAGCCAAGCTCATCATCCTTGCCCCAGAGCTGCCAGGCAGACCCCTTGGGATCTCCTTTGCGTAGTGGCAATTCGCTGAACGCCGGCCTTGAAATGGTGGTTATCGGGGCCGCTTTGAACTGGGCTTCGGTATCCGGGAGACTGGCTTTACCGAGCACCTTGAGCATCCAGTGAATCACTGATAGGTACGGTGGTGACATTGTGACTCTGCCAGAAGAAGATGATGCTCTTGTTTGACGGTCTTGCCGTATTCTTTAGTATTCCCGCGTGTGCACGCGGCCACCTGTCGGTAAGATGCCGGATGCGAGTCGGCATCATTCCGACGATCCCCCAGCGCACGATCATATTTAGACACGGCGCGATCGCCAATCTGCACGTCATGCCAACCCGCGACCATGGCTTCTGAATTCAGCATCCTCACGCCAAATGCCATGCTTGGCTATGGCTACAGGGCAGAGCACTTCTGGTATGGCGTCGAGAAGTTCTCGCCCAAGGCTATCATCGTGGATAGCGGTTCGACGGACGGCGGCCCCTACAAGCTCGGCTTGAATAAGATGACGTGCGGTCGTGAATCTTATGTTCGTGATCTAACACCCATTCTCCAGGCCTGCTTTCACCACAAGATTCAAGTCCTTATTGGATCAGTTGGCGGTGATGGTAGCGACAAGCATGTGCAGGAGATGTTTGAGATTGTCCAGGAGATTGCAGCCAAGGAGGGCTTCTCATTCAAAGTTGCGACCATCTCTGCTGGCTTCAACAAGGCAATGCTTACAGAGCGCATCTTGAACAAGGAAGTCGGCCCCTGTGGTCCGGTCGAGGCGTTGACTGCTGACAGCGCCGAGAGGGCGATTGATATTGTCGCTCAAATGGGCGCCGAGCCGTACGTCTCATTCAGTGATAGATGCTTAGGAGGGGACTCTCTAACTGGAGTAACAGGTACCTTAAAGCTCTGGAATCCAAGCCAGATATTATCCTCGGCGGTCGCAGTTATGATCCGGCCCCTTTCGCTGCCTTTTCAATATACCACGGCATAGAGCCCGGTGTCGCCTGGCACATGGGCAAGATCATGGAGTGTGGTGGAATCTGTGCAGTCCCCAAGGGCCGGTCCATGATTGCAACCATGCGCCATGACTCCTTCGACCTGACGCCACTGTCCCCCCGGGAGCGATGCACTCCTCTCTCGGTCGCAGCGCATACGCTCTATGAGAAAACCCGCCCTGATCGCCTGCCTGGCCCTGGTGGTGTTCTCGTGCTCGACGACGCTTCTTATGAGCAGTTGACTGAAAAGACTGTGCGTGTGCGTGGCGCAAAGTTCATTCCCAGCACTGTATACCAGGTCAAGCTCGAAGGCGTTGAGAAGCTGGGATACCGCACTATCTTCATTGGAGGCATCCGAGACCCTATCTTAATTAACCAGATTGATGAGTTCCTGGATGAGGTACGGGCCTATACCCAGAAGCTGTTTCCAGAGCTCGACCAGTCTCCTCAGTGTCGTCTTATCTTCCACTTCTACGGTCGTAATGGCACCATGGGTCCTATCGAACCCTTGCCGGTCGCGGGCCATGAACTTGGAATTCTAGGAGAAGTCGTCGCTCCGTCACAGGAGCTGTCATACACCATTGCCAACAATGCCAGAGCATCGATTTTGCATATGCCGTATACCGACCAGGTTTCTACCACAGGCAACTTTGCCTCTCCATTATCACCACATGAGACGCCGGCAGGTCCTGTATTCCGATTCAATATTTATCACCTTGTGAACCTGCAGAAGGGCGAAGAGGCTTCATTATTCCCCATCAGCCTGACTACCATTGATAATGAATCTCACGGCTCCCCGTGCCCCGGCCTGACACACGAGGAGAGGAACCAGCTTGCCACCGAAACACTGCAACCACTTACACAGAAAGCTATCCCTCAGGAAGAGTGCAAGATGCTGGAGATTGCCAAGATCATCCGATCGAAAAACTCGGGACCTTTCGAATTGACCTTTGATATCATGTTCGACAACGAAGATGCGTATAGAAGAGTCAGGGATGCCAAGATCCTCACCAACGACCGAATTATGCAATTATACCACCTCAAACATGAGGACATAATTACGAACATGTTCTTCGAGTCAGCGCTAGCTTGGAAGTGCACGATTCGGCGACCATGGGAGCAGGGGACTGTTGGTGAACGCGATACCCTGGGCACCCAACAGCATGGCCCACTGCTGAGCATTACAGTTCCCAAGGCGAGCAATAATAACGTCCAATCACGGCGAACATTCACTGCGAAGGACAGTGTAGCGTATATTTGGAAGACACTCGGTCTACCTACCGAATCCCTGGGCCACCTGCATCTCCCAGGCGAAGGACTGGGACTCCCGTCCTCCTTTAAGATCGCTCACCTTGCTCAAGCCTCTATTGGGCTTTCGGCCCTTCTGGCAGCGCAGATACATGCCCATAGAAACTCAACCCTGACCCCTGCTGTAACATTACCTCTGCAGCATGCAGCTATCGAGTTCAAGTCTGAACGTCTGTATACTTTGAACGGCAGGCCAGCACCCTCTCCCTGGGGCCCGATTGGTGGCCTGCACAAGGCCGCTGACGGCTATGTTCGCCTTCATGACTCCTTTCCTAACCACCGAGATGGCGCAAAGGCTCTCTTAGGCTGTCCAGCAGGTGCTCACCGCGAGGAAGTCTCCGCTAAGATCGCTGCGTGGCGAGCAATCGACCTCGAATCCGCCGCGTTTGACTCGAAACTCGTCATCTCAGCGCTCCGCAGTTATGCTGAGTGGGATGTCCTCCCCCAAGCCAGGGCCATTGCTGACTTTCCTATCATATTGCGCAAGATTTCTGACGGACCGAAAGGTCTACCACAATCCATGAAATCCCTTAACGCTGATAAAGCCCTCCGTGGCCTCCGTGTCCTCGAGCTTTCCCGTGTCATCGCAGCACCTCTCTCAGGCAAAACCCTAGCAGCACATGGCGCTGATGTCCTTTGGGTAACAAGCCCTAACTTGCCTGACCTCCCGACAATGGACCGTGACTTCGGCCGCGGCAAGCGCACTATTCATCTTGATCTATCTAATGCCTCTGACCAAAGTGACTTATCACGCCTCCTCGATGACACACATGTCTTTGTACAGGGCTTCCGACCTGGTGGTCTTGCCTCCCGGGGCTTGTCGCCTTCTGACCTCGCAGAGAGATACAAGCACCGAAATATTATTTGTGCTAATATGTCTGCATATGGGCCGCATGGTCCATGGTGCTCCAAGCGCGGCTTTGACTCTCTTGTCCAGACGTGCTCGGGCATGAATGTTTCCGAAGCCGAGCACTTCGACGCTGGAGAAGCAGCGCGGCCGACACCGTGTCAGGCGCTTGACCATGCGGGTGGATACTTCCTCGCAGCGGGTATTATGGCGGCGCTGTATAAGCAGGCAACAGAGGGAGGGTCATGGGAGGTTGATGTGTCGCTTGCCGGGGTAATGAAGTACTTACGCTCACTAGGGCAGTTTGAGGGGAAGACAGGGTTCGCGACGAAAGACTATACCTGTACAACAGATGTGCCACCGGAGTACTTAGAGACAAGAGAGACTGGCTTCGGCGAGATGACTGCCGTTAAACACTCAGCTTCCATCGAGGGTTTGAGAGTGGGGTGGGATGTTATGCCAAAGCCTCTGGGAACGGATGAGAAGAAGTGGCTCTAGAATTAGTATACAAAGAAGAATACCATACCAATACTATAGTGCCATGGTCCAAAGTACACCGACGATATCTTTACAGCTCCCATGAGCATCATGAGATAGAAGCTAAGCGCGAGACCACATCCCATTGGCGTTGTTACTGTGTGGGGGGAGCATCTGTATGATATCTAAATAGCTAAAGGAAGATGTATATCTTAAGGGTGTCTGGGGTTGATTAAAGGCATTACTCCTATTTGAAATAACTGTGAATAGGAATGGATAATGAGGGCATCCCCTTGTCGTCCACGACTCTCACTCCCCCGGGTCCGAGTATCTCTTCGCGGTGGGAAGACAATCCTGACCAACTATCGCTTAACAGTGGACCTGCTAGTTTTACTTACTCCCCAAAGACCGGTGTACTCAAATAGCAGCCTTCAAATCCTCCCTTGCCTACTACACACTAGGCTTGAGCTCCTAATTCAAAGCCTTATTGAGTTAACTGTCATTCCAAACCATCTCCTCAGACCACCAAATTTCTCCTCCTCACTCTGGAATGAATCAATGACCCGTGTCCTCCCTCCCATATTCAGCTTCACCACCCCATTGATGTACATGAGTTTTCCAACTATAGGAACCGCGCCTGCATCCGTAAAGACACTCTCACCATCAAGCAGAGGCAGCCCCTTCGTTTCCTCGCCACGTATGAACTTGACAACCCAGAAATTGCCCCTGTCCCGAGCTTCCCAGCTTGTATACCGATTAATAACTTCGAAGTCATCTTGAAAGAATTCAAGCTCTGCAAAGGCATAGAAAGAATTCCACTCCTTTGCGGGCCCATTGCGGTACTGGTATACCCAGAGCTTTTGCTCAAGACGTGTTTGCTTGGGAATATTTCCGTGAACAAGCTGCACCTCTTGCGTTCCGAGATTATGAACGGGTTGCCCTGACACTAGTCTCAGCGGTCGCGTTGGTCCATCGCCCCCAAATGCAACGTCGACATGGTATTGCTCCCCAGATGGAAGTTGGACGATAGTCACAATATGTGTCCTGCTTCGGTGTCAGTTTGGTTTGGGTGCAGGGTTTTGGAGGAGTCTTACCATCCCCTGTATTCGCCTTGAGGCACGCCATCAATCCGCCCTCGGTTCCGGACTCCCGTCGTGTAGGCAGAAAATCCCAAGCCCAACAGAGCATGGTAAAAGAAGATACTGCACTCTAGGCAATAGCCTCCTCGCCCAGATGGCACTGAATCCTCGGGGCCCATCAGCTTGGCATAGATGCTTTCCGGCCGAATATCGATAACATCTGTGTTGGAATAATGTGCTGACAAATTATCGTATGGAAACCGTGTGATTTGACCCCGGAAAAGAGTAGTCAGTGCCTCTTCTGTCTTCGGGAAATGCTGCGGATCGTGGATAAACTGGTCATATTCAGCGGGAAGCGCAAGGTGCTTAAGATACTTGCTAAGCTGGGGAGTTGAAAACGCAGAGGTCATCTCATCTCTTGCAGTCGAACAATATCGATGACATTGAAGCAGTGGAAATGCTATAATCTTATAGATTTTGGCCTCCTGGTGGTTTGAGTCATCGCAGATCACCCACGCTCTGGCTAGCTGCGCACACTTATCGGATACCCGGTTAGCCTAACAACCCCACCCTTATCCGCTATACAATCGTTCTCATCGAGGGTAAATGTTGGTCAGGGGTAATGTACATCTGTTCTTGATTTTTGTTCACTTCTATCACTCAGTCCTATACATTTTCGTCTGGAACAAACTCGGTTCAATCCTGCATAGATCCCGGGATTACTCTCGAGCCTCACCGACTCTCGTAGACCTTTAGTTTTATAAACTACTCACGCTCTTCCTATTCTAGGTAGATAAATTGTATAACAAAGCCACGCAAGTGTTTGTCCTGTTTGTTGCACCTCGGCCGGGCCCTCGCCACAGGTGAGGAAGGGAACCAGGCCCTCGAATCCCAAATCAAGGGCTAAGATTAGGAATTAGGTTAGAGATCCTGGCCCAAAATGGGTCTTGACGAAATCCAACTTGGACATTTCAATGGCTTCGATATCTACCGAATTCGGGATGTTATCACATATGAATTATGCTTGCGAGGGCAGGTTATATCATTTTCAGGCTATACTACCAACTTGGACTTACTTAGTATGACAACGTTGTTGATATGGGATTTATTAATTTCCAAGAACAAATGCATATACAAAGAGCCTAAACAGCTTATGACAATCCCATCGCCATGTGTGCCACAGCTTTAAATAAGCATAATTTCCTTCCCCAGTAACCGAAACCCAGGCCCTGACCATCAAGGCCCATCTGCACCACACGTCGAATAGATGGCCAAGTGATGTTCAAACTGTAACATCTTTCACACACCATTCACCAGCCCGCTAGGCCGATCCGTCAGGGCAGGAAGTACCAGCAAGGTAATAAGCACGGTAATCCGTTTGGCCAAGAAAGACGTTCGCCACCTGATGATACTCCTCTCCATCGGGTTTGATATGGAGCAAGTCGCCGCCGCCGTTACTGGTGAGCTGAACAGTGGCGTCTCCATGGAGTCGATTATTTGCCACGGAATCAAGACAGAATTGGTAGGTATTTCCTTTATGCTCAACATCATAGCAGCCGGCTTGACATTCCGTATTGGTGTAGGAGGCAGGTCCGTCATTCCAGAAGTCGACATCGTCACTCTCCCAGATCTGTGCGTAACATTCGACCTCGTCAGAACCATGCGCCGTACTATGGGTTAACGCTATGCCAAAGGTACATCCTAAGGCTGTCTGAGTGACAGCGGCGAGGGCAAGGACCGAGAGACGCATGTTGTGTACGGTGTTGCCTTCAACTTTTCTAGAAAAGTAAGACTCGTAGCCATTTAGTGTAATCGAGGTACCTACCTCTGGAAATAAGATAAGGCGTTGGACGACGATGGAGGTTTGCAAGTTAGAGAGGGTTGTCTGCTGTGCTTGAGAATGCTTCTGTCTTCATGGCTTTATATAGCCGTAATCTAGATGCCTTGGTCTTGTCCTTCCCGTTGTATCCGGCTCGGCTTACCTGCTGGACTATGATTGATTACTATGAATACTGCTGCCCAGACACGCTATATTCTGGGCAAGTATGAAGGATGACTCTTTGCCTTCGGAACAGGGGCCCTTAACCGTCGATATGGCCGTTATGGGTCCATGGAACCCAACGCCCGGCCGTCCATCAACTGTAAGCCAGTTGGGGGCCAATGGCCCCCGTGTGCAAGCAATTACCACATGGGGACGTTGGACCTTGGAGTACGTCAGAGGTAGTATTCTGGTTCACTGTTCCCTGTTTAAGCTGTGGAAGGTAATAATATCAAACTCGGCAGAAATCGCTCTAAAGGCCGCCTTGATATAGATCCCATCCCTCATTCGACTAGGGCAGAAGACTCGGGTGGCCAGGAAGACTATATCTCTGGACTGTGGAGCAGATCTGTACGCCGAGAAATTGGAGAACCATAAGCCTCTTAGTAGCATGTACTCCGCACAGAGGAAGGCTATAGCAAGTGACACTGAACGCTCACATACTGGGGTAGCCCAGATCGACGAAGGAGACGGAATATACGAGTAATTATGGTCTTGGTATTGGCTGACCGACCACCAATAGGATGACTACTGACGTTTATACAATATCAGTCTACAATAAAAATAATCCTGACCTTCATCGCGTTGCTCTCCACAAGTAAATATGCCTACACAGTCTCGTTCCATGGAACCAAACGCTGCATAGGAACAGGCCCTCGCGGAAGGTCATTCTTCACTCACGCCTCCTTGACTTTCTCCAATTTAGACTAGGTCTCAGTCACGGACATTACTATCAACAATAGACATTCGCCTTCGTAGCACTCGCCTCCCCGGTTGAATCCTGGCTATGTGACGGGAGGCATGAGTCGCAGTTATCCATGCCTGTGTTGGAGCCGGAGGTTGGCTACTGAATTAACCGGCAACTGCAGGAGCCGAAGATCCATCCTTCCTCTGGTATTGCGGCTGCAAACTCCCAGCTCCAGCCATATGCCCTAGGGACGAGCATCAGGGGTGAGACAGCAACGTATTTCGCATATGCTCCTACCCATCCCAGTCTTCAGAACACTGCCCCAGACGTATCAAGTTCTTCATTAAGAACAGACTTGCGTAGTCATCTATCTGTCTAATGCTCGAATCCACACATCTACTCGAGTTTGATTATGTATAGTGAACTTGACAGAATATGCATGTCAAGAACAATATATAAGTCCTCCCCTTGAGACACGGTCTTGATATACCATAGTCGGCGCTTCTCATTGATTGTAAGATATTCCCACCTCATGTCCTGGAAAATATTCTAGTATTGATACACCACATTGCAGTGAATTTGTGGTCCACATTCAGCTTTCAGAACGTCGGAAGTTAGGGCAGTTGATTACGATGGCAATTGCATCTATCAGTTGGACCCCCCCGGCATATGCGGTGACGACTGTCTTAATTCTTTTGAAGTCTGCTATATGTCCAAGCATGTGCTGATCTGGCTGGATCGATCACGCCAAACCCACATGGTATTCCTGACGGCGCCGAGTCGGCCAAGATGAATTGTTCGCATGTTTCCACTAGAACCGTACGAACAATACATTCCCAAGTACTATCTAGCAAGACCTCTAGTAGCGAACCAGCACCCTAAGTCACGGTTTGCTATACATCCAAAAGCGGCCCACAAACTTGGTCCTTCTCCTGATGATAATCCTCATAGATACCCGTCCACATAAAAACATCCGCACACTTTGGTTTATCAGGCGTCTCCTTGTCTCCTTCCAAGCATTCTGGAAGCGCCGAATTCCACTGCTCATCTGTATGCGGCAGCCAGGGCTTCGGCAAGGGCCAATCACTAAAGTGCACCAGACAAGCCCGCGAGACCTCCGCCATGGCATTCCACTCCTCGTCCGGATCCTCGGCCATATACAGCTTATGGGTATGATCCTTATTCCGGAACTCGCCGGTCAGCAGTGCAAGGCGCCGATGGGGCAAAATCATGGCACTGTCGCCGAATAGCCGGTTTAGGACCTCCATGTCGAAATCGCCGGATGACTTCGCGTCCGCGAGAATCCTGTTGTAGTTTCCCGCGTTTGGCGCGATGAGCATGACGTGGGAGCTGAGGATCTGGGTTTTCACGCTGGGGTCGGTGAGCCAGTAGGCTCGGGGCACGGCGACGGGGGCGAGCGGGCTGAGGAAGTAGTGGTCCATGTTGTTGAGGACTAGGGAGTCGGAGTCGAAGACCAGAGCGCGGGTGTACGCGGTCAGGCCGAAGGCTTGGAACTTGGTTAGGCTGTTGCGCCATGTTGGGTCACCGGCGGATGTAGAGAGCATGTCGACGGGGTGGAATTTGAGGTTTAGGTGTGCGTATTTAATACGGATTTTGTTGAGGATACGGTGCTCGCGAGAGGTGGCCTGGTGTCAAGGTGCAAACTGCTTAGCAGATGCGGGACTCAGCCATGGTAGGAGTTTCTGCTCACGTCGTTTTCCCATTGTTTTGGGAAGACCAACACCTTGTCATATTGTGCTCCGTAGCGCACGAGCAGGCCAAAATTGATCATCTGTTCATGTGAGTCGACGAGTCAATCCGTAATGGGTCACAGCATGGGTGTTGCTGCCACTCACAGAATTACAAAGATAGTTGACGTCGGTCGCATATTGCACGTACGCAAATCGGGGCTCCAACTGCTCCGTCGTCCAGTGTGGAGCCAGGCCGTTGAATGAACTGGGAGCGACAGGAGCAATTGGTGGTATGACCGGTGCAGGGGCACGGTGCTGGGAGAATATGAGAAGCAGTATACATAATACGATCCCGCAGCTGGCAATGACCGTTCGTCGGGCAGAGAGCAACATTGCGGTATGAATCCTGAATCTCCACTAGGGCTCTGCAGTTCTGGTTTATTAGCGGGTTTAATACACTGAGCACAGCCACTGCAGACGTCGTCACTCTTGCTTGGCGTTAGACAATATTAGCGATCCACTTGCCAAAGCAGGACTGGGGAGGTTTCAATGTGTCTCAGTTGTTTACTGGCGAATGCTGGTGGATTTCCGCGGAGGAGCCACCAGGAGATAATCATTTATGATTTAAGCTCGTTTAGAGCCCTAGGTCGCAAGTACGGAGGACACAGCCATAACAGTTGAAAAATGAAGTCTATCAAGGTTGGTACAGCCAGCGCACGGAACAAAAAGTGGGAAGCATAATCTCGAGTCCACTGATTCTGTACTGTCGGGGTAGGTTTCCAGCGCCCCGCTAACCGTCACAAATTCACAACCGATACTATATTCTTTTTTATTATATATAGTAATGGTATATCCGTAAAGAATTTGGATATCTAGATCAAATTCTTTATAAATACGATTTATATATATATATTATAGCTAGCTCCTGCAGGGAACAGTGGAATAGTAGTATATTAATGTAAATGGTAAATTCTTATCTTTTTTGAAATTAATCTTGTGACAGAATAGTAAGAAAATGTAATCATTCTGAATACTAATCTCCCTCCACAGCAGGTGCAACAGCAAGACCCAAGTGGTTGTCTAACTATATCATTTCATTATACATGGTCAACGCATATCATCGGTACGTGGCGCAGTGCCAGCATCCTTTGAGAGGCTGTAGCGCCGTTCCTGCGCCAGCGTCAACAGTCTCTTACTCGCCCGGGTCGAGGGATGGTGCTCGCCATATATCCCATTTTTTCGCCGAACTATCCGCCTCAGCAGCGATTCACTTTGGGTATACTGCGCCTGTTGTTGGTACAGAATGGCGAGCTCATCCATGCTGCTAATGGCTGCTGCGCTTATATTCTCTAATGTCTCTTTCTCCACGCGAAGGAGAGCTTCATAATGAGCAATTGCCCCCGCCAGATCTCCATTGGCTTTCAAGGAAAGACCGAGGCTTCTTCTCGTAGCCAGGGTGCAGGGATGCTCAGTCCCCAACATGCGCTCTTCCACGCTAAGCACCCTCGAGTATATCTTAATTGCTGACTCAGTATTTCCCTGCATAAGCAGCGTGGATGCAAGATGTTTCTCCTGCTCGGTGACAATAGGATGATCATTCTCGAAGATAACCTTGTGCTGCTTCACCACTTCGTTGTACTGCATCTCCTCCTCCTGGTACTTCCCCTCGCGTCTCAGCCGTGCGGCAGTTGCAGAAAGATTGGCAGGGTTTAGGGCTTCCATTCTCATCGCACGACCATGCAGCATGGTTGCCCTGGTCTTGTCATTAAGCAGATACCTTGCATGACCTGCCATATAAATCACCCGCCAAACTGATTGCACGTAGCCAATGCTTTCGTCGCTGTGCTGCTCAAGCATGCTTTCGACATGGCCAATCTCATCCTTCCATTTGTCCAGGGTTTCACTGGTTGGGAATGGGAGCTGTAGACGCTCTATAGTGCGTAGTGTCGTCGACTTCCCCTGGCCTCTCTGTGACAGCCAGATTTTCATTGCCAATTGCACCAGCGGATGGACATCAATGCACTGTGACCCGTACTCTGGTCTGGTCACGAAGGAATATGCCATCAATTCTTCAATTGCATCATTCAGCGTCACTCCGGTTTCCCTCTCAATCATCGATATCGGGATATTTCTCTGGTCGCACTGTGCGATAAACTTCATCCATTCAAATGAGGCTTTTGTATTCTGCTGGATCCTCTCTAGCGTGATCAGCCATGTAGCGGCCATTGCGCGTCTACTGACATCGGAACTATGCCGCTGCTGCCCTGATGGAAATTCGCAAAGACTGCGGATCATTTTCCCGCCCTGCTTGCGCCACAACTCAACATAGTCTCGGACGGTGCACATTGTGTTATTAATGTACTTCGTTGCAAGATCAATCGCCAAGGGGAGGCCGGCCAAAAGGCGTAGTAGCTCAACAGTGTCCGCATCTTGACCTGTGGGATCAATGCCGGCGTGGGTACTACCGAGCCTGCGCGTCAAGAAGTCAAGAGCTTCGTTGTCGTTCATAAATGAGAGATCGACTGTTACCGCCTCGAGTTTGCTTGCGATGCCTCTATTCCCCGTGGTTATAAGAATGGAGCCAACTTTATTTTTGGGCAGCCACTCGCTGTCCAGCCATTTTTTGAAGAAGGTTTCTTTCTCGTCAACACCGTCAAATATCAGGAGCCATGGACCGGGTCTGTTGTCCAGTTCCTGATTGACTTCCCTTACCGCGTTATCCGGTTGGACAGGAAGCCCTAGCGCTTTCATGATGCCTTCATAGTCAGCCTTTAAACTCTCTTCACTGTCAGATCTTACCCAGAACATAGAGCAATCAGAGTAGTTTTCATGGAGCCTGTACGCAGCCTCCATCGCCAGCTCTGACTTGCCGACTCCATCTAGACCAACGATAGCGTTGACTGGACAGTGATTTTCAGAGCTGCTCGGGGGAATGAGACTCGCGAGTCGTTCTAATTCAATATTCCGGCCAGCAAAATCCTTGTTACGTCTACCCGGAATCATGACATGCGCTATGCTGGGAGCTGGCAGTGGCGTATCAGCCTGGGTCATGAAGAAGACAGGAGAAATGAAACCTTACCCTGTGATCGGCCGTATATCGTATGCTGAGCTTTACTCACAAAGTGGTTGATATCATCTATAAGGATCTTGTAGTCACTGGCAGTTCGACCACTAAACTTGTTCATCAGAACGTGTGGCACGTTCCGTCCTTGCTTATAACGAGCGCCGCTCAACGAAGCGGAATTTTGATCGACCAGCTACCAGAGGTCAGGCTGATGCGACATGATAAGACCGAGGCACCGAGGGTACTTACCATGATCTTGGGGGAAAGGGGAGCAAGTGCTCTGCCCAGTATCCTTGGGCGAAGCCGCCGTACCATCTGTGTTTTCTGCTGTTCGTAGTAACAGCGCAGGGGCATTGGCATCGGGTGCGCCATTACTTCCTCAAAGTCGTCTATCAATTCTTTTAGCTGTTTCTTTGTTCTCCATAGCATAGTAACAAGTGACTGAGAGGATTCTTTGCCTATGAGCCTCGCGCCAACCGCTGCCCACTTGGCCAGTGCGGCCGCAGCAGTGCCTCTGAACGGGGTTGCAAGGAAGACAATGCCCACTGTTTGACTGAGAATATCGCCGCGCCGATCGCGGTCCTGGTATTCCATGACAAGGGCCTATATTGTTCCGTTAGCCTACGTCACGTTTAGCAGAATGCCCCCCGTCCGTACCTTGGCCAGCAGCAGGCCACCGAAACACGAGGCGATGAAAATGATTGGCCTCTTCGGCTGCCTGCGCAATTCAGCTCCAAGGTCAGCCAAGAAGGTAGTCGCGTGTCCTTTGAGGGGTTCATCTATGCTCCCGCTGAGGAAATTGCCTGGCCAGTCATACGTGTAGATTTGTGCCGTTGGCACATCTAGTGGCAACATGTTGGGGTCTTTAAGCCAATTTGTTTCTTCTGCAGCCTTCGTTGGCTGTCCTGGTGTATCCCCGCTGTGATTTGAGGTCCGGACACGTTTGTGCTTGTATACCCAGGTGCCGGCGGATGATGTCTCGAGGCCATGGATGGCAATGATGCTGCGAGGGTTAGAGCTGGAGCTTACGACTTGCAGTGGGTGCGGCGTACGTGACTTTGGGCTCTGTAACCGTACGTATCTCCTGAAGCCTGCAGGAGTTGTCTTCCACGGATGTTCGATCTTTCGTTGATGGACTCATTCTGGTCGTGGGCAAACTGTCTGGCTGGGGTGGCTGGTTTTCCAGTGAAGGGGAAAGCAAACCAAAGACGAGGAAAAGCAAGAAAAGGAAAAGCATAGTCGGACCTCGCAAAAGTCGCGTCAGCCAGGCAGGGAGGCAGCCATGCAGACGTCGTGCAGATGCAAGACGACGCAGGTATATTGTTCGATCAGCGACAGGTCATCCAACCCGGGCGTGGATTTAACTCTCGGCCTGCCCGGGTCCCCCGAAGTGTTGCTTGTTGTCCGGCCCATAATGGCTTTGAAACCACCCTTTGAGTCTGCCTTTGCATCATCCGCCATTTCCAGAACCGAAATTAGTGATCTGCTCCCTGCCTCGACTCGATGCCCTCAAACCCACGCCCAGTATTGTCCCTCGTTGAACGCGTCGCAGTTTGTGGCGCGTGACCTCTGCGTCAAACGACTTACTCACGTCCAAGAGTGGCTGTGGATAGCAGGCCGCGCGCTTCCTCCACGCCCGCTGACCTTCCAGGTCGCAGTCGGGCGCAGTATCGTCCCTGACCAGCGAGTAGAAATGCACCTCGTCTGGGAACGAACGCGCCGCATGCACATCAAGCCACTACCGCGATACCTACTCGCCCCGCAGTTTTGGCACGACCATATATGCCCTCATGCTCAGGTATATTTTGATGCGGTCGGCTTTCTCTGCTCCTATCTCGCACTCATCCAATCCGAGAGTGACTTTGCCATTGCGCAGTCGCACAACCTCGTCTCCGCATCTCTGCAGTGGCCTTCCTGGGTCCTCCTCACGCAGCAAGTCCTCACAGCAAGGACGAGCAACTGCTCAGCCCTAGCCACTACACGCCTGGGATCTCCGTCGAAACGAAGTCCACGCTACACCTACGGAGAACTCCGGCTATCCCGCCTGAACCTCGTCTACCGCCTGCGGCACGGCTGCCTCATCCGTGGCTATGAATTCCAATACCAGACATACGGCGAGCTTTTCACGGCATACATTGCACCCCTTAGTATAACTACTGTCTATATTGCGCTGGCGCTGACGGCGATGCAGACCGGTCTTGCGACGGACTTCCTGGAGCGCAGCGCGGCCTTTCGGGTTGTTTCGGGGTGGTTGGCGGTGGTGTCGATTGTGGTGCCGTTGGCAGTGATCCTTGGGTTGGGAATAGTCGCGGCTGTTGTCTTTGTGGTGAATCTCAGCAAGGCGTTGACGTGGAAGCGGGAGAGGCAGAGAAAGCTAGATGAAGAAGTTGGTTAACAGCACAGCGGAACGATTTAGGGCTTCGGAGGATGTTATAACCTACATGGAACCGAGTCACTTTCCGCATTCTGCGCGGCTTGAAATGAACATATAATCACTAGAGCAAGCAACCGGGACCTAGGTACCTGCACATTCTGTATAGGGAATAGCCTCGTAATATGGAGTTTCATTGCTTGACAATTTGTTGAGCTGCCTTGTTCAGCCGCCCAACGCAAGCGAGTCCCCAACGCTATTTTGAACAGTTCTGACACACCCGAATGCCTGGGGATTCATTTACCAGGATCATATCGTCCTCCTCTATCAATGTAAGCAGTTTAATGTGATCTCCTTCACTCAAAATGAGTGCAGCCACATAATCTCTTGTCATTGAGGCGAGCTGCTTTCTTCAGTTGCAGAGTTGAATTGCCCGTACGCTTCGCGATCAGCCCTCGTCCAGCCGGCTAATTCTGGTATCTGGTCCCAGTATAGCTGGCTGCTCTAACTCCCTTGCTTCCCAAATGGGTCCTGGCGTTACAATATATCGATGAACTGCAGACCGTCAACCCTGCCCCATGCCCCAGAACTCCTGCATTCTATCTTTCCAACAGTTAATTGCTGGGAAATGAAGTCTTGCAAAGTTACTGCTGAGGCGTTTTTGCCGTGAGACATTCGAAACGAGGTAGTTGTAGGGGCATTTCGTTCGGTGGAGATGATTCCCTCTTGGATTCAAAGTCTATTATTCAACAGAGAATTTATCGCTACATGATGCTGCCATACTGCCAAACCGAGCAATGCCGTAATCTCATTCTGCAAGCGGGGGAGGATCCATCAAGCCCAGCAACGCCTTGTTGACAGTTTCCAGCTCGGTGGTGGCAAAGTCGATGTCCCCACGCAGAGATTGGACTTCACTGTTCAGTTCCGCATTCTTCTCCAGGAGCTCCTTGACTTGCGCCTTGAGATCATTGTTCTCTTTATACACCCAGTCCCCTCTCCCCTTCAGCTGGGAAGAGCTCTTTTCCACAGCGACAAGGTTCTGTCGAAGCCTTTGTGCGGCTGAGCCGGGTGAAGGTGACCCGGGATTGGGCCCTGTTTTGGGAGGTTCGCGATTCGACGCATCGGTGCTGGATTTATCTTGGTCGGATTTTTCCTCTTTGTCGGCCATAGTGTATTAAGATGGGGGCTGTGTCGATGGGCGGGCAACGTTAGTTAGGTTTGGGAGAAGATGAACTGGAATTCTTGGTGATGTACTGACCTGTGTTGCGGTAGTGAATGTGTGAACTCGTCCTGGACATGGAATCAGGCAAGGTGCAATAAATACACGCCAGTCTAGGGACGCGTGTCATTTATTGATGGTCACACCCTTTGATGGCCGAGCAAAGCTGAAATTCCGGCGGCCATGGATTTTGCTTGGGAATTGGGGTTGCTTGGCCTCGCCTCGCGCCGAAGATGCAGCCAAACAATATGCAACTCAGATGCAGGGCTGCAGTCAAACTGCCTCGCTTCGTTCTAATCAGTTGGACACATCAGTCATGGGCAGTTCGCCAGCTGGAAGAAGGCAGCCATTGTGATTACCATGCACCGATACCTAATGCTCAACCACGTACTTGTACTTCCAGAGCTGGTTCGCGTCCTCCTCTTCCAAGAGCCTCATCTCCAGCAGTTCCACCGCAAGCTGCTTTTCTCGGAGTTGGAACTTGAGGTCGTTGGCTTGCCTATTTGCCTGATCCATCTTCTTTCGGTATTTAGCAACTAAAGAGTTCTTACTCAAGCCCCGGTCGTCTCGGACAGCTTCGAGCTCTTCCTGGAGTCTACGGGCTTCTTGCTCCAGGTCGCCGATCGCGGCGTCTTTCTTGTCCAGCGCATCCTTCAATTGACCTTCTTGGGATGCCCACTCGTACTTTGCTTTTTCATGCATCTCCCGTTCCGATGCCAGCTCACGGTTCCCATCCTCGATTTTTGATCGTGACCTGTCGAGTTCTCTCTCCCTTGTCTCCAGCTTTGGGCGCCATGTCGCCTCTGCTGCTGCAACTGCCTCTGGCTGGCTGGCAGCAAGCATGCGGGCGTTTTCCAATTTGAGGTCCGTTACCTCTCTCTGGAGGGCGTCACAGTTGGCTTCGCACCTCAGCCGCTCAGCCTTTTCTTTCTGGTACTGCACGCGCCAATGGCCTTCGTTGGGCTGCTCTCCGTTGTCGTGCATGGCGGCCACGCCATTATTAGCGGGGGCGACAGCGATCTTCCCTTCCTTGACCGTCTCATCAAGAGCCCAATATTTCTCCCTCCACATCCGCCCATTCGCTGCCTCGAACTCGAGTCGTTCGTGCAGTATCTCCAGCTCTCTCCTGGCTCCCGCCAACCGGCTTTCATACTGCGTCCTCTCGATGGTAGAACCCTTCTGGTGGCCGTGCGATACGACCAGTTGCCGCGTCCAATTTATCTGTTCGCGCAACGGGTGAGTGTCGCTAGCCCGGTTGAGGCTCGGAGAGAGCGAGTCGCGGGCATCGCCGTAGTGCTGTAGCTGGAGACTATCGGCCTGAGGTGTTTCCATAACGGAGCTTTCCGGATGGTGAATTCCAGCGGACATTGTCCAAGGGCGCCGGAATACCCCTTTAGTATGTATTGCCTTGTATGATCAAGGACCAGCGTCCCAACCCGTCTGCAGGTTTGGATTTGATCGTCATGAGCCGGGTGTTCGTGAATTGTTTTGCAGATTTCCTGGAACAGGTCGCCACGTCACATTCAATCGTCTCCGCGGCAGCGCCCGCCAGCCAGGCAGCGGGATCTGCATGCATAATACGTATTTATAGATTGATTCAACACTCTCTCTTGACGTGTCTTCGGCCCAGTGTCCCGCATCCGGAAGTAGATTACGCTCTCGCTGATGGGAGTCTGTATCCGATCGCGATGACCTCTATTGCTGTTTTGTTGGCTTTGCTTTCTCCGCCGTGGTTGTAGCTTTTGATCTTACGTCCTGGGCAAACGAACCCTTGAGCCACTCCCTACTTTGGCTGAGGATGATTAGAGTGGGACGCGCTGCTATTGGGGATGAAGGCGTGCCAGTCAGGAAACACTAACAACAGGAGTGGACAAAGCGACGCTGACACAAGCCTAGATGACGAGAAACTGATAGTGTGGTATGTTGTGTAACAAAGCTCATCTACTTTGGATTAGAGATAGCGATGGGTTACTTCGGGTTACGGTCATCCTAATACTATTAATAAGATAGGGTTAATGGATTTAAGCCAACTTTTCTGTTCTGTATATAAAGTTTAAGGGTTTCTATTAAAGTCTTGGTAGATAATAAGTTTATATAATAGTAATATTAAGATTAAAGCAGGCATAGAATACCCAAGGGATAACCCCTAGCCCGTGTATCATAACGTATTTCCCTCCCTGTACGATTCAATATGGGCATACAAATAAAAGGTGTAGAATCGCTGCCACTCCAGCCGGGGCTATTACAGTCGCCTGACACGTAAAACAGAAAATAACGAAGCAGTCAGAAGACTTGAATCTAACTAAAAAAGGCACATCGGCTATTCAAGCAAACCAGCATCCATTCTGCATCCCAGCAGTATAAACCAGCCCGCAACCGCCCTGCACCTTAAGCATCCTCGCGCGCAAGCGTAACATCGGTAGTCACCAGAATCCCATGATCTGGGCTGTCCTCGCGCTCACCTTTCCCTCCCGTCCCAGTAGATGTATTGGTATTTGTATACCCAGATTCAATAATATGCTCCTGGCTCTCCCCCGAGCTGCCCCTGCGCTTCCTCTGCTCTAGGCGTGATAGCTCATATGGATGCGTATGCCCGTCACCTTTGCTGTCCCTTTTATCCGTGAAGCTGTGCAAAACACTACCGTTTTTCCTACTTCTTGAGGTAAAAATCGTGCTCGTATTCCTCGACTTCGACTTCGACTTCGACTTCGACCCGGGGGTACCTCCGCTTGTATAATTATTATACCCCTTTGACGACCCGTAAGACCGGAATAACCCAATCCTAGTCAAAAGTGGCTTTATTCCCGGAGCGCAGACGATTATCGCTGAGACGAGGGCTTCACGGGAGGCCCAGCCGAGGGCGGTCGAGAGCTTGTTGATGTTCGTGACGGAGTAGTAGGCGCGAAGGATGGCGGCGATCATGACGAAGATGCCGGAGGAGAAGAGCCCGCAGAGGATGATCTTCTGCAAGGTACTGATTCGGGCGGCGACAATAAGGGGCATCGGGACGACCATGACTGCTATGTCTGTTCTTTTGGTTGTGGAGAGTGAGTGTGAGTGAGCCAGTGGTCATGGTGTTTTTCGACGTACACAATACTGAGGCATTCTATTACAATGTAATTGTTAGGCCGGATGGTGCAGTTATCTTGTTTTTGTTAGTATTATGCTATTCCTTTCCACCCTTCAACGTAATATTGTTTTTGGAACCTACCACCGGCATACGGCTTGACTTGCCAGCTCCTGCTAACAGGCATGCAACTGAAGAGGTGGAAGAACAGAGAGGCAAAAAATGTAATAACAGCCCCGATGCCGACTCCGAGTAGAATACGATGTTGCCGGAGGCCCGTTCTGCAGATAAATTAGTACCCAATACCGACAGACCCCTTTCCTTTGGTTCTTAGTCACTCACGTTAGGCGGCTGTAGAGGAAGATAAGGACCCCTTTGAACGACCACACCATGAATATATAGGCAAGCCAGGAAACGAACGCGTAGATAGAGCCTTCACGCAAGGCTCCAACCTGATCATTAGGTACCTCAAGGGCACTCTGCTCGTTGAGGCCGATGTTGGAACCATAGACATCTGGTATTCATCACTCGGGTTAGAGGTGGTTAGCAGGCCGTGTGCGAGGTGAATTGCATACCTGTGCAAAGGTACAGGAATACCGTGTGGAACGTCCAGAATACCTAACTAGTCAAAACCACCATAATGGATATATGTATATTGGAAATGAGACAAAGACACACCGTCACAAACGCTAGACATAGCTCGTCCCAGTAGAAGTTCCGCTTTCCCACGGACCAACGGGCATATATACGAACAGCAATGATCGCCAGGCCAACTGCCCATTCGACGAAGAGTTCGGTCGAGCTACTATAGCCCATATTGCATATAATTCAGCACGAATTTCCTCAAGTGCTCGGATAGGATGTTGCTGGGAATATATACGTTGTTCTAGTTGCAAAACCATGGTTGACCTGGGAAGTGGTTGGTTCTGATCGAAATAATGAGGAATTGGCTTAACGCTCCGTGGAGAATAAAAAAGAAAGCCTGGAGATCTTCTATACTTGCTTGTAAACTACTTGCTTCAGACACGACAATCCTCTTAGATTACGTCAGGCTGGATCTAGGATAAGTGACGCAGAATGGAGATCCGCTAGTTCACGGGGCGGAGTGTTTTTTTTCGATCCTCCGGTTCATTCGTCCATATTTTTATCTAGTTTGACTCCCCGTCCTAGAAAAGTAAAGGTGAAGGGGATCGGAATATTTATTTAGTTGAAATAAGAAACTCTGCACGGATCCCTGGGTTGCTGCGGCACGTTCATGTCGGGGACCCAGTTTATAGCGTTATGGAATCGGGGACCCATAAAGCCATTTTCCGCCTGTCCGAAAATCACCCCCAACGCCTCATATGAGCCAATGAGAGCATGATATCATTTATGGGTAAATCGTAAATCATAATCTCATCAGGCCTGTGGTGAGCCTAGGGTGTCAGGGGACCATAGTAAACTCCATGATGGGAATGATTTCGTCAGCCATCGAGGTCCCCTAGTCCCGTAGCCTACAAACATAGTTTGGTTCAGATCCTCGACGCGTCGTTGGCTACCAGAATGCCGGGAAATTCGACCTATTAACCAGATAGCGCGTGGTCTCATTAGCCCACGGCTGCTCCACAAAAGCTTGTGGGTGACAGATGTCACATCCGTTGGCTCAATTCTGTTGGCTCAGTTCCCCGGTATCTGTGTGAGGCCGGACACAGACAAGGGCAGTGACATTAACGAGTAAGTAACACTGTGGGAAGTAGTAGCCGCCACATTTTTGCTAGTATATTCCGTTGCTCATGATAAGCCTTGTCGCACACCCAGGGCTCTGCCATGCTTCTCTGCGCGCGAGTCGAGTCCAGTGACGATCCCCGTTACCGATCCAAGGTACTATCGAGACCTCGAGACTGAGGGTGCTGCGGCATAATAATAATGGATTCAATCAAGCTTCGAGATGGTGGCTGTGTGCCGGTCCCACTTTCCGAAGACGGCATCCTTTGCTGAACGGTGGGATGCCATGTGAAGAGCCAACGCAATCCCCGCCTCTTCTCTAGCTGTGAGCCCTCCTGGTTGTGGGCCTAGAATACAGAGCTTCTCTTATTTTATAGGCTTTGTTTGGACTCGGGAGACTTAGCATGTACTATTTGGATAATACTGCCGGGTGGGGTTCAAAAAGCTCAATCTTCAAACACCGTTGCTGATATTGCGTCGCCCCATACTTTGGAGAATCTTGGAATCCGCGCTTGGAGCACACGATACCAAATGGCTACCGATACTCGGGACTGATGGGACGTTCAAGATGCGCGGCAGAGACAAAGAATCTCCCACAGTAGTGAGCACTTATAGATTACATATTGAATCTCCATTACGTAGTAAACCAAGGAATAGGTCCGTAGTGGGCCTGGCAGGCGATGGCGAAATGCACCGATATTTAGAGAAATTCAAGGAGGTAGCCCATATAACTCAAGCTCGGCGAGGACCATCGGGGTGTTATTGGGCCCTTTCGTCTCAAAAGATCGCTAGATTTCTCCCTGTTGATCCGTCGCCACAGAATCGCCGTCGTTTTCGTCCCACCCTATGCACTGAAGTTTTAGTTTTATTGCCATGGCCAGTCGCTAGAAGATGTTTGTCTTTTAATTGAACAATTTATTTGGCGATCTTGTCAACGGTGAGACAGTTAAGCCATCGGTCCTGGAGATCTCTAGTCCTATCCCGTCAATGGCATCATCAGCTATGACTTGAGCAAGCGTAGTTTCATTTGATGCCAGATCGTCAAAGATGATAGGCACGTTCGTCCGGCGGCAGAGGGAGATGCTCTCCCGATATGTAGCGATGGGGGCTTCATGGACAAAGTCCAGGCCACCAGGAAGGAGCTTGAGCATCCGAACAGCGGACTCAACCACCATTCTGCCATTGGCGTCGACCAGGAAGTGTTCTCCATGTGTCTGATCGTCAAGCGCTGCCTGAACCTGGATGGCGTTAGCCACCGGATCGGACCCGATCTTGACAGAGAACACAGTATACCCAGCAGCTCTCGAGTCAGCAATGTATTTCCGCGTCCCTTCCACGTCTGGTACGAGAAGTGATAGGAGAACGGGTAGCTGGGCATCTATACGTCCACCCCGGCCCATTTTCCGAATACATCCCAGCACGCGATGTCGATTGCGGACTTTGCCGGCTCCTTACCCAGACGGGCTGCATCCATGGCGTCGCTGATGCGGTCGACCTTTCGAGGGTCAAGGCTGAATATCTTAGGGGCTATCTCGGCGATGGCAGCTCGGATGCCGCCATCATGCGATGCATTGTATCGGTCAAACGGAGTACTCTCATCCCAGCCTTCAATTCCGGTATCTGTCGTTATGCGAACGAATGTAACATCGTATCGAGTGATGGCATGGCCGCCAGAGAGATGATAGGCACCCGCAGAGTATGGCGCTGTATCGGCTCCAGAGGATCTCCGTGCCGACATGCTGCATGAAAAGCATCCCAATGCCAAACTGACACCATTATGGAGATGCTGAATAATATGCTGAGAAGGCCCAGCTGGCTTGCAGTTAGGTGAGTATTTCGGAGGCCATATCCAGTTTCAGCCAGACCCGCTCGCCCGTCGCACTCAGCAAAGCCAGCGGCGCCTTACCCCATTTCCCTCCATACGGCAAAGCAGAGATGACATGTGTTATGTTACAACAGCAAACGCCGTCTGAGGAAGAACGGGGGTATTGGGTTGATTCATGAATCGACAAATCTGATTAATGACAATACTGAACGAGCGACTGGGTTAAATACATGAGAATGACAGAATAGCTCAACCGAGACAAGTTCGCAGGAACTGGAGATTGGGCTGATATCACTGTAGTGCAGCTTCGTCACCATAAAAATGAACAAGATCGATGAGGTGCCCTCCATATGAGTGGTTTGTATATAGAAGTATCGACTAATTCCTGGGTGAAGGTTGCATGTTTGATGGAGGCATAGATGAATATTTCACCTGGACAACAATGGCAGTATGCCTTTGACGGAGCAGTTGAATTGCGAGGCGCCTATTTCTCAAGAGCCACGTTAATTACCGCTTTCAATTATTTCCATGGGAAGGTTTAGTTACCAGCATACCTGGCTAGTACAGTTTCATGCCCCGAGCGGTCGAAACAGGCGAGTGGCCGTCGATATTGTAGCATTGCTTGGAGTGGAAGTAGTCTCCATCATAAGAGTACGTGTCATATAGAAATGAGTTCGTACTGCAGCTGGGCTGGGCGTAGAACGCAATCCTTTGGCCGTTACTCTTTCCCCATCCATTTTCCACATAGGACTGGAATGGTTGGGTTTCAGTGGAGCAGGCTGCATTATTATCAACCTTGACATCCTGCACTGTACCCGTGCAGTCACGACCGGTGTAGGTCAAGACATTGACTGCCAGGCTGCCTTGAATGCAGAGGGCGGCGACCGCGGTGACGATCTTGGAAAAATGCATTTTCAAACACGTCAAAAATAGCAAAAAAAGCTGTTCTTGAATTGAAGATCGAAAAAAGCGATTGCCGTGATATTGGAACTGTTCAACTTTGCTGAATTAAGCAGTACTCATGACTGAGATATGAACGATGGTTTATATATCTACTGTCGTGGCACTTTCATCTTACAAGCTTCTAGATATAGACTCATCATGGCGTATTCACTGCCCGGAGCGTATCCGCGTTCGAGAGCGTATTCGTCTTGGTGAGCGTATTCATCCTTCAGGGCGTATTCAGCCGCTGACCTAGCCTCCTTGTTCGGGTTCTGTTCAATCTTCAAGGCGTATTCAATATCCAAAAAGTGCTAAAATATTGCTAGCTGCGAGCAGGATGAACAGGATCTTCTATTGGCAATTAGCGAAGGGTTAGGAATCTGGGGTAGGGCTTGGCTGTGCTTGTTTGCTGTAGTCGGTCTCTATATGGTGGGTTGGTGGAGTTCGATAGCTGGAGACTGCAGCCAAGCCACTGAGTAGTATGTGCTCTTCGGGCTATCCCAAATTACTCGACGAACTCGATACTTTGCGGAGTGGCTTGTTACCGTCCTCCCGTAAATATATATTCAGCTCTTTCCTAGCGCAGATCCCAACCTGGGTTGAAACCAAACTGCCATGACCAAGACCAATATCAGCCCCCTCGACCCACAAAACATAGAGCTTGCAAAGTTAATACTGAAATATAGGCGGAAGCCATCCATCGCGGCTAAACAAGGCCCGCAATCCCGCCAATCAATCGAGTAGGGGAGCGCGGTGCGCGGATCCATTTGACCACGTAACACGGCCTGGAAGCTTTCCTTGCACGTGGAATATGCTATGGACTGTCATGTGTTTAATCTCCATCAGAGCCATGGTCAACCAAAAGATGGTTCTCATTTACGGTTAGTCAGCGTTTGTGATGTTGAACTACAAGCCTTCATCATCGCAGCAATTATCATCAATAACATTCCCCCGTCGACGTGCATGACGAAGCATGGAACAACATGATATTCCAAACAAGAATTGCTTAGCAAGGGGTAAGAGAATGTAATCTACATGGATATCTTCTTCATTTCTGTCTCCGATAGCTCGTACTCAGGATCCACCGCGGTGCCCGTCATAACGCCCGTGGTTGGAATCGCTTGCTCCTTGTTCACCGGCGGACCGGTAAAGTGCTTGCGGGCGTAGACGAAGTACCAGATGATACTGATCAATGCAAACGCGGCGAACACCACGCTGGCATAGTTCATGGACGAAGGGGTCACAGGCAGAGTATATGGCATGCTGAAGAGCACCACTGCTAAGAGGATCCAGCAGATGCTGATCATATTAACAATATATCCTAGCGGGCCCAGGGAGAATGAAGAGCGTTTGACATCCTGGCGACCTCGTATAAGGGATATCATGATAGGCAAGCCATATGATATGGATAGGCAGATGGTAGCAACACCGGTAAAGGAGTTAAAAGCCGCAGTGGAGCCAAAATAAATCAGGCCTAGGAGCGCATCAACAGAAGCAGACAGAATAACAGCCCATACGGGCACATCTAGCTTCTTATTCACCCGGCGCCATAACTTGAAGCCCGGGATAGCACCATCCCGCGCAAAGGCATACGTGCAGCGACTAGCAGCTGTTAATGACCCAATACCCGCGAATATCATGATTCCCAGGATCAGAAACAGCAGACCAAAGCCGCCGCCCGCGGACCCCGTTGCCATCTTGAAAACAGTTCCAATCGGCTGTCCGCTGGCAACATTGCGTAGAATATCCAGTTGCTTTGGCAGGACGAAGAGCACTGGAATCAGGTAAGCCAGTCCTGTAATCCCAGCCGCAATGACAGATAGCACAATGGCCTTGGGAACCTCGCGGTGTGGGTTCTGAACTTCCTCACACATTGCGGCCACCATCCCGTACCCCGTGAGTGTATACGCCGCCTGCAGCAAACCCACGAAGAAGGCCCAGCCTTCCGGCCACCCACTGTTCGACGTGTCATATTCTGCGAAAACAAACCTGCCGCTTTGCAGGTCGTCGGCCATACTCAAGAGGGTAACGAGGATGATGAGGACACTAGCGGCGGTCCAGAAAATGCAGATTTTATTGATCAAGTCGAGATAGGACGAAAAGAAGACATTGACCAACGCACAGACCAGTAGCACGGCCCAGAACATAAGCACAGTCTGCCATTCGTTTGCGACAAAGTCTTCGTCCCAGAGACTAATTGCGCTGAGAATCATCTGCCCGCCCCCGAAAATAATGCTGAGTGTCACAGTCCAGTTACCCACGAGCGTTAGCCACCCGTCGATAAAGGACATTAGCGGCGCCCAGCGTCGAGTTGACAGCATGGCACTCCAGTAGTACACACCGCCGGCGGTCGGATATACTGCACAGATCTCGGCGAGTGACGCCGCAATGGCGATGGATATAAGGGTGACGAAGACCCAGCCCCAGATAATAGTAACAGACAGACCGTCATCTAGGGTGATATAGAGAGTCGTCGAGAGCCCGTAGGGAGCGGCCATTATGGCAAACGACAGGCCAAGGACACTGAGCATGCTGAGCTTTCTGGGCAACTCGCTCTTGTATCCCATGGCCGCCAGCGCCTCGTCGGCGTTAGAATCGGAGTTGGGCATGATGGAGGGTGGGGATTCAAACGATGTCGATTGAACCTGGGGTCGGCCATCAAGCTGAAAATCTGGGGTATTTAAGGTCCAATATCAAGCCCAGTGGACATGTAGAGGGGGGAAAGGCGTGGCGTAACCCCGCGTGATAAGCATGGACGCATCGCGGTCTCGGTCCGCGATGCTGGTGGAGCGGCAGCATAGGACAGCTTATCAGCCGCGCTCTGAGCTCCATTGGTTGCGTGGGCCATAATCGAAGTTAAATCAACGTTCAGTTCAATTTCTTCCCCTATTATTGGTTAATAAGGCCTCCCCTCCCTAATTAACACACCGTGGGTTTCGCACTTCTCCCCAGTTTCTCGTAAGATGGTCCTCAACGGTTAGCCTATTTGCATGATAAGATACATGTATTAATTAGATAACGGACTATGGATATTTCATTTATGGATGCTTATCATGTTCCGGATAAACGCACGGCTATCCCAGCATCACTACGCGAAATCAGTAGCTGAAATGTAAGAAAGACAGCGGATACATTGGCTACATACCTTCCCAGCCCCATTCTTTCATCACACTGAGCCAATGCAACTCACTTTTCACCGTGACATTTGAGCACGGCTCTGGTGTGGCCATCCACGTGTCGGATCCCGTCGCGAGATGCTCAGCGGCTGTTAATTCAGATCCATGGCCCTCTGATGATTCTCCGAGGGCGGCTTCGTCACGTCTTCTCCAAACCTCCAGCGTCATATCAAGACACCTGTCTGCAATCCCAGAGCCATTGAAGGTGGACAGTGACTCCCATCGGGCACGGACCCAGTTGCAGTCTTCCGCACCTTCGGCTTCGCAGCCAGCGACCATAAGAGGAAATATGGGGAAGAAGACAGCCTTGGAGCTAAGAGGGACGGTCGCGATGGAAACAAGCACTTTTCGGGCGATATCCGGGTGAGATAGGCGACATGGAAGCTCTGGGACTGCCTGAAGAAGCAGTAGTAGTGTCGCCCACTTGTAAGCATTGGCGGTCTGAAACAAATCGGAGGCGTTTGGGGTGATGGTGTTGGTGGTACACGACCAATACAGTGGCAGTGGGCTGGGTGTCCAGCGGTCAATTGCGATCATGAGCTCCGTGCTAGCGGAGACAATGGCAGGGGAGTTTGTCTTCTGCGAGCTCCTGCGGACGCGGTTGACGAGATCTGCCACACACCCAATCAAGGGGAATAATGTATTGGCACAGCCCATGAGAGGGTCAACGTAGAGACCTGGATTGGGGTCTGATGTTGTTAAAATTTGATCGGCCATGAAGTCGACGTCGCCGGGTTGATCGTCAGGACAGGTTATCCGTGTGAGAACATCCATGTACGTCCATGTGTTTGTAAGGAACTTGAGGGTCGGACACTCATCCACTGGCCGTGTTGCAAAGCTGGTGGAGAGAGTTTGTATGAGGCCTCGGGCTTTCTTCAGGTGCCGGGTGCCGTTGTATGACCGGGGATAATACCAAGTCTGTGCCATTGCGAGGGCCAGGAGTGTGGTGGCCATCGCCTCGACTGACATGCTATCTTGCTGCCTGGTAGACAGCTCCTGCACACTGGTTTCGAGGTGACGAAGGCCATCGGCGCGGAGTCGAGGCAGGGCACTGAAACAAGTCATTGCAGCAACCGCGTGGTAAAGCGCAGGGTGCCTTTGAGCGAGTGGCCAGACTATCTGTCGCCACGGATTCCCACTGGGAGTATCCGCGATGCAAAGGACCTCGCAAATCCTGTATATGAAAACGCATGCAATATTCTCAGCGCTATGGTCACTGATGTCAGGACGACGGTACCAGTCAAGCAACCCCTGTTCAGTAAACTTAAGAGGCGGGTTATCACATCCATCGAGTGGGACATCCCATGGTTCGATGATCTGTCCATTCAGTCCACCAGCTGCGAGGTCGTTTCCTGCCGCCTGGGAGCTAGTACCTTCATTGGTTTCCACCGGGCCTGTGACACTGAGTGGGCCTTCAGGGAGCACGGTAATTGTATTTAAACCTGGGAAGAGGGCATCAAAGTCTATACCCGAGTCTACCGGAGTGGAAGCACCAGTATCGAGTAGCGGCGACAATTCGAAGCTCGGCAGTGTCTGATAATCCTGAAAGTCGTCGAAATAGCGTTCTAAATCCACCGCTGCTGAGTGAATTTCCCTCTCGTTTGAAGACCCTCTCCCTGGAATCCGCAATCTCTCCGGGGCGCTATCGACTTCCTTTCGCTTGTGGCCTATGATGGTCAGAAAACCCTGCTTGTGGATGAGAGAGCACACATGAAGAGTCAAGTACTTGCGGCTGACGATCGATTCGCCTCTTTTGGACCCAAAGGATTTTCAAACCCTTCATGCCTCCATCTAAGCTCCTTGTTATAGCCACCGCAAGCGACCCGTCGACGGAGACACTGGGAGCAAGCTGGCCTCGCCTCGTCGCACTTTCTGCGCTTAGCCCTGCAAGTAGTGCAGCCTATAGAGGTGGACTGTTAACCTGGTTGTGTGTTTGGAGTGAATAGCATTCACCATACCGTCACGGCTCTTCACCTGCTTAGGCCTTCTAATCTCTGGCTGACCATCTTCCTCTGGACGTCGACCCGGTAACAACCGCCGTGGCCTGGGTCTTACATTTGGGTTGTTCATTTCGCAATGCATTCACTCACCTAGATGGGTGGGAGTTGGAAGGAGAGTTGGAATGGAGAGAGTGTCAGATTTATCTGCACGGTGGTGTCTAGTGCCTCCAACCCCAACTTTGCATCTGTGCTATGACGCGAGCGGGGGAATTTTGGCCAGTTTGAGTTAATCATCGCTGACTACAATCAAACTAATAACGCTGCTGTAGATAGCTTATTCCAATAATAAATTCAGTTACATCGGGATTACGAATATGCCTTCTAGGACTTCAAAGACAGCGCCGCTCAAACCGCTGCAGTCACCCTGGTTGCCACTGACGCTGAACCTTTTTCGAATTCACTAGAGCACATTGCCAACACGCGGCTCTGGTAGTCTAGGATTAATGGTTAGCATTTACTTGGGCAAAGAAGAAAGACGTGGATACTCACACACTACACCGTTTTCCTTCTCTGGGTTCAAGAGGCCCGCATTATAGATACCGGCATTTAGATTCTCCTGGGCGCCAACACACAACCCTATATCCTCCAGTGCTACGTGGCGGGTAAATCTGAAAAACTCCTCGAATTCCGGGTGCCCGAGCGGCTCTTTATGATAGTAGTCAAACTCCATGACCGCTCGAGTGGGATCATCCGACGGACATACGTGCCACGAGGTCATGCCGCCGCCATAAACGCTCAATGTGGAATTGGGGAAGAGGTATACAAACACGCCGTCGCCGTCTGATCCATCGGCGCTCGTGATATGACGCGAGTAGTTGTGGTGGTTGATGACCTTGTAGGTCTGAGGCGCATACTTTCTGGCAAACTCCGGATGAGCGTATGCGCAGTGAAGACACTCCTGGTACCCGTCGATCATGGTCTTCCAGTTGTAGTCAACTGGGTATGTCAGTGGTCGTCGGATGGGGAGCTCAGTGAAGTCGACTTTCGAGATCAGCTCAGTCAGTCCCGGGAAGAACTCGTCGAAGCTGACTGTCTCGTCCGATAAGGTGATGAAGAGGAGACCGTTAGACGTGAGATGGGTGCGAATCTCCGAACCCTTTGGGAATTACCCATTGTTAGAATTGAAGACTTTGAAAGCAGGAACCGGGCTAGGCAAATACAGCCTTGGTGGAAACCTTTATGGTCCTCCAGTCAGGAGACGAACGGCGAATGACATATTCAATCTGCACCATTTCTCCGTGGTATTCCTGCTCGGCTTCAGGCCAGCGCGTCACTGCACCGAGAAGAATCCAACTCTGATACCAATTAGATCCCACACCAGTTTTGGAGAGTCACGACAAACCTTCATAAATATCCCCATCCTCTCCAGGTCGTACATTGCCTTGCTCGTATACCACGAGGCCGGGAGGGTAGTCTTGCAGGATGTCATATCGAAATAAGTACGAGATCTCTTATTGAAAACAGTATATGAGAGCCCAATGTTCAAGATTGTTCCAGGGAAATTGGACTCAGTATAGGCTACCGTTGATTCAAGTAAACCCCATTTCTATACAAGCACTTCTATGCTTTTGCCGAATTGAGTGTCTCATTGATGCCCTGAGTATGAAGTTCAATGGACGAATCGGGAAAAAGAAATCCTTGATTTGAAGGTCTCTGATTGGTCCAGACCGGGGAGGACCGGATATCCCGATCGGGAAGTTCGATTGCATGCCCGCCCACAAGCTCACTGGACATATGAGATATTTACTTCTTGAGAAACTATATCATCTTATTCGACAGTATTGTGAATCCTTCGATACGGTCACCCTTGATCAACATTCTAATTTGCCCACCCCGACACACTGTCACAACAAGAACGCTTGCTGAGATGGCGGACTATACTCACTTGGTCGCTATTGTCTATAGTGCATTACTCCCTGTCTTGATTGTCTCCATTGGCTTCAACCTCTGGTTATACAAATCACGGCCACACACCGATATCCAACATCAAGACGCGCAGCAGACGCAGCTCCCTTCCGAATGGTGGACCGACGAATCCCGATTCCAAGCCGAAAAGAGAGCTATATTCAGCCAGGTGAGTCGCCCGTCCTTGGAGAGTTAGTGTCTGCTCCCTTGAGTCACTGTTAACCACACATATTGGTATCGCAGACATGGATATGCGTGACCCATCGCGGCCGCTTCACAAAACCGGGCGACTATTTCTCCACGGAGGTCGCTGGCTTCCGTATATTCCTGATTCTTGGAAAGGATGGGCAGGTTCGCGCATTTCACAACGTCTGTCGCCATCGGGCATTTCCGGTCACAAAGAAGGCCGAAGGGTCGGCGATGATTCTAGGCTGTGGGTATCACGGCTGGAGCTACAATACAACGGGGGCTCTCACCAAGGCCCCGCTCTTTGACAAGGTCCCGGGCTTCAAGAAAGAGGAGAATAGCCTTTTCGAGATTCACTGCAGGACGGATGACGCGGGATTCGTCCATATCAACTTCGATCGCAGGAAGGGAGCTGCAACGGGGGGCAATGCCATCGTCCCGCGGGGGACAAAGATCGGTCAGCCTGTGATGATCTACCAGACTTCGCAGTTTCTTCACAGCTGGCTGATGCAGCGGAATTCTAACTGGAAGGTCATGGGTATGCCTACCACTGTCTATCCTTCCACCGTCTACATATGCTGGTCATCCAGACAAGCTGACAATGAGCAACAGTGGCCAACACCGACAACCGTGATATTCGCGAGAATTCATCTCTTATAGAGACAGGAATTGTTTCAAATTTAAAGGCCTTGCCTGACCTTGAACTGAACCATATGAGCCAGATCCGATTCGGCATGTTGACATCAATTTACACGAGGCGTGGTTCTCCGTTCTGGTTCCTGGTCACGTATTCTCCGGACTCTGTCGGCAAAACCACCCTGCGATGCGAGGCATACTCGGTCAAGAGACAGGGTACCCCGCTGGACGAGAAGATCAAGACGACCTGGGACGAGCAACTGCGGTTGAAACACGAGGGGTTTGAAGCAATTTACAGGAAGGCTATCCAGGATGGATCGCACTCGAAATCCCACATCTGTAGGTTCCACCTCCGGCGTGCTGAGTGAAGATCTACTACTGACCTTGGAAAGATGGTCAAACGCTCATTGCTGAAAAGGTGGACTCCCATCTGCAGCAGGAAATAGCGGAAGGCAAAGAGATCAAGCCGGCTGCGCTGCAGTCAGAGAATACAGAGCAATCAGAGGCAGAGATGCGTGAGTTATCCCATACCGCTCAAACAAGTACGAAGCTTACCAGTTTTCAGTATGCCAGGCAGTAGAATGTGCTGCTGGGGGGAAACTGGATTGGTGATTATTTTGTTAATTATGCAACCAAGGAGGTCATCGTATGAATGAAATTTATGCATAACGCAACCTGTCTCTTTCGGTCGATAATGCGGTACTCCGTTTGTGACATGCATTGTATTTACTGCAAGATATTGAATCGAGTAGCTGGCTTTCATAGGTGATATACATTTATTTTCAAACGGGCAGACAAGAAGAATGTATTTGGAGACGTCGGAACATATGTAGTACAAGAAGAGAGCTTCGGGCCACTCTACACTGAGTAATTATGTTGTTCGATTTCAATACAAGGTACGCTAAATATACTGCATTTGGCATTGGCTGTCTACTGTTGCCATGGCGTGTTGCACGGCACCGGACAGGAAGATAAGAGAAGCCCAGAGCGTGGGAGGACTTCAGTGATTGTGAACATGTTTGTATGTGAGACAGTCTATTTCTGGCTAAAGGACGTATATACACTCTTAACCAAGCATATACCATACTGGCGAGGTGTTCCTTTCGATGGCAGAGATTGGCGAAACAGCTTCCCTTAACCAAAGACTTTATCCAAAACCCTCTCAAATAAGGACCTGGGATAATAGAAGGAAAAGGCCAGTCAGACTTTAAACTCAGTTTCAAGGATATAGGTCGACACTTACGAAGACGGTTGAGGGATGTAATTTCTTTCGTGCTCCTCAATATCGGCGAGACCTTCGCTCAGGTCCACATCGGTTGGCTTCCTGATCTTTGTCTTATGAACAAGCTTCCATCCGGCATAGAGCACCGGACAGACGCCAATCATGGTATACCTATAGAATAGCCAGTGAGTGCGGCTGGATTTGCCTTCGCGGGGGAACATACGAGAATAAAAAGTCAGGCACCTGCCAGAAGCCATCCAGTGGCAGGAATACGGTGTATCCACCGACAAAAGTCATGACGAAAGTACCGATAAGCCCATACCACGCTGCATACGGCTGCAGAATACCCTTGTATGGTAGGCTATCCCGGGAGATTCCTTGTGCCTTGAGCGCGCGATAAAAGCATAGGTATGTCGTGCACATTACACTGAAGTTTATCAACTGTGATGCTGTCACTAGAGATACAAGCCAGTCGAGGACGACAGCACTGCTTGATGACAGCTGGAGAAATGCTAACAGTGCCACGAGGAGCACCAGCGAGACAGCGAAGAAGGGCACGCCTTTCTTGGTGCAATGCGCAAAGAGCTTGGGGGCCTTTCCCTCTAACGCAAGGCCGTATAGTGATCGTGACGCGCAGTAGACGTATGCGTTGCCGGCGGAAAAGGCGGCTGTTAGAACTGTTGCATTGACAATGTGAGGAAGTACCTTGATACGCAGACGATTCATCGCAACAACATAAGGGGATCCCGCTGCACCAGATTCGCCGTTTTGAAGAGAATCTGTTAGCTCTTGGTCATCATATGGAACCAGTATGCCAACGCAAAGTGAGCCGAGGACGAAGAAAACGGTCAATCGGTAGAAAACCGTGTTAAAGGCGCGGGGCATGATAACTCGCGGGTTCTGAACCTCTCCGGCGCTCATCGACACGTAGTCGGGCCCAGCAATAGTAAACGCGGCCTGGATCAGGCATTGCAGGAACCCAAGGAACCTTCCGAGTCTACCAGTATAGTAGAGCTCTGCAAATGCCCCCGGGTTGTTCCAGTAACGAAACCCAAAACGGTCCCCTTGTGGGTTACCACCGAGCATAGTGACAAAGGTAAAGATGATCAGGCCGACAATCAAGATTAACTTACCCAAAGCCGCCCAGAATTCAGACTCCCCATACCACTGGACAGCCTGAAGATTGAGAACGGCATATAGGACGATAATAATGGCGATAACCGCGGCCACAGGAATCGCATCAGTCCAAAATCGGATGATCAGGTTACAGGCCACAACCTCAAAGGGCACAAGGGCCGCCTGGAAGACAAAATAGTTCCAGCCGGCAGCGAACCCGAGGGCATCGTCGACATAACGCCCAGCGAAGCGGATGAACGGCGACGAGACGGGCAAGTATGTGACCATCTCGGCAGCGGACACTGTGACGGCGAGGACGAAAGTGCACCATATACTAAAGGCCAGGAATAGACTACCCGGGCCACCGTTAAGGAGGCCGTTCCCAATTTGTACCTATACAATCGCAAGTATGCGTTCAGTGTTAGAATGGATGCAGTTTATTTTGTATAAAGCAGAGAATATCGGTGCAGGACACCTCCCCTATACGAAACATACATAAAGAACAGTGCCGATAGTACCGCCAATGCCAATGAGCTGAATATGACGGGACTTCAGGTTCCGATGGGTTGTTTCAGGGTGTACCGGCGTCATCATACCCTGCTGCACTTCGGGTGGGTCGGGTTTCAGAGCGTTGGTGTTGCCCTTTTCGCTCTCCGCACCATCGCGCTTGGGAGGCATGGTGAAGGAGACGGGGATATCTCAGCGGATAGACCTCAAGAGCAAACTGAAAAACTTTACGTCGTATGTCATAGGGTGCAAAGTACCCGAAATAGAAACACACAGGAGCGTAATAGAAGACAAATTTCGAGAAGGGTTGTAGCCCTGTGGTTATAGTAGATGCACAGGGGAGCCAGGTCTTGCGCCAGGTATGGTCTGCATATATACATATTACAAGCCTCCAATTATCTTACGTTGTACGTCCGTGCAAGCACTATTGCAAGTTCTTGGCTTTAGATAGACTGTCTCCAATTGAGACTCTCCGCACGGACTAACTTAGCTGGGTGATTTTTTCCCACGTTAACATAGTCGTCAACCTGCAAAATCACTGCGGGGGCATACTATATTTTACTAATTCCCATTGGAGACATCTTGATTGGATAGATTTGCATTATCAACAAGGAAACAGTGCACTCACACTCATACCAAATCAAAGCTCTTCATCGCCCGTTACTATTAGCCCGAATTGGGCAGAAACACGTTTAGCTCTCGGGCAGATAAGCCGGTATGGGAAACAGAACTGCATAAACCTTACCAGGGGGCAGCAGAAAGCACCGACATTACGTAGCTCCCTCTAGGGATAACCGTTCGAGGAGTACAAGGGACTGGGTCGAAGCACCCACCAGCCAATGTAATCCCCCGATACCAACCAGTGTATGTAAGGGTTATCTTGTCCAAAGGATACGCAGCTTCTCATTTCAACAGAGGGTAAAGGGCTTGAAAGACGATCGTACTTGAAATATCAGTCTCATCCATATTCCTTCTTGTGGCATATTGCTACCAATGGATTCGGAGATAGTCGGGTCGAGCGCTTCTTCTACATACTCGTCGAGTTTCTACATTTAGCGAGCAAGAAATGAAATGCAATGAAGTAATTGAGATATGTTTATTGTAGTACTAATACAGGATTGATTTTGCTCACGTTCGTCGGGTGAAACCCGGTTTTCAAAGGCTGTTTCCCATCTGATCCATGGATGCTATATTTTCGATCGTGAGAGCTTCATGTGGCGGTTCACGTCCTTGTAAAGCAGGTAGCGAAAGTTACCAGGCCCACCGGCGTAACAGGCCTGTGGACAGAAGGCTCGTAGCCACATGAAGTCGCCCGCTTCCACCTCCACCCAGTCCTGGTTGAGTCGGTACACTCCCTTTCCTTCTAACACATACAGGCCGTGTTCCATGACATGCGTTTCGGCAAAAGGAATAACGCCGCCTGGCTTGAAGGTGACGATGGTGACGTGCATGTCGTGGCGCATATCGCTGGGGTCGACAAAGCGGGTGGTGGCCCAAGTGCCGTTGGTGTTTGGCATTGGAGTGGGCGCGATCTCCTTTTCGTTCAGGAACAGTGGTTCGGGTGCATCGAGGCCTTTGATGTATTCATACGCCTTGCGGATCCAGTGGAAGCGAGCCGTGGTTGAGCCGTTGTTACGTAGCGTCCAGCCACTATTTGGTGGCAGGAATGCGTATCCGCCCTCGGTGAGCGTGTGCGATGCGCCGTTCAGGGTGATGGTAACTTGTCCTTCGACAATAAATAACACTCCCTCGGCCTCGTTGTCGAGTTCAGCACGGTCACTGCCGCCCCCTGGCTGGACCTCGACAATGTACTGCGAAAAGGTCTCGGCAAAGCCTGACAGTGGACGAGCAATCACCCAGAGTCGCGTCTTGTCCCAGAAGGGCAGAAAACTTGTCACGATGTCGCTGAAAGTGCCCTTGGGGATGACGGCATACGCTTCGGTGAACATGGCGCGGTCTGTGAGCAGCTGGCTCTGTGGCGGCAGGCCGCCCGTTGGGGCATAATAGGTGCCGATTTTCTGGTCGTTTCCCATGGTGCGTGTTTTCTGGAACGGACGTGAGGGATGGATAAACCTGGTTGAGGAATGGGTTGTTCTTAAAGAAGAGTGTCGGAGCTGGCCGAGTTGTGTTGGTCGGTTGTCGCCGTTCGCGGGGCACAGTGGCGCGGAATTCCCCAATTCCCCAAACGGCCCTTTAGCCGAGATAATTAATGGTCATTCACTGCGATAAGCTTATTTCCGTTCCAGATTATACGAAGCTTAATGGACAAAGAATCGTTCCAGAATCATGGTAGACTGGTGGTGATGCAATTGATTTTCTTACACTGCTGTCAGATATATATAACCTGTCACCCTGTGGGTTTTATTCCCGACTGTGTAGTCGAGCCGGAGATTTCCGAGTTTATTGCGATAAGCTTACTATGGGCGAACAGGAGAATTTATATGACTTTATTGTCGTCGGAGGTACAGTAGTTTCTCTCTTTCCTACTCTTCCTTCCTGGTTTGGTTCCATATCTTTATTGCAGCAGAATGACACGATTAAACTGACTATTTCAGGCGGACCTGCCGGCTGTACTGTCGCGACGAGCCTGGCAAAAGCTGCAGCCAAACCCAGTGTTCTGCTCCTCGAAGCCGGCGGATCCAATGGAGCGAAGAACCTGCGTATAGACGGCAGGCGGTGGTGCACGTTCATCGAACAGGCACCGTCCATGAACTGGGGACTCAAAACAGCACCGCTGACAGAGTGTAACGGGCGGCAAATCGACTACAGCACAGGCAAGGGCCTGGGTGGTGGGAGCGCCATTAACTTTGGTGTCTTTGCTGTCGGTGCTCGAGATGACTATGAGGCATGGGCGGAGATTGTGGAGGATTCCAACTTTGCTTGGAGAAAGATGCAGGAAAGAATTAAAAGGCTGGAGAGCTTTTCAGGATTGAAAGATGATCTTGTCAAGGGTAATCATGGGTATGATGGGCCGTTGAAAGTTGGGTATGCAAAGCAATGGGACAGAGACCTTGTGCCTCTGTTGGACTCGTTCGTCGAGGCTGGATTACAGAGGAATCTCGACCACAATTCTGGAAATCCGCTAGGTCTGGGACTGACCATTAACTCTGCGTGTAACGGCAGAAGAACTACCGCTGCAGATATGCTGGCTCGGGCTCCTGATAACTTGGTTGTTGTTACGGATAGTCCGGTGCAGCGCGTACAGTTGGATGGCAAGAAAGCAGTAGGTGTAGAGACAAAGGGGAGGAAATGTCAGGACTTTCCAAGGGAACTAGACAGGTATTTTGGAAACTGACGCTCCTCAGATTTCGCCCGGAACGAAGTGATTCTATCTACTGGAGCCTTGGTGACCCCCAAGATCCTGATGCACTCAGGAATTGGTCCTGCAAGTCAACTCGCCAATTTTAATATCCCAGTCGTCCATGATCTTCCGGCTGTTGGGCAAGGCCTTAAAGACCATCCGTTCGCGCCTATGATTCTGGCTCGAGATCCATCGACAAACGACCGGAACTCGTTCTTCCAAGACAAAAAAGCCATGGCGGATGCATTTGAACAATGGGAGGAAGATGGCACCGGACCATGGGCGTGCTACGGCTGTCAAATTGGCAGTGGATGGCTCAAGTCCGACCGTATCACCTCGTCTGCCGAGTTCAAGGCCTTACCATCTGCTACTCGAGAATTCATGACCCGCGAGACAATTCCGCAGTACGAGCTGATCACCAACTTCCCGGTTCATCTTGTCCTTCCAGATCTGTTCCAGGACTACTCGTATATCTGCTTGACAATGTTCCTTATGAACCAGCAGTCTACTGGCGAAGTGAAACTGCAATCCGCAAACCCCGATGACCCGCTACTCCTCGACCCCAAGTTCCTTGAGCATCCCTTTGACCGCCGGGCCTGTATTGATATCTATCGCCATGTATTAGAACTGACCAAACACCCTGCCATAGCCAAAGATACAACCGCCACGATCCTTGGGTCGAAGTCCGAGTCCGATGAGGATATTCTGGAGCACTGGAAGAACAATCTTTCCTCGAGCTGGCACATGGCGGGGACAGTCAAGATGGGAAAAGATGATAAAGATGCAGCAGTGAATAGCCGCTTCCAAGTTTTCGGAGTCGAAAGGCTGCGAGTGGCTGATATGAGTGCTGTGCCGCTGTTGACAAATAACCACACCCAGGCTACGGCGTATTTAACGGGGGCGACTTGTGCGGATGTCTTGATCGGCGAGTACAATTTAAACGAGACATAAGTAGTTATCAGTATGGTATCTGATTTTTTTAACTGCAACGTCGGGCCACTCATGTGCAGTGTAGATCGTGATGATAGTTTCCTGAATGGAGCGACGCCACTACGTCATATTCAACGCGGAGATATTTAATGCCCATCAAAACAACCACCTCAACTCCCCATCTACAATATTATTGACAGCAGTATGGGTTCCAAAATTAAGCTCATTTCCAATCCCCGCTACCAGAAATCTGGTACCAAGTCGTATGTCCACCTCATGCGCAAGTACCGCTTCTCCCCGACAAAAGGGGGGCGGTACTTTTACGGCGGCCATCTGCAGCAAACAGGGCGGCAATACACCAACAAGCCCATAGGTGGCAAAGCCCGCATCCAGCGCGTTCTAAGAAAGAAAGTCGCGGACACAAATGAAGTTGGCGAAGTTGGTGCCGACGATGTTCAGAATGACTCGATGCACCTGGCCCCAGTAAATATCGGAACCCCCGCGCAGACGGTGAATCTGGAAATTGACACAGGATCTGCGGACCTCTGGGTAAGTGACGTCCCATGGAATCAAGGATAAATTCTGATGAAGTAGGTCTGGTCGAGCGAGCTCCCCTCGGAGACCGTCTCTCAGCACACCGGCACGGTCTTTGACGCGAGCAAGTCAAGCTCATTCAAAAAGTCGGATTCCACGTGGAAGATTTCGTATGGCGACGAAGCCTCTGCCTCTGGTACAGTAGGAACAGACTTAGTATCTCTTGGTGATTTCAAGGTTGAGAACCAGAGAATTCAGCTGGCCGACACCATATCAACCCAGTTCCAGGGTACTGGCGACGGCGTGTTGGGTTTGGCATTCAACAATATCAACACCGATAGATCGCTCGTGAAGAATCTGATTGCACAGGATATCTCGAAGTCTGCCAATCTGTTCACTGTCAAGCTGGGGCACTGGAAAGACACAGAGCCGTTCTACACATTCGGATTCATCGACCAGGAGACGGTCAAGGCGTCCGGAGACGACATTCATTACACTCCGATCGACCAGACTCACGGGTCGTGGCTCTTTGACTCATCTTCTGCGACTGTAAACGGGAACATGATAACAAGATCAGGAAACAAGGCTGTTGCCGATACGGGGACACCTTTAGCACTGGTAGACGACGACACGTGCAAGGCGATATATGATGCCATTCCCGGAGCACACTACGATGAGGATAGTCAAGGCTATATTTACCCTTCTGATACAACAGAGGACAAGCTACCCGTTGTCTCACTTGCTGTGGGAGAGAAGCAGGTTGTCGTCCAAAAGGAGGATCTGGGCTTCGCCGAGGCCAAGTCTGGATATATTTATGGAGGCATCCAGAGCAGAGGAACTTTGCAGAATGACGTCCTTGGGTCTACACTCCTCAACGGGATTTACGCTGTACGTCGCATCCTTCGTTTGTGAGCCATTTCTAACACCGGTAGATATTTGATGTCGGTAATTCGCAATTCGGGGCAGTACAACCGAAGGGCGTGCGGCAAAGTCTGACTATTTCTCAATGAACAGTCGCTGCTCTATATTTGGGAGATGGTACGTAGTGAAAGGCGCAGTCTCGTACGGTGAATAATAGCCCGCTTGGACAGTCGTATCTATCTCGGACCGGAAACCTGTATATAAATGTTTACTGCTATATAAATAAACCCGCGGTTCAAGTGACTGACAGGATGTTTCTAACTATTCTATTTTATGTAAAAGCTAGCGACCGAAGTACTTCAGCTCCAAATACCTAGCTGGTGGGTAAGACAGCGCAGTAACGACAAAGGTCAGCTCGTTGGCAACATCACCACCAGACTCGCCGATAATCTTAGCCAAAGGACCAATAAACCAGGTCTCGTCCATTCCCATACACCACGCTACAATTCCCAGACAGAATGAGACCGCAGCAGCAATACCGATAGGTAACCTGGCCGGGTCGTTCCATCCTTCCAGGTCGTAGTTATCGAATTTGCCCTTGCGGAAGATAAAGTGCTCCTCAAATAAGATAATCGCATAGCTGGTACACCAATAACCAAGCAAGCTCAGAAAGTTTTGAAGATAGTCATTTAACTTTGCTCTTCCACCAACTGCTAGCGCCAATATACAGGCGAAGGAGAATATCGTCCACAGAAAACGGGGAATGCGAGCGAACGGTCGAGCCAGCTGCTGAAAAGAGATGGCAGAGCTGTAGATGCTGATCACATTTTGATTGATGCCAGACAGAACCAGAAGGGTCAGAAGGAACTTGGCAAATCCCCGTGGATACAGCATGTCCTGGATGAGATAGCCCAGCCCTTGGTCTTCGTAGGCGCTTTGCCATTCTGGTTTGTTTTGGAACGCAGAAGCCACCACGCATCCAGCAATCATGGGGATACATGTCGGCAAAGCAATACCAAAGGTTGTTAACAGGAAGACTTTCACGCGGTTGACGTCGGCAGGATAATGGACGTAGTAATCGCTGGCCATGGTGCACCACGAGGCGCTAGAACCGTAGACAACTGCCAGCAGACTGAGAAGCGATCCAGACAGCGTCAGTCCCTCTGCAGTCGCTGGACTCCTGTTATCGGCGTACTGACCAGTCTCGCCGTAGATTATCATGAAGATAACAAAGAAGATCATCCATGCGTATCGTTCATAGACCAGAATCGCGTTCAGCCCGATAAAGGAGATCAAAAGTGCCACGACAGCGAGGATGACAATCCCCAGGATCAAAGACACATGGCCATCGGAAACTGCAGTCAAGGCCAGGCCACCAGTTATACACGAAACAGCTGCCCAGCCCAGTTGCTGGATACCGTTGAGAAGTGCAGGGAGTTTGTTGGGCCACCATCCAAAGCTGTATCGACTCACGCTGATCTGACGCAGGCCAGTCGCACCACCAAATGTCGCACAGAATCCAGTCAGAGCACCGCCGAGAAGCGAAGCGAACACGATGATGAGGATGGACTGCTTGAGATTGAGGCCGAATTCCCAGCCGAGGAAGCCTGTCGCAAAACAAGAGGTGTTCATGACTCCACTGGCCCACAGCAGCGCCATCGTTAGTTCTTCAAACCAGGAGACTGGCTTCTTGTCTTCCGGACGTTTGCGATCGATGGCTTCAGACTCGACGCCGAGTTTTCTGTCCATTCGCTCCTCCAGCCTGTTGAACCAGGCCAGAATACCTGGGGAACTGTCGACAGGGGCCTCATTGGAGCTGACCTCGGTGCCTTTCTCAGTGGGAGCGCCCTTTTCGGGGTCAGAATTGGATTCCATTGTTAGAAGAGAACTGGATAGACGAGAGGCAGAAATTCATATCGCTGCAGGCGACGGAAAGAAGGGAGGGGAAGTGACAGCGGCTTATCACGTACAAATTTCAGAACGCCCCACAAAAGTTTGAACGGTTGAGAACGCTTGTCGAAAGCTTGTCGGATCACTGACTAATAGGAATTATTTTCTTATCTTGTCTATCATCTGGTACAGCTCCTACGCATAAGTGGGCAGGCAATTTTGTTCAAGTATTTCCTTGCGTACTTTAATTATAGCGACATTGTTAATATTATAAGATAACTAGACGATTCTTGCAATCCTTAAGACTGCAATAACACTCTTTATCACCTACTATACTGATATTGAAGTTCAAAATTTACTCAGATCTTAGTATGTTAAAAGTGGTAGTTTTGGGTGATACACCTGCGTGCGAAGCGCCCGGGATTGACGTTGTGCACTGGTATATCAGGTTAACGTATACGGGCTGAATGGAGCGTGCAATCTCCCGCCATCAAATTAGGTATGCTCGACAGGAGGCGACCTCTTCGACGGACGAATTTCTACTCTATGATATGTGGCTGTTCCAGTAATTGTCTCCAGCAACCCGAGTTCGGAGAAAGGGTCCACGTATTGCATATTTTCAACATGTCCTTCAAAAAAGTCCTCAGAAAGGTCGTGGGCATTTTTTCAGACTCGATGACAATTCTATCTAGAAGGCATCAGAAAGCGACCCTCGCGTGCTAGAGATGTCGCCGGCGCAAACTCGGTTTATATTAGTTCTCCGCAATAAATCACAATCCCCGCGGGGATAGGTGATGCTCATGATTTACATTGAAGCAGTAAAGTCATTTAGCCCTGATCCATGTATGCTAACCAGCCCGCCCGCAGATCGACGGCGAACTTAGAAATGGGTCACCACCAACGTGGCCACTCCCAGGTAGGGAGGACTGGAGGCATGCTCTAAAGATAAAAGTCATGAGTGAGTCACTTGGAACTGCCGACCTCAGAAGCTTTGATATATTTTATTTCTCAAGAGCACGCAAACCGTCATTGCTGGGCTTCGTGCTCGTCACAGAGGCCCGCGTTTGTGTAATGCCTTTTGGTTATAAATCTGGGTCAATGCGCGGGTAAAGGGGATTATAGAACCGTTATACCCCTCTTCTCTCCGGGTTAGCTTGGATGGCAGTCAGTAATATTTATTAAGTACTTTGAATGATTTAATCGGAAGGAGTGTTTGTGGGCTAGTTATAGACTAGAATGGGCCATTTCGTGCCTGTTTCGGTTTTAATGCTGCTCTTATGTAAATTTGGTATCTGGAAAGCCTCTAACAGAATACCTCGGGCTTTATGCAGATAATGCAAAAGGTAATTTAAACCATGTACAAACCGTATGCTATTTCGTAGTGTTGGGATGGGCGTTTTCCAGGCGGAATAAAGTACCGCTATCCGGCCATTTACCATAATAACCGCCTATTATCCAGGACTCAAGGAGCCGAAGGAAGATATAAATCCACAAAAAGTCAGCTTGTCATGGTCTAATTCGTAACCTTTTGAGAGACAGTCAATTAAGTCCCAGCCTCAACAACCTAATTACCGAGTGTTCATGGCCGCCTTTACCCGTTTGGCTGTAGCTCTAGCCTTGGCTATAGGTGTTGTGAAAGCATCTCACCATAATACTTTTGACAATGTGACCATATTTACACCACCTGAAAGCTGGGAGGACCGGCAAACCTCCTATGGGCGGACAATTCTCCTTAATCACCAGCAGGAACATCACAAACACCCTGTTATGCTCTCGACCTGGTCATTCGGGGCCCCCGACGGACCATATCTACCAATATTCAAGTCTAAAAATGAAGGCGAGTCCTGGTTTGAGTATTCAAAGCTCTACTTCACTCATCAGAACTACACTGGCGGTGGCATCTGGCAACCATCTCTATACGAACTGCCACGGCAAGTGGGCGACTTCCCACCCGGAACGATTCTGGCATCTGGAAATGCCATTCCCAAGGATTTTTCATCCACAAACATTGAGGTCTATGCCAGTCGAGACGGAGGGTAAGCCGCCCACACCCCACCTGACAATCCGGCGCCCTTCTGTTGCTAATTGGTGCTCAATCCATCAGGTTGACCTGGGAGTTTGTATCCGTTGTCGCTACCGGGACTGCACCCAACACGACCAATGGGGCCCATCCAATCTGGGAGCCGTTTATCATGTTGTACGAGGACCAACTTACCGTCTACTACTCGGACCAACGCGATCCATTGCACGGTCAGAAGCTGGCACACCAGTCGACGCGGGATCTTGTCCACTGGGGACCCATAGTTAACGACGTGGCATATGCTAATTATACCCTGCGCCCCGGTATGACTACTGTGGAAAAGTTAGGCAATGGGAAGTACATCCTATCCTATGAGCTTGCCTTTGCAGCCGAAGTGCCTTATGCTGTTCATTACCGCATTGCGGATAGCCCACTCGAGTTTGACAGTGCCGAATCTCACCTCCTCAGGTCCCAGGATGGAACAATCCCTGCGGCATGCCCATATACGGTTTGGACACCGGATGGGGGTCCGGATGGGACGATCGTTCTCAGTGATGGAACGTATGAGGAGGTTTTTATCAACCGGGAGAATGGCCATCCGCATGCCTGGATTAAAGTCCCCACTGGAAAGGGCGTTGCGTATTCGAGATCCTTGACAGTCATGCCGGAGAAGAATGTGATCTTGTTCCTCAATGGGGGATTGTATGGGGCAGAGAGTACGACAGTAACTGCAGGAGAGTGGGAGATCCCGACACATCCTTGAGAACTGATTTAGAATCTAAATTGGCTAATTGAGATTTGCCTGTCTGCTTTGAAGCGATAAATGAGGTATTTAACCACACTAGGCTAAAATAAATTACCAAGGTTGTTGGCATAAATCTCCAGCCAAGGAAGGATCATCGTCCGGTTTAACGCGATCGAAAGCAGGATTTCCATTATTACTACAACGGGAAGATTTCCAGTGCGGGGAGGCCAAGATCTGTGGGGTAGAGGCCGACGACAGGGTTGGCTCAAATTCAAGGATTGATCACCCTTAGGCAAGGCTGTAAATCCTAGGAAGCGGGCAATACGGAGCGCTTGACCAAATGGGTATATTCACTGCTCCCGTGTTTCAGGTATAGGATCGTCACGAGTCATTAGCCGGTCCCTCTTCCTTGAACAGCATATAGACCGGCTTCCCATATTGAGATGCGGTACAGATCGCTGAGAGCAACCTATATTGAAGACCACACTCCTTGCTCCTATCTTGACCACACGGGATCATGGCGGCCATCTCGAAGTTGATAGCTTGGAGCTCCATGCTAGTCCTCGCTCAATCTACTAGGATAGAGCGCCGATGGAACAACTCCATTGGACTTACTCCACACATGGGCTGGAGTAGCTGGGTATTATCATTTCCACAACGTACCCTCTTATGTGGGCTTCTCCAGCTAAGGCCCTTTAGAACGTCGCGCAATGTGATTCTGCATCGGAGAAATACGCTTTGGACACCGCAAACCGGTTTGTCGAGCTGGGTTTAAAAGACCTCGGATACACTTACATTAACATTGATGACTGCTGGTCAACTAAAGAAAGGGACGGGGAAGGCAACCTTGTTCCTGACCCTACCAAATGGCCTAACGGAATCCGCGCTGTAGTAGATCAAATCCACGACATGGGGCTGAAATTTGGTCTCTACGGGTGCGCTGGTGAATTGACCTGCGCCAGCTACCCCGGTTCCCAGGGCCATGAGGTGCAAGATGCGCAGCTCCTAGCCTCCTGGGATATTGACTTTTGGAAGCACGATAACTGTTTCACCCCATGCACTACTGAGCCGCCGCCCCAGACCTGTTGGGAAGATTCCGTGGACACCAGGCCATGGTATGTGACAATGCACGATGCGCTCCAGAGTGTATCTGATACAAAGGCGATCTTGTTCAATATGTGCCAGTGGGGTAGGAATGAGGTGTGGACTTGGGGGGCTCCGTTAGGCCACTCTTGGCGCATTGAGGGCGACAACTGGGGAGACTGGGAATCGGTGATTAGAATCGGTGCCAGGGCATCGGATATCTCTGAGTTTTCGGGTCCGGGGGGCTTCAATGACCTTGACATGCTAGTAAGTGGGCTCTCCAACCACTATCCGTGAAGCATTACCGGGCAGCTAAGATCGAACTGTCCAGTTTGTGGGTAATGGGGTGTTAACAGAGCCCCAAGAGCGACTGCATTTTGGGCTCTGGGCAATTACTAAGTCGCCCCTCGTCATTGGAGCTGATCTGAATACCATTCCGGAGACATCGCTGGCTATCCTGACCAACAAGGTAAAGTGGTAATCCATAATCACTCTGCGGCAACCCATCGTGTTAATGGCCAGGTAGGATATTATTGATATCAATCAAGATGAACTTGGCATCGCTGCAGGCATCTTCCAGCCCCCAAGCGCCCCTGCACCGGTCGCTGGCGAAATATATCCGTACTGGGCTGGGCGAGTGAGTGACGGCGTAGTGATTGCATTCGCTGCCGCCAGCGGTGGGGGGGAATTTTCAGTCAACTTTGTTGATGTACCAGGGCTCCAGTCGGGTCCCTATGAGTGGAAGGAGCTGTATTCTGGAGAGACTGGTACTGGCGAGGGAATCACTTTTGATGTGGCAGATGACGACTTTGCTATCTTCAAGGTCACGACTGCTTGAATTATGCATACTGGTAGCATAGTCCTTAAGTCTGGGAGAATCGGGTGTCTGTTGGTAATCCCCGCCCGCTAATAGCTTATGCTGGATTAGAAACGGGAAACTAGATTAGGGATTAACTTTATTAAGAATACACCCTCCTGCTGTTGATTCTTACCCGTATAGAATAATACCCAGATCTATTAATTATTGTCTCTATAGAATAAGATCCAGGTCTATTAATTCTTATTGATATCTTGAGAAGTATTAATGGAAGCAGGGTGCAGACCCACTAGTCACCGACAGCAAATAGGGTCAACATAGGATTCTCTTGCCCTTTGCTATGTACCAAGCGAAGAGGAATGACAGGTCAGACAACACGTTAAAGGTACGATTGATGGCTGGCGCTTAATACTTATCTATGGATGATAGATGGGCTTGTTCGCCAGCCTCGAAACACGAGACAGTATCAAACACCACAAAGCACTGCCTTATCGGCTTTTAGACTTACGACATGATACTATAAGCTTCCAAGGAAACCCTTGAGAGTCGAATCAGGATATTACCAAGATCTCCTAAGAGTGCAGCATCTAGATAGCTTAGCACGACGTGTACTAGAAAACAAGGTAAAAATCAACATGGCTTCTATATTGAACACGTTCCCCGGCCAGCATTAACCATATCCACCGTTTCATTGCGACGACTCGATACTGTAACATGTAGTCCACACTGAGGTGATTTATCTCTGTCCACTCAGAGGGCAGCGGGATCCGCGGGCTCGAACCCACATGTCAGCAATTGGGGCACCAGGGGTGGATCCAAGTCATCGGCAAATCTATACAACCTTCACGGCACAGACTTGAAGTTATCTCCAGGCAATGCTTACAGAATGACGTCTGGCGAAACCAAACATCAACTGGCAGCGAAGCCATAAATATCTTCATCTGGTCGTTCAAACCCTCTACTGATCTCTCCTTGTTCATCCCTAGTGCCACCATCACCGCTAATCCACCATGGCCAACTACAAGTTTGAGGGCTGGCTGGGCGACAAACCGGAGTCGGCCGGCGGCCAAATGCAATGGGGCGCGTTTGAACCTAAAACATGGACAGAGGATGATGTTGACATCAAAGTCACCCACTGCGGCATTTGCGGTTCTGACCTTCACATGCTGCGCTCTGGCTGGGGCCCAACAGACTATCGTATGAACACGAGTTGGCCCTACCCTTTCTGTTTGTTCACGACGGCTGATGTCATCTCTTTTGTCTAGCTTGCTGCGTCGGGCATGAGATTGTCGGCACCATTGTGCGTGTAGGTAAGAATGTCAAGCAGCACAAGCTGGGTGACCGCGTTGGTGTTGGCGCCCAAGCGCGAAGCTGTATGCAGGCAGACTGCCCTGACTGCTCCGTCGGCCAGGAAAGCTATTGCAAGCGCTCCAATATCCACACCTATGGTTCTGTCTTTCCCGAAGGTGGCAAGTCCTATGGCGGGTACGCTGATTACCACCGCGTGAACCAGCACTTCGCCATCAAGATCCCCGACGCGATGCCATCCGAGCACGCCGCACCCATGATGTGCGGCGGTATCACTGTCTACTCGCCGCTGAAGAACCATGGATGCGGCCCTGGCAAGTCCGTTGGCATTGTTGGTGTCGGCGGTCTGGGTCACTTTGCCGTCATGTTTGCAAAGGCCCTTGGGGCTGATAAAGTAGTTGGTATCTCGCGTCGGGCCGCCAAGCGCGATGATGTATTAAAGCTGGGTGCCGATGAATACATTGCAACTGCGGATGATAACGATTGGGCGCAAAAGCACGCTGGCAGCTTGGACTTGGTTGTCTCTACAGTCTCGGCTACCAATATGCCCATGAATGAGTATTTGGGTCTAATCAAGACTGGCGGCACATTTGTGCAAGTTGGGTGAGTCTCGCAGATAACCACCTATGAATTATTCTAGACGTGCAACCTATCTGACTGAAATCCTTTTCCGCTCAGGGCCCCCGACAACGGAGAGCTACCACCAATTAATATCTTCACCCTTTTGGTTAGTGCAGTGAAAGTCACGGGCAGCGCCATTAGGCCACCTGCACAGATCAAGGAGATGCTCGATTTCGCTGTTGCGAAGAACATAGTTCCCTGGGTAGAGAAACGTCCAATGGCGGAGGCAAACAAGGCCATTGTGGATATGGAAGGAGGCAATGCGCGCTACCGATATGTTCTCGTCAATGAGAAGCATCTCTAGATTTGGCCTCTAGTATTCGATATGAGTATGGAGTTTGGAGTTGTGGGCGGCGGTTGCGGATAGGAGTTGAATGAAGTTCCAATAGTGTCTACCAGGATGTAATCTGCTCGTATGTAGTCCAAAACAAGTGATGAAGATATATATCACCGAGTTTCAAAGAGTTTGACAGCTCTTTGTAGTCAACATGCCGCTCCCTTCAATACAGGAACCCCCGGCTCATTCTCTACTCTCTAGCTATCTTGTGTAACAACGCTTCATGTTCTTCGGATGTAACACACCTGTGACTCGACGAGGATACTGGGCAATCTTATTGGCTCTGCAGGAAATGGATGATCGAAGAGAATGAAGGGCGTGGTAGCTTCAGTATGACCTAATTGAGCTGCCAGGCATGTGCTGTAAGTAGCAGTTCCTTTGGGAGACCATCGTGTCGGAGAAGACGTTGAACACTAGCTACGGTTCAGATCAACGTCTCGCAGAGTCGATCTGCGTCTCGCCCAACCCAAGCTTGCGCAATTATTTTGGAACGCATCCAGGTCAGGAAATATGAGGCAAAACTTGAGATATCGAGGATTGAGACAACCATGCGGAGGCCCACAGGTTCCAAGTAGGTGAGTTGTGGTCTGCTCGTATTACCACCACCACAATGGACTTACCTTCAGAGCCCAGGTGGAATGGACGGCCAAGACGAAATAAGCAACATCGTCACCGTTTCTAATTTCACTTTGTATTTGCCTGGGTTTATTTTCATGAGTTGTATCTTCCTTAGCATTCATCGCAGGGACACTCGGTATCACAAGACATATCGTCTCCCAGGTGGTACTTTTCATGATCATCCATGCATACGGCGTTGGCACGCTCATCCTGGGTTCGATATACGCCCTAATCGCTGTCCGCTAATTGGGTATTTGTTCTTCGTTCTCGACTTGGCTGCGCCTTGGCACATACCCAAACACACTTTATCGTCTCTCGGTACATTAATCAATGCTTAGTGAAGGCAGTCCGATCCGAGATGGAGCCTTTCACTCAAAAACTCTGATAGATTGGTCTTTCCAACTCTACCATTGCTAAACCAACGTGGGATGCTTGTAAAGTTTATAAGATAGTGGGTGATTCTAAGTATCATAAAATGTGCATGCTGGCCATCTTAAACTGTTTGTTCCTTTTAGTGACCTGCTGGTATAACCTCAAATAAGAGGCAGGTATTCGCCAGGGCTGATCCACTCCGTAATCTGATATTGGGTACTTCCGTTCGCTCTCCAAGATACTTCTGGGTGTAATTGCCAAGAGAACCATCTCTCGATCATGCTACAGCCAGGGGGCTGCAAACGTACTGGAAATGGGAAATCCAACTCATGCCAGCAGGCTGGGCATAGGGGATATTTATAAAACTAGTACATGGCGGGCCCGAACTAGTCGAGTAAGCCAACTGAGGCCACCAGCTGTTGGCCCCCAATAATTCTGTGGAGGCAGGCCCCATTTTATGTGGCTTACGCCTGACTTTGCGAGAACTGGGCTGTGCTAGGCCATTTGCGCAATGTTGGATCTACAATTCATAAACAGTGAAGACAAGATGGCTCAAAAGATATAGAAAGACCTATAACGAAGAATTCGCCGACATCAATCAAGTCAAGAGTCGAGCACCCAATTCCATCCAAGCTGCAACGACCCAGTGCTCCCATTCAGCCGCAGAACGAGACGAACCAACCTAACAGCTGTCAGCGCTAACAAGCACGAGCATTAGACCCACTTAGTTGGGGCCGTTCAAATTTCTTTAATATCTGTTCTAGAATCCTGCGGCCGAACTGCCAATCACAAACACGCCGAGTGATCCAGCCGCGAAGGAAGGCAAGGCAGTGCAGCTCCTTCACCATCTCAGCCTTACCCCGTCGTGACATTATTAAACTACTCTAGGTCTGTGTTTATTTCTGGTTTTGAGTCTGATTTTCCTTTAATACGCGACTCGGGCTCCTGTGTCCCCCCGACCCGCAGATCTCAAACATTGACTGTCCCCTACTTTCGTTTCTTCCCGAACCACCACATATAATATAGACAATGTCCGCAAACTCAGACTCCGACTGTGCCTCCGGCTCAAAATCCTGCACCTTCACCTGTCCTGCCGGCGGCACATGGTATGCCTGTCCGGACCCCCCCTATTTCGTGGGCTGCTGCTCGTCCGACCCATGCCATAATACCAACAGCAATAATACATCTCCGTGCCCGAATGTCCACGCAGCATCGTTTGACACAAGCATCTTCGACAGCCTCACACCGAATAACTGCATTGATGTTCCTAGTGATAACTGGTACACGTGTAATGGCACCGACGTGCCGTTCATAGGCTGCTGCGCATCGAACGCCTGCGCCGAGTCGACGGGGTGTCCAAAGGACGACGTGCGTGCAGCGGCTTGGAGCTCGTCGAGGGAGGATCAATTTACATTGTTTCAGGATGCGGATGGGGGGGACGATGGTGATGACTCGGGGGATGATGGGCTCGGGGCCGGCGCGATTGCAGGTATTGTGGTTGGGAGTGTTGCTGCGGTGGTGATTGTGATTGCGCTTGCTTGGTGGTTTCTTAGGAGGAGGAAGATGCAAAAGCAGGACACGTCTGCGGGGAAATATATGGGTCCTGCGTCGCCGTACCAGGGTATGACTCTCTCTGTTGACTATATTTATCTGGATTTGCACGCTAACAGATGTAGACTCGCACTTTTCCAGCCCCGGGGGAACGACTGTCGGTCCAAATACAGGGTACCTGTCTATGTCCCCAGCAGGAGTTAGTAGTATGCCCTCATCGCCCCCGCTGCCGTCGGAGTCTGGGCGAGCAGTATCGGAGCTATATTCAAGCGACACGGATGTGCAACATCAGTATAAACACGGATCGGGTCAGCATGGGCTGGGGGTACTTGGCGCGACGCCGCAGCCAATTCCCGAGCTGGATAGCACGAATCAACCACCAGAGATCCACGAGATGGATGGGGGGAGTCGGTCGTAACGAGAACTCTGCAAGCTTAATGATAAAGTTAGATAGACAGGGCTTTCTTTCGAAGCTAAGCCTGAGTGTATACATATGCATGTTTAATAAATAATCCGAAGCGTTCTATCTTCTCTGCGATCTGATATTGCAGTGGCATCATACATTCCCCGGTTAGGATCATTCTGGCTTCCACCGTTCCACAAATCGTCGTCCAGCCATGTTGTACTGATAGCCAGTTGCTGCGGGAAAACTCCAGAACGATATAGCGTGGGACGCCTGGCCGCAGAGGGAAGGCAACGTTACTACCATGTCTGAGTTGAATTCTCGGCAGGACCATCGTTTATTTGAGCACTGCCACTGGAGATACTGGGAAATGCGTCAGAGGAATGACCTGCATAATATCAAGTAACCTGGCTGCACGTAATCCTACACTGCCCTTGTTCAGCTCCTGGTGGTCCCTCCCTAGCCAAGGAAGTTCTCGTAGGGCCAGCCATCAGCAACGAACGTATCCCGTAAGCAACCCGTTGCATTTCGCTTCATAGAGGTTAACGCAATGTTCTGCAATACAGAGGATAGTCGGTCCTTTCGCGGACCTGCAGCTAGGATACACGCGTTCATGTGCTTTCGCTTCCGATAGGAGATTCCAACATGGCGTTCCTTATTCTATCTAACCTGAATAATGTACTTGCATGGAAAGTCATTGGCTATGCAGGGTCATAACTCGCTGTTGAAGCTATTCACAAACAGGTCCGGAGGCTCAAGGCTCACGGTAGAGTGTACCCTCCATCCACCACGATGTCCGCCCCAGTAGTGTAGCTGGAGGCGTCGGAGGCAAGGTAAAGATAAGCCCCGTTCAGCTCGTGCGATTCACCTTCACGACCCATCGGGATCTTATCCTTCCAGATTGACTTTGTGTCCTCGGAGACGAAACTGGAGATCTCGGTTGCAATATAGCCAGGAGAAACTGAATTGGCACGGGCGAATCGGACCCATTCAACTGCCAGAGATTTGCCTAAGATTCATGAGCATCAAATTAAACTTTGAGATGAGTTGTTCTTGAAACATACAGAGATGGATAACTCCTGCCTTGGCTGCGTTGTATGCAGCTTGGAGTTGAGGGAAGTTAACAATATGGCCACTCATCGAGGCAGTGGCGACGAAGCTTCCGTATGTAAACTTCTGGAGTTTGTTGCCATTAATGTCGGTGCCCTCTTCCTTTTGCCTCCTCCAGTGCGCAGCGGCAGCCCTGGCGCAGTAAAAGGTACCGTCGAGGTCAGTCTGAACGACATTTCTGTAGTGGGCAATCTCAGCATCAACCATGGGCCCTTGGGTCCAGGGAATGCCAGAGTTGGCGACCATAATATCCAGTCGCCCATTCAGGTCTTTTACTGCCAAGTTTACGGCATCCTCCACAGCCTGGGGGTCCTTAATATCGACCTGATACGCTTTGCCTAGAAGGTGTGAGCCACGAATATACAGAATAAATGAATAAGGATGGCACTTACACGTTACGCCATACTTGTTCTGAATTTCATTTGCCTTCTCGATCGCTTGTTTATTGGAGTTATACCATATGGCAACATTTGCTCCAGCCTCTGCAAAAGCATGTGCCACCGAGAGGCCAATCCCCGCACCGGCACCCGTAACGATCGCAGTTTTCCCCTTGAGACTGAAAAGAGCCAGTGCACCCTCGTTTGCAGGGGCGGTGGTGTTATTGTGGACAAAGTTGCCCTGGGTGATTGGAGATCCAGACATTTCGTATATTCAACAGAGGTGTTATTTCAGAAAGCGACTGTTTACTCAAGACGGACAAACACAGGCTTTTATGGTCAATGAGGGGATTCGGGGTCCGTCCGAGCCCGGTGGAGAGCTCGGCTAAGTGTCTAGAATAAACCCGTCCAATTGGGCAGGTTGTTTATCATTCCCACAGTGGGCATTGAGACAGCAGCCAAGGCGACGGTCTTCCGCCGGAACCGATGCCATCTACGTCAATCGTCTGGCTCGACGTCAGGCCGTAGATCCACGCAATGCGACTGGATGACCCAGGGATCTTGCGGATGAGACAATCTATGGCCGAGATACAAGATGAAAAATCCCGGCAGTCCAATGTACGACGATACGAATGTCGCAGTGGACCACTGGGAGGGGAAGAAGACAGTGAACCCATTCAACAAACACAAAACGCTGAAAACGAAAATATTTATCCATGATGTATACGGCTGTAATGGTGCCTTCTGCCGAAGGTCATCTGTAGGGACTTGCTGTTCCTGGCATGCCCGTCGAAATCGCAGGTAAGTGATGGAGCAGCAGACCCAGGACAGAAACGCGCCAGTATTCACCAAGTTGACGAGCCAGTTCAGGATCTCCGCCGAGGACGAGTTGAGCGTCAGGTACGCCAGGAGCGAGACGCAAGATGTTGCCCCTACGGCATAAATGGGAACTCCTTTTGAAGTGCACCGTTGGAAAATGCGTGGGGCCGCTCCCTCCACGGCCATGGAATGCAGAGACCGACTGGACAGATAAAGGAAAGCATTCCCTGCAGACCACGCAGCTACCAACGCCACAGCATTAATGACGCTACTCAGTCCGCCTATGCCAGCGAGGCGGATGCCAGCCACCCAGGGCGACGCTGCAGCATCACTGCCGCTGGCGAGAGTGGGAGCATTAGAGGGGCAAATGACAGATATGCCAATCACACTGCCAACGAACATGATGATCAGTCGCCAGGTGAAGTGTTTCGCGACCCTAGGGATGTTCTTCCTTGGCTCTTGAATCTCCGCTGCAGTCCCGGCCACCATCTCGGGCGTGAATGTGAAGGGCATCGCACTGCTAAGGACAGTCGCGATGACTGCAACAAGCCTGCCTATATCCCCTTCCAGAATCAGAGTATTCGTTGCGCCTGGATCTTTCCAGTAGTGGAATCCGAGCCTGTTACGGTGCGGGCCTCCTCCCCAGAATAGCACGAACGAAAGAATCAGCAGGCCGATAATGGTCGCCAATTTAATTCCGGCGAAGGCGAATTCTGCCTCGCCATAGAAGCGCACTGGAAGGACATTGAGAGCGACAAGCAGCACCAAGCAGATGGTGATCCAGACTGCGCTGCTGACGCCAGGCTGCCAAAAGTCGATGATAATGGCGCATGCTGTAAGTTCAAACGGGACTAAAACCGCAAAGGAGTAGACATAGAGCCAGCCCATTGCAAAACCAAAGCTTCTCGATACAAAACGGGTACCGTAACGACTCATCGATCCGCCGCGGACTGGGACAAATGTCGCAATCTCGATGATTCCCGTGAGGATGAAGTACACCAGGGTTGAGAGAACAACGTAACTTCCAACTAGGAACGCCGGTCCTCCAGTCGCAATGGTCTTGCCGGTGGTTATAAAAAGTCCAGTTCCAACGGTGCCACCCCAGGCAATAAACAGGGCATGGCGAGCTTTCAGACGGCGTTGAGTTGACGGGAGATTCGGTGATTCAGCAAGTGAACCAACCTTCTGGCTTTCCTGGTCGGCATCCTGTGCACTAATTTGATCTTGCTTGTCTGTTGATAGCGATATAATATTCATGGTTCGGGGTATTGTGGATAGGACAGTGTACGTAGCTGGCCATCATAGTTTATAAGTACTGCCGCACAGTCCGCCATCCTTATCTGCTGGGCTTGAGTTTCGGCACGGACAAGGGACCAGCTGTATCAACCATCATCCAGAGCCAAATTAGCTTTCTTGAACGACCATTGGTTGCTTGTCATCTCGAATTCCTGGGAAAGCGGTGGCTGTCGGACATTCCGACAGGATATGCCCTTTTCTCTGAATGGAATCCTTATCGGGCAGCGGGTCTCTGAGGGAAGGGCCTTGATGATAAGAGATAATATTTGCCCTTGTTGGCCTCGTCGTCGTTCCATCGGACCATCCGCCTCGTACTAAACATATCTTATTGAGATGGTTGGTGTTGCGTGGTGTCTTCGGAAAAAAAAACACCTATTCCTCGCATAGGCAATATATTTCAGGCCACCAGTTTGTCCAATTACATACCCAGATCCGCTATGTTATCGGGTCGTTCTAGGTGTCTCTTTTATTTTTTGCAACCGTTAGCGAGTCTTCGGGTTTCCTACGCATCGCTCTGCGCAAATATACTGGTGACTACGACGTTTACGCGCCCTATGCTTGAATGTCTGTCAATCACAGGAGCACAGAGCGCCGTCACTTCCGGCCACGTTATTTCATTTGGGGAAGTTGGAGTTGTGGCCCCGCTTCCACTGCGCTAGATAGTAATTCTTGGGAATGCTTAGCGACAGCTACTGGCAGATTACCTGTCCGAGCTGATGGTCTCCAAATCCCGGGGATAGGCGTCAGCGAGGTGGTGGCTGTCTATAGGCTAAGGCTTGGAGTCGGCGCATTGACATTCTAGGACCTTGGGCCAAACTTTCTTCCCTGATATTGAGTATCCTGATAGCGTAGAACTATTGTTCTTGTATAAAGTGATGAGCCCGCGTACGCCTGTCTGACTTGTGTATAATCTCTTAAAATATAATCAAGTAGGAATAGAATATTGGAATCTTCCTCTTAGCCCACCCCTCTCCACGCCACCCCAGAGAACAAACTTTGGCTCCAGCCCCTTCCCAGAATTCTCTGCTTGCTCCAATCTCTCTTCCATCGGGAGAAGCACTACATTTTCAGGATAGAGCACCCCCATTAGGGCCAAAGAGACCAGTGGATCCTGGACGGGGATTATATGCAACCCGCCTTTGGCAGTGACAAGGCCGTCCTCCCCGGACCGAAGGACAGAGGTAGCATCATGCACAATCACATCGGATGTTTTCGCGTCATCGGTCCCAGTTTGAATGCCATTTTCGGGTATAGATGCGGAAGACGCCTGGTGTGCAATGTATGCGTAGCGATGGCCGCGGCAAACTTGGCCGACGTCCACGGAAATTGACCGGCCATTATCCAGCTCCAGACGGAGTTCCAGATGTCGACTTGGGACTGTTGGCGAGTCTGAGTCAGACACCGCTGGCCGAATTTCGATAGTGGCCCTTTGCACAGCAGGACTCTCTGTGCCTGGCGGGTAAGAAGCCGGAGCCTGGGTAGCTGCAGCTCCAGAAATTTCCATGCGGCGGGCAGAGTAGTAATCCTGCATTTCGTAGTCGAAGAGAATATCATTGGTTGCATCCTCAACTAGCCGAGCTGCAATGTACTGGAGTAGATGAAACGGGGTCTCCCCTCCAGCGAGAACAGCGGGGAGGACAAGGCCATGTGCGTACTGGAAACCGTATCCTGAGGTGGTTCTCGAATTCTGAGCTAGAATGCTCGGAGCCAGAAGGGCCTGTGCGAGCTTCACAACCGCCGACTGTGACACTTGTCTAGTCCAAAGCTGGACGAGGAATTCAGAACGGCTCGGCTCCAGGTAGCGCATACCCCGGGCGGCTTGGCCATCAATAGGAATAACAACGTCTTCGTAGTTTTTAAAAGGGATGAGGGCGTCGCGAAGAAGTACCATCTGGTGCATATATTCGTTGAACAGCTGCATCAGGTGTGGCTCGCTGCGAGGACCAAACATCAGATCAACATTCGGCTTCGTGAGCAGGTGCCCTTCACATGGACTGCGGAGGTACAGGTCGGGATTGACAACAGCACCAGTGTGGCTGCGCGCGTATTGCACCAGCGTCTTACCAATCCCCCTGGCTTGGTCGGCGATCTCTGTGCGTGAGTCGTCAAGGTCTTCATTGGGGAAACGCATGGACGCTTCTCGAGTGTTGGTGTCCAGGTTCGCAGCAAGGTTGTCCAACAACTGACATCGCGACGATCGCACGTTGGGAGGGTCAGGGCCCAGGCGAAGGACGACAGTATCAAGCAGGGGAGCAAAGCTCTCGACGAGTTGTCGTGGGGTGTATAGGCCAGATTTGAGAGCCCAGGCCTCGCGAGGCTCGTTCATGTCGTGCGCGCCAGCATCGGGATTGAGGGTGATACTGTGCCCGACTAGGATACCTGTACCTCGCCGCCCAATGCCAGGAAGCTGGAAGGTGGCTGTTTGGGTTATGGATTTTGTAGTCATGACTCTTATCATATCAAAAAGTCCTAGCAGGAGGAATGGTATAATAAGCACGCCGAGGAACCCAACAGAGGCAGCCATGGCTGATTATATAGCTACCAAAACCTTCACAGCATATTCTTTTAAAATCGAGCGGCTGACAAATTGACTGTCCCGGTGTATCCTATCTTGTGTTTAATTCCTGCGTATGGCCGTCGGAGAACTGTGGTCGTATGCCGGAGAAAAATGGTCGACAACGGAACTCCGATGGACAACCAAGACGGAGGAGTTACTTAACTCATGGAAGTGCAACAATGTCTTATTTGTCCAAATTGCTCCAATGCACAGAGAACAATAAACGCTCGCAGCTGGTCGGAGTCGCCAAACCCGGCGGTGGACTGTGCCCTCACCCGGAGATCATCCTCGCTCATTATTGAAAACAGAGATCTCAGTGATAACTGCGAAGTATCCTCATTGTCCATGAAGATTGAAAATGGATCGTTATGTTTCGGCGCAGTGGCAATTGCTTGCTCCCACTCTTCTTCTGTGCGGGCAGCCCAGAGAGTCTGTGAGCAGGGTAGAGGCATGTTCAGGATCAGCTCATCACCGAGTGGCTGGTAGTTTACTGATAGCTTCTTCGATTGACTGTCCCGTTTGCTCAAGAAGTTGACGATATTCGCCAGGAAGACAGTGCGCCGGGCGCTTTCAGCGACCACCCATTTAGTCCAGGTGCCAGGGGATGGCAACAGAGACGCATCATACGTTTCTACATACTTTTCCGAGTACTCCCTGGCCATTCGAGCTAGGAACGAGGTCTTTACCAGACCACGAGGGCGCTGCTTCCAGCGTATTCCCTCCTCGACAGGTGAAAGATCGAGGATCTCATACAGGAGCATCGCATGCAGGGCGTCCCATTGTTCCATGCAGGTATAGTCGGGCTAATAGCGTTAGTTTCATCCATGTGCGGATAGTGCAGATTCCTACATATGCTTCAATTATACTATGCCGTTGGGCGTTCATAGTACGCTTCACAAAAGGCGCACTCTGCTTTGAAAGCAATCCACTCGCGCAGCAGATTGCAACCGGCGTGTGAGCCAAAACGGTCATGTCGGGCACATCTTCGCTGAAGAGACTGCGATGCGCGAAAGGGCAGTGGAAATCATCCTTCATTAATAGCATTGGATACTGCATTAGCAGTCGCAGACACTGGGACGGGTCTGATCTGGAAAGGTCAGGGTCCACCTCAAACGTTGGATTCGGGACCACTACAATATCAGGTATGCCCAGCACGTCATAATATTGCTTATCGTGCTGTGATGGGGGTACGAGGTTAGAATCGGCGTTTGGGAGAGCTGGGTTATGGTTGTCGCTGATCACGTCCAGTGGGATATCAGCCAAGTCCAAGGACCAGGGAAGGCTGTCCGATCCCCAGAGGTCCAATTGACCACCGGGCTCCGTAGTCCTGGCTGCAGTCCGATCAGAGTCGTTGGCAGAGTCCGTAACTTTGGACACCCTGGCCGCGTATTCGCAGGACATTCCCCGTTTCGCACATCGCGCACAGATCGGTTGGGAATAACTGCACCTTGCCTTTGCCTGGACGCATGCATTGCACGCCTTCTGGCGGGTGGTGGGGTTCTTTTGCAGACAGCGCCGTCGATGGCGCATTACCAAGTCTCCTGCTTCGTTTTCAGCAAATCAGCGGCGCAACTCCCGGGTGTTGTTACATACGCCGCTTGAATTTCTTGAGGCATTTCGGACATTGGAGAGGATTCCTCTCGTCAGGCATGAAGGATTGAAGTCCAGATTGTTCCATGGGGAGTCAGGCAGCTAATCGCAGTGAATTACCAGGAGCGATCCGTAGTTCATTAATGTTAACTAGTTAGCGAGATCCTGTCAAGCGATTATTAATGTGTTGTTTGGATTTCAAATCAGCCTATGGTGGGGCCAGGAACGGATGGCCTAGGTGGACAATGGAAATCTGCTAAATAAGGGCGACGAGTATACAGTTGTTGGTGAAGCGGGTATTCAAGTACCCAGGAAATCAGAGACAGTAAGGTACATTTCTGTTCTGTCTTATTTGGAACCCTTTGGTCTGGTTCGTGCCCTCGGCGGGTTTCATAAAACCGGGTGGACAATTATATATGTGGGAGTAAAAATCGGGCTTACTGTTAAGTATAATAACTCTACTAGATTACTGGTACTACTTCTCTCTAGAGAAAAAACTAATAATAATATCTCCTGCCGCGCTGCAAAGCACATTAAATAACAGCTTCTCCATATACTCAGGGCCAGCCAGTGGGAGTGGCTATGCATTGTCGTCTATGAGCAGCAACTCTTGGCTTCACAGCCAGCCATCGACATTCCGACGCGATATTCCCTGGTGGCGTCCTTATCGGCACCGACTTCCAGGGAAAGACTGAATGATAAGAGATGATACTGGCCGTTGCTCTCGTCGTCGTCGTCCCATCGAACAATCCGCCTCCTATCAAGCATATCGTCTTGACGTGTTTGCTATTAGTTAACATGACGGAAAGCACCTGTTTCTCGCACCAGAATTCCATTCCAGGCTGCCATTGCCGCCTACATTATATGCGGAGATAGACTAGTTGATCGTTCTATTCTAGCGCTCCCTTGTTTCTGGCAACCGTTGGCGAGCAGGTGTTCTTTAGCTAGATTTCGAGACGAGTAACTTCAGCACCTTCCGTCAAGCACCAGGGCCCGAAGTGCCGTCACTTCCGGCCACATTGTTTCATTTGGAGAGATTGGTGTACTAAACAGGAATTATTGGGAGCCTCTCTAGCGACAGCCCTGGCCGGCCAGCTGTACGAGATGATGGTCTCCAACCTCCGCGCTTAGGCGTCAGCGAGGTGTGGCTGTCCATCGCCGCATTGACATTCTCGGGCCTTGGGCCCACCGTCATCCCCTGATATTGAGCATTGTTGCTGTTCTTCTCGAAAATGATCAACTCATGTTCGCCTGTCTGGCAAGTATATAATTTCTTCCATGCAACAACACCCGGAGCCACAGGGGCGAGAGAGAGCTCCACAACTTCCGACTGAGACCTGTCTAGTCCAACGCTGGACAAGGAACTCAGAACAGCCCGACTCCATGTAACGCATTCCCCAAGCGGCTTGACCGACAATAGGAATAACGACATCTTGGTGGTTCTTAAACGGTATAGGAGCTCACCTTCGTGAGCCAATGGCCTTCCCATGGACTGCGATGTACAAGTCGGGGTTGGACACGACTCTGGTGTTGCTACACGTGTATTGTACCAGTGTCTTACCAATTCTTCTGGCTTGTTCGGCAATCTCTGCGCGCGAGTCATCGCGGCCTCTATTGGGTAATAAGCGCATTGGCGCTTCTCGGGTGCTGGTGTCCCAGGTTTGCAGCAAGATTGTGTCACAATTGTACATGTAACTAGCGGTGGGGAGATCATTTGAACCTGTCAATATCCTCTTGCTGATCTTGGCCCTTTCTGCTGATTGCGCTAGTTACTGGGCTTGCGTGCATGCAAGGAAGCGGGCTGTCTTCAATGCAAAATTTGTATTGCAAATTACAGCTTCTAGAATCTCTTCTGGTACTCTTACGTGGAATGCACTATTGGCGGAAGACATCTTCCTTTTTCTCACACTGTGCATGTAAGACCTATATATACAGCCTCATACCATTCTGTTAAAATCCCTTTAATAGCTTAAAGCAGACCGATTCGATCTTCTGTTTACCGACCATTGTTCCCTGGCAGCTATTCTTGCAACTCCCAAACTTCTACTTCCTATTTCCTGAATATGAGCTCGGCTGGACGCAAAGGCACGCGGCAAACGATGGCTTTCCCTCCTGTCGTACTCGACACGACCTTGTCTGATTTATTTGCAGAACAGCATGAGAGAGCTGTATTGGCCTATTGCGCTACCGACGATCTGCCCCCAATACTTCCGTCGATTCCACATTCCCAGAAATTTATATACAGTGGGCTGCCCCTTGTCGAAGGGGACGCAGTCGGGCTGGTGCTCCGGTGCAAGGGCTATCCGCAGCATTTGGGCTTCATCGCTGGAAACATACCTATCTACTTTTTGGAGTATCCCGAGACACCCGCCGCTAGTCTCAAAACATTCTGCTATGAATTTGAACGCGTATACGATGCGCTGCGTGAAGACCAACGTCCAGAGACACACCGCATAAAACACCCATCCAAGCTTTCTCTCCCCGAAAACGCTGGAATTGTGACGGTGCGAAGCCAAGACAGCCTGGCTCACCTTCCATCCTTGGTCGATCCTGAAGTACAATATGACCTGAGCTCGAAGAGGGCGCTTGCGATTTCCGGGATTCCCACGCCAAAGACAGAGATTATCGACTCGATTCTCAGCCCTGACCAGGTGCTAGACAAAGACACGATAGGCAAAGAAGTGGCGCGCTTAATTTCGAAGGCTCAAGTCTGGGAGCCCCCATTTATTCTGAAACTACAATATTCTGCCGCTTCAGGGGGCACTTTTGTGGTGCGCTCCAAGGAAGACTGGGACAATTGTGTTTGTACTGTCACAGACGAGCTCCATCTCATCCTGCGCCAGCTCAACCGTGAAAATCATGGGTTCCAACCGGCAAGCCTTTTATTACAGGAATTCATTCCTGGGGAATCAATTGGAATTTCCTTTTTTGTCACAAAGGAAGGCACAGCCATCTTTTTAGGGGCTTGTGGGCAGTTGTTCGGTGAAGACAAGCTTTGGATTGGTGCCAGCATCTCCTACAAAGAACAGGACCGGATATATCGCGAGAACAAAAGCATCTTAGACTGCACCGCTCGCTACGCTCATGCGCAAGGCTACTTCGGGCCATTCGGCATTGACGTGATGAGAGATAAGAACGGTGAGCCTCTGGTGATTGACTTGAATCCACGGTCAACTGGGGCAACGCCTCTGTGCCTACTGCGACAGCACCTCTCGGTCAAAAGGGGCCTCCACGAAGCGACACTCCTGATGCCTATTCTCTTGGACGTCAAGTGGGCCGAGTTCACAGATGTGTTCAGGGATGAGCTCTTTTCTGGTCAACTGATTGTCACCTCATGGAATCAGGTACCGGAGAAGAGATATAGCGTAGCCGGCGTCGTTATAGCTGCCGAAACAAAGGCCGGGCTTCAGGCCGGGATTCTGAAAGTTAAAACATTCAACGTCAATGAATAGGGTGCAGGGGGGGTAGTGGAAATCGTGTGACAGATGACACAATAGCTGCGAGGGAATCTGGGGCTCAGCGTTGAATGTGGATAGTAAAAATGACAAATGATCACCCAAGTCAAAGTCCCGAGAGTATTGCAGCCGTCCATGGCAACTAGTAGATCTCCCTAGCTCTCTTCAACTCTACCTCGCGTCAGATTTAAAACTAGAAGGGCTCCAGCTGCCACAGATTTGGAAAAGAAGATGGGTGAGCACGAATGAACCCCCAACGAGGCCCGGGCTACGACAAGGATTTCTGACATAGAGGCAGGAAGTATTACATTCCAATGGATGGCCAAGGCAAAGTCCCCGGTTTCTTTTGGTCTTTTGTGAGCAAAGAGCGGCGGAAACGATAGGAATAGCAGACTACCGTGGTGTATTGCACTTCCTATAAGCTGCTGAATGGCCGCTGTTTACTGCCATATAGAAAAGTCTAATCCAAAGATAATCAATCACATCCAACCCCCAACATCGGTTTTGGCTAGGATACAACTGGGCCATGTAACTCAACGGCATATGTTCAACCATAGAGTTGACGATGGCTGGTGCCATACTTATTCCGATCTACTGATTAGAGGGTTACTCCGCGTAGTCATCTCAACTCGGCGAATATCCCTTCCAGTCGATGAAAGGCCAAACGTTGAGAAGTCGGTCAAGCCTGAGGGATGGCCACCACGCTTCTGGCTCACTGGATATCGCCTCAACAGGCCCCTTCTGACGCTCAATTGATTTTAACGCCAAGGCTGTACTGAGCCCCCGATTGCCAATCTGTACCCCCGAGCTTCCGAATTTATAAACCCACCCAGCAGGCCATCCACCGTCAGTTTCCTGCAGAGCAAGAAGCCTGGAGCGATCACGGCCATTTGTGATTCCTAAAATGTTCGATGCAAGTAGCCTAGTGGCGAGAGAGACGGAATCACCATCAGCGCCAATACGCTGGCTCACTTGTTGTTTCAACAGTGACTTGAGCTCCCTGCGTCGCGTGCCGTCTCGGACCACACAGCTCAGCCGTGAAAGAAAGTATAGAAAGCAATCAGGCGAAGAATAGTATCTGGATCCTGATAAATAGGCCGAATTTCGAAGAACGTCCAGCACCCAGTCAAATGTGGCTGCAACTTCGCTTTCCCGTCCATGCATGCAGAAAAGATTCAGGACATTGGTGCAAACTACCGGATCAACTCGAGGGCGTGATCGGTCGAAATAGGTCCATCGGGAAAGTCAGTCGAACGGTCTAAGTGTCAGGGTAATCGGGGGCTAGTATACCATAAAAATCCCATCCGCATTGGTAAACGTTAGCATCTCGTCCATCACAGACCATACCACTTCTTTGTCAACCGGAAGAACCGAGAGAGCGATGGAGGTAGTGTCAAGATCATTGGGAAAGCTTTCAGTTGTCAATTGTGGAGGTCCTGTAAATATAATAATGTTTTGTTATTCGCATGCAATTATGGCAAAAAGACGACACTCACCAATAAAAAAATTCCAGGTACGGTCCCATGTTTCTAACGCCACAAGGTCTCTAGGGATATGGTTAGTCTGATCCTGTGAGAATCTGCAGAATCACGGTGTCATACGGGTTCTGCGTCAGCTCGATGATCAGCAGTTGCGCAAAGTTGTCCCGGATAATAACTCCCTTGTCGGTCGTACTATTCATTTGCTTTGCGTTCGAGAGTAGGAAGTTATGGCCCCGCTGGATTGGATCACCCAGCACATTGCCAAGCTGACGAGAGAGCTGGTCGTGGCTTTGGAACAGTATGCTGTGTACTCCCAGTGACTGCGCGGCCAGGATGTTCTCGGGTGAATCATCAATGAAGACCACGGACTCCGCTGGAAGCCCAATCTTTCGCAGCACCAGCCTGTAGCAGCCAATGTCCGGCTTGCGCATTCCGAGGATGCCTGATATGTAGATATGGTCGAAGATAGGCCATTCCTGGGCGATGGATCGTACACTGCTTTGTTCTGGGAGAGGGGTGTTGGTCAAACCGTATATCCTGAGGCCAGGCTGGGTCTTTTTGAGATGAGACAGATGATTCAGGGTTGCGGTGTTTGGTTGCAGGCTCTCGCGGGCCTTTTTCATCACCGAGGAGAGGTCGCTGGGAGAGACGCCGAAGCGAGTTGCAACCGCCAAGTAGCACTCGTCCTCCGACTTATAGATACCCCGTTCATAGTCGAGCCAAATGTCAGAAGACATGATTTGTTTCAGCTTCTTGGGCGGGATGGATAACTCCCTGGGTGGTGTCCAGGTACACAAAACATTCCCAAAGTCAACAACAAGAGCCTTGGTGGAACCCATTGTGTATCACTACGCCTCGCAACGGATTGCAACGGAGTTGGGAAGCTGGTTTGGTATTCGAGAAGGTTGAAGTGCTCCCTGGCTAACTCGAATTTGGACTGGTGGCGTTCATAGAAAGAGTAGCTTCACGCAATATAAGGTAAACACAACAGCCTACACCATTTGTGACGAGAAAGAAACATTCAGAGTGACTTTTCCTATCCCTATAAATACATGAAAGCTTCAATCCATTTCCTTGAGCACGGGGGCGTCAGGATCAATAATTTTCGTGGACCTTCGGTACAGTCTCTCTGTTCAAGACAAGATCCGGCGCACGTCTAGATTGATCGGCGTCTCTCCCTTTGGGCAGCAATAAAAAATACCATCAGTCTATTTACTCCTCGCAGCTAGAACATGCTCTGGGCTATGCAATAAAGCGTATCGCGAGAGCTCGGCACAGAAAGCTATCATCTGACATCCACCTTGTGCCACCGAAGGCATATTGACACTCGGACAGACTCTACGATCTTCGGCGTGGGAACACGTTATCAATGCCAGTGGTCATTCGAGTATCACCTCGGAAGGTATTATTGACAATGAATCGTTACAAAATCACTCGCATGCCGATCTTATTGGACCCAGCATATTTCCAAGGCGCTTGTGGCTTTTCCAGTACACATGTGGCTGATCAAGTGATACAGCATACGCGCAGAAATTCATATACTTAAATGGGACTGTATATGTAAGGCTGAGGCTTGTTGGATCACCTGGAACTAAATGGCTATCACACTATGCAAGATTCAGCGGCAGGATCGCGACTCAGCAAGTCGACAAGCTCATCGCAAATTTCATCCTTCCGTGCATGTTCGAACAAGAGACCGAGAATTCCCGTTTCACGCGCGGCCGCCACATTCTTGTGTTGATCATCGAGGAAAATAGCTTCAGCTGGCGCCACATCAGCCTCCCGCAGGACGTACTGGTAGAAGTCGTGGTCAGGCTTTCGCATGCCAATGTAGCCGGAAGCGAATATCCCATCGAACAGGTCCCACTCGTAATTGGTGCATCGCAGCTGATTGAAATCTCGTCGAGGAATGTTCGTCATCATGTATATGGCCAGCCCGCGACCTTTAAGCTCACGAAGTAGTTCGGTCATCCTTGGATCGGGGATCAAGCAGGCGGTGCTCTGGTAGAATGTCGAGGCAAGTTCATCTTCTGAAACCCCATACTGCTCTCCCAGCTTCTGGTAGCACTGACTGGTCGTCAATCTGCCTTTCTCGTAGTCGCACCATGTCTCCGAAAACGCCATATCTCGCAACGTTGCCACGGGAAGCGAAGTCTTCAGCTGAGGAGTCCATCGAAATAGCACATCTCCCATGTCGAAGACGACAGCTTTGTAAGGCATTTCGTCTGTATGAATCCGTAGGAGCAAATCTGACACGAAGAGAGAGAATTCAACGGTCACCGCCTGTTTCAAGTCGTTCTGTTGCGTGGAACTAAGTTTGGTATTTGACCTGAAAAACAGACCCCCAGCATAGACTACTCAGGCTTGCTATAAGCTATTTTTATAGCCTAGTTAAAATTTGTGAATTTTTCATTTCACACGTACTTGGACGCAGCCTGTCGCCATGATCAGCATGGTTCAATAGTAGACCACGCAAGGCACGCCATTTGCCCACAGTCCTCGAACTCCTCCTGCCTCTCCTGCAAACTAATCGAACACTCGTTTTGCTGCTATTCAAAGTTTCAAACAATCCCTTCGGAATGCATGGAGGAAAGCAACAGCCACCCGCCGCACCGACAATTGACCTCTCATCTACCTAGCCTTCCGCAGCACATATGTTACACAAGTCCCGCGATTTGCGTCGACCGAGGCAGACGGATAGGCCGAAGATATTCATCAATGGCGCGGTATGCAGGGCTAGATAATATAACCCCCTGACCGACTTTTTATGCTGCTAGCTGCATGCACGGAGGAGCCCTTGGAAGTCGTCCACAACCCCCGAGAGGCCACGTACACGGTACACCTCGGTATGTCCGTAAGGCTGTGGCAGGCAGGCTTGGAATGCACGTATCTGTATGTACATATAATGTATGTAAGGAGTATGAATCATTCTCATTTGTAGCATTGCGGCGTAAATAACTACCCACCTGGCTGTCCAACTCGCGTTGTGAGCTGTAGAGCTTACGTCACAGTCAGCACGAGGTGCATAGTCTGCGGAAATATCAATTGAAACCTCTCTGATGGATCCCTGGTAGCCTTGATAGTCGAAAGCGAGTTTCCCACTAAGATACCTAGGTAAGCTACTCACCCTGGCCCTCTTCAATGCCATCCTCTCCAAGAGCAATATGTTACAAATTCAAAAAATCCTCTTCCTTGTAAGCATTGATTATCTCCTTATACCCGAGTAGCACGAATGCAACTGAGGCCACTGCTAAACTTTCTAATAGGCCATCGCCGCAATCATCTGGCGTCTTCTTTGGAGGCTTTGGTTGCACCCGTTGAGCAAGTTCCCCGGTCCAACTCTAGCGGCCATATCCAATTTGTCCTATTTCAAATGGTCAATCTCAGGGGAGCTACACAGCAAAATCCAGGAGTTGCATGATTGCTATGGTGACGTCGTGCGCATTCGTCCCAACGCCCTGACGTATCGAGATGCACAGGCCTGGAGTGATATCTACGGTCATCGCAAGGCCGGGAAGCCATCATGTACCAAAGATCCCGAGTTCTATATTCAATCTTCTAGTGGTAGCGCCGCTAACCTCATCAACTCCAACGACGTGGATCATGCGCGGCAGAAACGGCTGCTAACGCATGCCTTCTCTGACCGGTCCTTGCGGGACCAGGAACCATTAATCATGGGATATATTGACACCTTCATCAGTCGGCTAGGAGACACAGCCAGTCGGCATGCCGATGATGAACCAGTTGATATGCTCCGCTGGTTGAACTTTTTGACTTTTGATATAATTGGCGATCTGGCGTTTGGGGAGAGTTTCGGTTGTCTGGAAGGCTCGGAGTATCATCCCTGGGTCGAGACCACGTTCAAAAGCATCAAAACTGGTGCTGTTCTCAGGGCCTTTTCAATCTACCCTTCCCTTGCAATTCTAATTCGCAAGCTCATGCCGAAGAAATTAATCCGCAAGCGCGTTGATCATTATAAGTTCAGCAAGGATCTTGTGAATAAACGACTCGCCACCAGCACATCTCGGCCTGACTTTCTCTTTTATGTTCTACGGTACAACGATGAGCGTGGAATGCAAACCGCGGAGATTCAGTCTAATGCTGCTCTGCTCATACAGGCCGGTAGTGAAACCACTGCCACCACACTGGGTGCATGTCTCTTCTATTTGAAGAAGCGTCCTGAGTGCTATCAAGCTCTTGTGAAAGAAGTTCGGGCTGCGTTCGGCTCTGAAGCAGAGATCACAGCTTCCAATGTATCCCGGTTACCATATCTGAATGCTGTCATTGAGGAAGGTCTCCGAATGTATCCTCCAGCACCAGCTATTGGACCTCGGGTCATTCCTCCCGGAGGCGCAGTGGTCTGCGGTCAGTATTTGCCTCAAGGGGTAAGTCGTCTAGATGGTCCCTTGTGTGACAGCAGTATAACAACGTCCCTCTCGTGTATAGACTTCCGTTTCCGTCGCTCATTATTCGACCTTTCGCGGCCTGTCCAACTTCGCCGAGCCAAATTCGTTCCATCCTGAACGGTGGCTAAAAAGCAACAACGACCCTCGCTTCAAGAATGACAAGAAAGAGGCTCTCCAGCCCTTTTCGTTTGGTCCGCGCGCTTGCATTGGCCGAAAGTAAGTTTAACTTTGCGTGCGCCTTTTTCCTCCTTTCGAATCATGTCGCTTATTAAATGTAGTCTCGCGTACGCCGAGATGCGTCTTGTCCTTAGCAAGATGTTATGGAACTTTGATATAAGTCTTGATCCCCAGTCACATCATTGGGACAAGTCCAAAAGTTATATTGTCTGGGAGAACCAGCCATTATGGGTGCATCTTCGACAGGCAGTTTGAAAGGAATAATACATGTACAACGCATGTCAAGAGCTGTTGGTGAAGTGGGCATTTGAATACCGAGAAAATCAGAGACAGCGAGGTACATTTCTATTCTGTCCTATTTGCAACCCTTGGGTGGTGTTCATGCTCTGGATCGGTTCCATAAAACTGCTTTGACGAATATATATATAAAGGCGGCCTGCATACATTAGGGCGAGACTACTCACGCCTCTAAGATAACTCTGTCAACATCGCAACATTTACTAGAGCCCCTGTCCCTGTCCCTGTCTGTCTTGGAACCACATTCTTCGTCCACAGCGTTAATGACTTGCACTCCAGTGCGCGAGTCTACGCACACCAGCACCGTAGTCCAGACGAGTAACCCAGCCCCCACTGCAACCATAGCGTACATTCCGATCTATCATGGTATTAGCTGCATCCACCAACCCTATGTGAAGGGGTTGAGAATTTACAGTAAAATCAGGCGCGTCGTCCGCTCGGTAAAAAATAAGCGGCCACCAGGCCTGAAAGCAATTTCCCGCGGAATTCATACAGGCAATCACACAGGAGCGCAAGGTAGGAGGCTGCGCTCTCATCGAGTCATTAGCCCACGCAAAAAAAGTCGCTTGGATGCAGTAGATCGACCCGGCCCAGTAGTACGCTGCGTACTTGGTGGCCACTGTTGTCGGGTTCGCCAGAATCATGACTGCGTTCGCAATACAAACGATGCCGACATAGTATCCAGCGACCCAGCGGTGGCCCCATATATCGGTTCCAATAGCCCAGATAAGTGTGCTGGCGATTCCGACACCTTGTACAGCGGCTGGCCAGCTGTTCATTTCGAAAACAGTGTATCCTCGCTCTGGATGAGCTTGCATGTAAAGATTCAAGAGCTGCTGGTTTCCTTGCGATTCCGAGCAATTTCCTAAGATCCACAAGAAGCAAAAGGCGTATAAGTGCCACGAGGTGAGAACGCGATTAAGGAAACTCTTAGTGAGGATTGGCTCGCCACGCTCAACCAAGGGTACACGTTGCCGTGCCAGCTGTTTCTCGTCGTCACTGAGATAGAAGGCAGAGGTGGTGTACGGCGTATCGGGAAAGAAGTAGTATCCGTAAATGGCCACTGGGATAGTGATTATACCGCATATCTGGTAAACGATTAGATAATGGTTGGCTACACTTGAAGGATGGAGAAATACTAAGAACAGCCATTTCCACCCGGGAAGGCCATGAAGACCGTCCATCGACGAGAAAATAGCGGCCTGCAGGAAACCACCGAACATCCCTCCAGCCAACCCACTTGCAGTGAACAGCCCGGTGCGCTGGCCTAGTTCGCTTTTGGTGTACCATGATCCTAGAATATACTGCGTCCCTGCAAAGACGCAAGACTCGAAGTAGCCCTGGAAGAACCGGATGGCCATGAGGTGCTGCGGCGTCTGGGCAACGGCATTGATCATGGTTAGTACTGCCCACGAGGTTATCATGGCAGGGAAGAACTGTCTCGGTTTGAAGTAGGTAAGGAGCAGGTTATTCGGAACAATGCCGCTGAAGGTTGTCACGTTAGGTCCTGTTCATATGCTGCCGCTTTGTAGTACCAGGGGGGTTTTAAACCAACATTAGATATCCCACCGCATATATCGTTTGCACAACGGTCAGCTCGGCGCCTTGAAACCCCAGATCCTCTCTCATACCCGAGACATAGGCCTGGGCTATACTCGCGCGATCAAGGTAGTTGCTAAATGGGTTAGCATCCTGAGCGCACGAGGGATCAGGACTACAGGTACGTGAAGTATGCGAGACAGCAAAATGTCAGGATGAAAAAGTCCAGCTTAAAGACCAGCCTCTTCTCCAAGGGAGATTGCTGCGCCTTTGTGAAGTATTGGCGGATCTGACTGAGCGCTTTAATGGCCATACTGCAATCGGACTGTAGACGTGGTTAACAAATAAGGATTGATGCCAATGACGAATAATGAATCGAGGATGGCACAACTGAATGCTGGTAAAAGTAGTGGAATCCAGCTAATAAAATATGTAGCCTGCTACCAGGCAATTGTTCTTTACTCGCAAGGTGATAACTGCATATCTTCACGCTATCTGCGTAGTGATAAATTCAACTGATCAGACTGCGCTCCACAGATAAAGGCCCTGCTCCGACGGTATGCGCAGCTGGGAGGACGGGAGGCGCTCCACCGGCATGCAATGATAACGGAACGAATTACTATGACCGATTGGATGCGGGGAACCTGCTGGATGGATTTGGAGATGTCTGGAAGTCTACGGTAGGAGTAGTCCGTGATAGCGAAGTACTTAGGCACTAGTCAATACATAGTAGCATCGTTTAAGCAATACATGGACATTCTGTTAAGATCGACTATAAACATTTACGGTAATTGAAGGCTATGGAATTCCTGATCATGCCTTCAGCTGGGGAACGTAGACCTCTCTCGGAACATCATCAAACTTGCCCAGGCTCTTGTGCCCTTCAGGATCAGGGTACTCTCCCGCAAAGAAATCGGCATGCTTCGTGGGATCCGCCGGACGGTCAATATCATACTCGTAGCGCTTCCAGCCGTGCTTACGCGCATCCAAGTAGTCGGCCATACAAAAGACGCGGTCGTCCATGGGCTTGTCACGGCTCATTCGCCGCAAAACAGGGGATCCCTGCAGAGGGGAAAGTTCCTGATCGTCCGCAGGTCGCGCGAAGTAGATAACACCGATGCGACGGAGATGACGCTGGTCGACCGGGGGCTGCACGACGCGGTGGATGGTGGCCTTGAAAAGACCACCCGTAAGGCGCTCCAGCGCTTCGCCAAAGTTGATCACCAACCCATGAGGCTGGTGTTTGACCCAGCGATATTGGCCGTCTCGGTGGTCGAGGACCTGCAGGGCAGCTATGGGCTGTGAGAAGAGAAAAGTCCACGAACCCCAGTCGGTATGACCAGAGAGGTAGATATCACGGTATTTCTCGCTCTCGTCTTTGGGACGAGGCTCGCATATCATGTAACGGATGTATTCGGTCTTGGAACCACCAAGGGCATGAGTGTCGTGAATCTCCTCTTCGGGCATCTCGAGAACCATCGCCATCAGGGTGAGCAGCTTCTTCAATATGTGGTTGCGGATGAAGTGCATGACCTCGTATGTCTCCTTGAGGTGTGGGCGTAGCATCTCTGGGTGTGGACGGTTCTTGGGGTCATGTACGAGGATGTTATAGTGGTCGAGCTGCTTGGGGAAACCACCCTTGTGGCCAAGGGGTCCTGCAGGTTTGAAGCCGACATACAAGCCACGGGCATCTTCCTCGGGTGTCACTATTGCAGTCAGCAGGAGTTAAAGGCCTTAAATATGCATCACGGAAATGTACCTTCATAGGGGGCTTTCTCCTCCGGAGGGAGTGTCATGATTCCATTGGCGATCTGCATTTGCCGCTGATACACTGCATCGGAGATCCCATGGTTGGTCACAGTGAGGAAGCCGTGGCCTGTAGCTGCTTCAAAGAGACTGCTAGCGAGTTCCTCGCGACCAGCAGCGGTATCAAACTTGGCCAGGTCGAGATTGACGAGCTGGACATAGTCCACTGCCAGTACCAATTAGCATTAGGTGAATTCAGAGAGAGTGCAGTTAACATACAAGGTTCCTTGGTGGGTTCGGCGGGCGTGTAATGGGGGAGCGATGGAGCAGACATATTGATCGCAGTCGGGACTGTCACGGCTGCATTGCGTTTCGAGATAAACACAATTGCATGCTTAAATACGCCAGGACATTACACGGCGTAGGCTCCTGGCAGCATAGGTGCCAGGACCGGTCATATTGGAAGACTGGATACACGGAGGAGTGTGAAACCTGGAAGAGTAAATGTTCGGATATGGAGGACGGAGGACGGAGGACAAGTTATGATGTCAATGAGAGGAGATAGCTCTGACGAAGGGAGGACTGGAGGACAACAACAAGAGGAGAAGGCCCCTCCCGGTGATTATCTCCAAGTAAATCATGTCCGTCCGAACAAGTCCTGCAATTGGCGGGAGATTACAGACCAAGCAGCTAGTTGAGATAGCTCGAGAGTGGCGGCCATTCAGAAGACAGCAACAAATCGACTCCAACAGACCTTTTCCCCAGATATCATCTGCAAACTGGGGTATCCTCCCGTCCCCTTCATCCAAGAATCCTCGGTGATCCAACAATCCTCGGTGAGCTCCTCGCCATGGACATGATGGAGATACTCACGGCACCGGGCGACCACGAGAAACCCTTTGCCTGTCCAACGTGTGCCGTGCGCTTTACAAGACAGGTTCGTATGGCTGGTAGTCAAATGAGTGTGGTCTAATAGTAGCTGCTTGGTAGGAGAATCTGACCAGACATACTGCCTCGGGTGCGTATAACTGCGCCTTGGATTTTTAAAGCATACTCATGCTAGCAGTTCATCGCCAGCCGAACCTCAAGCGTTATTCGTGCTCGCAATGTGGCGTTGGCTTCGCAAGGAGGTTCGCAATGATCTATTTCTTATTATGCCTTAATGCAGTTGATATGCTGATGTTGCTCTCATGTAGCGATCTAAGAAAGCGTCATATCAGGAAATATCACCTAGCAGAATGTCCGGCTGAGGACCCTAAGAATGGACCCCAGCTATTGACACCTGCCCAGCAGTCAATTGCAACAGCCTTGCCTCCTGGTGAACCATTTCGCAAAGAGGATGTAGAAACCTCTATACAGGCAAGCGAAAGGCCACCCATGCCGCAATCGTTAACTGCATTTTCTGCCTCCAGCATCTCATGGGTCTTCAAGCTCCCCTTATTTGTATCCGCCTATTTCGAAGGCTTTCAAGGTATCCTTCCTGTCATCCACCAGCCTACATTCGACACTACGTCGACACCAGAGCCTCTCCTCCAGGCAGTAGCGTGTATCGGCGCCGTCTACCATTCCGGTGACCATCATGACATCAGCCTTGCGCTACTACACTCTGGCATTGAGTCTCTAGATTCGTACGTAGAGAGGAATCGATGTGCTGGGTTCCGCGAGGTATGGGTACTTCAAGCCTATGTCCTCTTCGAATACTTCGCCTTTCATAGTTGCGACGATACTTTATTTGAAACCGCTCTGGGCATTCATCGCAGGCTGGTAGACGCTGCAAGGAAGCATCAGCTCCTTCAAGACAGCCAACCGAGTGATGGGCTCGCCATCATCCCCGATCTAGACTCACTGCTTTCCGGCGCTTATGTTGAGCGCGACTGGCGATCTGCTGTTACAATTGAGGCACGTAAGCGGTGCGTATATCCGAGTAGTTTTATATAAATGTGCTAATACGGCAAAGCGTTATATATTCGCTCTACTATATAGACGCACAGATGTCCATCTGCTGCAACATCCGACCTCTGCTGACCGCATTGGAAATAAAATATGACCTCCCCTGCAGCGAAAACATCTGGTCAGCACCAACGGCGTCCGCATGGCAGGCCCTCGTTCTAGACCAAGACTGTTCCCTCAACGAAACAGAAGACGACGCCGCCAACCGCAACCCTCGTCCTGCGCAGGGCGACCTGTATAGCACCCTGATGCATCTCATGAGCCCAGCCCCTCCCGGAAAACGCTTAGGTCTGCTGTGGAGATCTTCCTTTGCGGGCCTTGTGCTCGTAATGCAAATTCAGATGATGGTCCGAGACTTGATCCTCGGCAGCACCTTTCTCTACCACAACATTCGAAGCCCAGATGATAAGGAAAGACATCGTCTGTCGATTGTACCTGAGTCCGCCCGGGCGCAGGTTATGGAGGCACTGAACACACTCGCTGACTTGATGCCAAACGTCCACCAGCTGCGAGAAGCCACAAAGGACAGCCTCGAAGAGACTACAGTTGACAGTCTCTGGAACCAGGTGTGGGTTGCATGGCACTACACGGTGCTATGTCTAACACACCAGGACGGACTGCTCACCAATGGAGTCGTCGAGTACGGATTGCCGACAGCAGTTTCAACCGCCTGGGAGCTGGGAAAGCCGAGATCAAAACACCTGCGCGATGTCTACGAGGATCGCGACGTCATCCGCGTAGCTGCCGGCTTGGAAAACATCCAGGGTCTGCTTATGGATCCAGTGGGCGTTATGGGCAAGGACACCCATCGTGTAGCCGAAGATCCGTTTATTACCATATTAGGCTTCAAATCGTGTCTAATGGGATGGCGTACTGTGCGTCTGCTAGCCCTTGGACTTCAGGAACGGTCCGGATCTCATTCAAATATTTACAAAGTCTCCGCGCGAGTTTTGATGCAGAATATCTTGACCTCAATAGGAATGAAAGACGAGAGAGACAGAGAACAGAGCCGACAGGAGGGGTTAACTCCAGGTAGCGCAACAGGCTTTTCTGTTCTGAATGGCTACGAAGCACAATATCTTTCATGCGTTGAAGCGGTTCTTGCAAAGAGAAATACGTGGCCGGTTGCAACATGCATTGAAGCCGTTTTTATAGAGGCCAGTTCTTCTATTTCTTGATTACGCTTAAGCGTTACAAGTAATGCATATCTGCATATCTGCATTTGAACAGCTGTCCATACTGTAAACGAACTCTACAGCCCATCGTAGTCAGGGTATGTACCGCTGGCCACGTCCTTAATGACATTAGGACCCAGGATGCTGTCGAAGATGCCATCTGGGTCGTTGCGGATGCGCATGTAGTAGTCATGGACTATGGGATGCCTTTCTGCCCACGACTTCGTGAAGACCTACGAGGACATGTCAGGATAGGACATAATAACGAGTGTGCGTCTTACATATTGGTACCCCCTCGCCAACCCCGAGACAACAAACAAATCAGCCAAGGTCAGGGTGTCGCCGACCAGGTACTGCTTCCCCTTGATCTCTTTCTCGACGGCGTGGACTGTGAGCTCGCAGCCCTCTTCGGCTTTCTCTAGGATCTCGGGGCTGGATGGTGCTCTGCCAATGATGGGTTGGATCCAGGCCATAATTGGCGGAAGGAGTTCGTAGTTGGTAAACGAAGCCCAGCGAAGAATAGTCGTCTCCTCTCGTAGGTTGGAACCATGGAGTGTGCTCTTCGGGTCCTGGTGAGAGACTATTACTGTCAGTGTTGAAATGCGAGATGAGCTGTTGGGATCTTACGAAACCACGCGACGGCGTTACTCTCGTAGACACAGAAACCGTCTGCAGTCTCGAATGCCGGGACTTTTCCAGTGTGGAATTTGGCGAGATACTCCTCTCCGACGCCCCCTTTCTCTGGATAGACTTTGATCGGAAAGGCGTTGCAGATTTCCACGTCGAGCTTGAGGTACTTGACGACAAACACCACCATGGTGGACCGAGGGGCCTTTGGGTAGGTATATAATTTTCCGAGGGACATAGTAAATAAATGATGATGCAACGTACAATCTAGGGTACCGATTAGAAGAACGAGGTTACGATTGTCAATTCGACAGCATTATGTCAAGATATATAACCGCTTCCACAGTGCCGTGACTGGGAATCGTTAGAGCCACAGCGGACATGTTATCCAACTTAGTATATGCAATACGTCGTTATCTTAGTTATTCTATCATTGCAGCTAAGGGAGGAGTGAGGGGAGAGCATTCAGTGGGGTGGGGGAGTGGGAGGAGCTCCTCCGGAATATTTATCTGGTCCCCACTCCTGTCACAAGCATGAAAGGAATGGATTTCCCATATACTAATTGTGCTACAGACTAGTATTATGATATCCTCAAGTCTCTGTCTACACCATGGAACAATTGTAAGTTGTCTTACCCGGTCTTTTTCACGTCTAATCTCGCAGATACGTCTTGGTTACTGGCGCAACGGGCCTGATCGGCGCCCATGTAGTGGACACGCTGCTTCAACAAGGAACCCGGGTAAGGATTGTGGTCAGGTCCAAGGAGAAGGCCGGTGCGTTCCTTGCGAGCAGGAGAGAACACAGTGACAGGCTGGACGTTGTCTTCATCCGAGACCTGACGGACCCGGGGGCGTTTGACGACGCGGTACAGGATATAGCAGGGGTCATCCATGTAGCAAGTGTACGTTCAAATAGCAGGGCCTTCGGAGAAGAAAGTGTTAACACTGATCGACACAGCCTCTGAAATACGACTGCAAAGACAACGAACAAGCTTTAATAATCCCTGCTATCCAGGGAGTACGCTCTATCCTACGCGCGTGTTTGAAATCTCGAGTCAAACGTGTGGTCCTTACATCCTCCTTTGGATCAGTGCTTGACATGTCTAAGCCTGAGGAGGCGCCCTGGAAATATACATCCAACGACTGGAATCCCATCACGTACCCCGAGGCCGCATCACCACATGCGTCGGCACGCGAGGCATACAGAGGATCCAAGACACTCGCAGAACAGGAAGCCTGGAAGTTCATGAAGGAGGAAAATCCAGGATTCGACCTAGTAACGCTCTGCCCGTCCATGGTGTTTGGACCACTGGCACAGATCCCCCAATCGGTGAGCGATCTGAACGAGTCCAACAAGATGCTGTGGAATGTAGTCAGCGGTTCTGCTTCTGAGGAGCTTCCTCCCTGCCAGTTCAATTTCTGGATTGATGTCCGTGACTTGGCGCAGATTCATGTACAGGCTCTGTTCACGCCCGCTACCGGGGGGAAGAGGTATATTCCGGTGTCAAGGGAGCCATTTACATATCAGATGGCATCGGATATTATGCAGAGCGAGCTGCCATTTCTCAAAGGAAAAATTCCGACAGGGATTCAAGCTATAAAGAAGCATGTTGAAGTCGATCTGGAGCCGATGGTGACAGATTTTCCCACCATCAAGTATACGCCGTTTAAAGAAACAGTCTCCGATTTTGTCAGACAGTTCGCGCCATTCCTGGAGGGCCAGATCTGAGGTGTCATTGTCTAGAAATGGAAGATATCCAGGTAGTCAATTCCAGCTCCTTCCCAGCATACATGGAACTATTCGTAGTGCCGACCCTTGTCCCATCGGTGTAATAGGATATCTACCTCCACTGGACGCAATATAAGTCGCCAACAATTCGATCAAGATCGGCCAGGATGCACTTCAGCGTCGTCGCCCATGGCTGTAGGAAGTCCTCGACGGTCTTTGTAGAAATTACCTGGGGTCATATGGTGCAAGGATGCGATCTCCCGCTGGTGACAGTTCTGCCACTATATACAGGCTTCCTGGTAGGTGGTCAGTGTGCATAGGCATCTGAAAGGATGATTCCAAGGGGCCCTTCTGCGGAGCGATGGAGTCCGGCATGTAAGCAACGGGATTAGATGTGACGTACGCAAGGGGCAGATAGTGTACACTTATAACTGACGCCAATCCAGACCATCTGATCTTAGATAGTAGAATCAACGTCAACATCCCCTTCTGGTCTCGGTCAGGGTGCAGCCGACAATTGTGATAGGTATTTCAGCCTGATCTGTCTCTGCTAAGGGGACATTGGTCGATATGCCGTGCGATCTCCAGGATACGCCCCGAGGGGTTGTAATCGGGGTTGTACAAAGTGAAAGAAGTCCATGCAGGTCCTGGGCTATGTTATTAACAAATGATGTTAACCGTTCCACTTCGTTCTTCACTGCAGCCCTTACAGGATGAGGCCATCTGCATACAATCCATCAGCCAATCAGAGGCCCAGTACCACGTGACTGTCCCCAAATTCCCACGTGACCCGCTGTCCCCCGATCGTGGCGAAGATTCATGAGACTCCTCTTCCTGCGATAACGGGGCTTACTGGCGATTGCTCATCTAAATGGATGGTCTTAGTCACTGCGATCACAAGATTGACTGGTCTTCATTTGAGGGCCTTGAATCAGGCCCCGCAAGAGGCCTCTTCGGTTCTCAACCACAACCCAACGATGAGGCATCTGGTATCGGCCTGAACGAAAGAGAGTCTCTGGAAGACCCGTTTCCCAATGATACATCGCTAGACGATATCCTTCACTGCGACACTCTGGTCCCAGGAATTGGCTGGGATGACGACGACTTCTTTCTCCCCCAAGGTGCCTGGAGACCCCCGGAGCCCTGCACGTACTGCCGCCGTATGCGCCTGCAATGCTTCTCCCTGCAGACCACAGATGCCAATCCAAACCCAGTCACCTCTTGCTCCAGCTGTGTGGCTCTGTTCCGGCAATGCAGTCTTGCAGAGCGACACAAGCGGCAGCCACATCAATACGAAACGAATCGGCCCGTGATTGACCAACTGCACGGGATCAGAGAGGACGACGTCTTGCCCGGGAGCACCGACGGTCCTGATTTTGACGAATACGAACTATTTTCACTGGACACCACTCGGCCCGAATTATCTGGGGCATCCTCTAACACAAGTGAGAGAGCTGGTTCTCATTCTCGCTCTGTCAAGCGAACGCGGCCGTTGAGAGAATGGCTGGCCTGCAATATCTCCAATCCATATCCAACAAAAGCAGACAAGGCCGACCTTGCAAGCCAGACTGGGCTGACAAAGACGCAAATTAACAACTGGTTCCTGAATGCCCGACGGCGGCAGCGCCATTCAGACAGGGTGGTCGCTCAACGCAAGATCCTACCGCAAGGATCACCGATGCCCAGCGTGTCACCGTTGAGCATGATGACTCCACTGGATCGCTGGCGCTGCTCGCCTCCAGATGAGGAGCCCATAACCATATCTCCGGCCGCGCTGGAGAGCGCATTGAACGACAGCTTCTACACGGACTCGCAGCCCGCGGGAAGTGCCGGCTACGCATCGTCGTCTATAAGCGGGGATTCCTGGCTTCACAGCCAACCACAGTCCTTATACACTTCATCGAATCCAGATTCGACGGGCGAATTCTGCCATTCAAATGACAGCAACTCCGTTAGCAGTCTGGGTACAAGCCATGACGCGTTCACGCTACCCCCTTCATCGACCCGAGCTTCAACTGCTCCATCCAACCCAACCTTTCAGTGTACATTTTGCGCGCGGACGTTCAAGAAGAGATTCGACTGGCGACGCCACGAGCTAAGCGTCCATATGCCCAGACTCAACTCGTGGGCCTGTGCTGTCCCTTTAGCCCCCGACGAATCGTTCGTGATCTGGCGCACTGGCCAGGAGAGTCCCGAGTGCATCTTCTGCGGCCATACATCTCCTACTGACGACCACTTCCGGTCGCACGAGCTCGACTACTGTTCCCACGGTCCTGGTGGTGGACGAGTCTTTAGCCGCAAAGACCACTTGTGGCAGCATCTGTACAAGTTCCATGGCTGTCGGAAGTGGGACGGGTGGACGCCGGATTTGGCCTCGCTCAAGAATAATTCCGATGCTATCAAAAGCCGCTGTGGATTCTGTGACGTGGGCATGATCAGTTGGAAAGAGAGGGAGCAGCATATGGCGGATCATTTCCTTAAGGGAGTCACCATGGCCAGCTGGACGGGCGAACGTGGGGGGGTGGAACAAAGCCCGTAGGGCTGCCTTAGCTTATTAGCATTAATAGTTCTGGTTCAAGCGTTGTATCACACCCGAGTTACTACTCTTGCCACACGGCATCATCGTTCAGCTCTGGTTGTGATATATATATACATAGTTTATCGATGGTCTACATTGAAATTCTCGCAAACCAGAACTGCATCCGCACGAGCCAACGACACCAGGAGAATTGCGGAACCAAGCTACTTCTTGGTTTCCGTCTATGATATATTCATGTTGTCAATGTGCTAGCGCCCTTCCGCTCGCAGACTTTCCAGCTCCCGCTGGAACGCTGGCCATGTCTGGGTGGGCAACTTCCAGGTGAGCCACCAATTCCCATCCCCATCCTTCCCAAGTACGTTTCCCATAGTCCACAAATCCGGGCCTGCCACATCTCTGCCGACAAGCATACATACTGGCCTCCCGATCCTCTCACTCGGACCACCCGAATGCCGCTTCGGACAGCGCACCGCCGAGGAGAAGTCAATGTCGAAAAACCGAGCCTGGTGAAAATTTGTACAACCGATTACAACAGATCGCGGATCCATGCCGAATGCCGTTGAGCCGTTAGCGACCAAGGCCTCACGTTTCATTGCGAGCTGCGCCTGGCTCTGCGCCTTCGTGCGCTCCTCAACCAACGACGCCCGGAACTGCGAGGCCACCTGGCCCAGCGAAAGGTTCAACGCGTCCCCAACAGATAAGAATGTTGGCGACATCAAACATGCATTCGCGATGAAGGCAGTATTATCGGACGCAGACTTCTGGAGCAGTGTAGGGCGGACATTGAATGTGTTGAACACCGCCAGTGGCCGGCTGGGGAACGCTCCACGGGCTTTGACAATTGTGCGGGCACCCCAAGACAGTAGGACGTCTCCATGACTTATGAATGGTGATGGCTGCCCCGGTGCTGCGGCGTGTGATAGCTCCTCAATCCCCTCGTTTCGCAGTTTGTCGACATATGGCCCGGGGATGCAGATGACGCGCGACTCAACGGAAGGATACCAGAATTTATCCCATAGTGCACAGATGGCAAATACCCACTTCTTGATACCCGTTACTCTGTTGTCATAGTGTGCATACTCTGTCGGCTCCGATCCATTGCTTTGGTCTGTTAGTAGGTCCTCGCCAATGCCTTTGAGTTGACCGACTTCATCTTCGCGTCCATTCAACACATTCGACCACGCGCGGAGAATCAGACGCATTCCAGATGCGCCGGTTAGTATGTGCATGAATGTTACCGATACCAGGGTCGCATCCTCAAAAGCGACGACGTGAATATCGAGCAGTGGGCGATCGGAAAACAACCAGTCGTCCAGTGTCCGCGGATGCTGCGGATGAAGAAACAAGGACCTCACAGCTTCCTCCTGGCATCCCTGCACACTGGGCTGTGCGGTGGCCCTGGGGAGCTTCTCTGCCAGGTAATGGCTTTCAAGGGGGATATCATAGTTTGTAACATTGAACTCGAAACCAGGCCTGCTCTCATCGTATCTTTCAGGGATATGGTATTCAAGCCCCCCATTGCTCTATCTAGTCAGGGACGTCACTACCAGAAGTGACAAAGCAACGACTTACATTCATCCGTATGCGTGCACCCAGTCTCCGCCACTCTCCAATTTGCATCAGCCGCTCCAGCGAGTTGTGGAGCTCACCCGGGTCCAGGACATCGTTGAATCGGAAGCAATAATGCAAACACCATTTGCGCCGGATATTCGCGCTATCCCACAGCGACACCGGCAGCACTGTGTCTGTTGGGACCCTTGGAGGAGCCACGGGCTTGTCTGTTGTGAAGAAGCCCATAATGTTGATAGCGCATCTGTCTCCAAGCACACGGCGGATAGTCAACCATGGGGTGGAACGCCTTTATACGACAGGAAACTGCCATTAGTGCTCTGTAGATCATAACAAGCGAGGGGCCTTTCTGAAGTCGATCCAAGCAAGGTTGGATGTGGTACAATATCCAAAGCCAGTACCTTAATTTCTGAGTAGGCCCCTTGCTGCGTACTGATATGGGTCCTCGACTGCCGTGTCTTGGTGACGTGTCAAACTGGGCGATCATTGTATTTAAGAGATGCTCTTCACACCAATCCAGCCCTTGCCTGGTACATCCAGCTGCTCCTGGTCAGCCAGAAGGGGCTCTTGCAGGCGTGGTAAATGGTAGATGGCGATAACTTCTGTCATGGAACCAAATTCGGCGTCCAGTATAAGCAGATGATGGTGTCGCACATGAACAGGCAGCTCCGAGCAGGTGTGAGACCTATAGATTTAGCTTTTTATAACCAATCGAATGGGTGAATCCCCAGAACTGTCGAGGACGGACTGACTAGGCCTGGTGGTCGGGGGTGAAGCCTCCACCCCAAGCAGCTAAAGAACAACATTAGACTTGGCGTTTTAGGAATAGGAAATACTGCAACTGCATATTCTTATTTCTGTTGCTAGCTCTGTCAGCTTATCACATGCATGAAGGATCATTGCGGGGCACAAATCCGCCTGACTTCGTATCTCTGCTCTATCACCACAATGTCCTCCAAGTCTATTATTGTTATTATCGGATGCGGTGGCATGGGGCTGGCCATCGCACGGCGACTTGGAAGTGGTTCTCATCTCGTTCTATCTGACTTTTCACAAGCCCAGCTTGACTCCGCCGCCCAGACTCTGCGACATGAAGGCCACGACGTCGACACCGTGCAAGCCGACATTTCCAACGAAAGCGCCGCCCAGAGCCTCGCCCAGGCCGCCGCACGCCTGGGTGTCGTTAGGGTCATCGCGCATACCGCTGGGCTGTCGCCTGCACGGTCGCCGCCGGATGCGATCTACAAGGTCGACCTGCTAGGAGTGGCGCATGTTATCGACGCGTTCCTCCCTGTGGCCAGTAGCGGTACATCGCTGGTTATCATCGCCAGTCTCGCCGGGCACAATACACAGGGACATTTATCAGCTGATCTGGAACGGCACCTCGCTACTGCTCCGGCTAGCGAGCTCCTGAACCACTCAGAGCTCGAACATGTCAATTCTACTTCCGCCGAGTCAGTGCCCCGGTTTACAGCGTACGGCGTCTCGAAGCGCGGGAACATTCTCCGCGTACAAGCGTTTGCAGCGGCCTGGGGGCAAAAGGGGGCGCGGATCAACACCGTCAGTCCAGGGCTGATTCTCACTGCAATGGGGCATGCAGAGCTCTCAGGGCCCATGGGAGAGCATATGCAGGACAGGATTGGGAAGAACCCGGTCGCGCGCGTGGGCACGGCATCGGATGTTGCAAATGCGGTGGCGTTTCTGTGTAGTCATGAGGCGTCGTTTATCACTGGAACTGATATTCTAGTTGACGGGGGATGGGGGGTTTCAGCTCGGTGGGAGAGCAAAATATAGTCTATACGTCTATGGGATATCTCGCTATAGTAGCTCAATTGGTTGAATCAATATGCTGACGCCACTTGGTTCCATATGTCGAGGTTGCGCAGACATTAACTACAGAAGCACAAAGCAAGCCTGCACTGATCGTACTAAACCAGACAACCCCTATCGCCCGAACAGCCGGGAGCACGACCCCAGACCCAACAGCAGCAAATACGTAGCGGAGCAATGTAGTTTCCAGCGACTGCTTTAGTACTGCACCCCTTTGGCTGCATCACGTCGAGGCAGTACGTGTTCAAGCTGGATATGGCAAAGAGCTGCGCGATACCCTGCAGAGCCATAACAACAAGCCATGCCGCCTGCTCGCCTTTGGACCGTCCGTCCATAGACCAGCATACACGCGGGAAGTATAACCAACATAAACGGCTGAGAAGACTTCAGCCTGTCTTCTGGGATATGGACCCCGCGTTTACGGATTCATCTTCGTACTATATAACCTGCCCACCGGCCTCCTAGCAATGTACCTATTAGATACCCCCGCCCCGCCTGGGGCAACATACAGTAGCCCAGACTCTATAGTCAAACCTGACGGCGTCCCCAAATCTGGCTTAATGGTCCCCATAGCGGTCCTGCGAGTCCCATAAAGACAAGATAGACTGCGTTACTGGCATTGATCACACTCCCTGTGGTGCTGTACGTCGCGCCACTCCGGGAACAGCCGGAAGTATTGATGTCGATGACATGGGGGAGAGAGCTGCAAAGAATGGCAGAATGGCGACGATAATGGCTTTTCTATACTGTGGAAAATGCTCATACTGGTGGGCATCAGTCTCTCGATAACTGCGCGAGTCGGACATTGTGCTTGACAATTGTCCGAGATTAACTGGAACGCAAAAGCGAGTTGTGAATGCGCGTCATAATATTCATTGTCGCAATATGCGAATCCCAAACTCGGTGGGAAGGTTCTGTGGGAAAAAAATCCGATGTTGGGGTCGAGGTGGTATAGTTAGTGGGTTCGCATGAGCAGAAACATATGTGAAACGACCAAGTCAGCCTCTGTTAGGAAATAATTCCATTGTCACTCGTTAGTAGACGTTGGATATGTGGTAGGACTCCATTGTCATCACATTCTCCTAGCATTCCAGTCGCAGTCTATGTCGTCCTGCTCCCATGAATAACATCAACCAGTTCTTGTATGAGTACGAACATTGCTCAAACACGTAACTATTTGAATAAACTCAATGATTACCTAGTGAACCGCTGGGATTAATATGGTTAATACTATGTTTATGACGAGATGCTATACCGCTAAGACCAAATAGCCATGCACAGCTGGTGGTCAGCCACCTATCTCCAACAGTTTCTACTCACACCTTAACCGACCGGTTGAGGAAGGAACACTGGGGTCAATCGAGAAAGTGAAACCAGTCGGTGAGACTCTTGGATGTATCACAGCAGCCTGGGAACAAAATAGAACAAACTTACGGTGACGAGCCACGTCAACAGTGGGGAATGAGGGTGCCTAGCGACTCCTCCACACACATTCCAGGCACTGATCCACCATTCAAGCACATTCGGTGACCCGGTTCAGCCCTACGGGGCAATGCCAAGTTCTGATCCTGATCCCCGGCTGGTCTTGTTGTTTCTTTAACCACCATGGGCGAAACGATGGCGGCCGTAGCTGGCGGCTCGACATCCCCTTCGCAGTCAACAACGACGCCGAAAACAGTTACTCTCGAGCGATCGCGACGAGGCAGATACCGCGCGGTCGGCCATGCAGCGCTGAAAAACAATCTCCTCGCTGGGGTAGGTTTCCTTGAGCTCGCCAATGCTGGCGACTTTGCCGCCAATGTTTGGAATGAGATCCCCGTCCCACGCCATGCGATGATTCTCATGGCTATCGGAGGGCCTATCGCTCTGATGATGTCGCTGGTCGCAGTCCGGGACTTTTATCTCAGTTCGAAAAACGTCTTGCTGCTCTACGCCGAACGGCAGGCGCTGCTGTCCCTTCCCACGGACGGCAAGACTGCTGCTGTGTTAGGAGTCAACACGCGCGAACTCGGCACTGAATCCATCGACCGCATGTTTATGGACCTGCTCATGGGCTTTGGCGCACTGTTAGTCGGAATTGGCACCATCATGGCCATCTGGGGCGCAGACCACCGTGTCTTCTTAGCCAGCAATCTCCTCTCTGGCTTCGTTGGGAACGGATTCGCAGCAGTATTCGGGCTGGTTAACGCCTGCTGGTCTGGCTATCTCGTCTACCGATTCCAAGTGCGATACTCAGCCTGCCAGTCCGATCCTGCAGTGCAGACGGTGCGACCGAAGCTACGCCAGCGCGTCAGGCGATTCCAGTGGCATGCAGGGGTGAACGGGGTCAATGGACTCGTCGCAGGGATGGCATCCATGGTGACGGCCAAGATGTGGTGGGGATACGTCGTCCTGATCCCGACTATTATCGCCATGATCGCAGGCAATCTCTTCTGGAGAGCAAAGCTGGGCTACGACCGACCGCTCACGATCAATCCTGATCTTACTGCGGAGGAGAAGGAGGGAGACGAGGACGCAGTAGGGGATGCCCTGGACTGTCTGGCCTCGATCGAAGCAGCACAATCCCAACTTCCCGACCTGGCAGAGATGGGCACTCTAAATAATATGCTAGCATTTCTGGAGGAAAGGCAGATGTTCGAGTATTTCCTTGTCTGGGTCGCGCGACAATGGCCAGATCACCGATTCTTTGCTGCATCGGAGACTGTCGACCTCTCGCGGAACGACTTGGAAAACGGATCAGAAGACGAGGTATCTCGAATGGAACAGGAATGTCGACAATTTATACGCGACCAGGCACGACGTCTACTGAAGCATCGCGAGCGATATCTATTGGAGCTTGTCGGCGAGGCTGTGTGGAATCAAAAATAACCTGCTGGCAGGTTCATAGAGTCAACAGTTGCATTGAACGCTCATAATTATTCTATTAATCCAGTTTATGTAATTACTCTATCACAAATCACACTGAACCATCATTCACTCGTCTTCCATTTGCACCATTAATTGCTGTGTAGATAATTAATACTTAACCATCGTAAGCTCCATGAGACTTACCAGATCAACCCGACCAGGCGGCCAGGGCATAGCGAACCAGGGAAACGAGCCCGCCGGTGACAATAAACAAACCCAGCGGTCGCAGCAGGAACAGCCAGATCAGATTCCACATGGCCCTTGTCAAGCGTCTACACGGTCAGTCGAAGTTTCTTGGTGATGGAGTTCAACCTACACCGCAGGGTTGGCCATCTTGAACTTGAACTTCCATAAACTCGATAACAATATAAAGCGCCAGGAATCCGGAGACTGTCCGAGCGCCGAGTGCAATGACAAACTGCCTAGAAAAGGTGGCGAAATGCTGCTGCCTGAGTATACGGTGGGTCTCAGATTTATGTGGATTGAACCAACTGCAACATCACTCAGCCCTACAGAGTCCCCAGAGAATCCGGCACTGTCGGCATCTGGCTTGGCTTCCTTCTGTTGTTAAGTTATTAATTGCTGCTCTGCCCATTCGTCCGGTCTGCAACCTCATGCACGAACACGCGCTGACAGTTGTCTCTGGTTTCGTTCCACATGGAAAGATATACGCTCCTGCGTGGCCTCGTTGAATGGGACCAGACACCTCATATCGTTTTGACTGCAGCCTAATGGCACCGATAGCATGCACGGCCAAGTTCCCCAGTTTACCTTCTTCTCGTGCCATGCCGACAAGGCACAGCACGCATCGAGTTGGGAAGAACTAGCACCGCACTTCGAGAAACCCACATCCGACGATGTCTGGTGGCTGGACGTTTGTGACGGTACAGAGGACGACGTCGCTGCCGTTGCTCGCTCGCTGGCAATCCATCCCCTGACGGTGGAGGACATTGCCCTGCAGGAGCCGCGACAGAAGATTGAGACTTTCCCGGACTACTATCTCATCACGCAGCGCACATTGTCTGCCTCGCTCGACGATCAAGAGATAAAAGAGCCCAAGATCAGCGAGGATGGCCCCTTGCTTGCAATGCCAGGTCGTCCCAGCCCCCAGATGCTGTTCATCCTGGTCTTCGGTCATGGCACAGTAACCTTCTCTCGCAGCGGCACTGGCCATGTCGGTCGAGTGCGCAGTCGAATTGCCAGACTGCACGATCGATCCGTCCTCTCCAGCGACTGGATCTGCTATGCCCTCTTGTACGCCACCCCCATACCCAAGTAAACCAATAACTAATGAATGCAGGGACGACGTAATCGACAGCTTCCAGCCCAAAATCGAAGCCATGTCACGCGAATCCGAAGCAATCCAAGACCAGATCTACATCGCGCGAGACGACGACATGACCCCGTTAATGCTGCGGATCTACAACCTCCGCAAACGCATCAACCACCTCACGCACTCCCTCTCCGGCAAATCCGACGTGCTGAACGGCTTCGTCAAGCGCTGCCAGACAAAACGCTGGCACCCTGCCTTCCCAGCCGGCGATCTGATCGTCTACCTCAGCGATGTCCAAGACCACCTCGTCACGATCCTGGCTGAACTAGCGCACCTCGACGAGATAACGAGCAGACTGCAGTCGAACTTCCTCGCGCAGACGAGCGTGCATAACATGCGGCTGAGCGCGAGACTCAACTCGGGATTAAGCAAGGTGACCGTCCTTGCGACGATCTTTGTGCCGCTGCATATGGTGACGGGGTTGTTTGGGATGAATGTTACTGTTCCGGGGGATGATGTTGAGGGTTCGCTGGCGTGGTTCTTTGGGATTGTGGGGGTGTTTATTGCTGTTATTCTCGCTGCTTGCTTTGCGGCGTGGAGGTTTAAGCTGTTGTAGCTACCACATGAACCGGGTTATACATTAGAATTGGCCATAGAATTGCCAAAATCCTGTCATTCTCCACTGGATCGTAGGTTGTCCATTCTAGGATGACTCGTTGCTGCAGTATTACGGTAGATGCTCTCCCTATATTTCTCGGTAATTTTCCAAATTACAAAATATGTTAGTATACGAGTCATGATGTCTCCAATTCCACTATTTGGAGACATTGGTGACCTTGAATGGTGGTGTCATCTGTCGCCATTCCCGCGTCTGCACACGCCATAGCTATGGTCTTGACTCTAGATTAGTTGAAAATCCTATATTCCAGATTAAACAACATCACAATAATTCGAGCAGTTGAAACCAACATGCCGCCAGTAATCGAATACTACTTCTCCTTCGTCTCATTATGGTCCTACATCGGCAGCCGGCGTTTCCAGCAGCTGGCACAATCAACCAACGCAAAAGTCATCCTCAAACCAATCGACCTCATGTACATCTTCTCGATATCCGGAGGTCTTCCTGTGAAACAACGCGCCGCCCAGCGCCAGACCTACCGGCTTCTTGAGATGGAGCGGTGGCGTCGCATTCGCGATATTCCGCTCGTTACGCATCCGAAGTTTTATCCTGCCGACCCTTCACTTGCTCATCGTGTGCTTCTGGCTGCAATTGAAGAGTCTGGCCATGACAGCTCATCTGTGCAGGAGTATGCCCGACTTGGGCTTGAGGCTGTTTGGGCACGGGAACTTGATATTGCCGACCCGGGGACCATTGTTCGGTTGGCAGATGAGGCTGGACTGGAGGGAAAGAGATTGCTGGATCGGGCGAAAACCGAAAAATCTTTGTCAGATCAAGAGGTGGCTTTAACTCAAGAGGCCGAATCGAAGCAGTATTTCGGTGCGCCGTTCTACACCATACGAGGGGAGACATTCTGGGGACAGGACCGCTTGGATATGGTAGAGGAGGTGATCAAAAGTGGCAGAGATCCAATTGTTGTAGACAACAAATACTAGTTTTATGTGTATATAAAGATCAGTCGTAATATGTCACTTTAACACCCTTGAGGATTTCCACATCGTTCACCTCGTTGTCGCCGTCCTTCTCAGTAGACTCGCCCAGGTTCTTGATAACTCGCTGCTTCACCCATTCGCCTGCCTTGAGCGGCTGCCCATCGCTCCCAAGGATCTTCTCACCGATCAGTCCCTTTTGGCGCAGAACAGGGGATTCTTCGATTGGGACCAGATCACTGTCATCTTCAATGCGTACCATATACAGAACCCCCAAACGGTCAATATGAGCCTGGTCTTTTGGCGGTGCGATGACGCGGTGGATGCTCGATTTGAGGTATCCATCTAGAAAATTAGCATCCTCATATGTTTGTAATGAGAGAACGTACTCGTCATAAACTGCAGCGCATCGGCAATGTTCACGGTGAGAGCCTCCATCTGCGGCTTGACATATTTCCATTCACCACCTCTGGTCAACACCTGCAGTGCCGCGACAGGCTGGCGGAAAAGGAGTGTCAGGCTTCCCATATCAGAGTGTCTATCCTGTCAGTCTAGCTCTGTCATTATACTGTGTGTACATACCCCTTAAGCCAGACGCCGCCCAGCTTGTCATTCTCCTCCTGGCTCCGCGAGTAGTACTTCATGTACCGCAGATGATCCCCAGAGGTCTGCTCGTACCGATGCTTGTTAACCAGCCACTCCTCGTCCTCTAGCCCTAGTGCAATGGCAAACACGGTAAGCAGCTTCTTGACAATATTCTCGTGGATATGCTTTGAAAAGTGCTCGATGCTCTGCCAATGCTCCCTAACTACATCCGGGTGTTTCCGATCCGCATGCTCCGGAGTAAACTTTGGTATATTATAGATCTCAAAGTTATCCTTAACACCAGGAACGAGGGTACGAATTCCCGCTGGCTTCCACCCGTTATAATCCCCCTGTTCTAGTGCAGCACGGTATTTCTGTTTCTCGTCGTTGGGTAGGGAGAGGACGGTCTTTGCGAGGCCAAACTGCGCATCCACTTCTTCCTTGCTCAGGCCGTAGTTCGTAACGTAGAAAAATCCTGCTTCTATAAGATGTGGTACAACTTGTAGGAACGGGTGAACATACCGACATCTTCAATCGCTGTTGTAAGTTCAGCAGCCAGCTCATGCTTTCCACCAGGTTGATCGAATTTGGCCAGATCGAGGGTCCTTAGATCCGCCCACTCCAGGTCCTCTGATGTTTCTGGGACCTGTACATAGGAGATTGGCGGTGCTTCAATCGTTGTTGTTGTTGTCGTCATGGTTCCTTTCTTGGATGTGATCAGGACGTTCACTTGGGATACAAATATTGCGACCTGTAGTCCGTTCAGCACAGCTATCCAGATTATTACCTTGGATATCTCCAACGGCCATGCATCCGGTCACATCATAGATATGGCCCATGGCGTCTTCGGAGTAGGACTCCAACCCTGAGTCAGGAAATCACGTCGTTTACCATTATGATACGCAATTTTATTCTTCTCCAAATAAAATAATATAATATATTGTATTGTCGATTCTCGTATAGGTATTTTGGACAAACAATGCGATTATATATAGTGGGCAGAGAAATCATTTCATGCAGTGCACCAATACTATATCCAGGTATGGGAAATGCACGGTACTGATCTCCGTCCACTCAGACAAAGGCATTAAGCTCACTTTATTCCAGTCAGTGACAGCATCCACTATAAATCCCTGGTCAACCGTGGCCGATACACGTGGGGCTGCAATAAACTTTTGACGTCATGTCCACCTTTCCTTTAGCAGTCAAGCGCGATGGAGTTGTATCCAGTTTACACTCGCTGATTGGCCGGTAGAGATTACTCCGACATTGCGTCCGCCGCGAAAAAAAATCACGTCCTCACTATTTAAGCAGGGGAGCTCGCAAATGTCTTCGTAGTGCGTGTCAGTGCTGCAGTTGGATGGACGGTGCAATGTCGAACTCGCCGCAGGAGCAGCTGCAGGAGCGGGATGCGCATCCCCGCGTTGACGAAAAGACCATCGCCACCGGCGGGATTGACCTGCTGGGCGAGGAAGCCAAGCCAATTGACCCCGAGGTGGAACGGCGAGTTTTGCGGAAGATTGATCTGTTCTTGATGCCTGCAATGGTAATCGGTATGCAACCCTTAACCCTTAGAAGGCAGTGTACTAACGTCGCAGGATATGGTCTGGTGTATTATGACAAGGTGGGACGCTCGACCTGTAGGCGTTCTTTAGCTGACTCTACAGGCAATTCTTGGAAATGCAGTCCTCTTTGGCATGACTACCGACTTACAGCTGTCGGTTACTGACAACTCAGTCAGCCCGCCAGTCACGGATACGTCCAGACTGAGCTGGGCAACCTCCATCTTCTACTTTGGCCAGCTTGCCGGCTCTTATCCCATGACATACATCCTGCAGTGCTTCCAAACACGACGCGTTCTAGGTCCAGCCGTAATTATCTGGGCCATTATATGCGCTGCTACTGCCGGTGTAACTACCTGGAAAGGACTCTACGCCCAGCGATTCTTCCTCGGTAAGACCCCCCGAACCCGATGTGAAATTGGTCTAATTCGTCAGGCTTCACTGAATCGATCATCCCAACTGGATTCATGGTAATAGTGAGCGGCTTCTACACACAGCGAGAGCAATCGTCCCGCCAGAGTGTGTGGTTTTCCGGTACCGGGTGGTTCACTATCATCGGCGGTGCCTTTAACTACGGCTTTGCCCAGATTGACAGCGGGGCCTTGAAGCCGTGGCAGTATATTTACATCTTCGCTGGCATTTTGACCTTTCTATTTGGAATCTGGTGTTTCTTCCTTCCGAACGACCCTCTCAACGCGTGGTTCCTCACTCCGGAAGAGCGTCTGGTGGCAGTGGAGAGACTGCGAGCGAGTCAGACTGGAGTGAAGCATAAAAAACTGAAGACTGGGCAACTGAAAGAGGCCATCCTGGATATCCGGATCTGGCTTGTAGCTTTGACTATGGCTGCTGCGTATGTATACTCTCTTTCATTGCGATGGATAGGATGCTGACTGGTTAGATACACTGTGAACGGCGCAGTATCTGGCTTCGGGCCTCTTATAGTCTCAACATTCGGCTACTCTTCCCTAGAAAGCATTCTCTTCCAGTTTCCGCTCGGCGGTATCTCTGCATTCGGCATCATCGGTACCGGCTGGCTGTGCTCTCGCTACCGCAACATCCGCGTCATATCGCTAGTTCTCTGCTGTCTCCCGGTCATCGCGGGCTTCGTGATGATCTGGAAATCCAGCTGGGGATATAAACCTGCTACGCCCGTTGCTGGATACTCCCTGATCGGCTTCTTCGGGCCAGTCGTGGGCATCACCATCTCTCTCGGCGCGAGTAACATTGCAGGCGAGACGAAGAAGAGCTTTACGGCCGCGGCTGTGTTTGTCGCGTACTGCGTTGGCAATATCGTCGGTCCTCAGTTGATCCACAGCCAGCAAAAGGCGGACCACTATCCTGATCTGTGGACTGGTCTTATTATCTGGTATGACCTCTTTACTTTCAACATGGCACTGCTAACATAGTCAGCTACTGCATTACGATCCTCTGCGCGTCGGTATTGGCTGTGCTGTGGTTTCGCGAGAATAAACGGCGAGCAGGTCTTGGTCTGAATGACAGCGAGCGTGATCGTCTTGCGTTCAAGGACTTGACGGACAAGGAGAACCTGCATTTCACGTATGTATACTAGTATTGTACATCCCTCCCTCCTAACTGGGATCGTATATTAAATATCGGAAAATAAGAATACATATTCTAAATACCATTGATAAGATGTAAATACCCCACGTGGGCTGTCCCACCGCATTGCGTCATCGACAGCTCTGTATAACTTCACACCCTCTTGTAACATTAACAACCCCCTTTCTCAGACAAAATGAGTCTATCCAGGTTCAAGCATCTCCCCCGGGCCGCCCACGGCCCCGTGAAGTGCCCCTACCATGGCACCTCGCTGCTCACCAGCGCAACATTCAACAAGGGGTCCGCCCACCCAGAGAGCGAACGCAAGGAATTCAAACTCCACGGCCTGCTCCCACCAAACATCCAAACGTTAGACGAGCAGGTCGACAGGGCATACCAGCAGTACAAAAGTCGCCCGAACGATCTGGCCAAGAACACCTTCATGGCGAGCATGAAGGCCCAGAACCTGGTGCTGTACTACAAGCTGCTGCAGTCGCATCTGAAGGAGATGTTCAGCATTATTTATACGCCGACCGAGGCGGATGCTATCGAGGATTACTCTAGGCTGTTCCGGAAGCCAGAGGGGTGTTTTTTGAATATTCGCGACCAGGATCGCATTGAAGAAAGTCTCGATAATTTCTCCACGGGCGACGATATTGACTACATCGTTGTCAGCGATGGGGAGCAGGTATGCCTTTTCCCTACTAGTATCATTCATTACTAACAGTGGGAGATACTTGGAATTGGCGACCAAGGAGTCGGTGCAGTTCTGATATCTGTTGCGAAGCTGGTCATAACAACAGTCTGCGCTGGAATCCACCCATCACGACAGCTGCCTATTGTTTTGGACTGCGGGACAGATGTACGCTCTCCTCCCATCTTCAAAATATAGTGCTGACTATATAGAATGAAAAATTACTAAACGACGATCTATACCTGGGCCTGCGCCAACCGCGCACCCGCGGCGAGGAATACGACCAGTTCATCGACAAATTCGTCCAGGCCGCACGGAAGAAATTCCCAAACGCATATATCCATTTGTACGTCACTGTCAAAGCATTGAAGTACGTAGCACTGACCATCCAGCGAGGACTTTGGGCTGCAGAATGCCAAACGCATCCTCGACAAGTACCGCACGCAGATACCCTGCTTCAACGACGACATCCAGGGAACAGGCTGCGTTACAGTTGCTGCCCTGATGGCCGGCCTTCAGGTCAGCAATGTCAAACTGAAAGACGTGCGAGTAGTCTGCTTCGGCGCAGGGTCTGCAGGCACTGGCATCGCCGACCAGATAAGCGACGCCATTGCCACCGAAGCCGGGATAGACAAGGGCGAGGCAATGAAGCAGATATGGTATGCCCCATAGCCACCACCAACGTGCTTTGCTAATAATACAGGTGCATCGACAAACAAGGGCTACTGCTAAAATCGCAAAAAGACGAACTCACCCCTAGTCAAGAGTATTTTGCTCGAAAAGACGGTGAATGGCCAGAAAACGAAAAGATCGATCTGCTCTCCGTCGTCAAACGCGTGAAGCCACATATTCTCATCGGCACTTCGACTAAACCCCGTGCCTTCACTGAGGAAATCATCAGCGAGATGGCGAAGCATGTCCACCGCCCCATTATATTCCCCCTAAGCAATCCGACCCGGCTGCACGAGGCCCAGCCGCAGGATATCACCAAATGGACGGACGGCCGGGCCATGATCGCGACAGGCAGCCCGTTTCCTCCCGTGGAGCATAACGGCGTGAAGAAGGAGATAGGTAGGCCCACCTCTACCTTAGCATGGACAAGTGCTAATTATACAGCCGAATGCAATAATTCAACTGCCTTCCCCGGCATCGGCCTTGGAGTTGTGCTGTCGCGGAGCCGCCGACTATCCGAGAAGATGGTCGTCGCTGCATCAAGGGCTTTAGCAGCCAAGGCGCCAGTTCTCAAAGACGCTAATAAACCACTTCTTCCAGATGTGGAAGACGTACGGGAGCTGAGTTTGGACGTTGCCAAGGCCGTAATCAAGACGGCTGTTGAGGAAGGGCTGGAACAGCAAGAGGGAATCCCGGGTGATGAGAAGGAATTGGAGGAGTGGATTCGCGTGCAGATGTGGGAGGCGACATATCGACCTCTTGAGAGGGCAATATAGGGTTATTTATTTTTCTATATAGTGAAGCAATGGACGGCGTCTATACACAACGTCCACAGGCTAAAAAAAGGCTAAACATAATGACGAGTACATAGATCAAAGCAAACCCCGATAAGAAAACCACAAATAAATCCCAATTCTTGAATAAATAGTTCAACACCCATGTTTATCCAGGCCCGCAATTATTTCATTGTCGTCGACGACCAGGGACACGTGGTGGGCCGCCATGCACTTCGCGTTCATGTCTGCCCCGCGAGGAAGAATGCGGGAAAGCTTGTTCGCAAAACTGGCACACCCAGGATCGATTTGGAGGCCTTGGCCGAGCCTTGGACACGGGGGCCCTAGATGGTTTTGCAGGAGCGGGCTTTATAGGAACGAAGCGCGCTGGCCGTGCCAGGGCTTCTTCTGGGGGGGCTGCCTGTACAGCGCTCTGGGGGCTTCAAAACACGATATGTGTTAGTTATACAGGAGCAATCAGGCGCTTCATTTAACATACCTGTAGGATGACAGCCTTTCTGGGACCCAGCCGCCTTCATAGTCATCCGGGTTGAAGCTGATAGACGCACCATCAGCAACACCCGTGCTTGGAATGGCGCCCAGGTTGACGTCCGTAGAGCAATACCCCCCTACGGTGGGCTCAGGGTAATCGTTGTTCTGAAAATCAGTCCCCGAAAGCATCTCAGTAGCCGAACGGTTAACACCGTTCAACTGCGTGCTGAAATCAAGGTACTCATAACGAGGGTCTACCAGCTCCAGCTGGTCGCCATATCTATTAATCCCACCGTTCATCCAAAACTCACTAACGGCCAATCATGTTAGCAATAATCCACCCCCAGTGATTCCAGTTATGGAGGAACCACGCCCACAGTGGCGGGGAGAAGCTTCAGCTAGTATGCACTATTGCAATAACGCGGGACAGGTGGGGTACAGCAACTTCTGTTGCAAGGCTTCAAATGCGTGGTACCAAATGTATACAAAGATAGTTCTCGGCAAAGCGCTTATCCTGCCCCTGAGCCATAACTTCCCTTAGGCTCTTAGCTTTCTCCCCGACTTCACGCAAGCCTTATTGCCCTTGTCGACGATGCTCATTTCTATTTTTTTTATCGGCTTTTCCGAGCACCACATTCCAGACTGGATGGTCACCATGTACCACTATCAGTCGCCCCAATATTATGCGACCTTTGGCAAGCTTTGTATATCGCCGACATTCTTTCTAGAATCTGGTCGCAGACACTTGGGGTGGTACCTAGTGGGAAATGTTAGCGTTGGCGCACTTACGATCCATCATCACAGTATGGAACATATGGGGGCTGATAATAATTGTAGCCAAGTTCCTCAACGCCGAGGAGCAATTCTCGCTCTCTCAATTCTGCGGTCCCGGATGGGTGCATGGCATGTGCCATAATAAAAGAAGCCAAATAAAGACAATAGAGACAAAAGGACGGGGCGAGTTGCCAGTTGAGGGCGTGTAGTTTAAAGGGATCTAGGGGAGAGGAGAGTAATGAGAAGTGAGCCACGGGTTAAACGAAGAAGACGGGGATCCTCACTTGTATTTATGCCATTTCTTTGCACAGATAGTGAAGGGAACGCGTCTGAGACGCGTCTGCAGCACCGTGGATCAACCCCAGATAGTATATATGACGCAAGGCCAATCCTGGGAAGGCCGTGAGAAGGATCAGTGTGGTTACGACTCGTGCCTGCCACGGGGCCACCCATTCGACGGGCATCTCTCCACGGTCGATGACCAGCAAAGCAGTATTTGTCGTAGAATCGTATAGAGTCTTGCGGTAATGCCTGGTGAACACGTAGAGTGCCGCTTGGCGCAAGGCTAAAGGCTAACATTTCTGTCCAATAACCGCCGGCAGTCTTGCAAGCGGAACAAACAAGACACCCGCTGCCCGGATGGGCTTCCCTCCTTGCGAGATGGGGGTTAAGAAATTGCCCTATCATGTCAATGAATGAGATGCCACAGACATTTGCAGTTGATGAACATGTCATCTGATAGTTTACGGCGCAGTCTTAACAAGGACTCGACAAGACTAGGGAGGAAGAAGGTGGTGGTGGCTAATATTTTAGGAGTGATTATTGGACAGAGCCCTTGGTTGGCTTTGATCATTCTCCTTGTTGCATCGCTACAATGCTTACCAGAGAAATTTTGGATGACCGCTCGATCGCTGCACTTGCAGGGCAGTTGGGACATAAATAGGACGCTCTCTGTCCGGATGGAATCCTTGATTCATTATACCTCACTTGCCCATATTCCAGCACCAGTAACAAGTAAGTGTCTATGATGGTACATCAAACATTGGCTAATATCCTTCCTGGAGAGGACTTTACGCCTCAGACAGACAAAGACATGCGAGTCGAAATCCCACGCCTGTTTGAAATCTCCCCCAGGTGCCATGACAGGTCGATGAGAAGGCGCCAAACCGAAAGCGACAAGAATGGCAACCGGGGCAGATGGCACTACTCTTGTCGTGTCTGCCCAGAAATGGTGTTCGATGACTGGGAGGGAGTCAGAGAGGGCAATCCGTTATGTGACTGTGATGCATGGTCTCGGAGGCAAATGGAACGAGGTGGTTACGTGTTCCGCTGTGCCAGGAAGGACTGTGACTTTACGGGGAATGAGTAGGAGGCGCGTGGGCTTTTCTACCACCCAGTTATAGAACTATAACTATGGACCAGATAAACGTGGTTTGACGGTTCTACTTCCATGAGCATACCTGGATTACTCCGCTACTTTATGTTGTCCACCTTGGTTATTTGCTACCATATTACCGAACAACATGTCTCTATCACCGAGTACTTCAGAAGCATGCCTTCGTAGGCTTAATCGTCGCGTAGTTTGTTGAGGATGGCAACAACTAGTAGCTTAGGCCCGCACTACTAGGTGGACTGCACGACGAATTGGCTGAGTGCAATATCTAGTACAGTCAACCGCACGTCCAGCCCTCGGCCATGGACTGCAAGTTCGTCTACCTTCATAGTGAGTGAACATCAAGACTAAATCCGCAATGCAAATTCTCGGTGGCCGAAGAAGGCCGTCACCAATTGCCTAGCCACTGCTCCGTAGTCGCATTGACAATTTTGTCGGTCTTCACCACTTCTTGGCAGGAAAAAATAAATTCTCGTTCTTGCACTCATATTCTTTCGGTGATCTCGATGCGATCCGGAATCCACTTGTGGAAATCCCTGCTGGTCACAGCTGGCTTGAGTAAGGCTCCAATAACATATCTCACATAACGCCAGTTGGAATGCCACGGCACAGGAATATTTCCAGGTAAAGGCCGCTGGCAGTGGCAGAGATTTGGCCCTATATGTGGCTTTATATAGCTTCACCACTGGACGTGAGACACCAAGAAGCTAGCGGCGTCCAGGGGCAACTAACAAGCACAGCCTGTTGTTGGAAGCAATTCTATTTGGCGGGATTATTCCCATGACTCAACCCTTCGCGTGGCTCTAAATGAAGCGTTATTGCTGCTTGGGCCCGGTTATAAAATCACCCCTTCCACCAAGCTACATATCCCTCTCATCGTCCTACTTCTTAGCCATGCCCTCTGCAACCTCTACCATCGGCTTTACTCTCGCCAATGCTGGCCCTGCACCGGCCACGTACTCTCTTGCTGCCTCGTGCACCGAATCCAGCTTCCAAATCGCCACAACTACCTCTGAGAATCCTGCGTGGGCCAACCAATGTTCCGACACGGCATGGAACGCAAAGTGCGGTATTCCTCCAACCGACTCGGCCCTGGCAAAGGAGATGACCTCAAATTGGTATATTATCCCGTATTACTCGCCTGGCCCATCCTGCCCCGATGGTTGGAAAACCGTCGGTGCCGTTGGCCGCCCCGGCCAGGGCCCAGTCACGTCGTCTGGCCTACTCAAGGCCGACGACTATGACGATTATCTAGACGTCGAGGCCGGGCGGCCGTACGCATATAAGCTACGGAACGTATTCGGGGCCCTACTAGACCCGGAGGAAACCGTAATCGCATGCTGTCCCAGGTACGAACACCCTCCTCGCTCCTGTCCCCAAGCTAATTCAGCAGCTCGATGACCGTGGGCTCCGGTACTACCAGCTGCTACTCAACACTACCCCCGCGCCCGATATCCACCGGCTGCGTCTGGGAGTATGCCCGAGTTTATGGCTCTCTGGAACCTACAACCACCTCGTTTGTACTACACGGGGTTACAACGACGGGGGTGCTAAAGCCAAAAGTGCCCACTACTCTCATGACGCCAACCCCCGTCATCACGACATTCAGCGACAGTGAGACTTCTGGCCTTATACCTGTGTCAGCGGCCGGGCCGATCTACCTGATGCATAAGCCGTCTGATGTATCGGGCTCGAATCCGGACACGGACGCCGGGACAAATACTGCGTCGGCGCTTCGGGTGGATTGGTCGACCAGGGGCATTAAGGTGGTCGGGGCTTTGACGGTTTCATTTGCTTTAGGTATGGCACTCGTATTACCTTGGTGAGCCATATTGTAGAAATTACCTTGTTAGTAATTGTATACCCTGACTGAAGTAATACTCAAACGAGACATGACATCTAATTATCCAACTGGGTAGGTAGCGACCTAGCTGTAGTTAATTCTAATTGTCGGTCACGGACAGTACTAGGTCTAAGTGATATCGGTGAGTTCTGGTCAGCTCCGGCGTGTTTACATGTGTAGGCTAGGTATAATAGGTTGATGCATTGTTTAGCTGCTCCTTATCCACGACGGCGGAGATATATATTTCCCATGGATTTAAAACCATAACAGGCAGCAAGCCAAATCCTTTACCGATCTCATGCCAAACCCAAAGTACGCCAGGCTAAGAGCATCCACGAGGCAACAGAATTAAACCTACTCCTGGCGTTCACAGACCCTTACAAGTCTTGGTTCACCCTCGCAAGGAAGACCCGATTGGGAAATCTCGCGAGCCATTCCCAATTCGGCAAGCGAGTAAAAAGCCGAGGTCCCCTTTTAAATCGCCGCGACTCCTGAAATCAACTTATATCGAACAATTACCTATTTATTATATTATATATATCATATATAAACGATATGGAAATAAACCAGCATCCATTTGCTCTGTGGTGCCACTGGAACGCCCTGCGCGGGACAAACAGCACATTCCTGACCGAAACAGAAGTCCCCGTGCCTGACTTGGCAGGGAAATGGGTTATTATAACAGGGGCGAATAATGGAATCGGGTCTGAAGCAGCAAAAACATTCGCAGAGGCCGGTGCAAATGTCGTGCTTGGCTGTCGCGAGCCGCCGGCCTGGGAAACGCACCCGGCCGCTGCAGCGGAGAAATGCAAGGAGTTGGCACAGGCAGCCGGGCATGAATCAACGATAGAATGGTGGGAGGTCAATATGGCCGATTTAAGCACTGTCGAGGAGTTTGCAGAGAAGTGGATATCGACTGGGCGCGGGCTTGATATCCTCTGCAACAATGCCGGGATCAGTCCGACGGCGTCGAAGAAACCGATTTTAACAACGGATGGCTTAGAGTTATTGCATCAGGTTAGCCACCGGCGTACTCTTATAGAAACAATTACTAACGGGACAGGTAAACTTTGTATCGCATGTACTTTTGACCCTTCGGCTATTGGACTCCCTCGCAAAGAGCGCAGAGCCACGAGTCGTGTGTACAACGTCTTGCTTCCACTTTCTAGGAAGATTTGACCTAGAGCATTTCAACGGCGAAGACGGAATGGCAGGGGATCCGTACGGCAACAACAAACTATATTTCCAGACCTGGCTGTGCGAGCTACAGCGCCGACTGCATTCAACCGACAAGTATAAGCACATCACCATCAACGGGATCAACCCCGGCTATGTGAATACCGGAATCTGGAACAACCCTCGGCCAGATGTTCGGGAATCATGGCTAGATCTTGGGATGAAAATCCTGAAACCACTCTCTGCTCTATTCGGTATCACGCCTCAACAGGGTAGTCGCGCTATCGTCTATGCCGCCACGAGTCAGGAGTTTGGCCCGAATCCTGACGTTCAGGGGGTGGGATTACTTGGCGGCAAAGGAGGAGGTCATTATATTAATAGGATATGGGAGGCTGAAGCGATGCCATACTGTACGAATGATGCTGCCAGGCTTGCAGTTTGGGACAGGGTCGGCGAGGACTTGGACCTGGAGAAGAGGGGGTTGAGCGACGTTATATAAGACTTCTAGCAACGTATATATTCAATACAGCCTGGGTGATAATTATGGCTGCCCTTTCATATTAGATGGACCAGGAGTGACTGTTATCACCAATCCCTGTCCAGTCGCTCACGGATATTCTTAACATGCCAAACACCCCCACGACCTACAATCCACAGCTCATTCTTCCCAAAGGTCATACTCACCGCAAGATTCTCACCACCTCCAACGCGGATAGTCCCCAACGTAAACCCATTTTCTGGATCAATGACATCAATCCCATCTCCAGCACCAGCGAAGATCCATCCATTCCTGGAAACGCGCAGGCCATCATAGAAATACGAAATCGGCTCAGACAGGAGGCGCTTATTGGGAAGGACAGCGCCGGATTTTGAAATATCAAATGCAGACATCTCGCGCTTGCGGTAGGGGCTTTTGTTGGACGGGCGGAAGTGGGAGATGCCAGTGTCTGGGATGTACAGAGTCTGGCCGTCGGGCGAGATGGCGACCCCGTTGGCGTTTCCATCCGTGATATGGACGGGCTTGATGCGGAATGTGTCACGCTCGACGAAGTAGACTGTTGGGTTTGTGGGAGGTGTGAAGTCGACTATTTCCCGTCCCTGTTGACATTAGTCTTGAATACATCGGAAATCGATATAGTCATACCCAGCCAGATTTGGAATCGGTTAGATAGAAATTCCCCCGCGGGTCGATCTCCAAGTCATTAAACCCAGCGAACGGCTGAACGAGGTAGTTATTGATCAGAGTCTCCTGCTTCAGGGTATGCGGATCGAGTTTGACAAGCTTGCCAGACTCCTCGTCTCCATACCCATCGGTAACGACATAGAGCGAGTGGTTGTAGACAACACACCCGTGGGCATTGTGCAAGGGAGGATCAGTCGTGATCTGGTTCAACTTGTTCGTCTCCACGTCTAGGAGGTACTGCCAGGAATGGATTCCATCATCACCTCCTGGGGGACCCCATTCGACGAAGAATACCTGGTTCGTATCTGGGATGTAGCAGGGGGCTTCGTGGGACTGGTAAGCTAGCTTTTGGACATGTTCCACCGTTGCATCCGGACCGATGATGTCGAAGAACTTTTGGTCGTATGCAACAAAGTCCGTTTTGTTGAGGAAGGTTAAACTGGACAGGAAGAGTGTTAGAAGGTATTAAAGAGTTCAATTGGGAACTTACGTCCGTGCAAGACCACCATCAGAAACATCAGGGTCAGCCCATGGTGCGTCCAAAGCGGACCGGTTAAAGTTCCCGGGCAGCGTAGCAACGGCACTCAAAGAAACATAGGCCCATTTGGCAACAGTGCCATTCATGAACCGTGGAAGGGGATTCAAAAAGCTGGACATGGCGACTAGGCTTGCTTTCCAATGGAAACACAGGTTGGAAGGGGTCCCTTCTCCGTATTTATAATGAACAGGAGTTCAGTAGACCCCGGACAAAACAATGCAATCCGGAGACCCCGCAAGCTCAGGCACACAGCGGAACTATCCGACGACATAAGCATGGCCGAAGCCCTATAAAGTGACTGTTGGAGTAGATGCGGGCTACTCCGCCCGGAGCGTTCCCGCTGCACTTACTCCAACGGCACATGGAAGTAATATAACAATAGCAGCTGCATTGACTCGGTAGGGAACTGTTTAGGCACGAACTAGACAAAAGACAGAAGACTAAACAACCGAAATAAGAAACAAAAGACATCCTGTCCGCGCCATCCCACTCAAGTATCCATCACACACTTTGTTGACAAGCATATGTTGATGGGAGGCCGAGCTATTCCCAGCAGCCACTAAGGGCAATCAATAGTGCCATACTTGTTACCGGTAGCCTCAGACCAAGCTCCCTCAACACTTCCACCACCACAGCCCCTGCCGACATCAAACGACCACTTGATGCTTCCATCCCCCTCGCTGCACTTTTCGTCCGACGTAACACAGGCTGCGCTTTTGAGGTTGTCCCACAGACCATTGCAGATGCCACCTGCGTCTTCGGCGTCTTCGGCCTCGACGATGTATGTATAGAGGGCGTTCTCCTGGCGGTCACATCTGTTGGCGGCGGCGGAGGTGCTCAGAGCAATCAAGGTAAAGACGGTAGCGGAAATAGTAGGGAGCTTCATGTTTGCAGATTCGGTCCAGTGTTTCAAGAACTGATGAGGTGATTTGGAGATTCTTCTGGTGAGGATGGAAATGCGATGGAGAGAAGCAGCGGGATGGACGGCCTATTTATGTGTTTGTATACACCCTTTCGTCATCTGATGTTATGAACCGGCCCCAATATGCAACATTACGCGTTTCCTGCCAAGCTGCGCAGTATGGGCTATGCATTCGGATAGACAGCAGTGAACGTAATGTTTGATATTCAGTGTAGCCAGCCGTTCAACCATCCGTAGATTCTGATATGGCCATGGTGTACGGAGGGTAGTACTAGCTTGGCGAAATCTGATCAGCATCCACACCATGACCCAGAGTAAAGCACATATTGTTGGAACAGGCCGTTGCTGCGTGTACGTCAGGATTCATTGATCGGTTGCTGTGTCCGTGCTCTGGAGGAAGCATAGATAACCCAACTCATTTAGCCCCCGTTGGGGTTTACGCGACAATGCATTGGTTTATTCAGGGCTCCGCAGGCTCCCAGACCGGAGTATAAGGCGGGGACATGTATGCCAAGCGAGGCAGAGCTGGAGGGTGAAGATGTATCGTTGAAGATCACCCCAGGGTAGGTATTGCGAAGATCGTCACTCGTCAGGCTATCGAGATGTGTTTAGCTCATCCGAGCTGTGGACCTGCGCAGTACGTGTCTTTAGTGGATGTTCCTAGAATGGTCCACCCCAGTATATCTCCATAAGGTAGGACGCTGGAACCCGCGATGATAATTTGGATTCGTTTGTTGAAAGATCAGGTATCTTTGCGCCTGCTTGGCTTGCTGGGCTCTGGATTGGCTGATGCTGCGCATAATCGACCTGACATCCCTGAATCGTAAAGACTAGGTAAAGGCCTGGTATATATGGGCAAGTCTAGCTTACCTTAAACCGACGTAGAAAGCAACCGACGGTATTGGCCTTGTGAATATAACCACCGAAAGAGACACGGCGGTTGGGCTCGTATTGCCAGTGTGGCTGAGCTGAAGGTTCGCACCAGCTGCAATAGGATTAACCCCTGCAGCCCATGTCAGCTCCAGCTCGTCGATCGTTGCGGCTTGAATCCTTCCTCTTCTCTCTCTCGTGGGGCTCATTGCGGTATCGGTGCCTAAGCCGCTGCCACCCTTGCGACATGGCGATGCTCGTTGCGTGCGATCCGTGTCGACAGCAAAAAAGAAAGTGTGATCGCCAGTCTCCCAGCTGCGCTCGATGTACCAAGTATGTTCCCCTTCCAAGATCTGGGCAAGATGCTCATGCCGGCAGACAATCCCGGAGGTGCTTCTACCCCCCGCACAGCCTGACCACGGAGAACTCTGCGGATGACCTCTACGTAGTCGTTTCAGCCCAGCTGTATCGAGCGTTGGCAGTCCACTCTCCAGACCTACCAAAATCGTACCCCATACCTGCGCGCTGGTATATGCCACGACTAGTGCATCAATGTACGTCGCCCACCCATCGTCTTTCACGTCTAAATAGCAGATAGTCTGCGAGGGCCTCGGCGTATGTGGACTACCCCAGGTAGATGTCCACAGCACAGCCTCCCACATGCGCAGGCACTGGATGCAAGGAGCCCTGAGCGAGCCGTGTCTTTTTCATGCTACCTTATACGCGGGCTCGTCACACTTCGATCATCTAGAAAAGAGAAGCCAAAGTTGGATCACGTTATACCACCAGAATGAGGCGATCCGCCTCTTGAATGAACGGCTTTCCGATATGAAGTCTGCCGCCGATGATCGGACGATTCTTGCCGTTATTCCCCTTGCGATGTTTGCAGTGAGTGTTATTCCGTCTTCTATTACTTATCTAATGGTGGTAGAATATACATGGAGATCGAGGCCCAGCCGACATCCATATGGCCGGGCTTCGGCAATTAGTAGACATAAGGGGCGGGCGTGACAAGCTGGGCTATGATGGGATGGTAGCAGGAGTAATACAGATGTATGTTGTCGGTTCTTTCAACAGACGTTGCTAAAAGGTACAGGAATAACATTATCTACCATGTTATGTTTGATTTGAGTCCGACGTCTCCAACCCTAGGCCCACCAGTCGGGCTTGAGGACCGCATCCTTCGTTCGTCCGAGGCATTGTCATTTCCAGGGTTTCAAAACATCATCAACATGTTTCAGCATCTCCGGGAATTCAAGCTGGGCTGTCAGACTACAGCTAATAATCCACCCGAATCACACGAATACAGCAAGTCTACAACAAAGCAGGACGACCCATTCTTCCACTGCTGCTACCTAGCAGTCACAATATTCAACTTGATCGTGGTCCAATCTCATGATCCAGGGGCATCAATAAAAATAGAATTCCTCGCAAGTGAGCTGCAAGCATCACTGGGGTTAACCAATGCCGAAGTCTGGATCACCCAGATGCCTGCACTGTTCAGCTGGGTTTGTATGACCGGGGCGGCTGCATCTCATAATGCAAAATTACGCATCTGGTTCTACTTCCACCAGGCATCGGCTGTGAGAGTGCTCGATTTCAAGACTGGACCGGCGTATCTGGATGAATTATGGGCGCACTTTTACTGGCTTCGCATGATGCGGCTGCGTCGTGTCACTGACTTATGAATGGCATATTAATTCGTTATATCTAGATTCCAACCAGTAAAGGTAGTGGGCAGGCGTAGTGAATTCTACCCAAAGACGGTATTGACGACGCCCTCTACTCTTTTGACAATCTCGTCAATGTCTGCCTTGGTGACATTGTAGGCAGGGGCTATCTGGATGATATCCCCGTCCCTCCCATTAGCGACACCAACACCTGGTATGACCGAGACGGAGTGTTCATTTTGTAGTCCTGTCAAGTGCACCTTCTGTGCTATGCCAGCCTCGACCGGGAACGGCTCTTTAGTCGTCTTATCCTTGACAAACTCGAGCTGTATCTGTTAGAAGAGTTACGAAAAGAATAAGGCACTTACAGCCCAGAATAACCCTCGCCCGCGCACATCACCAACATTCTTATGACCACTGAGTCGTTCATTAAGTAGTTTACCAAGATATTCTCCCAGTACTCGCACGTTCTCAAGCAGATTATCCTCTTTTATAATCTTCTGCACCGCGCAGGCCGTTGCACAAGCGATCGGATGACCCTGATACGTCTGACTGTGCGTAAAGCTCCCCGTCCCTTTGGCTAAGGTATCAGCGACGCGAGACCCAACAAGCAAAGCGCCGACCGGGGCGTAACCAGCACCCAAGCCCTTCGCAATAGTCTGAAGGTCAGGGACGACGCCTTCCTGCTCCCAGGCGTGGAACGTGCCCGTGCGGCCCATTCCAGACATCACTTCATCAAGGATCAGCAACGCCCCGTGGCGGTCGCATACTTCCTTCATTGCCTTGAAGTATCCTGGAACAGCAGGAACGCAGCCCAATGTCTAGCTAATTAGCTGAAATCCCTAACTTAATTTGCTAGGGGGTTTTACCGTGCCACACATGGTCTCCGCGATAAAGGCGCACACATTCCCCGGCCCAGCCTGCTGAAACTCGTGCTCTAATTCCTCTGCAAGAAGGGCGACATATGCCTCGTCGCTCTCGCCTTCTTTCTTCCCCCGGTATGGATAGCAGGGAGAGACATGGGAAGTATTTGTCGCGAGGATCGGCTCGAAGATCGCTCGACGGGCTTTGTGTCCGCCTGCTGCGAGAGAACCCAGGGTATTCCCATGATACGACTGCCGGCGCGCAATAAACTTGGTCCTCTGCATTTGCGGTTCTGGCAGCTCTGTGAAATACTGACGGGCCATTTTCAGCGCCGCCTCTATCGCTTCGGCGCCTGCATTCATGAGTATCGCGTCTTAACCAGACATAACAGCCATACCGGAACTGACGATAAACACCTTGCTCATAGCTCCATTTGTTGAGTCGGTCAGATACGTAGCGACCTCCTCAGCGGCTGGTACAGTGAAGAATGGCGAGTAAACGTAGGCCGTCTTGTCCAATTGCTCCATGATGGCCTGCTTGACTCTAGGCTCGTTGTGTCCCAGACAAGCGACCGCGGCGCCTCCACTGGCATCAAAGATCGTTCGTCCGTCGCTGGTCTCGAGATAATTCCCGTTGCTGCGTACAACCTCCGGCGGGCGTTTATCGATCTTGGTATATAAGACGGAGGGGGTGCTATATTGCTTTGTCATATTGGCAGCGCGGAGACTCGTTGAAACGGATTTGAATAATCTCTTGAAAGACATTTGGACTGCAAATCGCCAGATGTAAACAGTTCCCTATTTATGTTCAATCTATCCCTGTCGGCGACCGGCGACAGACTTGGAGATCGCGGCGCTGTGGGCAAATCGGAGTCTCTGTAACAATTCTCATATGATCGTCGGGCGCTCCAGCCTGTTATTTCAATGAAGTTTATCTTCCCGCGGGCAAGGATTCCTTGGGTATTGCTGCATGTCCGCACTTTACGTACTGCCAATACTGGTAGGCATGGTATGTTTCTATAAGGGATATCCTTATGAACTGAAGATGGAATAAACTACACCAACGAGACATCGATAGACGCCGATTCCCCAACAACCACACGCACCCCTTCTCCGCCACAATAATCCTGATGTCCATCGCCAGTTATCCGACATCCTCTCGCAGCCAGAGGTATACTGACAACCCCCTTCGTTCCCCCCGGGGCTCGGACCTTTAAAACAAGACTCATCCCATCCAACTCCCACTCCGCCTCGATACGACCCCGCGGCGTCGGAACCCTACCCCTCGCCCACGTAAGCCCGTCCACAATAACAGGCCGAAACAACCACTCCTCAAACCCAGGTTTCGTCGGCTGCACACCAAGAACATACTCTGAGAAGATGTACGTCGGCGCACCGCCCCACGGATGCGCATGCGAGGTAAACAGATCCAATCCCGGGCGTCCGTCGGGATAGACATATTCCCATGACGTCCCGGTATAGTACTCATCCTGGTCGACCATCGCCGCCCACAGGCCATTTAGCAAGAAATCTATCGTGTCCGTTGTGGCTTTATCAGGGTTATATCGGGCATGACTGAATAGAGCCTCGAGGAGGAACCCGGACAGATTCGGCGAGAGATTCGTTTCCGGGTCGGTGTCGGCCATGTCTGTGCTGAGTTTATAGCCGATTCCCAAACGGAGGGATGAAAGGGCTGCGATTGACGAGGTCGCTTGGGAGATATTGGCTGTGTCGGATAGGATGGCCCATGCTGTTCCGATGTAGGATGATTCATTCATGGAGGCGACGCTGGAACTGTACGTCCCGATATTCTCATTCCAGAGTTTGTTGTTAACTGCGCGGGAGATATTCGTTGCTGTATTTTTCCAATGAGTTGATGTATTGTGCTCTCCTACAGCATCAGCCAGGTTGGCCATATCTTTAAGGGTGTATGCAAACAGTGCGGACGCAGCGGTGCCGTTTCCCTCCCCAAGAAAGAATGCACCTAGTGAAGACGTAGCAAGTCCAGAGGACTTATCAACGAGTGGTAGGAGAGCCGCCAGACCAGCTCTAGCTTTAGGCCACCATTTCCTGACAAATTGAATATCCGCAGATTCCAGATAGTACCGCGCAAAACTATTAAGCAGCAGCATCTGGTAGTCTAGTAGGCCGTAGGATTTGTACACCGATGTATATTTCGCTGACTGCCCCATCGCCGGCGACATGGCAAATAATCCCGCCATTGGCCCAGATACTTCCTGCCGTTCAAAGAGGAAACTTAACGTGCCCCTGATAAAGTCTGGTCGGTATGTACTGGCACTGACGACGCGATGGGTATGTGCAAAATCGCCTGACCAGATGAGTCGATCTCTTTTCGCACCATCTAGACATACTGATGCTGGGTTGTCCATCACCCCGTACTCTTCAAGAACGGATTCGTCGTCTGCCATTGAATTCTCATAGAGGGTTCCATTGTGTGACTCGACTAGCACATCTTTGACGTAGGCGATTTGGTCTTGCCACGGTCCGAAACCCCATGTCCCTGAGTACACGCTGCCAGAGGAGAACCGCTCGTTGGACACTAGTTGCAGGTCATTTAGACGTACGGTTACAGGGTGGCGGTCATTGATTGTCACGATATAGCCCTCAGGAGAAATCCTGGTCGAGATATCAATCCACTGCCCTTCCGTAACATTAAAGTCGAGAGGAAAGTAAGAAACCTTGCCAGTGGGCAAAGAGGTCTGATTGACCAAGTTCCAGCCATATCCAACGGCGAGCGTATTAGCAGGCACAAGAGTGCGATTCGTATTCAAGAACGTCGAATTCTCAGGATACTCGCTGGTAAGAAGAAACGAAGGACCAAATGAAGCGGGGGACGAGGCAACCCTCCACCCGGTTCCACCACGCACTATCTTCGTCCTGAAGGACATGGTATAGTTTGCGAATTCTGCCCCGAGTGCAGACTGTGCGGATTGCTGCCCTCGCAGTAGTACTCCGTCTGGTGTGAGTTCCCAAGTCGTCGGCGCGGTTCCTTTCTCTATACATGCCTGCTGGACGGTTCGCGCACCCAGCTTCCAGATCTCATTATACAGCGGATTCGAGCATTCAAAGTATCCAGGCAGCTCGGTCACATCCGTCCTATCATTGAAAGAGCGTATCCCAACCCCACAGATCGTGACATTCCGATCACTTAGCAGACGCAGTCTCTGCCAGCGCAGTCCACCCTGTTGGAAGAACGATTCAACTCGGCCTGGCTCGCTGATATTAAACGTCTCGACGCGAAATGTATTCGCAAGACCATTTGAAAATGTCCACGGCCCGTCGCCGAACGGGGCATCGAGACCTTCCTTTGCCTCGGAGTATTTGGACTCCACCTGGACCGTGCCTGAGGTCTCTGCATGGAAGAATGGAAACCCGCCGATTTCAGTCGAGTAATCCAACGTCGCGATTGGATTGGATGGGGTGAGTGTCAGACATGTTGAGTTGTCATTATATCGGCCGGATTGCTTTGTTTGCGCGTAGTGCTCTGGGTATACGATTACTTCACTACAGGAATCAGTACTGGGTATTTCTGGGTTCTCTCAAAGGTAAGCATACCTGTAAACGCCGCCAACCAAAGCCGACACGAGGACTATAGCATAAGCCAGTCGCAGCATTTTTTGTAGAAAACTGGTGATTGGAATGTCGTCAGTCGCGCCGGAATGCTCATTTAACCTGCTGCCCACTCGGCATTGTGGGGGTCGGTGTCTGCTACGCCGAAGACCTTTCGGTCGTTGATGTGGAGGAAGAGCTGCACTTGGCTTTTCATATATGGTAACTATTTACTCGAGGTGATGATCCTTTCCACAAAAATGCCAGCGGTATGCAGACCCACATGGAGCATCAGAGGTTGAGAGAACAGAACCGATTCCTAGTTCAAGTTCAGAATGCCAAATCGACACGCGGGAAGAGATGAAGCCCGTGGACTCTAGTCGATATCCATATTTTATGGAGACTAGCTTGTGCAACCTGAGCTAGCGGAGGACGACAGGATGATTCGGCTGGGCGAGTATACAATCATGCCTGATCGGATGACCTCCGAAAGAGTAATATCAAGGGTTAGCAGTATAATTGACGCATTACAGCTCCACCGGTATATTCAACTTGCCACTGAAAATATCGTACGGCAACGAAGATCAACGAATCGGTGTGTTCCAAGACATGCCCTACCCCGGGGGAATATATTACTTGCACCGAGACTCATCGGTCTCGATCCTTGCAGGTTGGGATATCTTCGGCAAGTCAACGGGCGTTCCGGTTGGTGAGCTCCCGAGCGTCGCACCGACGTGAACATTCCTATTATGATATCAAACCCTGTATATGCACGAGGGAGAATGCGGCCCTCATCGAGGAATACGGAATAAAACGCCGGGGGCTTCTAAGTCGAGATGAGTGGCAATCCGGTGCTTGATGCGCGGCGCATTGTCCAGATGATCAAAGATAAGAAGCCCACAAGCGATTCGTTATTGACTCGAGCACAGGTTTCACCGTTAAAGGCATATTAAAATCCTAAGACCACCACTAGAGGGTCTGGACGTTTCTTTGCCCACGTCGGACTAATATCCTTATTATCGGCACTTACCGAGAAATCTATGATCCAGGTGATCGCCGACGAGGCAGGCGATAGGATTAACATCAACCTTCAGCAATTCGGCGGATTAACCAAGGCGTGTCGTGCACGATATCTGCAGCGGCTGGGGTTGCAACGAGCGTGCAGGAAGCATGCGGGCCCGATATTGGATTCGCCTGCTTGTTCACCCGGGCCAGAAGACTCCAGAAAGTTTCTTCGGTGTTTGCTGGCCAGCCATGATATGCTTCCTGCCACGATGCATATGGGCCGTCCGATATTCTTGATGGCCGGATGACAGTGCCTGCTGCACCTGGACTGGGATTCCTTCGCGGATGGCCGTTCCGGCAGAGCCAGTTGTGAGTTATTTTATCTTCTTTGCTCATTATAATGCCTGCTCATTCCTTTATCTGTACTGTGACCTCCTGTCGGCAATGTTGTTTTATGCAGGTGCGATACCTGCAAGGGCTGTAATTCCTATCGTGGACGGGTTGTGTGTAAAAGCCACCAGTATCATCTGCTGGTAATGCATATTTCGCGGAATCACCTTCTGTCTGCCATCTAGCTGAATCAATCAGCAGCGATATCTATTTGCATCTATAGACGGATGGTAGGACAGATTGCCAGCATGTGGTTCACACCGCAGGCCAGCTCAGGATCTAACATTCTATACCACTCCCACCTATCATAGCTCTCAGAAGTAGGAAGCGCTCAGTATCAGTCAGCGGATATTAATTATGTTCGACATCTTAACACCTGTCCATTCCTCCACACATTCGCCTTGTGACTGGTAGATATCCCGAAGCAAGGGAGACACGAGCAACATTCCTACTCACCCAGTCCAATCCAAGCTTTGATCGACACTATGGCCGAGAGCATAAATGCGATGGCCTGGGCCGGGCCGAAACTGATATCCTAGTGCTGGCATCAAAGAGTCCGACGTGGCGCCCGACGCTGCCCAAATCGCTCACAGAAGCGCTCATTCTTGTTGTCAGGTACCACAGCCAGGCCATTCCTTTGCCCTTCGTGCCTCGATGGTTCATGCATGTGATCAATTTAAAGCCCTCATAGATTGATTGTGGTTGTGCTTCTCTTCGCGGTAGCAAGATTGTACCCCGAGGTACCGCAGAGGGCATGGAATGTACCTAAATTTTCTCATCGCTGCAGTGGGCCAGAAACTTGACAGTATGAATTACTATCTATCATCACCACGAGAGATCTCCAGTTGGTTGATGCAATCCACCGACCGCCAAGCAGGGACCTTGCGGGTAGGGCTACTCAACTGGTACTCACCCACGACATTATTTCATTAATTGCATTCACCCAAGTGGCATTTAAAAGTTTCTTTGGATCAGTCTAGACCGATCGCAGTCAGGAATGTTGGGCTAGAGCTGGCTATGAGCTCGACCTTCAGTGCAATTGTATATAAATTGGCTCCCGCCGAACATCACCCGTCGAAGATAGCAATCGAACACCCCGCAGCAATGGACACAAAAGACGAAGTTAAGAGTGTTGAGCTCGCTCTCTATCCACCTGGTAGGTGTTGCTACACTATCCTCAAACCCCACTAACATATACAGGGACCCAAGTGTGGTTCACCAACGTCGGCCCACGCCAAAGTATACCCGAACTGCGAGAGCAGCTAAACGACCAAGCAAAGCCAACTCAAACCAGCGATTCTCCCAATGATCCACTCAACTGGCCAGCATGGCGTCGAGATATCCTCCTCTTCACCGCGGGCTTCAACAGCTTCCTCTGCGCAGCTCTGTGCCCGATTCTCGCAACCGGCTTTCCAGCCATATCCGAGACTTTCGGAGTAAGCAACCAGCAGGTCTCTTTCAACATTGGTATTTACATGCTCGGTCTCGGGGTAGGCGCTGCAGTCTGGTCTCCTACTGCAGCTTTATTCGGACGACGGCCTGTATATGTTGCCGGTTCTGTCCTGCTCATTGCGTCTTCTGCCTGGGCTGCTGCTAGTCCGTCGTATGCTAGTCTCATGATAGCCAGACTTGTCCAGGGTATTGCGTCCAGTCCGGGTGAGTTTCTGGTATCCGTGACGATATCGGAGATATACCAGCCGCATGAACGGGGATTCAGACTTGGCATCTATATGCTGCTCCTGGCAGCTGGGAAGAGCCTGGCGCCGTTGATCGGGGCTGGCGTTATTAAGGGATTAGGTTGGCGCTGGGCTTTATGGTACGTAGTCTCGCAATAGTTAAGGGTGGGTGACTGATATGGCTAGGCTTACAACGATTCTGTCCGGGATTTCATTCAGCTTTATATTTCTCTTCGCCAGGGAAACATACTGGGCTCGCGGTGCTCGCAGTGTAAGAGAACTGCCCATATTTAAACCTCTTGACTAACATGAACAGGAAATTTCAACTGCAAGCTACCGCACCCTTGGAGAAATCTACACCGACAACCTGAGCATCTCACCACCGCTTCCATTCAAACACACCATGGCCCTCTGGAATGGGCGTTTTCAAGAGGCAAGCTGGCTCTCCCTCGCACTCAAGCCGTTTCGCCTTCTCAACTCTGTCCCACTGCTGTGGTCCGCCGCCGTATATGCCCTTTCACTCGGATGGCTAGCTGTTCTCGCCGACACAATATCTCACCTATTCCAATCGGTCGACGGATATGGATTTACACCGATGCAGACAGGTTTGCTGTACATCTCACCTCTGCTCGGGACAATCCTAGGTAGCGTCGTTGGCGGCAAAGTGTCAGATATCCTCGCGTGCATGAAAGCATACCGAAACAACGGCATCTACGAGGCTGAGTCGCGGCTCGTCATGTTAATCCCAGCGACGATCGCGACCGTCATTGCTTTTGGAGGATACGGCTGGAGTATTGAAACTCATGCTCATTGGATTGTCCCGACGGTGTGCTTTGGGTTCATATACTTCGGGTGCATCCTGGGAAGTACCATCGCTGTTACGTACTGTCTAGACTGCCACAAGTCTTCTGCAATTGAGGCGCAGGTTATCTTGAGCTTACTGAAGAGTGAGTCTCCTTTCCATAAACAGGGTGCACTGCTAATTGGTAGATTCCCACGGTCTGGCGTTCTCGCTGTTCGTCGTCGACTGGGTTAAAGCGTCTGGGCCGCGAGATACATTTCTGGAGATTGCGGGCATCCATTTGGCGTTTCTACTTGCGACTGTTCCTCTTTATATCTATGGAAAGCGAGTCCGGGTGTGGATGCAAGGGAAGTGCTAGGGTCAGTTTGGTAGATGCGCCTTGTAGGATACACAATTAATTCTATATCCTTTTCAAGTCTTTTATCGGATATAGTAGAGTCCCACGGGCAAAATATACGACTGATGAGTAGAAGCCTTTAGGGGATGTCTGAGTGGCGCCTTCAGTGTAGAGTCGGTTGGTGGTCCTGCCCTATCTGCCCTCCAATAAATAGTATATGACCATCTGCAGGAGCTCCAATCTGGTTAGTATCACACGGTGGAGAAATCAAGCTGTGCAAATATTCGTCATTTCGCAACAAGCTTTGCAATCCCCGCCCCTCGGTATTTAAATCAGTCAACAGCTGTTGAATCTCATCACTACACAACTTAATGATGGGGAATCGGGAGAGAATCGCCATCTGGCTCTGGGGCACAGAGCCCAAGGATCGTGCTCTCCTTGCAAAGCTGGACTTGACACTGCTGCCGTATTTCTCACTGATCTGGTTTCTGTTTGGCGTTACACGCGCCAGCTACTCCTCGGCCTATATCAGTGGAATGAAGGAGGCGCTCAACTTCCAAGGAAAAGAATACAACTACATGACCACGGCGTATTTGGTTACTTATGCTGTCTTTCAGATGCCCGGGACAAGCCTACTCACTCTAGTCCGACCGAAATATGTCTTTGTCGCGGCAAATGTGACATGGAGTGTCCTGACGATGGTCACATTCCGGATGACCAAGGCCTGGCAGGTTATTCTGCTGAATGCGATTGAGGGAGGATTCTCAGCTATTGCATAGTAAGATACTCCTTTATTTGGCGTTATGTGCTGACCTTGTAGTGTTGGGGCATTGTTTATTCTCGGCTCCTGGTATAAACGGACGGAGCTGGGCACGAGAAACGCGGTATTCTGCGTCTTCGGTCATCTGGGATCGATGGCTGGCGGCTGGATTCAGGCAGGACTGCTGCAGAGTCTGGCAGGGAAGGGTGGCCTGCCTGCTTGGATATGGATATTCATCATTGTCTCGGTTATGACTCTGCCAGTGGCACTGTTCGGTAGGTCACCTCAGTATCTACGACCCTTCATGCAGGCTGATATCCACAGGATGGGTGTTTATTCCAGACCTTCCAGCGCATCGAGCTGCCTGGTATCTGAATGCCGAGGAAAAGGAGCATGCTGCCACTCGCATCATTGCACCAACCAAGTACTCCTGGGATCTGACTGTGTTTAAGCGCGTCCTCTGGAGCTGGCAATTCTATCTCCTTCCTTTCATTTTCATGCGTAAGTCAGCCCAGTTCTTAAAAGTTCTTGCTAACGTACCAGTGTACTCGCTTTGTGTACAAAGTCTCGGTAACAACGTGATGGCGCTCTGGATGGCGTCCAAAGGCTACACAACCGTGCAGCAAAACAACTACCCTACAGCAGTATATGCGACTGGAATCGTAGGAACCGTGATCTACGCCGTCATATCTGACAAGATACGATCACGCTGGGAAGTGTCCATTGCCATCGGAGTGACATTCGTTATCGGCTCTGCCATCCTGGTATCCGATCCTCCAACAGCAGGCTACTTCTTCGCATTCTACCTGCTTGGGACTACCTACGCCCCTCAAGCTGTGTGGTACAGCTGGCTTGCCGATGTGACCAGCCATGATGTACAGCTACGAGCTATTGCAACAGGATTCATGAATTCGTTCGACTTTGCCTTTGTGACTTGGTGGCCTCTCATATTCTATCCCGTTACTGATGCGCCAAACTATCGCAAAGGATATATTGCCAGCCTAGTAACTGGGGCACTGACCTTGCCCTTCATCGGAGTGATCGCATACCTGGAAAGGAGAGATATCGCGAAGGGCCTCATTCGAAGACTTCCCGAATCCCATGTCTCAAGTCAGTCCGAGGATCACCTACAGGGTCCGACCAAGGCCAGTGACCAAGAAGGACCGGTAACTCTGCGGTCGGAAGAGGTCGGGGTATAGAGTAATCTGGCAAAATAAGCCATAATGATGAATTGCTTTAGTTTTGCGGTTTCTCAACAGAAAGATACGTATCCTTCCCATCACCACGAACTCGGATCTCATACTCCCCATCCATAAAGTCCTTCAATCGCAGCTCTGTCGTCCTTCCAAGCCCTTCTAGTTCATCGAGTCGATCCAGGGTGGCCTTCAGATGCTCCTCGAACTCAGGATCCTCGCATACAGTCCGAAAGGCGTTCTGCATGGGAACGGAGTCAGCCCGAACGACAGCATCAGCGTCGATGGCAATGATGTTCATTTCGTCCAGTCCTTTGATGAGATCCGCGCGCGTCATGAGTTCTTGTGCCTTGTGGAGTGGAATGCCTGGTAGCCCAGAGACGTAGTGCGTTCGATCGGGGTCTTTCTCTAGTTCTACCAGAGTTTTTCCTAGAAGCATCGCGCCGGACTATATCGTTAGTATGTTATAGGATAAATTAAAGGGGACATACCGATAAATCCTGCTGGTCTTCAGCCTTATCGTCCATCTCTGCCCCAAGAATCCAGCATTTACACAGCAGCCACCGCTTTTCTTTCTCGCAGATTGAGCGGCACGTTTTGAGCATGTCTTTTGACCTCGCCACTTGATCGAGATGAATAAGGCGACCTCCGACAAGTCTATACACCTGGTCCAGAACGCTGGAAGGAACGTCTTCGCGAAACGTGCTCTGGCGAAAGGCGCGCAATGAGGCAATCGCCATGTCCTTGGGTATATCCTGGATATTCAACACCTGCAGCCTCGTTGCATGTAGTCGTAGCATCTCGGTCGTGCGATATTGGTCGCTGGTGAACACAAGTGTAACCAAACCACTGGCTGCCCACATCTCAGCACGTTGCTGAAGCAGGTCAAGCAGCTGCTGTCCTTCGGTATTATCCGGCAGATAATGCAAGTTATTGATAATCAGGACGAGCGGCAGATCACTCGTCTTCTTCCTGTTCAGCGCCACCTTTTCCAGCTTATTCAACGCGCGCTCAATATCAAGCAGGGCCGTCGAATCCCTCGGACCCCGAATATTGAACATCCCCCCAATATAATCCTCATGATACTCATAATCAATCGCCTTGCCCAATCGCAGTCGAAAGACCTCAATATCCCCATGCGCTTCAAACATCCCAATCCCATGCCCATGAATCTTCGACATACTCTCCAACAACATCGAATTCTTCCCCGTCCCTTTCTCCCCGAACAGGAGATAGTAATTCCCTTTAACCTTCCCGCTAACAATCCCATCAATAAGCGCCTGCTCCGGCCTCGTAATCCGGAACTTAAGGAACTCCTCATCAATCCCATCTTCAAGCGTATACCCATGCTGCGCCAGCGCCGCAAGCTCTAGTGACGAGAAACCCGGCGAAAACGCATTATCGATCTTCTGCAGTACAAGCCGCTTGTAGAAGACGTGGTACCCGTACCCTGCGCCACCAAGCATAAGCAGTGCAGCGATCGTCGTCGCGCTATTCTCGAGGAACTTGCGCAGGATACTTTGCTCTTCGAAGTCCTCCCCGTCCGGTCTAGGCCGCCTGCGATTGTAATTGGTGCGGGCAGACGCCGACGGGGACGACCATGCAGTCCGTGTTGGTCGCCCTTTGAACAGACGGAGCCATGTCCCTGCATGCCATTAGATAACTGATTGAATTAAGGTTTGTATGGGCCTACCGTATTTGTCGACCCGGATTCGCGGCATTCTGCGCAGAAAGGAGAGGAAAAGAAAAGAAAGCTGGTGCCTGGGACGCTGAGATGAGAGGAGGGAAGGTCTTGGCGCCGAGACCGGACGGACGGGACTATGCCTTTTACGGCGTAAACAGTCCCGTCCAATCAGTCGAGGTCTATATAGAAGCCTGTTAATAATGGGAAGTGTGAGTTTGAAAATAATATTTGACAGCTTGAGGTCCGTACGTCATGGTTCTAACAACGACATGGCCTATCTATCACGTATTCTCCGCCCCAAGCCATAAGTCCCCCCTTGTCTACCGGCAAGGCTGCTTCCTTCGACAAGGCTGGTGGAGGAGGAAAATGCCCCTGGATATACGCCGGAGAAATTCTATCCCATGCGCGTCTACGAGACACTCAACGACCGGTACCAGGTTGTATCTAAACTGGGCCCTGGTGTTGCCTCAACAGCGTGGCTTGCCAAAGATTTGCATCAGTATGACCATTTCCTGTTGTAATAAACTCGTGCTAATTTGGAGGTGGCGCTGGCGATCTCCTCGTTACGTAGCTGTCAAGGTTAAAACGGCCCACCCAGTCCGGGACTATATCGAGCACGAGCTGTCCATCACACATCACATCCTCAATGCGAATCCTAATCATAAAGGTAGAGGGCGAGTTGAAAATCTGCGGGACTCCTTTACCCTTTCCGGTCCACGCGGATACCATACCTGCCTGGTATTCGATGCCCTATGTGAGCCATTGTGGATGCTGAAACATCGATTCGAACGCAAAACCATCCCACTCGACGTTCTAAAGCCGATCACCCGAGCAATTATAGAAAGTCTGCACTACCTTCATCAGGAATGCCATGTTATCCACACAGGTATGCCACCCAGTATCAGTACGAAACAAGACTAACATGCTAGATCTAACGCCGGATAACATAATGATGAGCTTGAAAGACCCGTCCACGGCAGCCATGATCGCTGACGCTGAACTCAACGAACCATCACCCCGAAAGCAACTCGTCGATCGGTCGATATACCTCTCTCGCAATATCTGGAACATACCACTCCACGACCTGGGCCCGCCTGTGATCCAGGGCTTGCGGAATGCAGTTCATGGTGATAAACCGCATAGTCATACCATTCAAGCTGTTCAATACCAATGCCCTGAGATCTCCCTGGGAATGGAGTGGAGTTATCCTGCTGATATATGGAACCTGGGTGCAATCGTACGACTCCTTATCCATGTTACGAGGTAGATTCGCTAATATCTCCAGCTCTGGGAGTTATTCTTCGGGAGAGGACCGTTTGACCAGCCAGGTGACCCGAAGACTTGGACTGAGGCGGCGCATCTTGGTCGGATTATTTCATTCCTTGGGTCGCCCCCGTTGGACGTGCTTCAGCGTGGGAAGCAAAGCCCCCAATATTTTGACGACAAAGGTACTTTTCCTTCCCAATGGCAAGAGATTTCTTACTGATACCTATAGGGCAATTTAAATTCCCATCTTTTATTCCAAAAGTTGACTTTAGAGCCGTGCTGGAGAATTGTGATAGTGACGAGCTGTTGTTTGTGGATTTCATTTCTAGGTTGTTATGCTGGAGGCCTGAGGATCGGCCCACTGTCCGGGAACTGTTTACAGGTTCATAGCCAGAAATCACGCCACAATGTTGAGTGTACCTGGACCATGGTCGAGCCGGCATATTGGTGGCATTATAACGGAACTCTCGCGCTGTTGTCCATGTACTTCTTACTCAAACACCAGGCAGAGGCTGTCAATGAGACCGTGCTCAACCTGGTGTCGCCCTGGGAGTTGACTGACAACCTCAACCGCCTTGCTCAACTTCAAATATACATCCTTCTCTCCGGAATTCCTTGTAGTCCAGGAGATACTGGCAATGTTATCACTACCAAGGGCAACCCTAGCATTTAAAGCATCGCTAAGGTCAAGTCTTGGCTTGAAGAGCACCTTCTTGCATCCAGCAGAAGTAGGCTGAATACCAGCCAACTCCACACAGTATTCATAGATAGGAACGCTCCCCCATGCATGGCAATCCGAGCGCTGCCTCACATCATCCTCTTCCCACGTCGACAGGTTCTGTGCAAGCATCTTCCTATACGGCTGGAATGCCTGATCCCAGAACCCCTCGTATACTTCGTCTCCAGCTATACTGAATGCACGCAGCGCATAGAAGCGCATCATATATGAGCACTTAGAGAACTTAGGATCCGCAAATGATTCTCTCAAGAGCCGAGCGCGGTCTTCTGGAGCTGCAGTACCGGAAATGATTGCAAATACCTGGCAGTGCTGCGAGTATGAATCATCTCCGGCAATATCGGTCGTCGAATCCGTGAAGAACTGCCCGTCGTAGCAATGTTTCCGGGCAGCCTCCTGTAGTGAAGCTGCGCGAGACTCGTACTCCTCTGCGTACCCTGGCCGTCCTACATCCCGGACTAGTTGCGCTGCTTTCTGTAGGACGAACGCATACAGGAGACTAAAGTATGTATGTCGATTCGACTTCCTCCCGGACGTCGGGACGCCCTTGTCAGGATGCTCGTCTGTTGCACCCCACGTCGTAACCCAATCCACATATTGCCAGACATCTTCCGGAAGACCACTTACAAGCCCGAGGTCGTCGATATGCGCATTGAAGAATTCAAGTACACCGTCCACGCGGGGAAGAAACGAGCGCGTGAAAGCCGTATCGCCAAAGTATAGATGGTGATCGCATACCTGCAGGATCCAGTAGAGGGAGAACCCGGCGACAATTTGCGGAACATGCGATGGGAATCGTGACTGCGTGAGGCCTTCGAATGTAATCGACGCTGCGTAGTTGGTGATTGCTTGTCGCATGAGAAGGTCGTCGCCGGAGAGCAGGTAGTGGAAGAGGCCGACTGAGCGGGAGTCACCGGAATATCTATTCTGTTAGAACAATATGGTTTTGGGAGGGAACACATACTGAAGCTGCTCGTAGAATGGACAGTCGGAATACCCATCGAACATGCAGTTGCGCAGGGTGCGGATCGAGACATCCCATATGGCACTACCATCGGGGTCTCCTGGATTGTCCCAGCTCGCTTTTACTGCGAGAGGATAGTTTACTTGCGTCGCTTCGAAGCCGGTAAGGCTCACTGGTTCGGATCCGACTGTGATCTCCATTCGCAGTAAACGGAATGTGCGAAACCAGAATGGCTCGTATATAAGTGGCTTCGCGCCAGACACCTCCAAGTGTACCTCGTCGAATGGACCGATAAGATGTCCATTCGTAGCATCGAGTCGGTCTGCTTTGGTACGGAAGAAGGGATATGCACGCGGATCCAGCTCATACCCTTCAGAGTATGTAACTTTGAGACGGACAGATGATGACTTTGCTGCTTCAAAGGTCCACCGTAGAAATGCAGTTGAATGAACGTCTGCCTGCATTTCCAGTGTATGGGATGAATTCTCAGGGAGATCGATTGCTTTCCCCTCTGCCAGGCTGGCCGCCCACTGTTCTGCAGGAAGTCTGCTCTGACAATCACGAACGGTATTAACAGCGACTTTTCCCTCCTCATGCATAGGAATAGGCCGTGGTCGCAGTCTCCAGGGCGCCAGTTCACCATTTAGAGTCTTGATACCGTATACTATTGGCTGTACTGGCGGAGAGAGGGCAGTCGGAGAGATACGCTCGTTAATCTGCCTAGTTAGTGTCATATATCCAATGCTAGAAAGAGACATACATGTAGAAACGGATCATCCACCAATCCCATCGGGAACTGAATACTGTCGTCAATCTGTGCCTCCCACTCGCTGGCAGTGTTGATCTCCAGGGTCTCGTTCGCAGTCTCAACACTCCCGATGACCGTCAGACCCGGGAGTGCCGTCCTTTGAAAAGGCATCGCACCACGGACAGCTGCAAAATAGCGTATCACATCAAACTGTATAGCATTGTTTCCTTCTCGCAGATACGGCGCAATGTCGAGGGTATCGTAGTACCAGATCCACGGACTGCCCCGCGTGGGCCCAACCGCCACGCGCTCTCCATTGACAAACAGCTTATATCGTGTATCGGCGGAGAAATGTAATAACGCTTGCTTAGGTCGAGTAGATAGTGGAAACTGTCGCTTAAACCGAACAATCCGACCAGCCGTATTTAACGAGGACGAATCAACCCAGTTAGGGACCCAGACCCAGTTGGCCTGGAGCTCGTTGATTGTCTGTTTTATTAGCGACATTTCAAGATATGTCGAGGATGATTACCTTTTGTTCGTCGGTGGTTACTCTTAGCATCTTCACTGTGCATTTAGAATGTCAGGCCGGAGGTTGCTCGTTTATATCTGCCCCTCGGTTATATTCGGGCTGCTTTACCCCGACTCTTTTGCCGTTGTTACTCTAGTGTTCCAATAAGGACTTATATCCAATTTTGTGACTGTTACGGAAGCCTAACTGATTATGCTGCTTAAGCAGCTCTCCTTAATCATATGTATATTCCTACTGGGACGTATCACAATCCTCAATATCAGAAGCTAATCATCACGCAGTACGGTAGAGTGCTCTACAGATAAACCAACAGCGCCTCAGAAGCACCGACGGTGAAAGTCGCTTCTCCCCCAGAAACTGTCGCGGTCTCAACACTCTCCGTTCCCTGGACAGTACAATCCCCGTTTCCAAACGTCTGGCCAGCAACAGTGGGGCTCTCTCCTTCATCCACTCGAGAGGTTGAATACGCGCCTGTCAGTCGTTTGGCAGTAACAGTAGACGCACTTAAACCGGACAGCGTAAAGGTCTCTGACGGGCGCGTGCCGGTGCTGTAGTAGTCCGAGTTATACAGCAGCACACGCACCGGACTGTCATTCTCGTAGATGGCGTATGCGGCGTATGCGGTAGATTGGTCGTCCAAGGGCGCGATTTTGTCTGCGTTCGCCAGGGCCATTGTTGCGAAGTATGCTCCGTAGTATGGGGCTCCGGTCGTGTATCGTCCCCACCAGCAGTACTGGCAGTTTCCGATCGTTCCTTGGTGGAAGTAAATTGCCTAAATCGTCAGAATCCTAAATTTATGGTTGTCAGGTAGTCAGTCATACATCAGTGCCCATGGTTACTAGTTGCATCACATAGTCCACGATCCACAACGCCGCTCCAAATGTCGGGCTGATGCCGCCGCCTCCTTGCGTAGCTGGAATATATTAGAAGGGCGTCAACATGATTATGCCTTAACGTACCAGAATTAGTCTCCCCAAAAACATGGGGTTTCCCAGCCTCCGCGGCAGCAGCAACTTCACCAGCAAAAGGCGCGATCTGCGACGCAATCCCACTATGGCTCATCAACGCAGCGAGATCATAATTTGGCGACGACTGCGGATAGTTATGCGAGCAGTAATCCTTCACGTAGCTATTCGCGTCTCCCTCCTCCTGGATCAGTTCTTGGATGCTCATCGGCGATGTCCCAAAGTATACACCAGCCGATATTATTTCGGTGGCGGAAAGGTTCCCGCACACTGCGTCCTGCCATTGAACTTGCGAGGCGTAGTCTGCTTCTGCGGTCCAGGATGCGCCATTGGCGATGGGGTCGCTATCACCGAAGACTACATACATTAGTTAACGGTTGGATATTGGCAAAGAGAACCCACAGTTTGGTTCATTCCCCAGCTCGATGGCGTTTAAATTGCCCATCTCGCTCACGGCTAGGCTCGCAGCACTGATAGTGTTTTCGATATTATTGAGTCGGCGATTGAGGCCCAGAACAACACTCCCAGCATACTCTGAAGCCAGGGTCATAAACGAGGGACCGAATGTCAGGGTTTCCGGCGCATCAGCAGGATCATCGACGGAGTAGGTGACGGCATCCGGAGAGGAGGCATCATACGTTGCTCGGTCTCTGCAGAAGTTAACTTGCCATTCACGACCAATATTGTGAACTTACTGGGTAGTCCCGCCAATTCTCATGGGCGGCCATGTCCCACTCAAGTCTTTGAGGTTCTCAAGACACGTCGTGGTCGCCGCAACATCGTTCATGTACCCGGGGAAAGTGAAGAACTCAAGTCTAACTCATTAACAGTCTGATTTTCTGGGAGACTGTTTAACTTACGAAACACCAACTGGTGCGGCAGACAGTTGTTTACTGGCATTCTCCGGTGGGGTCGCAGGCACACTGAAAGACAGCGCCAGAGCACCAGGGACAGTATGCCCTAAGAGCCACGCAGCACCAAGTTGGGAGATCATTTTTCTACCGACAATGGTTCATAACCTCCTGACTGGAGCCGCCAGCTATATAATTCATTCTCCAACCCCCAGACCCGATGGAGTGCGATCGCCGAACCCCACGGGGAAGTCCCAAAGTGCCCAGACAGTCAGTAAGTGGAAGCATTTGCCGCCTCGGTGTATCAGACAGCGAATTACCGTCTCCGCCATGCAGGATTCGTGAGGGGTTGAATCTCTAAGCCAGTTGAAAGCTTGTGACATCCAAGCGACTTGGTCGGAATTAGCCGATTGGGTTTGATATTAGCCTAGATGTGCTGCCGGCCAGATAACTCCGGTGGCACCCCAATAATTCTGACCTTTCTTCTTTCTTTCACGAGTAATATGCTTTTTTGATCAAGCCATTGCTTAATATACGGCGATTGGTGTCTGCTTTATCAATAGCCGACATGTCACCCGGAGCCGCGGGTGTCTTGTTTCCAGCCCTGTTCGCCGGGGTATCTCGTCCCGTGCTATAAATGTAAATGCGGGGTACCTTATACCTTTTTCCTTTGCTATCCTGAATTCTTGGGAATAGGGGACTTCTAATTTCCTTCCAATTCACCACCAGCCAAGAACATGGAGGAAAAGATCGAGACCGAACGGGTGGAAGACCGCACCACTGATGCAGGAGATGCACCCACCAAGGGCCAGCCTGTGATGCGATCGACCCTGGACAATCTGAGCATTTGGGAGAGTTTGCGCCGGTTCAAAGTCGTGACCATGATCGCGATGGCTGCCGCGTTCAGCGCGTCGCTGGATGGATACCGTACGGCAACCACAACCACAAACACGAAGAGGCGTGGCTAATTGACCCAGAAATCAATCTTAACGGGGGCGTCGTATCGAATAAAGGGTTTATCCAGCAGATGGCGAACCCAGAAACGTCCATCATCGAGGGCAAATACATCTCGGCCTGGGGTGGTATTCAGTCTGCCGGGCAGACTGTTGGGCAAATTGTACTTGCCATCATTTATTACTGATTTGACAATACTGATAGTATACAGCTTCTGCAATATGCCACAGACGGATATGGACGAAAGATTGCGCTGTACATCATCTTCCTCACATTCGTTATCGTACGCCACCTGTTCCCTCCCTTCTCGGCCATCACCGCTAAGTTGTTTGATTAGAGCGTCTTCATCGAGTCTTTTGCAACGCACTGGGACCACTGGCTGGTAGCGAAACTGTTCTCCGGTATGGGCGTTGGTATGCTCCAGTCGACGATGCCTCTGTACCTGTCCGAGATCTCTCCTACGCAGCTTCGTGGCTTTCTCATCAATGCATATAGTTTGTACGTTTCCTATATTCCATGATATTTAGCCACTGACATAGTGTCCAGCTGGTTCGTTATCGGCCAACTATTTGCCTCCGTCGCTTTGAACCGTCTTAATGCCTCTGATCCGTATAATTTCCGGACGCCCATTTACACCCAGGTCAGTTGCCACCACCAGCTCGACCTTGGATACCAGACTAAGTGTTTAGTGGGCAATGGTTGGCCTGTCGGGAATCATTTTTGTCGCCCTCCCCGAGTCCCCGTGGTGGCTGGTTGGAAAGGACCGACATGAGAAGGCTACGAAAGTCCTGCGCGTGTGCAATGGAAGTGTGGATGGCTACGATGTCCAGGAACAGATTGTATGTCCGTCTACCTTGTATTCACTCGGAGCGCACTAACGAAAGCAGGGCATCATGACCGCAACAATCACAGAGGAGCGCCAACAAGCGCAGCGCGATAAACAACAAGGAATGTGGGCGGTATTCCAGGGCCGGAATCTGCCCCGGTTTATAATAGCAGGGTGGCCGAAGATAACACAGCAGTTTGTCGGACTGTCGGTGTTCAACACCTACGCCACGTATTTCTGTATGAGTCCAACACCTGCTCAAGTGTAATACTGACATCTGTAGTTCAATATGCCGGAAGCGAAGATCCGTTCCTCGTAACCCTCATTCTATCCTGCGTCCAGATAATCTCTATGATTATTACCTGTACGCTGACTGATCGTCTCGGACGTCGACCATTGACCGTCTATCCCTACGCTGTTACTGTTCTCTCCGTTCTAGCTCTTGGGATAGTCGGGTGCTTTGATTATACCACGCCACAACTGAGTTCCCTTCTGGTATGACTCTAATCATCCCATCACTTTCGTTGCTAAAGGAATAGATATTCTTCGCCTGTCTCGCAACCTTCTCCACAACAGGAGCCTCTGCAATTGGATACGCCTACGCCGCTGAGATACCATCACAGCGTCTCCGCGCCCAAACAGCCGGATGGTCACTCGCATCGTCAAATATGGTAGCCATCATGTTCAGTTTCTGCACGCCGCTGATGATAAACGAGGGGGCGACGAAGTGGGGTGTTAAAACTGGTTTTTTGTATGTTTACTCAAGGTGCCAATTGTTTTTCACGACTTGGTACTGATTGCTTAGTTTCGCCGCGACTGGTGCCATATCGGTCGTTGTTGCTTGGTTCATACTACCCGAAGTGACGCGAAGGACACCGGCTGAGATTGACGAGCTGTAAGTCTGTCTCCTATGCTCTGGGATTGTACTAAGATGTGTAGGTTCGAGAAGAAAGTCAGCCTGCGCAAGTTCGACAAGCATGTTACGGACGTGCAGATTAACGCTATTGCGCAGACTAAGGAGGCATAGGTCGTTCAAGGAGTTGAGCGGCGTTTGATTGAACATAACGGAAGACAACAAGTAGATGGATATATTCAATGAAAGTAGTCTAAAATGATATTTGGTGTCGTATATTACCAGCTGATGCTATACCAACAACCAGCGCACCGCTATCCAATTAGTCGCCTACCAGTATTAGGTCTTCTATTGCATTATATGCGACCACCGCAACTCGTCGTCGGTCTTGGTCACGTTCACACAATGCAGTACAAGAACTAGCGCGTCTAGACAGCTAGTTTAAAAGCCAAACTTGAAGCGGCGACTTGCACTATTCGGAGTGTTGGTTGGGTCGATGCTGGAGGTCGAGGCCGATGCTGAAGGATCCTTGGATACACTGGCAGAAGATGTAGGAGAGCCAGAAGACGGGATAGCGTGCTGCGACGTAGAGGTAGAAGCCGAAGAAGTAGACGAGGTTGAGGATTCGCTGCTGGTGGCGCCTACAGTAGACGTGCTTGTCACTGCAACAGAGCTACTCGACAACCAGTCCGGCTTGGACCCATTGCGTCCAAAGTACACCGACCATGCAGCGCGACCGCCGCCTATATACATCATTAGCAAAGTGACAGGTATTCAAGAGGGGGAACTAACAGTTGTCGCCGGCAAAGCCAGGGCAAGGGGAGCCACATTGGTCATCGGCGGTCAAATCAGTCTGCTCGGGAACGGCGTTTCCGCAGAAACAATCGTTCTTTTGAACAGCAGCATACTTGAAATCTCCTGCCTCACAGGTATTAAGGCAGTGGCCGACAGACTCGAACGTGTAAGAGCCCTGGTTTGCGAGCGAGCCCGAGCTGGTGAAGCAGCCGATGTAGTTGGCTTGTTCGCTTTTTGAAGCAGCCACGGCGAACGGCAACACAGCGAAAGCAGAAGTCAATTTCATTTTGGTGGTTGACTTGGGAAGATCGAGGGAGAGAGAAACAGAAACAAGAAAATCAACGCCAAATCTGGGAACTCTGGGAAAGGAGCTGGTTGCAGCCGCACAGGATTGTGGAGCTGCTGTGCCCTGTTCCTGGTGGGCCTGGCCAAATTTCACATCAGCCACGGCGGCCTGTTAGGAGAATTCTGAAACAACTATTTTTTACTGTTAGTGCTCTATATACTGCCTATATACCTGCCTTTCTATATTAATTATTAATAATAAATAAAATTTCTACTCTCTCTCTTATATAATTATATAGCTTAGTTTATCTAGATTCTAGAGAGAGTAAGATGTCTTAATTTTCAATTAATTAATACTACTATAGAGTTATTAGTACCTTAGCATAACTATATATAGGTAGCTAATACTTCCTTATAATATGACAGGGCTACTATAGGTAGTTATAGTAAGTAGTAGATATAGGTATAAGATTTATAGTCTGTAAGATAGGTGACTGGTAATTAACAGTCTAATTCACTCTCAGGAAACAGGGTGGGAGTTAGCTGAGAAGTTGACATGGGAGGCAGGTAAGCTTCCTGGAGTTCCCACAGAGCAACTTCTCCGAGGGGGTCTATGTCGATTATCGTCGGTTTGACAAAGAGCGTATCAACCCCCGGTATGAATTTGGATTTGGACTGAGCTACACTTCTTTCCGCTACTCCCGCCTCAGGATCAAGCGCCATCAGTCACGCCCTAGGAAGTATCCAGGGGGTGTAGTGGTTCCGGGAGGACAGGATGACCTTTGGGATATAGTCGCAACAGTAACGTGTGAGGTACAGAATACGGGATCGGTTGCCGGTGCCGAAGCGGCTCAATTGTACGTGGGTATCCCAGGGGCGCCGGTTAGGCAGCTCCGCGGGTTTCAGAAGCCTGAAATTCGGCCCGGAAAGACAGCCAAGGTGACATTCAATCTAACACGACGCGATCTCAGTGTCTGGGATCCGGCGGCGCAGAAGTGGCTCCTTCAGCCTGGTGACTACTCGGTGTGGGTTGGGTCCAGCAGCCGGAAGCTCCCTCTGCAAGGTGTCTTGCATTTGTGACCATGGCTGGGTTGCGGATATTCAGTAGTTTTCTGGGCAGATAAATCTTCATAGCCTCGGAAACGACCCGACCAGCTAGGCCTATGCGCTGTAATGTGCAACACACTGTTTCTAACATTGTCTGTCTCCCTCATTCTCTCCTTTTGCCATAGTGTAGTTGGTGGCCTTATGCTCCTTATCGCATTATGAGCCCTAGCCGTATGGGTACAATTCCTTTCGTCTCAACCCCACGCCCCATCTGCGCCACAGGCAGCATTCAATGGACTTGTTCTAGGTATTATGCGCAGCATATCCGGCCCCTTGGATGGGTCACCATCGCAGTGCAAACGAGGGGGCTGGAAGGCGCTGAGATACGCAGATGAGCTTTTTAAGGTGCTTGTCTACAGCCGTGTCAACAGTACGTTGGTATATCGAGAAGGGAAATAAATACGTTGAGCTGTTTTTCTGCCGAGCGAACACTATCTCGGCGCTAGAGTAATAGAAATATAAAGTAGGGCAACAGGAACTACTACCTACGTGCCCACTAAGAACTAATATGTATACCGGAAATGTGCTGTCTCCGAGTCCAGAACCTACAATTCGATGAGGTCAGTGCAAGAGCTCAGGAAACAAAAATGCGTACCTCTCTGTCTTCTTCGTCCTCAAGGACGATTTCGCCCCGATCAGCCCGGCGGTTCATGTACCAGAAGTAGGGGCTAAGCACAAGCACCAGGACAATGCTGGCGACGCAGAACGCGATGCAGGCCCAGAGACCCGGCCGAAACAGAGGAGCATCCGAAGGGCTTGTTTTGGTCGTTAGCATACGCCCCCCCAGCCAGGGGGGAATTTAACCCTACCGAAATACGAGGCTGCCGGCAATGCCTCCGACACCCCCCAGCCCCACCAGGATTGCACTGGCCGAGGCGCGCTTCCACTGGCCCCGGATATTGTTTGCCTGGTAGGCCATGATCAACGGAATGTTGGAGTTGGAGCCCCCGCTCGCGAGGAATAGCCCGAGAAACCGCACCCCCGTCAGGCTGTGAAAGCCGATCAAGGCAAGCCCCACGATGGCAACGGTCATGTTGAAGACGATGAGTGGCCCGCGGACCCTCCATCGGTCGCCCAGCCAGCCGATGGCAAACATGCAGCAGGCACCCCAGAGCATCGGGGTAATCTGCAGAATCTGGGTCATTGTGGCGTCAAAGCCCATGCCGGTAGTCAGGATGATGGGGGTGAAAAAGGAGAGCGCGTAGCCTTGCGACGAGGTAAAGAAGAACAGCAGCCCGAACAGCCATAGTTTGAAATCCAGGCCATGCCCAGCAAAGCGTTTGAGGGAGAATTTGGTCACTGTGCTATCGCCCCGGTCGGCATCCACGCGCGACACGACCCAGGCGCGCTCGCTCTGGGACAGAAACCTCCAGGTGCTCCGGTTCGAGTCTGGAAAGTCAACCAGCAGCAGAAAGCCTGCCAGGGCTATCACACAGGTGAGGATGCCTTTCACGACAAAGAGCCAGCGCCATCCTCGCATGTCGCGGATCCCGTCCATGTGTACCAGCTATCGGCGGAGCCAGGTGAGTCTTCGTACCGGCAGGAGGGCAGGACACTTACACCATAAGCCATGAGGCCCGCAAGGGCTCCGGCGACAGCTCCAAAGGCGTAGAACAAGCTGTACCTCGTCCCCATTTCGTCTACTCCAGTCAGTAACAACGCTCGAGGAGGTGTACGAATCGGGCCGCTTACAGCGCGTGTACCAGGTGCTGAGGAGATAGATGCAGCTTGGGAAGAATCCGGCTTCAAACAAGCCAAGAACGACACGCAGAGCAGCCAGTTGCTCCCACGTCCTCGTGAAGCCCATCCCGATCATGACTGCACCCCAGAGCAGCGTGATGCCACCGAGATGCACGCGCGGACCCAGTATGCGCACCAAAATCGTCGACGGAGGCTGGAAGACGATATACGTGGTGAAAAAGACGAGAGTGATTACCGACTAGCATTGGCATTATTAGCCCGACAGGCGAAGAAAGCGGATGGAACCAAAGATGCAACGAACGTATCGGTTTCCAATCAAGTTCAGATCCTCAATCATACCGGCGACGCTGGCAGCGGCAACGTTGGTGCGATCGACCAGGGAGACACAGTACATAAGCCCTACGATTGGGATCAGCCGCCTGTCGATGCGTCGCTTGATGCGTTTCTGCTCCGCCTCGGACAGACCCAGGGAAAGTCCGATCTCAAGCTCTGGACTGGCTCCTTCGTGGACAGATACATCCTTCTTCGACATGGTGGTTGATCGTTCGATTGACGGTTCAGGTTGATAATGGACAGCTCGGTACTAGACGGAGTGTGGCGAACGAATATATAGTATCATCAGTCAAGAGAAGAAAACGATCCCCCACACGTCTCCAGATCCAGTCGCCTCAACTTCCCCAGGTCGATGAATCCCCGCTTGGCACGTCCGGGCCGGATACGACCAGGATGACCTAGAGACAGCGCTCGTTCGGCCCGGATGAAGCGAGAACGGGACGACCAGCCAGTGCTCCATGGCTGGCGCCATGAGCCGGACTTATAGCATCGCCTCCCGTGTAGTCGTTGCTTATGGATACTCTGGCACGGGGATTCCAGCCATCAGCCCGTCCAATATCGACAGATCATGATCCAACTCCCAAATCTCCGCCTGGCTGAGCATGGCCGGGACCATGGTCGCGTCTGCCGGCATAACGAGATTGGGCTCCGTCTGCGAGGCGTGCATGAGGGATTGGATACCAACAGGACCCTGCGTCGGACTCCCGTCCTCTGCACTAGTCGGTATGATCTCTACTAGCGTGCCCTGGTGTTGTTTGCACATGGACCGGATGGCAACCCCGTAGACAGACGGACGGGTGTTGGTCTGCGGTCCAAGTGACTGCATCAGCGCGCCTAGCTCATCCACGAGCTGCAGAAAGCCGACCCGACGTGCAGGGACGATAGTATTGGACTCCAGGGCCCGAAGGACGTACAAGCAGCCGTAGGCCATCAGCACAAAGCCAAAGTCGCCCATGTAACGGAGACGATCCTTTGCGATTGGGGACAGTCCACGCATGGACTGCAGAAAGTCGTGCGCGGCATCGAGACTCTCTGCTACGGCTACGCGATGTTCTCCGTTCCCATCCGAGAGATGGGTGAGAAGATGGAACCGGGTGAAGAAGAAATGAAACTGCAGCTGTCGGCTTGGTGCGGTGTCTTTTGCGCATTCCTTAATTAGCGGAACATACGGTGCCACATACGGGTTGAGATGCTTACTGCTCGCCAGAAAGTGCTGCCAGTCAAGCTGCCAGGTGTTCAGGGTATCGTCGACGGTTGCGGGGGAGGCGCCAGGCGTGTTGATTGATCTCTCCCAGAGCAGACACAACTCACACTCGCCCAAGAGCACGCGAATTCGGGGATGGTCAACACTCTGTTCCAGGGCAGCTTTGGCCCGCAGGAGCTGTGGGGACGCCGAAAGGGATCGAGGGCAGCCATGTATGATGGCGGAACTACAGGGGAAATCCGAGTTAATAGGGTACGGTGACGGGATCCAGGGGCACTCGTACTGATGGCTCATGGTGTACAGCCACACGACCCAGACTAACGACAGCTGCGCATAGACCTTGTTGAAGGAGCAGTTGACACCCAGTTTCAATTTCACCGCGTACGCCTCGGTCAGTCCCTTGGCGGTCAGCATATCAAAACTCTCGGTGCCGCTGGAGCTGGGCCCAGTAGCCTCGCAGCAGCTGTAGAGGATCGTCAGGCCGTGCATGTTGCCGAGGGCAGTCTGCGAATCATCCGTGGTGGGAGATAACAGCAGGTCAGCGAGCAGTCGACGGAGCACGCGGCCCACGCGAGTGCGCAGATTCAACGAATCCGGCAGATATCGTACCATGATGTAGATCGCAGCCAAAGTGAAGACTGGTTGGGCCGGTAGGCTGCCAAAGTCGGTCGCGTAAAAGCTGGGAATATAGACGGCCATGCGCTCACCGAACAATGCAAACATCTCTCGCGCCTCTGCGAGAGAGACTTGCGCGTCTGCCAGACATGAGGCGAGGGTCGGCCCTCCACTCGAACACCGGCTTGACGCAGGGTCAGATGAACTATGCGGCCGCGGCCACAGATGACGTTCCTCCAGCTCTTGGACGGTCGAGTATGCCGTGGGGACCTCGGGGGTGAACTCTGCATAGCGCGGAGGAGGACAATGGGCCTTGCGGGCGAACTTGACATCGCTGCTCTCGTGGAAACTTCGCTTGCGGGCTCCCGATGGGCGACTGTCGTCCTGATCAATGCGATCCAGGGAGTTATGGGGCTGGTCGGACAGGGTGAGCGGGGACTGTAGAGAGCCGGTGTAGTCTCTGCTGACAGTTTCAAACACGCACTCGCGCCCGAATTTGGCACAGCGCTCACAGGGGGCTGGGTCGCCGGAGCACTTCATCTGAAAGTCGGCCTTGTTAGTTGTCGCCGGAGGTTAGAGAGCACACTGGGTACCTTCTGCTGGCGACATCGCGTGCAGGCCTGGGCGGAACGCCTGGCGACGGAGGCCATTGCAAACAGATCAGGACGATTCACCAGACGTTGAGTTCCTCGCAGGGAATACAGGGGTTTCAGGGATTCCCCAGGAAACTGTGGTCGGTGGAGACATCCCCGCAGAAATCGTTGACGGGCATCCTCGACTGAAAGTGTGGATGTCCTGGACGAGTCTGAAGCCCTGCATTCCCCCCGCGCCGGTCCGGGTCCGGCCCGGACGCTGCGAGCTGCCTGAGATCTTGACTGGTGGGCGTTGTTAGACCACCGATAGAGGGGCGGAGGAATCGGAGGAACCACAGCGTCGCTGTTAGTTAAGCGGACTGTCTGAAAGAAATCGGATGGACTTTTGTGAAGTATATGCATTGGCCAGAGGCCTACTAGGTGGTAATTATATAGGATTGTATAGTTATTACACAATGCTGTGGATTGAATTGAGCCACCTTGGGCGAGCTGAGCCTGCCAGGCATTCTAAGATGATTCAATTGCTAATTAACATGAATCCGGTATCATGGCATCCACCGTCGATTGCGCCAGAAAACCGCGTCGGCCATTCCATCCACTCCGCCCACTCCCATGTCTAGTCTTATGCCAGTAAATCTTGCCGATCCCAATGGCAACCCTCGTGTCTTCCTTGTAATGATGATAGCATCCTATGATATAGGATTAGCCGAAGGAATCCAACAGCGCACCGCCTTAAACACTTGATTGGCGCTCACCGTACTAGCTCGGATGCCCTAGACTGACTATAGAAAGAGAAAGACACTCTTCGTCCTCTCATCATACTCAGACCCCGCCTAATAACAGGGAATATCTAGTGGCTCCCAACCCACATGATACGGCCGACACCACAGCGAACATCCGACCATTGTCACCACCAGCGCGAAGTGAAGGAAAAGCCGGGAGTCCTTCCTGATATAACCAAACACCATACTGTCATTGACCAAACACACCAACTCGATCGCAAACGTCGCCAAAGATAGGTCATAGAGGGGCGATTCGAGGATATTGAAAGAAGCATACAGCCGCACGATAGAAAACAGGAATGTGCGAGTCGCGTATGCGCGCGCAAGGGCTGTGGAGGTCGAGGGACCCTTTTCGCCTGTTCAGGCATGCTTATGTCCGTCTTGGATTTTGTAACCGCATTTCCCTGACAGTATACTGGCTCTCATGTCTCTGCGACGCTTCAATCGCTTCAATAGAAACCGAGATTGCACGCGCTGGTATGTCCGGGCCGTGGCGCACCAAAGAATCCATGTATCCGCACCCTGCCCGGCGCTCCTCAATACCGACAGCATGTTAACTACGATTTAATCTCGGAAACTCCTGTATAATCGCTTTCCGCGGTTCAGAATTTCACCCGACAATCCGAAAAATCGATTGCCTGAACCTTCATCTCTGCACCATATTAGAAGTATATAAAAACAGTAACGGCACCAATTAGAGGGCCAGAAGGATAAACATCAATTTATTATTTCATACCCTGTTTCTCGTGCATGCATGCCTTTTAAGCTATGACAATGCCGGTGAGCAACACGATGCGTGCCTGGATACACAGATTCCCGAAGCTGCCGCTGGAAGACGGAATGGAGCTGGAGGAGACGCACCCCCGGCCATCGGAATGTCTCAAGGCCGAAGAGATTCTCGTCCAAGTCAAGTGCGTGGGTGTCAATCCAGCAGACCCTCTGTTTGCGGAGATGACTTGGCCCGCAAACGCCATAATCAAGCAAACACCACTGCCCGGCATGGATTTTAGCGGCATAGTCGTTTCGATTGGAAGCAGCGTTACTTCCCTGTGCATTGGCGACCGCGTGTTTGGGAGGGTAGACACGCCCAGAGGCATCCCTGGCACTATGGCGGAGTTTACGACAGCTGAACTAGAGGGATGTGTGCTAATCCCGCCAAACATTGACTATGAACAAGCCGCTGGTGTTGGCACAGCAGCCATTACTGCCTATGAGACTATTGTTCCAAACTGCAAAGCGGGTGATAGGATCTTCATAAATGGAGGTACAGGGGGTGTCGGAACCTTTGCTATTCAGTTCGCCAAAGCCCAGGGATGCCATGTAACAGTATCATGCTCTACAAACAAAATTAGTCTTTGCGAAGGGCTCGGAGCCGATGAAGTGATTGACTATCGCGCTCGAGATGTGGTTTCGGTGTTGAGCGGAAAAGGCAGGGTTTTCAATTTAGTTGTCGACTATGCATATCAGGAGAAAACCGATCTGTACAGAGCCTCGACGAAATTCATTGATCAGGGCGGCAAATTCGTCATGGTTCCTGGTGGTATAATGGCTAGCGTCGTGCAGACTATCTGCAGGAACATGCTTTGTCCATTCATGTTTGGTGGCGGGCGGGCCAAGTTCGAGGTCTATTTCGCAAAGAACAACCTGGCAGGATTCGAACACATTGCCCAGTGGATGGCCGCTGGGAAGGTTCGGACGGTGATAGACACGATATTCGATTTCCACGACATGCCCAAGGCGATCAAGAAGATCAAGTCGGGAGCGACTACAGGAAAGATTGTCGTCAAGGTTTAACCTTAGCTTTTGCATTGCTGCGTTCTACAGTCCTCTTAATAGTAATTAACCTACGGGTTAGTTATGGTAACTAACTTATAGATCGCCGCAAGTCAAGCCTCACAGTATAGTAGATTAAATTTATAATTTCTATCACTTTCTAAAATTTTCCCAAGAGCTGTAAGTTAAGCCTGTCTGTCCATGGAGCCCGAGAATATCCATGGCATGTTTGGGAGGGCAGCTATGCTATATAATGGACTCACCGCCAGTTCTGACAGCAGTTCTAACTCTTGATATTTATGGGAAATTGAAGGTTGATTGGGTAACCAGCATTCCTTTTACACAAGGGAGCGTCGATCAGCACTAAAATATCTGAAGAGCTCACTGCAAGATCTTACAGCATTCCTGAATGCTAACTTTATTGGTTACCCGGCCACCTAGTAACTAGTAAAATTAGTTTTTTCAGAATTCTCCTAACAGACTGCTGTAATCAGCACTAGTAAGTCGGCCAATGACCCTTCTTTGTGGGTTTGCCTGACCTCTTGTTCCCTGGTGTTGGCAGCTTCCAGGGAATGGTCTCTCCTAACTTCGGCTCTGCTTGGGGCCAGTTCTTTATCGGAGAAGCTTAACCAGGTGGCCAAAAACGGACCCACAGCTTAAGATGTTCAAGGGAACTTTGGTAAATAGATTAGTAGGGGCAGTTATGTGTGCCAACGGCCATTTACATATTTTCGATTCGACCCACTGGCCGGCATGATGAGATTCACACTCTACTCGTCAGTGGGCCCACCACCAAACCACGATTTTAATATTTCATCTCTACAGTTATAAAACTTCCAACGACGAAGTCTTACATTTGCGATTCCAGTGTCTTTTTCTGGTGATGACTGACGACATCACGTGTATCGACGTGGCGCAGCAAGGCTGATCCCAACGAGAGAACTTCACCTCGTGTCAACTTCATATCTTCACATATTCCAGCCTGGTGAGGGTAAAAATCGTCCTTGAAGCCTTGTATTGGTGCAGATGACAATGTGAATACCCTTTCCAGGCCCTATCGAAGCGGACTAGGATGCGCCCTCAATCTCGCAATGGATTCGAAACGGCGATTATCTGCGCCTTGCCGTTGGAGTTTGACGCCGTCGAGGCCTTATTTGATGAGACTTACGATGAATTTGGCGCGAACGTGTACGGCAAGCGGCAAGGCGATCCGAACTGGTACCGGACAGGCCGGATTGGGACTCACAATGTTGTGTTGACCTGCCTTCCTGAAATGGGAAAAGCCAGTGCAGCAAGCGTTGCGTCCAACTTACAGGTGAGCTTTCCAAGGGTCACTCTGGGCCTCCTGGTAGGGATCTGCGGCGCAGTGCCATTTCCATCCGAACAAACCGAAATCATCCTGGGAGACGTTATTGTCAGCGACAAGGTTGTGGAATATGACCTGGGCAAGCAGTATCCCGATGGATTCAGGCGAAATGGAGCTGTTAAAGAGATTCTCGGTGGGCCCAATCGCACGATCAGGAGCTTTTTGTCCGGTCTGAAGACCCGGAGAATGCATGACCAGCTGCAAGAGAATACTTGGAAATACCAGCAGAGCTTCCGAGGCGATCACCATGGCAAATGGCAGTATCCAGGAACGTCGCAAGATCAATTATTTCCCGCCGATTATCGCCATAAACACTATCACCAGCACCCTGATGCCACCTGCCTCTGTGCGGATTGTCATTACAGCCGTGACGCTGTTTGCGACAAAGCGCTAGACCTCAGCTGCAGAAAGCTCGGATGCATGGGTTCTCTAATACAAAGAAATCGCCTGAGCGCAGACTCTCCTAGGCCATGTGTTCATTTCGGCTCTATGGCTTCCGCTGATACAGTCATGAAATCCGGTGAACACCGCGACGCACTTGCCGCGCGAGAGAAGGTAATTGGATTTGAAATGGAAGGAGCTGGGATATGGGACAGCCTGCCCTGCATCATTATAAAAGGCGTGTGCGACTACGCGGATAGCCATAAGAATAAGATAATGCAAAACTACGCCGCGGCAACTGCTGCCTCTTGCGCCAAAGCTTTCTTGATATCTTGGGCCTCTAGCGTGTCCGAGCCATTGGAACGCCTTGCTGTGGTTTATGAAGGAGAAGGTGACGATGCATATCAAGAGACGCTGTCGGATGGCCAGAGGAAGGAGTTGCTAAACATGCTCCGATTTGATCAGATTGATGCCCGCCAAATGTCCCTTAAGGGCGCACAAGGCAAGACTTGCCGCTGGATGCTCCAATCTCGCCGGTACAAGGAGTGGCTTGACTCTGGAAAATTGGAGAAGCACAACGGGTTTCTCTGGATTAAGGGAAAGCCCGGAGCGGGCAAGTCAATTATGATGAAGTTTCTCTTCCAGGAAGCAAAAAGGGTCATGAAGAATGCCGTCGTCATATCGTTCTTTTTCAATGCTCGAGGCGATGCTCTAGAAAGATCAACCAATGGCATGTATCGCTCGCTGCTTTTCAATCTGCTGTCCAGAATGTCTGATCTCATGCCGTGCCTGGATCACTGCGGCACAAACAGCCTGAACACCATCAGAAACAGTGGTTGGCAATCGGAAATGCTCAAAGAGGTATTTAGACTGGTTGTCGGCCGCCTTCGAGACCGTCGCGTCGTTTGCTATGTCGACGCATTGGATGAATGCCCTGAGGATGATATCCGTGACATGGTATCTCTATTTGAGGAGCTCGGTGCCCGCGAGAAAGCAAGCGAGCTCCTAGTTTGTTTCTCCAGTCGCCACTATCCGGAGATCACTATCAGAACGGGACTGCAACTGGTCCTGGAAAAAGAGCACGAGCATGGAGACGATATCCGCCTCTATATTGAGTCTCAGCTCAAGATTGAGAATACGCCTCAGGCTGACGAGATCAAAGCTGAGATATCGAGAAAATCGTCCGGTATTTTTCTCTGGGTCGCCTTGGTTGTGCCCATCCTGAACAAGGAGCATGATCGAGGTCGCACCAAAGCCTTGAAACGACGGCTCGACGAGATCCCGGCCGGATTGCATGACCTGTTCCTCGATATCCTCACAAGAGATTCCAAAGATATAGATGAGATGGTCCTCTGCATCCAATTTATCCTGTTTTCCAAGCGGCCCCTCAGTCCTCAAGAGTTGCAGGTTGCAGTTCTTACCGGCTCTGAGAACCAGCTTCAAGATCCTCTCATCGAATCAGAGGTGACAGGAGAGGTTCTGAGAAAGTTTATTCTAGACGTGTCGAAGGGATTAGCTGAGATCACAAAGTCCAAGGCACCAACCGTCCAGTTCATTCACGAGTCAGTGCGAGATTTTCTCCTTAAGGAAGGGGGAATGAAGAAACTGGCAAACAGAGAAAGTAACATCGAAGGAGAGAGTCATGCCCAGTTTGCCAGGGTCTGCCTACTACAGCTCGGAGCTGACCTGAAATCCCATGGTGGCCGTGCTGGTTACGCGCGTGTTGCATTTGATGAAAATCAGGCCCAGACAATCTTAAGCAAGTTCCCCTTTGTAGAGTACGCCGCTAATAACATTATCCACCATGCCAACACTGCACAGCGCCTCGGAGTGTCGCAAACGTCGTTCCTTGAAAATCTGGTTGTGGACAAATGGATTCCCCTCTACAACACCTTCCAAAAACATTCCACTCATCGCTATAGCCGTGAAACACACCGCTTGTATATTCTTTCGGAGCAAGGAGCGGAGGCTCTGATCAGGATCCACCCCGATAGATCTCGTCATCTGGAGCTGATGGCTGGTGGCCGATTCAGATACCCACTGCTTGCTGCATTATATTCCGGGGGCAAAGCCGCTGCGAGGGCCTTACTGGGTGTTGATACGTCCGAGGACACCTATTCAGATACAGCAGAGCAGCAGTCCATCGAAGCCCCTAGAAAAATGAAGTTAGACGCACTGTTCAAATCCTCACGCAGTTTCCTCTCGTACATTTCGGAGTTTGGGGACACGGCCCTTCTGCGCAAGATACTAGAGACGGGTGAATACAAGCGCGCGGAAGTACACTGGCGGTCCGCCGTTAGAATGACAACTAGTCCGGCCTCCACCCTCTCCTACGCTGCATCAGAGGCTGTAGTGGAGCTTCTAATGGAATTTGGTCCAGACATTGGGCTATTCTATAATACTAGTCAACACGACGTAGTGACGAATACCAACGCCGTGATAGGGAATGGGACAAGTAGCAATTCCCGCTTCCAGCACTTAATTGAACGCTGGCCTTCACTCCTTGGGCAGACATTCCTGGAATATGCTGCCGAGAGAGGATTTGACCGGCTCACAAGCGCCGCACTCCGACATGCACCCCAAACTGTCGATGAACGAAACTCGCAAGGGCAAACTCTCTTTTCCCTGGCTGCTCAAGGCCGAACGAACCACACTGGCCGGCTGGCGGTGATGAAAATACTTCATGAAGCTCAGGGAGACCCAAACACTGCAGACAATTCTGGTAAAACGGCGTTGCATAATGCAGTCCTGACACCATTCAACGATGATATCATTCAGTTCTTAGCAGTGTCATGTGAAGTCGATATGGAACATAAAGATCACACGGGACATACAGCACTTGCTTTAGCTGTCCAAAAGTCTCGAAAGGGATATGCCCAGCTCCTTGTCGCTGCCGGGGCTAATCCCACGACACGATTGCCGGACGGTACGCCCGTGCTCACGTACTGTGTGAAAATGGGGTATATGGGGATATTCAGCCTCTTGTACAATGATAGGAGATGCGAGTATGACGCTACTGACTCTAATGGGCGTACAGCACTCTCGTGGTGCGCGACAGTAGGGGACGAGACGGCAGCGAAAATGATGTCAATGCTTCTTATATCGGACACAGTGAACCCTAATGCGCGAGATAGTGAAGACCGCACGGCCTTGGAGCGAGCAATACGGAGTGCTCAACCTGAAATGGTAATGATGCTTTGCCTATCCACCAAGTCTCTCGATATTACTACTAGAAAAGGAATAAACGTTTTGACCCTGGTTGTTGCTCTTTGCCGCGAACAGAATTGCCGTGAATTCCACGAGATGGCCAGGCTGCTGCTTGGGTATGGACACATCTCGGACGACTGGAGAAAAGGGGTCCAGGACTTATTGAGAGATTGTGAAGCGTATGGGCTCGAGGAGATGTCCCGCATGATACGGGCATTCCTAGAGGGAGGGGATTTGGGTCCACGACTGGTAGAATATTCTTCAGTTGTGAAAGGCTTCAAGGTTTTAAGTACTCTAAGCGAATAAAAACAAGATAGTTAAGGAGAAACTAAATGAAATACCTGATACCGGCGTGGGATTGCACTTCCCGGTCCACTCCCAAGACCAATTCCAATATAGTCACTTGTGCGCCCCCTCATATGGCTGATTTGGCCCTTTATGTGGAATTTTCATCCAACATATTCCAACACCGTTCGATTGAACGCTAGATCGTCTAACACTTAAACAGATTTGTATAGAAGTTTCGTGAGTCCGTCTCGCCCGAGCTGTAGCGAACTGTGGAGCAACCACAGTAGTGAATGAGCAAGTGAATGAAGTTCGCATGTTAATTGACAGTTTAAGGGCACGCGTCCAGTGGCGAAGAAACTGGAATAACACAAAACGCGTTTTATTGACATCCATCCTCTCTGCCCCTATCCAAACACCTCGGGAGAACTGTTTCATCCTCAGCTCACACGATGGTTGCCCCTCAAGGCCTCGACGAGGCTGATATGCGTAACCTCATTGAGCAACAGATGCGCACCCTACAGGCCGCTCAGTCTCGAAAAGGCCAGCATCCCGATATCATGCAGTCGCGCGAGATGACCATCATGCAATTCATGTTTCAGCAGAAGATATCGACGATCAACCCGATCCAGAATCCCGTTCGTACCTCGTTCTTGCCACCGGCTTATCCTCCGTCGGTTGCCCCGTTGGATATGCTCCAGACGTGTATGTTCAAAGACCTCATGCTGGAAACCCATCATCGTGGCTCCTACATCGTGTTAAGGGCCGTAACACCTCCAAGTCTGATGCTGGGAGCGATGCTGATTGTCGAGGATGAAGAGGGGGATGTTGTTCAGCTGACACTTTATAACCAGGATGTACACCTTACTGGAGATGGCCGACTTGCGCAAGGAACAGTGATGGTGGTGAAAGAACCCTATCTGAAGGTCGTGGCTGCCGGGAATCATGCTATTCGCGTTGACCATGTTTCCGACATCATTTTTGTACCTGAATATGATCCCATCGTCCCACTGTCATGGAGGCCAAAAGTCATGAATGCCGATGGTTCTGCCAATGATTGGAAAGTAGCAGGAAATGACAAGTTCAGCCAGGGAAAGTATCACCAGGCTATCGATTGGTAAGATATATCTGGTTCTTTTGTAGACAGAGCTGACGTGGGCTATAGCTACTCCCAGGCTCTGAAGTGCTCTCCATCCACGGCCGAAATCGTCATTATCAGGCAGAATCGTGCACTCTGTTTTCTGAAGACCCATCAGTTTGACGCAGCACTTCGCGACCTTGACGGATTGCCCGAGCCCCAACCCTCCAAGAAGACCCTATTTCGCAAGGCCCAAGCCCTGTACCACCTCCAGAGATTCCAGGAATCTTGCGAAGCTCATCAAGCCCTCGCCTTAGCCTGTCCCAACTATGACGCCGCCAAAGCCGAGTTCAAAAGAGCTCGCGAAAGGCTTAAGGAACAGAAACACGGTCGGTATCAATTCAAGCAAATGCAAGCAGAGGCAAGGAAACGCTCTCCACCCGTTCTGGACCGCGCCACCTACATTGGCCCAGTCGCCGTCAAACACACGAAATCCCGAGGACGAGGATTGTTTACCACCAGGCCAGTGCAGGCAGGCGATCTGTTGATCTGTGAGAAAGCCTTTGCATATGTGTTCTCCGACATTGCCAACCCTGACCAGCACCGTTCGATTCTCATAAACATAGAAACGAGCGAGATGACAAAGGGTGTTGATGTAGACTTGACCCCCTTGGCCGTGCAAAAACTGCAACAGAACCCATCTATGGCGCCAGCTGTCACCGCTCTACATCATGGATCGTACAACCCCGTCACCGTTTCGGAGGTTGATGGTATGCCTGTCGTGGATACGTGAGCCGCCTTCAGATACATCTCAGAGCCATTATGCTAACATGTCCAGATTCCTCGTTGACCGGATTCTGTCAAATAATTCCTTCTCTTGTCCGCGTTCCTCGCGGGAGCACTATATCCATGCCCTGCGACGCAGCCCAAAAGTCGAGCTCGACAAGGATTCTCCCTCTGGCGGCCTTTGGCCTATGGCCTCGTACATCAACCACGCCTGCCATTCCAATGCTAGGAACGCGTTCATTGGAGACATGATGGTCATTCGTGCCACTGAGGATATACCTGCAAACACTGAGATAACAATCTGGTACAGAGCGGCGGACTACGACTCCATGCCCAGCAACATGCGCCACTGGGGGTTCGACTGCACTTGCGTTCTGTGTCAGGACTATCGAGAAACTGAGAAAAGTGCAACTTCAGCAAGGAAATCGGAAGTTGCCGACATGCACAAGGCCCTCTCGCGCCAGGTTCCACATTTCGCCAAAGCCGAATCTATCATTTCTGCCACGGAGAAGACATATCGTCGACCAGCTTTGGAAGTCCCGCGCCTCGAGCTCTGGGAAATGTGTCTTGCTCTTGCAAGCAATCACGCTGCACACAACAACCCCCGCAAGTCTGTCAAGTTTGCCTTGAAAACTCTAGAATCACTCAGTTACGTCGTTACCGGCGCGGAGCTCCCATACGTCCCTGGTACTCAGCTCCACGTAGAGAAATGGGGCATGCTCCAGGGCAGAGCTATCCGCTGCTGGATGATTCTTGCTAGGGCTTATATCAAGATTGCACCACGACTCGTTTCCCAGGCGGTGGCATACGCCAGGCTCAGTTACAAAATGTGGCTGGGCGAGGATGAGACTTTCGATCAGACAATCGACCTCTGGTCTGACCGTCTCGATGGGCTTATTGATTCGGCTAGATAGGTTTTCTCAGTTTTATCTTTGCTGTGGTCTCTTCGAATCTCTTTCTCTTGTTTGCCCAGATATCCAAGTCGTTTGGAGGAATTTTCACCCCATGTACGAGTAAAATTCAACTTTGATAATTCGCAATGGAGTATTGAATGAAGAAAAGTTTCTGTGTAAATTATTTTCTCCTGCTGTATTTCATCCACATAGCCAGAAATAACAGGCTTTGTTGGTCTAAAGCTACGCTCTACAGAATGGACTTCTTCACGGCTCGACTTCTTGGGCATAATATTTTTTTCTTGCATTTAGTTAAGCTTGAAATTAATGACTCGAACAAAACGACAAAGCAGTTTCTGACAGGTTTTTCTTTTCATATTTCCCATCTTTTTCTTTCTTTCAGAGCCTGGGGATTGGACAATGCCACGTATCATATCGGCACCTTAGAGCATATCCCAGTCCTCGGCTGGCTCAGCGGTTGCCTTCTCATCGGTGGCATGCTCCTCGTCAACGGTGGCCTCGTCAGTGGTGGCATCATGAGCAGTGCCTTCACCGGTAGTGCCCTTCTTGGAAGCAATACCACCCTCGTCTACAGTACCCTTCTCGTCTGTGACACCGGGCTCGCCATTGGTTTTCTTCTGCTCGGAAGTACCATGAGTAGTAGTGCCCTCGGTAGCAGCGCCCTCAGCAGTACCCTTATTCTGAGTAGCGCCCTTGTCCTGATCAGACACCTGAGGACGAGAGATCTTGACACGAATGCGCAGATCATCAGGGTTCTCGGGACTGCGGGACCAGATCAACACGACTCCCTCACGGAGGAGATTAATTGTCTTCGCAGTCTTCGGATTAATCCTTCCCCCAATATCCAGGGTAGCGGTGCCTCCGTCGACGCGTACGGTGGTCACGACTGTCTTTGGCGCGGGGGCTCGCTGTGACCGGTCCTTGTCGTCGAGGCCCTTGAGTTTTGCCCTGCCGGTATCAGCAGCACGATCACGCTTGTTCTTATTACCGTCAGTGTTCTTTTCGGACTTCGAGACGGGATCCGAGGGCTGGGCTGGAGCTTGGAATGCAGTGGCCCTTGGGTTCAGGTTTCCGGGGTAGCTGTGCATGAACCGAGTGCGAGGGGGCAACTTAAGCTTGTCATCTTGAGCAGCCCTCTGATGGTAATCAGTGTTGACGAGACTTGCCGGTCTGGTATTTAATGGTGGAATCGTGTGTTGAGTTGTCATTGGGGTTGGGTACGCCAGGGGCTGTAACCAGTTCCGGCCTGTGGCAAGGCTATTGAGTTGATATTGGCGGCGTACCTTTTGACATCTAGGGTAGCTGTAGCCCTGGAGAGCGTCTGTCTGTTGATCTATGTACGGCTGGAGCCATTGTTGAGCATCGAAGCTGTTCGCATTGATTGCCCCGTATGGCTGAAAGTTCGGTACAGCCACGGTTGGCGGGAGTTGACCAATGTCGTCTTGAGCGAGGCCAGGCAGTCCACGTTGCCAGTGTGAATTAGTGGGAGCTGTGTTGCCAGTTCCAACGGGGTCTCCCCGGCGTTTATCAGCCTCTTGTTGAGCCAGCCTCCGCCGAGTGGCTGCCCGCCTGCCCTCCCCGGCCCAGACAGCGGGATTGCCAACGAAGTCTTGCGGGTTTTCCAGTGCCGCCCAGTCCATGTATGGTGATATCAGCCCTGAGAAGCTGAGACCTCCTGGTGCTCGCCGAGGGGTATTGGACATTTCCAGTGTATATGAATCAGCTATCGCCGTGTTTGGGTCGTAGTTAGTATGGTGAATGCATGGGCCACAAGCCAACAGTTTGGCCCCCGCTGACCTTGAAGAACGATGCGGGGAACACTTCAGACAGCATTGGTATAGCGGCCATCCCTCCCAGTTTGGCAGACGGATCCGATTGAACTGGTATGGGCTGTCTATGCTGCCGAAGATGGACGGTCCTTGTCGTTTGCCGAATGCAGCTCGGTTGATGCCACTAGTCTTTGTCTTGGTGATCCTGTCGATACCATACAGAGGCTCACCGGAGCAGTCCCTTTCAATGAACGGCAAAGAAGGTAAAGTTGAGGCCCCGGCCGCGTCGACATTCGAAGGGTCCTTCTTGGCCAGAGCGAACCACGCGGGTAAAGGAGCCTCATGGTACTCTTCCACAGCAGTATCAGGATCATAGATGTACTCATCACCCATCTCGTCCTTCAGCCACGCCTCCAGGGGGATTTCGTGGTTCCACTTAGCCTCCTGTCCAGGCGCAGCCCCCCAGTTCCGATTCCAAATGTTCCAATATTTCCACGCCATGCGCACGCGGGTGGCTAGGACATCGTCGGGTGGTATCTCGCCCTTCTCCTTGTAAATGCTCTGTTGCAGCATGCTCAAGTGCGTTTGGAACCGATGGAACGGCCCATTAGGGATTGGTTGGCGCTCCATCGTGGCCCACTCCCAAAAGCCCGGGGGGTTCATGTACTCCATTGCTTTCCAGGGACCGAAGGGAATACCGTGCTTGCTCCATTTCGGATCCCAGATGCCTTCCTTCACCCACTGCTCCTTGACCAGGGCGCAGGCTTCCTTAACGCTCATGTGCTTCCCAGTCAACGGGCACCCGGTGATCCTGTCCACGACGAGAGTTTCGAAAAGGTTGCGTGGGCGAGTGGCGTTGTGGGCCTTGCACAGGATCTTTCTGATTTTGAGACGGCGTTCCTGTTCGGTTGGATTCATGGTGACGGCAGGGCGCTTGTTGCTGGTGTTTTTGAGATGGGCCTCGATGGCCGCAACGTTGCGACTATGTTCCTGCATGGTTGCCTCCATTTTGTGGGCGGAGCTCTTGTTGGTGGCTGTGTTGAGGTCGGCGTCGATGGCAGCAACAATGCGGGCGGCCTCTCTCATATTCTCGGCGTCCGAATTGATCATATTCTCGCGTTCAGGCATTGGAAAGAACGGAATATTGAAGTAGAAGTGTAAAGTAGAGGATGTAATGTAGGGTGTCAATAGAAGTGTCAAGATATCAGTCTGTGTTCAGTTTGAAGACAGAACAGGATAATCCACATCAGACAGAAACTGCTGCCCTATTTATAAACGAGGATTTCTGTGCTATCACTTAGCGAGAGTGTTCTGTGTAACACATATTCACAACTTCACTAGCAGTATGGCTGATAGTTACTGCCGCCTTCACGGTAGCAGTGAAGTGTGAAGGTCGGGCGTTGTGTATAGATGCATAGTCCAGCTTAATCAGCCGTAGCCACCTCACATATTTTCCTTACAGAGTAGATGAATTATTTACTGCGCCTAGGTTTAGCTTAGTGAAGTGGCAGCTTGTAAAAGACAATAGTCAGTCAACCCACCATCCGCGAGCAAGGCGTTCTACCTTTCCTTCTGGCACCACCTTGAGTTAGCTATGCCGGGTGTATTTGCTCTTTGTAGAGTCCTTGCTATCTCGACGGGATGTGTACCAAGAATACGAAAAGTTTTTGCACGGCGTCTCGCTAATGGATAGTCATAATTGAGACAGTGGCGGTTCTGGCAAGAAACTCGCAAATCGGGCATAACCATGCAAGCATCTGTAAACAAGTAAACAATCATAACATTCTATCGTAGTCTTCATACAAACCCCTAACAGCTCTGTTTTTTTTTTTTTTTTTTTTTTTGTCTCTTTTATTTTCCCCAGGGTCGAGCCATGAGGCAGGAATCACCTCAGATGCGACTGAAGGGGTAAAGCTTGTGTATCTGGATCTGGTACTGCGTTTGCGCTCTGCAGTTATGTACCAAGATAATGTGCGTAATGCACAAAGTGCACCAGGGCAAAACATCTCCGTGTTGGCGAGGTCAACACCAATACAGAACACCTGCCAATCAAGGTACTGCGGGTCAACTAAGGATTACAGAAAGCGAATTGCGGCAAGTCTGTGCCAGTGTGTCCAGATATTACCAGTAACAAAAATAATAGAGCAGTAACCAAAAATATCACAATTATGCCGTAACTGAGACATTTTATGTAAATGGTTTTATGCAAAGCTAGCCAAGCGTTATTCCGCGGGCCGAGATACGTGACTTTTCGTGGCTGCTGGCATGCTGGCTGGCATGTGCTGACCTTATTAGGGCTGGCTCGCTTGGTCCGTATTTAACCTGGCCAGACCCTGCAGTTTATACAAGCTGGTCTGGCTCCTTGAACGCCCGCATTCGAGTCAGTCATGTCGAAGTCAGATCGCAAGAGTCATAACACCCCGCCCTCATTCTCCGCCAGCAATCTATTTTACAGCCACTACGATCGATTCCGTTCAGCATTGGTCGAGATTTGATTAATCATGAGGCTATCCAGCAACTGGCTAGACCCTGTATACAGGGACACTACATCACATGTAGTAATCCCTGCATCGGACCCTCACGGCGTTTCCTGCAGCGAGCCGCTGGCGAAGCGGAGAAGATGGCTATATCTTGGGCATGAAACCCGCTTATGCACCCCAGAATCCGCCTTTTCTTGACCTGGTCTGATTCCTCGAGGTGACACCTGCCATTCGCTATGCATATTCCAAGATACCTTCCTCTACTGGTGCTGCCGGTGGTCGTCACTGCTACCGTCTCGGAGGTACGCTCGGATTACCACGATATCTCTCTCGTCCAGGTAGACGGTGTCTCTCAGGATGAGCTGCACGTGTTCATGACTCGAGCACTGGATATAGGCGACATCGTGGATAACATCAAAGGTCTCATCGAGCCAATCCTCGACCTGATCAAGCCAGAGTCGCTCGACAATATCAACACCATCATCACCAATCTTGCCTCGCTCCTGGGAGATGGGGGTGCTCAGGACACCAAGAACCTCGTGGGGACCATCTCTGACCTGTTGAACTCGGATGCAATCCAGGATCTCACGGACCAACTTGGACCGCTGCTTCCAGTGCGTATCTCTCTATTTATAATGCTAAAGACTAATCATCTAGACGTTGCTTGACTTGCTCAACTCGGACTTGATTAAGAAGCTCAAAACTATCCTTGATAATGCAAGTATCTTGTTGACACACGACACCGCCGTTCAGATACGCGACCTGATTAATGATATCGCTCCGGTATGTATCTATACAACATTACCAATCTCTCTAACGTTGTCCAGCTCTTCGACTATCTAATGGAGATCATCAAGTATCTCATCAATCTATTCTTCGGCGATAGCGGTAGTGGAGGCAGTGGAAGTGGTGGCGACAACGGAGGGAGCTCTACAACAACGGCCTCCTCACCATCAGCGACACAGACTGGAAGTTCTGGTGACGACTCGGGGTCTTCAGGCTCCGGGTTCGACTTCGACCTGGATCTAGGCTCCTCTGACAGTGATGACAGCTCAAGTGACTCTGCGTCCGGCTCTGGCACATCTGGCTCAGGGTCCGACCTTGACTCCTCAGACGGAGATTCCAGTTCGGGCTCCGACTCGTCATCTTCGTCAACCTCGGGTGACTCTGGGTCTGATTCCAGCAGTGGCTCGGATGGCTCGGACGGGTCGGACTCTGGAGGAACGGAAACTGGACCAGACAGTCCAGAGTTCACCGGCGCAGCGAGCAAGATCAACCCATACAGTGTATCCAGCGCTCTTGGTGCATTAGTTGCCGTTTTGGCCATTTAGGAACTACTCGGCCTACAAGGACTGGCAGACAGCCGAACATATTGCTTAATGTAATCAGACATCCATAGGACCGAAACCACCCTCATTAATATACATGTTAATCACAGTACAACCCTAAAGACTAAACACTAAACATTATACCGCAGACCTTCCTCTCACGGGAATCAACTCCGTCGCCGACTCCATAGGCAGAGTCTCAAAGTCGTCAGGGATATCCTCGCTCCTCCCGCGTTCTTCAAAGAGTGCCGTCTCGTCAATAGGTGTATCAATGTACTTATTTCGGACAGACTGGTCTTTTGTAGTGTAGCTTCCATTCTCAGCACTGTTGTTAATGTTGTTGGACCGACCCCGCGGTGTCGCGGTATTGTAAGGGGTATAAGAGGACTTTGGCTGGCGACCAAGAACGACGATTGCGCGTAGACGGGGGACAGAAGCCGTTACTATTACGACTGTTCCTTCGGTTCTGGATTGTCAGTATTGTTTGGGTAGATGGGTGTGGGTGCTTACAAGAACCAGATTGCCCAGAGGCCCATGGCTTCTATAAACTCCAGTTAGCATTAACTCAATGGCGGTGTTTGACAGTACGTACGGCTAAACTCAAAGGTATTCATAATTCGGATCTGGACTGTCTTCAGAATAGCAGCGATCATGGCCCTATACGCTGTTAGGTATGTCCTGGCTGTGGGTGGTGAACGCACAATAAACTCAAGGACAGAATTGAGCAAAGCGCGATTTTATTGGAGCGGTGGGTTTTGAGGGAGAGGATAACGACGAGGCCGATTACCGTCAGAATAAGGTCCGTCAATGCGTTGAATGCTGCGCTGGTCAGTATCAATGTGAAGTATGGACTTGAGTTGCGCACCCCCTTGGAAATACCCATACTTCTGAACAACAACGGCACCCTGACACTTCTGGATCAGGCTGAGAGGATCCCATAATGCACTCGCCGGTTGACACTGCGTAAACTGCAAAATGCACGGGATTATATTGATAACCAGTTGCAGACCGACGAGCACCCACAGCCATTTCCGTCGCGGGTTGTGGACGGTGATAACCGACGAAAGGAGGAAGAGGATAAAGGAGATGCGACCGAACAAAGGCGCAAGTACCCCAAAAGGCATCGAGATCATGACAAATTTCAAGACGTTGACGATCTTGCTATAGCTGAGGCTCATAACGCTGGCCCCGAGGCCGTAGTGTGTTGATGCGGTGCAGAGTGCGGATGCAACGCCTTGACAGACCTGGGTCTGTTAGATAGACACAATAAAGTGTAAGGGGACGAACATAGGCACCGAGCATCACAAAGTCATCGATGGTGAACTTGCGGAGGACGAAGAACTGCGAGTACGCTCGGAGGAGCATGACCACGGTACAGATGCCATATTCCACCCATATGGTGGCATAGAGAGCCTCCTGCGAGATCGAATTACGGTCTGTACCGCTCTCCATGTTCATGATGCTGGTAGTAGAGAACGTGCACTTCGCGACAGTCTCAGGTGTTTGAGACTGGCATCGAGTGTATCGTCCCCTGCATTCGTAGAAAGTATTACTGACAGAGCCTTGCGGTTATTCTCTCGTCGGTGAGCAGGCCAGATACGACAGGACCCGACGACTGGGATCAACCAACAATCGCAGGCCATTCCCTCCAGTCGAAGATCCCGCTGTGGACCGGATCTGCAGTTGACAGGGTTGTGGATCTCGATTATTAGACTCATCGAGTCCGTCTGCAGATCACACGTGTAGCAAGTCGTGGCGGACTTGTGTGATCGCACTGTCAGTATGCCAGGCAACTCGATCTAATAGTAACTTGACAGATATTGAGAATTGTATACAGCATAATGGCCGCCCGCACAACGCGCTAGACGGCTGTATCACCTTGCCATAGTCAAAGTAAAAAGAATATACTGCTCCATTGGGCCACGACTCTTCGACCAGCCCAATCCCCACCAGAGTGATTCGCCCATCCTTGCAGGAACAAAAACATTGGTCTGACTTGGCCGCAGGATTCCAAATGCCGGATTCATTTCAGTGTGTCTGAATGGTCAGCTCGTAGAATTCAATCGAGATCGGACTTGGCTTCAGCGAACAGATTCTGTCAAGCGGTCAAGCCCTAATTCGGTGTCCTCGCACGAGTCAGTTGCATTTCCACAGCTCAGCGCGGGAGAATGGATGCAGATAAAATGATCTATCAACTTCATGTCAGGCACCTTCACCACCCCTGCACCTCGTGTGCCAGCACGGTGGACTGCCACTCTACCTGCAACACAATTGTTGTACGGAGAATAGTTGAAATTCAATAGTTTCAGACTATGGACCTCTGGTCATTCGTACTAGAAGTAGGGGCAACCAGAATAGTATTCAAACTACCAAACCACCCCATCAGACCAGACATCCCAATACTTGGCATCTCAGTTTGTGTGACGCTCCTCGGCATCCGCACGCTCCAGCTCAACATCCTTCCCAACAGGCACATCAACATTAATCGCAGTATTGCGGTGCATATCCATCGAATCCTTCTTAAAAACATTCACATAAACCGGAAAGATAAACGCCAGAATATACCCCATCATCGGGATCGCCATCGCCAGGTGCGCGTTTTTGTTCGTCTACCTGCGTCAGCATTCCTCACCACCAAGAATGGTTTACATACCACAACAGCACCCATCATCGGAGGGAACACGGTCCCTCCTGAAATCGCAGCGACGAGGAACGATCCTCCGACCTTTGTATGTCTCCCGAGACCGCGCAGGGCGAGGGAGAAGATCGTTGCGAAGCAGCACTACAATATTAGCTTTATCACCAACGTTGTCAAGTGGAAATACCGATTCGAAGCAGAAGACAAGAATGCAGAGCGCGACAGACACCGCGCCATTCGTGTTCATTGCGGCGATTGCAAAGACAATACAAAGACCCAAGTACACCGTCAGCATATACCGCGGCTTGAACGCCTTCATCATCATCAACCCGGTCGCGATGAACCTGTTGGCCGCATACAGACCCTGCGCGATGGCAAGCAGATCGGCTATTCCATTAGCACGCATCACCTATTAAAGACAGACAACATACAAGACATAGCAGACGAATAACCCGCCTCGAGACAGAAGTTGATAAAATACCCTGCGAGGGCAATCTGCGCCCCGACATAGCAGAACTGGCTCCAAACGCCGAGGAACAGGTTATACTGTTTCTTCAGCGGCGGACTCTCCTCTTCGCCATCGTGGATCATGCTCTCAAGCGCCTGCTGGTCCGCATCGGTGATTTCAGGGAACGGGGCGAGCAGAAATAAGATTATCAACAGCCCGACGAAGCCGGCTACACCGAGGTATACCCACTGCACATTCTTGAGACCCTGGTCTGTGTCGACCGTATTTTGGAAGAAGACCCGGGTTGCAAGGAGGGGCGCGACGAATGTCCCGACGCCTTGGACGGCTTGGGCGAGGTTCAGTCGGATCTCGCTGTATCGAGGGGGTCCGCAAATGGCGAGGAATCTACACTGTTAGCTGGTCCTATACTCATCGGGTGGGCTGCGTACGGGTCTGCGGCGGTTTCAAGGGTTGAAAGACCTGCTCCGACGACCTGAATGATCAGAATCAATCAATTCTATAATCAGGGGAACGGAACGTACAAACATGCTTCCACAAAATCCACCGAACGATTTCTTCACGCCACTCGGCCAGAAGAGAAGGCATCCGACGGCAAGAGTTGCCAGGCCTGGTGGTCAGCGACGCCAGCGATTGTCGGAAGATACTCACCTGCCATGAACGTCACCCGAAACCCGAATCTGCGATTAATCCATCCCGAGATGGTCAACGGGCAGACAAAGTACGCCCCGAAGTACGACGCCTGTAGACCGCTGGACTTGCTGGCGGTGATGTTTAACGTGGTTTGGAAGTGCGAGTTGAGCACGTCGAGCAGTCCGTATGCGAAACCCCAGAGGAAGAACAGGATTGTAACTAAACCTGTTAGCAGTGCACGCCATGCTTCATGTTGAAATAAATACCTAGCGCATTTGGTAGCAGAGACTGGCGCAGTGTCAGGTTGACCGCACTCGTGACGGCATTGTCGTTGACGGTGATCTTGCGCTTGTAGCAGCCCATGGCGACGGTCAGTATGGACTTTTCAGTATCGTACGGGGTGCAGACTCAGAAAAAACTGGCTTATATGCCAGGCAGGTCCACGGAGTAGTCCATCTCGGGAGAATGCACGGCGAAGTCGGCTGCACCATCGGCATTGAACAACAAAACATACTAGACCCGGGGTATCGAACCAGGGGGGCCAACAAATAAAACAACGTGAATGGCCACCTCGGGTTCATTTGACCCGTGTTCAACCCCCTGTCCAACGCAGCGTTGCGTTTTGCCGTGTGACCAGACCATCAAGCATTTGCCTCCATAGCGCCAACCCTAGAGAGCACCAGGAGCGCCGCTAATTTAGTCTGTTCCTCGGCTCACCCTCTCCCCCATTCCCCATGGGCACTCACATTCGGGGCTGGAAAAGGTCGGCCAAATGCGGGGTTCCCTGATGTCTCCCGCCACGCGTCTGTATGCCATCGTTGCAATTCCTGATGTCTGATACGAGTACGAGCTAGAGTGTCTCCGCGATATACAGCTACCTGTCTATTCCCATGAGCTTGGCTTCTGGCCTCTTGCCATTCAGAATACTTGCATTCCCGCTGTTTTCTCAGCGCAGTTGGGAAGCCGACGCAGTTCTTCTATTCGTTTGCTGCGTAGTAAATGGGGTGTTCTGGATCCCAGTTTCGCCAGTCTCAACACCGGGAAGGACAATGCCGGCGCTGAGTTCCGGCAATACAAACAGCGCACACCGGAGAACCCTCATCTACTTGTTGTATATATCTGGATCATGTACCAGGCTCTCTTCAACGGAGGGCGACATCCCATGCCTTACACTACGAGAATATCTGAGCAATACAAGGTGGAAACTTCCGTCTAACAGACTCTCTGAATCCTGATAGAATCGCCGCTTTCGCTGTCCCGCAGTCTGTCTCATAATCATTTATCTCAGCATTGTCAGTGTCGTCTTCCGAGTCTTGGTCGGCATCGTCCAGCAGCTCCGCATTATTGTCTTTCTTTGTAAGCTAGGATAGAGTGTGAGTTGCCCAGACGATGTGGGAAGTTGAAGTCGTTGTAGGCGGCCCATAATCCATGGTAGATAGCATTTCTACTCCGATGGGTTCGGTACTCGAACGGGACGAACCTCCAGAGACAGCTCAGTGCGGGGCAGTGCCACTAGTGCCTATCTTTTTCTTTTCATGTACCATACCTCATGCAGAGGGGGGAGTGATCATGCAAGTTGTCCTTGTTGTCGCAGTTGATAGGCCGTGCAGGGTTGCGCGCAGCTTAGCGCTGATGCAACTAAATGCCAATTTAACCAGGCAGTGCATCCAGAAGTGACTTTAGCTGCGAGTGGAATATTGCAACTCATTTTTAAGTTTGATTATACCGCCGGAAAAAGCCGGCGTTCGTTTGATGCTGGATGGTATAGCTTTAGAAGCTCGTTGGCGACCCGCATGAGTTGAACAATCGCGTATACGAGCTGCTCTATGAAGTACGAGGGCTTGAATATTTTCATTATGTACTGTCTGTACCCTCTGTAATTGATATGAAGTGAGACGCGTCGCTGCCATTCAACCGCGTCTTGGTGGACCAGGGAATGCGCATTCCAGTTTAAGGATCTTCGAGACTCCCGACACAGGTCAGGCACAAACATGCTATCTTTTGTCGATATCGCTTCTGGCGACAAGGTCAATTCAACAGAGGCATCAGTCGCTTTGCACTATGGCGTTGATGGTGAAGGACATGGGACAATACTAAGGTGTTAGTATCCTGAAGAGCGCATCCTGTTTTACCGACTTAGTCCTCAAACTAAGGAATCCTGATGGAATTCAAATTTGATCCGTGATGAAGATTTCATCAATTCTGTGCAGTTGCGGAATGCCTGTTCATATAGCCATCATGCTGGTCGGTAGATAACAAGATGCTATGCGAACAGAGTAAGCGGCGGGCTTACCAACCGTCGGAATTGATTCCGTGAGGCACGACTATAAACTCAGTCGCTTTCCTGTAAAGCAATAACTAATGCAACTTATTCTGGGTGTAACTCACAATGTCCCAAACAGAAGAAATCGTCCTTCAGGAAACCCACACCACAACTGCAAAGACAGTCCAGAACCATGCCACACCACAACCCAGCAAAGCGCAAGCCATAACAGCCGTGGTAGCCCTATCCGGCGTCAGCTTCCTAAACACCATGGGCTCGGGCATCCTCACCGTCGCCCTCCCCCAAATGGCCCCCGACCTCGGCCTAAACCACGAGATCCTGCTGTGGCCAGCAGCAGTATACGCCCTCGCCGCCGGGTGCACACTCCTCATATTCGGCGCCGTTGCAGACGTCGTCGGCGATAAGCGCGTCTGGCTAACAGGGAGTCTCCTCTTTGCAGCTTTCACACTAGCTTGCGGTCTGGCTCAAACCGGTAACCAGCTCATCGCCTTCCGGACTCTTCTTGGGATTGCAGTTTCCATGTGTCTCCCTTGTGCCGTGAGTCTGATGACGCGCACTTTCCCACCTGGTAAGGCTCGCAACCTGGGCTTTGCGTCTATGGGTATGGGACAGCCGCTGGGGTACTCGGTGGGGTTGATACTGGGTGGTGTGTTTGCGGATTCGATCGGGTGGCGGTTTGGATACTATATCAGTGCTATCATCAACGGTTTGCTTTCCGCTCTTGCTTTCTGGTCCCTCCCGCAGGAAAGGCCGATGTCTGGGTCTGTTCTCCAAGGATTGAAGAATATCGACTGGGTCGGGGCGCCGATTATCAGTGTTTCGCTGGCGTTGCTTTCTTTCGTTCTCGCGTAAGTCGTCTCTTGGATTCTCGGCGTCACTAACGAGAGGTATAGTAAAATCACGGAGAACTACCACAATCTACAAGAGACGTACATCATCGTTCTCTTCGCGGTATCCATCGTCCTCCTACCGACGTTTGTCGTATGGGTTGGATGGCAGGAGAAACACGGCCGGCCAGCGCTCATCCCCAACAGTCTCTGGAAGAGCAAATTGTTCAGCGCGACCTGCATTATCGTCTTCTTTGCCTGGGCAGAGCTCAATGCCCTGCAGTACTTTACGTCTCTATAGTGCGTCCATCACCTGCATCCTAGCCTAGCTAACGAATTCAGCTTCCAAGAAATCCAGCACCACTCCGCCCTGTCTTCATCGCTCATGTTCCTCCCAATGGTGGTAGCAGGTGCAACAACCAACATTTTCACCGGGTATACAGTGGATAAAATCTCCGTGGGCCAGTTGGTCTTTGTCTCCGCTGTAATCAGCACAGTCTCCCCACTGCTTATGGCACTCATAAAGCCAAGCTGGGTGTACTGGCGCGGTGCATTCGTGTCCATGTTTCTCAGCCCTATCCACGCAGATGGTGCGTATTCCTTTATTTATTCTTCACCCTTCTAACAGGTCTCTAGTACTCTTCACAGTCTCCAACCTGATAATATCCCGCGCCTACCCGGGCGAGAACCAAGCTCTTGCGGGGGCCGTATTCAACTCCGTCTCGCAGGTTGGAAACTCGGTTGGACTGGCTGTGAGCGCTGCCATTGCTGCCTCTGTTACGGAACATTCAGGACAGGATACGTTGAAAGGGTTCCGGGCGGCGTACTGGCTGATGTTTGCGGCGATGGTGGTGGTTTGCGGGTTTAGTTATTTTGGGTTACGGGGTGGAGGGTTTGTAGGGAAGAAGAATGAGTAGTTATACTCACTATATAAAGAGATCAGCTGTGCTCCACTGACAACCGAGGTTCATCTGTTAATGCCCCGCACTCGGCGCTGACAAGATGAGTCAAAGCGAGACATCGTACAAATTCTAGACTCCTCTTATTCGAGTTAGCTACTTGGCTGGATACGACATTGCCTGATCGGGCGATATACGTCGAGTAGCGCATTGGTACAAATCCCCTTCAGCTGCAACTCCTGCCAGGATCTCCCCTGTTCTCTTCATAAATTCGAAACAGTACACCATTTTATTAAATAACTGCATCATGGGGTCGAATTACAATCTGCAAGAGCTGCTGGCAACCGACATCCAAACAGCCCTGCCCGCTGAAGCAGTCGCCGAAATCATCTCGCAAGCCCCCTTCAGCACCGTCCCGGGCATCTTCAACCTGCGCGACATCAGCAACGCAACCATTCCCACCTCTCCATCCCCAGCAGTCCTCCGCCCAGGCCTCGCCTACCGCTCAGCAGCCCCAGCCCCAGAATTCACCCCAGATGGCGTAACAGCTCTCAACACCCTCGGGATCAAAAAGATCTACGACCTGCGTCGGCCCGACGAGCGCACCAAGAAGCCGAGTCCCGTCATCGACGGCGTCCAAGTCGTCTGGATCCCGGATACACTGGGTGGGAAGCCGCCAAACTCAGCGACGGCCCCTCCGTCCGATCCGGAGAAATCAACCGAGGCGCTGGTGCAGATGTACACGACCTATCTCACCTCGCACGCGCCGGTCTACAAGGCCGTCTTTGAGCATATCCGCGATGAACCGGAGAAGCCTTTTCTCTTCCACTGCTCCGGTTTGTCTATCCATTCATTGTATACACGTTGCTAACGAATAAAACAAACAGCCGGAAAAGACCGCACCGGCGTCCTGGCGGCCCTGATCCACCGTCTGGCAGGGAGCGCCGACGAAGCCATCATCCACGACTTCACGCTGACCCGGGTTGGACTCGAGCCCGGTCGCGAGGCTCTACTGACAATGATGAAGAGTCTGTACGGCGAGTCGGCGTGGAATAACCCAGTTCTGCTGGTTCTCTGGGGCGTGCACGCGAACGGGATGGCTGGGTTTCTGAACATTCTTGATGGGCAGCATGGAGGCGTGGTCGGGTATTTGAAGAGTCTGGGGTTCTCGGAGTCTGATATCGCTACCATGAAACGGAATCTCGCATTGAACAGTCACTCATGTATTTAGAATAGAATACTGCCCGTATGGCAGTTATGCATTATGCATAGACTGTTTCCTAATCTAGATTTGTGCAAGGTTTATGCATTTACTTGATCATGTGATCGGCGGAATCGGCCCGAAATATTTTTCTTATCAGCAGTTGAATAAATCTTCAATTAACGAGTACAAGCATTCCTAACACCAGCCATCACAATGGGTGTCGCAAAGAAAACCAAGAAGTTCGCGCAAGTGGGTAATGACAACACTTTTCAAGTCTAATCACTGACCCCCCCGCAGATGAAGCGCACGATCAAAGCCCGCGACGAACGACTCAAGCCAGCGCCCGAAAAACCAAAGGAGAAGAAACCCGATGAAGTCGCCCGCCATGTCCAGGCCCCTACGAACATGTTCTTTGCTGCCAATACTGCCCTCGGTCCTCCGTACCGTATCCTGGTCGATACCAACTTTGTCTCCCACGCTATTCGGGCGAAGCTTGATTTGCTCCCGGCCATGATGGATCTGTATGTACCTGGGTATTGGATTTAGGATAAGTTCTTACATGACCAGGTTGTATGCGAAGTGTATCCCGACGTTTACAGACTGCACGATTGCGGAATTGGAAAAGCTGGGCGATAAATACCGACTAGCCTTGCGGGTAGCCAAGGATCCGAGATGGGAGAGAGTCAAGTGCTCGCACAAGGGCACCTACGCCGATGACTGCCTTGTCGACAGAGTAAGCCTCCACCCAAGAAGTCCAACACAGTGCTAATGTAGCCAGGTATCGAAACACCGAATCTACATCGTCGGAACAAACGATAAAGACCTGTGCCGCCGACTCCGCAAGATCCCCGGTGTTCCGATCATGAAGGTCGCGCGCGGAAAATTCACCATCGAGAAACTGCCGGACGCGCTGGATTAATGACTTACGACTATAACCTCAACCACCTACAATATACCCCGGGTGCTGGCTCCCACTCCCACCCTGCAGCGTGCAGTTCAGGTCCTGCGGTCATCGGAGAAGTTCTTGCGATCTCGCACGGTTTGCCCGTATACGAGGCTGGCCCCGTCGCACCGAAGACGACATGGATAATTTGTAGCCGATTGCAGGACGAGCCACCGCATAGCGATCATGCTCGAAAGGAGTTTTATCGCTTTCTATAGAATAATGGAATCTTCCGATTCTCGTCGTATTACCCAGTCAGTGTAGCCAGTCCTTGTAGAATTCCGTTGTAGAAGTCTGTAATCGTGTGAATGGCAGTGTCGTATAACGACATCGTATACGACAAGAGATTAAGCTCTGTCTCCGACTCCAACTCTGAGTCACCGAGAATCGGCAGTTCAACTCTGGATGCGGGGATTATTTAATCCCCTCATCTCTCCAGTCATCCTCATTGAAACAAACTAATCATGTCAGAAAAAGAAACCATCGTCGTGATCGGGTGCGTCCAGTAGTTACTCCTACTCCAGACCAGTTCTAAACTTCTAACAACAGCGCCGGCGTCCTCGGCCTCACCACCGCACTCACCATCCAACAATCCCACCCATCTCAAAACATCCTCCTCGTCGCCCGCGACTGGCCCTCCACAACATCCATAAACTACGCCTCCCCCTGGGGCGGTGCCCATTACCGCCCCGTACCAGGACACACCCCACAGGCCATCCGCGAAGAATCCCAAGCCCAATACAGCTACACCCAATTCCGCACTGAAGCGACCAACCCGGCCTCAGGCGTCTCCCTCACCGACGCCGTCGAACACCTCGAGAACCCACCGCCTGAATATCTGGATGAGTCCGTATTCGACAACTACGCGCACCTCGATGGGTTCCGCAAACTCCCAGCTGAGGAATTACCATCCGGTGTAAAGTGGGGCGTCGAGTACCGTACGTTCTGCATCAACTCGCCTGTGTATTGCGCGTACCTACTACGGAGATTTATCCTGCGCGGTGGAGAGACTCAGACATATACGCTAGCGAATCCGAAAGAGGCATTCTATCTCGCGCGGAATGTGCAAACCGTCGTGAATTGTTCCGGGACGGGATTCGGCGATGACAAGGCCTTTATCATTCGGGGTATTACACCATTCTTCTCTAATTGTCATTAAAAGCTTTATGGAAGTAGGCTAATAATTCAGGCCAAACATGCTTGGTCCGAAATCCATGCAGCGTAACGCTAACCCGCCAGAACAGCGACGGCACCTGGTCGTTCTGCGTTCCGCGGCCGCTCGAAGGCGGCACGATCATCGGGGGCACGAAGCAGCCGCACAACTGGGACCCGAATCCGTCGCTGCAGACCAGGGAGACGCTGCTGCGGAACGCGGCCAAGTGGTTCCCCTTTACGGAGGAGAGTGGGGGCCGGTTTGACGTGATTCGGGATATCGTTGGCCGGAGGCCGGCGAGGGAAGGGGGGGTTAGGATTGAGGTTGAGGAGGTGGATGTTGATGGGCTGCAGGGGAGGATTGTTCATGGGTATGGTGCTGGTGGGAGAGGATATGAGCTTTCTTGGGGGGTTGCGAGGGATGTTGCTGCCTTGGTTGGAGGTCAGAAGGCAAAGTTGTAATTACCTATTAGCTACAGTGCCTATACGGGTGTATGTATAAGTGCAAATATATATTCAAACTACCTACTGTGATGTCCATCCCTTGCCGGCAAACCAGCATCGACTCATCCAGTCTATGTAAGTATGGACTTCTTGCAATCCACTACATGCCAATATCTTGCACACCATACTCAATCACAGCAACAATAATACTGATATTCTTTCCCATCCACAGAGACTGGGGTGACCTGCTCTCATCGACATCCACCTCAGCTATCCATCGACGGAACATTCCGAGCCGCAACGCAGGGGCTCAGCATTCCAGGGCCCGGTTTGTTTACGCCTTCTTCCCGCCAGGGGGTTTCAAACGCTTCGATCCTGGCTGCAGGATGCAGAAGGTATTCGCCTGTCACAGGAAGGTTTCATGCAGGATCGCCTGCAGTGTCGAACATCTTCCAACCCAAGTCCAAAAATAGGCAGAGCTGGGGTTATTGAGTTCCTCATCATCTGTGTGGCGCTCGTTATGTAACGTTGAGAGTTTCCAGGGTATCTCATCACAGACGACGATCTTAATCGCTATCACAATTTATCCATAGTTGTGCGATGCCCTCGATCCCTCCAGGTCGTGTCCTAAAGGCTTGAGTCTCACTGTGGGTACTGCACGTGACTGTAATCCAGTAATAATCGAATGCAGATCAGTTCATCGCAATTTATTGGCTGATATCCACGTGATTTTATTGTGCACGGCCAATTCTTCAACACACGTACCATCGACTACAACGGCAACTTCAAGATTCATTATAATGGAAATATATCCTCATGAATATGTCTATTCGTAGAAAACTATAATTTATTCGAATAATGCACGTTAGAACTTGCTTATTCTTGGTATTTTGGCGGCTGAGATGCCGTCGTCGTGGTTTTGTGAAATCAGTGCTGGAATATATATTTTGTGCCCTATGACCCCTACGTGGTACTATAGCATTCTCCTCACAACAGAGTTTAACAGTCCACTAGATCGCAATGACACGTACGTAAAGTGAAATATAACATGAATATCTCTTAAAAAGAAAAACTACAATCAGTTTTTAGAGGTTTTATCATGCTCATCGAGGTGATCACTGGCTAGCCGTGGCGGTGGCGTGTATGGGCACCTGGTTTAATCGCGGCATCGCAGTTTGGCACTACATTGAGTATAGGTTATTCTAAAGGATCATAATTTATGCGCTTAAAATACGCGACGAAATTGACCTGAATGTGTGCTTGGCTGTCCCTATTGCTTAGCTGCGCCATCCAGAGCATCGGACCACGCCCAGGCGCGCCTTGCCCATTTGGTTTCGCACCGTGCAAAAGACCCTTGATTTTTTTTATTAAAAGGAAGAATATTCCAAATCTGATGTCCTATTCAGCTTTACCACCCGGTGCGAAAGTTGCGTGACTCGGGGCAAAATGCTCCTACCCACTGCAACCCCTGGTTGAGCCAATGCTACCAAGTACTTCTTGTTTATGAGATATTAATCCCGGAATGTTGATTATTACTTGTTGAATCAATCCTCCAAAGAATGCACCCAGTGAGCTGCTTCCAAGCGGTTGTTTTGTTGGCATATCCACGGAATGCCGGCACTCAACACCACAAGAATGCAAGCTCCGCACATATCTGAGTACCTGAACCACCAAGTAAACATGACCCAAGAGGCTCCATTGGAGTCACGAAACACAGAAAAAACACTCAAACAGACTAGTGGGCATTCCAAAACCAAATCCCAGGGGTTCATTTGCCCCGAATCAACCAATAAACACATTCTGCGAGGAAGGCGAAATCAAAACAAAGGCCGCAGTGGTATTCGCGTAGTATAATAATGGCTTTCACGTCGATTCGCCTCCGTCCCGGCGTTTTTCTTTGACGACACGACACCTACTCGCCATTTCGACAACCCACCATGGCATCTGCGGCTGCCGGGTCTTATTGGGGAGCTCAGGGCCCCCAAGGTTATCAAGGTTCCCAGGATTCCTCTCAGGGCTCATCCCAGGGTTCTGGACAGTATAATAGTGGGATGTATAATGCTGGAGCTGCCGATAGCTCTGGCAGTTCTGGAAATGCTGGCACTGCTGGGATATCCGGTGCAGATACTGGTAGTACATCCGGCGCTGGTACATCCGGTGCAGGTACATCCGGTACTGCTGGCACCGCAGGTAATTCAGGCAGTGGATCACAATACGCAGGGTCTGGGGCCCAGTCCAACGGACAGGCTAGCTCAGGACAGCAAGCCAGTTCGAACCAGGCCTCGGGCTCCCAAGCTGAAGGCACAGGTCAAAGCTCCGGGCAATGGTCCAACGGAGCGTCTGGCACTGGAGCAACAAGTGGTAGTACACAGGGTCTAACCAACGGACAAAGCCAATGGAGCGGCCAAGCGCAAACCGGCCAAGGACAAGGACAACAGAGCCAGGCGAACACGCAGCAGTCCGCTGCACAGAATAGTAACTGGAACGCCAATTCGAACTCAAATGCACCCAACACCGGCTCTAAAAGCTCCTCACAACAGTCCTCCAGCTACGACGATGGGATGTGGCATGGCAACGAGCAATCAACAGGCAGTCAGAACCAGAAGTCTCAAACAAACACAAACACAAATGCACTTAACCAAGAGTCGACAGACTCGGCAGACTCGAGAGACTCGACAGATTCGAAAGACTCGACAGACTCGGCCAAGGCTGAAGAAATGAACTTGAATGACGGACAATGGCATCCAGAGGTCTGGCTGGACCCAGCGTCCACTAAAGACAAGACCTCCAGCACGACGTCCAACACCTCGCCATCGTCCACCAAGTCTGATCTGCCCGCCACTGAATCCCCCGGGCTCCCATCCGGATCCCACAGACTCTCTCCCGGTGCCGAAGCCGGGATTGCCGTTGGTGTCATGAGCCTGGTCCTGCTCCTGCTGGGCCTGATCTTCTACCGACTGCACCGCAAGAAGCGAGCCCTACAAATGGCCGTTCGCCAACAGAAGAATCTCCCACCTCTCGAGAAGCAAAACCCCATGTACAACCTCGCCTCGAACCTCTACACGAAAAGTAGCTTGACTCTAGTCGGGATATCGGACAACTTCAAGCCCCGCGGCAACAACAGCGACGGCTCCCTCCCTGACCCTCACGAGCATCCCATCCACAACCACAACCACAACCACAACCACAACCACAACGGCAACAGACAGTCCATCCACGCTGGTCCTGTGGAGGCCAACAAAAGCACCAGCACCGTCGACTCTGACACAACCCAGCTGCCTCCCCCGGTGCTGTTCACCGGCGACGTGCATCCCGCCCTGAGGAGGCCGACATGGAAAGAACGCGGCCAGCGCGTGCTATACCCGGTCACTGCCACAGCAACCTTCGCCGCTAACAAGATCAAGGGCCTCCGCCAGAAGGAGCTCTCGCCGGCGCAGAGACGCAGCCTACAGGCCCACGAGTACGGCTTCTCGGAGGAGTTCCTGCACATTCCACCACCCCCAGAGCCCTCGAACCGTCTCCCCAGAGTTCTGTCCAAGGTGCAGCAAAACGGGTCGTTGACCGTCCGTGCTGTCACGCAGAAGTTCAACAGATCTCAACTGTCTCTTGCCCGGTCGCAGACACCACGTGAAGTCGATGAGGAAGCCCATACCCAGCAGCTCATCCCAGAGGTACACATGCAGCCCCCGCCTCCTGCTCAGCTCGAGCACCAGTGTCATTGCCAATGCGGCGCCCCATATCCAGTCAAACAGGAGACACAGCCCCAGCCCAAGACCCAGTCTCAACTGCAGGCTCAACCAGAGGTTCAGCCCCACGGCCAAGCGCAGCCTCCACAGCGCCAGCCAACTGAGAAGAGCAACAACGGGCTCTCATCATGGAGCACGATGAACAGCCTCGCCAGCGTCTCGGAATCAGGCGAGGAAACCCCGGAAGGGCAGACTCACTTCCCGTCTCCAAGCGAGATGATCGGCGAAGAGCTGTTCAAGGTCCGCAGTGTCTCGTCTGGAACCGTGGCTATGAACAACCCAGCGGCGAACATCAGCGTCGACGCCCAGGCTGGCCGTATCTCTGGCGAAGACGAGAAGCCTGAACGAACAAAGTCGTCGACATCAGAAAACCTCAATAAGTCCAAGCCACAACCGCAACAGCCACCACCATCACCCCCGGGATCAAAGCCTCCATCACCGAACCTACCATCACAACCCTCGCCGGTTTATCAGCCTGCCCAACAGGAAGTCCCCTCGTTCAAGCCATGGAATGTGACAGTGTACCGCGTCGACATGCCCTTCGCCGCACGCAGCACGGGCCATCTCGAAGTCAGCGAGGGAACGATGGTGCGCCTGGACCAGGCCTTCGATGACGGATGGGTAAGTCTTCCTCCTTGATCCTACCTGAATAAAAATACTAACATCCACAGGCCCTCTGCACAGTCACCCAAACCGACCAGCGCGGGCTCATCCCCCGTGCGTGCCTGTCCACATGGCCCCTCAAGGAGCGCCGCAACTACACCGCCAGCATCAACGACCAGCACATGCGCAACGCCAGCAGCGCCAGTCTCCCCATTTCCCCTGTCGACTCGGTCAACGGCCAGGCCTTCCGGTTCTACCGACAGGCCTCGTCCCGGCCAGGCACGCCCAAGAATGGCGTCATCTCGCCAACATCGTCGACTCGTTCTGGCTCTGGCGGGTCTGGCTAAACAACAAAACAACAAAACAAAATAAAACCCATCATTTGCTTTCTTCTACTTAATCGCTCCTAGCGGGCTGTTCCTGTATAGATCTTACCTTTCTTTTCTTTATTTTCTACTACTATCTTTTAGTTTTTGTCGGGTGGATATACCTTGCAGTTTTATACCGAATTTTATTCAGTCTTGCATTCAGGTTTTTCATGTCGTACTTCATACTAACAAATTACGCCAGTTTATTGAGTTATCTGAACTCCTTGTTAGTTAGGAGATGTATCTTACGACTGACTCGTGCAGTTCTCATGCCTCATACCCTGAGATGCGGCATTTCCGTTCCACAATTCCATTGGATTCATTTGGTAACAGTGAGAAGAAGAATGTCTGTGCAGGTACTTCGGGATATTACCTTGCCAATTCCCATCCGCAGACATCATGGTGGGTGTTGGAATGTATGTAATCTCGCTTGCGCTGGAATGGGGGTATGGACTATGGAATGTGCAGACTGTCAAGGTGTTCTCTTCCAAGGTTGCAGCCATCCCTGTTTTCCTCATCCCTTTCCTACATTTGGGATGTATTGGTTGTCTCAAGTGATTACTATGATTGACGATACGTGATCATATTGGACACTTTACTACGTGGCGAACGAAATCCAAAATCCATACATCCACTCCCTATCCATCGTCTGCAGTTTCATACGCTTCCTCAGACCCCTCTGCACTTTCTGAGCTATTCTTGTCGTCTGTGAAGTCCCCATCCTCCGGTACCTCTGTATCCCCAGAAAACATTGAGCCCTCGTCTTCTGAAGAATAGCCGCCATCGAGAACATAATCATCTGTATATACGTGTCTCAAGATGAACGCCAGAATCTCCTCGCCAGCCCAGATATTCTCCTGCGCCGCATTAACGACCTTTCTCGAGTGCGAGAGGGGATAGTCATGGTCGACAAAAAGGACCAGGAGCTCAAGTCCCCATAATGAATTCCCAGCTGCTGCTATTAGGGCTTCCTCAGACATTCGGTCAGAAAGAACGTGTCCATGATCGAGTAACAGATCCATGACCTCAAAGCCGCAGCCCGTATTCCCCGCCGCATTGATTAATGCTTCTTCAGTAACTGGGATGGGCTTTTCGTCTGCGGCTAGGTCTTCGAGTAGCAGACGCAGCGCTTTCGCTCCACATGACCTATTCCCTGATAGAGCTTCGAGGAGGCGCCTTCCAATCCGAACAGCACATCTATCAGGGGACGCATTGATTAACTCAATTAGCCTCACCACTGCAGAGGTATCTGTCGACGCAGCCGCAATAATAGTTTCCTCGGTGATGGGAACATCAGGCTGTCGGTCCCACAGGATCTGTACGATGCCATCTGTATATGAGCCAGGATTCGTTACAGCTGCAAGAATGACACTCTCAGAGATACGAATCTCTTTGTCAGATGCCAGTAACATGGGAACCACAGTTATACCATGTCCCGGGTTTGCAGCAGCTGCTACCAGGACAGGTTCCGTAATGCGGAGACCATGGGCGAGGAGTTGATCAAGAATGGCCGATTTTAGAGGCCAGTCGACCGTACTTACTGCCGCTACTAGGAAGGCGTCAGTGAGGCGTCCTTGGTGTTTGACTAGAAGCTCGACCTGGTCCGCCCAACGGACGGCGCCCAGAATAGCCGCCTCAGTGACCTCAGTATCTAAGCTTTTGAGGTCTAGAAGACGTCGCAAACAATCAATCTCGTAAAATGGGCTCCCTGCCGTAGCTTCAATGACAGAGCTGGTAATCAGAGAGTCTGGAGATAAACCAAGGAACTCCAGAATATCATCACAGTTATCGCCTTCTGTTGCTGCAATTAAGATGTTCTCTGTCACATCTAGACTCTCGCAGTGCTCTTTCAGGAGCTCCAAAATATGAAGACCGTCCATATCATTACGCATGGCTGATATAATGACATCCTCCGTGATTAGAGTGTTATCCCCGGTATGCTGAAGTAGAAGCTTCGTGATGTCCAGACCCTGTTCCATATTTCCCGCAGCTGCTGTAAAAATAGCTGAAGACATCGTGATATGGCTATCATGCTCCAACAGCTGTTCCATTATTTGGCACCCGTGGTCTTCGTTCTCTGCAGCTGCAATGACAACATCTTCCGTAATAGCGACATTGATATTCTGCTGCTCAAGAAGGAGCGAAACAAGTGCATCGCCACATTCAGTGTTCTCGACTGCAGCTCTTAACACCTTTGCTGTGATTACCTTCATGCCCTCGTGCTTGTCCTTTGCATAGTCAAGCAAAACAGGCATTATCTGTCGCCCACATCTTTCGTTTTCTGCTGCGGCTTGCAGATGAGCTTCTGTGACAGTAAATTCCTGCCCAGATCGACCAAGATATTCGAATAGGCATCTTGTGATCTCGTTGCCACAAACTTCGTTCTGCATAGCAATCTCAATCGCAGAGTTAGTGATTGTGACAGGACCATATATCTCGGGACTCCCAAGCAAGAAGCTTATCCACACAGGCTCAAAGCTCTGCGCTGCCATATCCATGGCTGCTGCGATGGTTGTAAGGTGCCGATTTTCCTCTGAGAACAGATATCCAAACAGGGGGCTCATAGTGCCCAGGCTTCCAACCTCTATATCTGCAGGGCTATACTTTCGGGATAATGCGGTCAAGCGAGACGATACTGTACAAATGCACGCATTAGTTAACTGACGACTAGTTGAAAGCGTATACCCACAGGTCTTCTGTTTTTTAATGCACTCCTCGGATGCTTCCAGCATTATTGCAGCAGAGTTCCGAGTTGACTTCATATAGCTTGAGCTGGGTATGGAGTGTGAGATTTGTTTCTCAGACCCTGCCTGAGTCTTTGTACGAATCGCTAGCCCTTGGCCTTTTGGCTCCGTTGTGGGTAATTGGATCACACCCTTCTCAGTGAGAATGTCATCCAGGATGTCGACAGGTTCACGCAAGACAGTGGCAAATGCATCGCATGCTGTTTCATCACGTATCAAGAGAACCCGTACTAGTGCCCGCGGGAGCTCTGTCGCGTAGGAGATAGCTCGTTGTTTTGGATCCAGAGGAACGTATATCCGGAGTGTGCTATCGGCGTCTTCGATATGAACCCGGCCGGGGTGGCTGTTACGCACGTTGAGTCCTCCTTCAAGCTTGAAGAATCCCTTGAGGTCCGTCGCTATATAGACAGTGGCCTGTGAGAAAACCCGTTCTGATTTCCCTCTAGAAAGCGTAAATCTCGGGCTACCGTAGTGGATTGCGCATCTGGTGTATCATCGTTAATAATTATATCCACAACAAACGACGGGGTCTATCCTACCGGTATAGAAATTCAGCCTTCTGCCGCATGGCCAGCGTCAGGTCGTCGGATTGGCCCTCGTCCTTGACAACGTATGTCTCCTCTATGAGCTGCCTCGACACATACCGGCTCGCAAGTCCCATAGCTTCAATGAATGCTCGTGAACGACACACTTCTTCTCTTGTCATGCTAAGGACCGGCACGCTAGAACTGACCCCAAAGCGCACATCGTCGACAATTACAAACTCGTCATGGACAGTCACATATAAAGCATATGAACCCCACTGCCGAACAGGCAGGAACCTAGTCAGCTCCAGACGCTGAAGCTCTTTGGATGTAGGATTAAGACCGCTCAGCTCCTGGATAAGGGCCGACACCTGGCCGGACGTTGGATCCCATACAGATGCGGCCAACTCAATTTCGTAAACGCAATCTCCCACACCCGGTGTATATACACCAAGCCCATCTACAAGGAACTCTTTCAAGTCCGGATAGAGTTGGCGTATTCCATACTTTCGTTTAGTAATTGGGAAGGCGCTCCACACGCATTCGCTTGGTTCGCACCAGGCATCTTTGTCTGGGATATAGATATACTTGTTGACCTCGAACCGGTCCCTAATTGTAATGTAAGCTTTGATCGCAGCAATGAGCGTGACAATTTACCTAATGGTATTCCAGTCGCGGCGGGCGAGAGAGTCTGTCGCCAGATAGTTGTAAATATCCAGCGGGGCATGCGAATCTCTCACTCTGCTGCGTTTAATTCGCGACAGCTCCTCGAAAGATGCTTGCCAGTCCGGTGATTGCTTGCTCAGGACCTTCTGGAAGAGTTCCTTCACCTTGGTATTACAGGAATAATCATCGAACTGTGCCAGGTGATACTTTGTGGACCATTTTGGCCCATCCCAAATACAATCCATAATCCTAACAAGTTTGTCGGGACCATCTTGATTGGGAATGTAGACCAAGTCGAGGTGCGATACACGGTCCCTAGCAGGTTTAGCCACAAATACAAGGCGAGAGCTAATGAACATACCATAATTCCGCAAACGGATGATCGGCCAGTACGGCATATAGTTTAAAGAAACCAATCCTTGCATGCTCCCTGGGAGATACTTGGGACAGCCTGGACAGACTTTCCAACAGATAATCGGCCGTCAATGTCGTAGTAACCCCGAACCGCGAGAGAAACTCCCAGTTGACCTTTTCACCGCTGGCCCACATGGACGGAATTGAAAGAAACGGGAATTTGTCCTTCAAAGAGTCGGACCATATGTCTGTCATTTCTGGCAACCCCAAGTAAGTGTCCTCGAGAGGTACCTTGCCACATGCAGTAGGAACAAGGGCTGCCTTGATGTATGATACGGTGGCCGGGGAGGCGTTGGCTAGCTCCTTCTCGTATGTATCCCAGTGCACCTTCAAAATGCCGATTAACCTGTCTGGGAGATACCTCACTATACACTTCAGTATATCGGAAGGCCGCCCGGGAGAATCCAAGGTTTCTAGCCTTGGGACGGTTCGGATACAGCAGGTATCCTCGAGCCAGCTTTTCCACGCGGTATCATTTTGGAAATCAGTGGTATAACTGGGGTGTAGAAAGCAAACCGGGAGAGACGGAAGGCGATGGGCCTTCATGTTGTGCCGCCGACGAGCCGATAGATCTCGCTCATACCGTATACATCAGCGGTTTTGAAGTATATGTCGGGTCGACTATGCGACAGATTCATCAGGGCTTTCCCAGCATCATCATAGAGGAGAACACGTTCAGTGTCGATTACGCGGCCGTCAGGAGCGGCCAAAAACATATATCGAAGATTCTGTACAGACTGGGAAAGTCCGGGACGAAAGATTCTTTTGTCATTCAAAGAATATATGCACTGGATAACAAAAGCCTGGCTTGCACGCTTGACGCCCAGTCGTGTGAATAGCTGCTTCTGTATATCATTCGCTGCACTGGCCACCGGCACTGTGTCGATAATTGAATCTGGAATTAAGTTCCCACAGGTGTCGTGAGGGAAGTAAATGTCAGTCTTCCTTGGGCTTTTGAACAGTTTAAGCGTTTTTATAGGATCGAAAAGTGATTTCTCATATACGGGAACAAGATGAAGTGCTTCCACCTCTTTCACAAAATCGTGAAGAGGCGAGTCCATCCATGACAATACAAGGGAAGCCACTTTAGTGTACCAGTCATCTTCCAAGTGCTGTTCAAACGTCGCCTTGCCAAATAGTATGCTAGAGAGATGGCGGCGTAGTCGGTGAAGTAACTGATGCGATGAAATAGGCTGAAGGCCAAATGTACTGAGGATCCCATAGTATTCGCTATACTGAGTTGAGAGGTAAACATCCTCTTCCGAGTCGCTAAACAAAGGATTTCCTTTGGAGTCGCAGTGTTCCGGTTGCAAGTATCGAACCTCTTCTAGAGTCTTCAGTGTGCCTTTCACAGTCTTGAAGATACGCAGATGTTTCAGGTCTTGCTTGACACTCTTATGGAACTGTGCCCACTGAGGGCGTTTGGTGTCGTCCGTAGGAAGGAATTGAGGCCATGAATATTCAAACCGCTCCATCGAAGACAATGTTTTAAGTGCAGCATGAAAAACTTGAGGAAGCTCGCTCAGGAGATGGTCGTTCCAAGGACAACACGCCAGACTCTCCCTATTGTCCTGTACGATGAAGTCGGATTGCACAAGGAAATTTAGGCTCCCTCCCGCTGCAGACAGAGGAAGGTATGAATGCGCGAAATATTCAGCTGTTGAGACTGCAGGGGGCAACTCGCTAGAGAATGGAAATGCCAGTGTCATCTCGGTCGAGCCAGGGAAAGGACGACTGTCTCGACGCGGTAGTCCAGCTACCTTCTGTGTAAATAGGATGAAGTCTGCCCTTCTTACTATGCCGGATCCGTTGCGCAGACAGAGACAAACCTCGTCGTAATTACGCACACTTGAAAACGTAAGGAATGTATGTTGACGCCAGACACCCACCATTTTGGTGTTGCGCAAAAACGCAGTGATGGTCAGTGGAAAGTTCAGTAGCTTGTCTCTGAGGTCCAGATAGTGCTCTGGGCTAATGAGGAAGAGAGTGAACTGGGTCCGTACATCTTCTGAAAGGTCTTCGTGTGCCTCGTTGACGGGGGCTATCATCCCCAAGCCATTCTGTCCCTCTCGGTGCTGCAGTGAGAAGCAGAAAGGACCAGACTGGATCTGGACTTTCCAGGCAACCTTGAAGAGCGACTTGAAGCCAATTCCCTTTTCACCGATCTGCCCTGTCTTCGTTCTCTTTCCAGCGCTGCATAATGCACGGACATGGCTTTCTTCGAACCCATCCTCGTTACAATGGACGATAATGCGACCCGGTTTGAAATCAAACCACAAGGAAGGACGTTTCTTTTGGGATTCTGCCCAGGTATATGAGCAGTCGTCGGAATTCTGAATGAGTTCGTAAAAAAACCGTGTGTCGCTGGTCCACGCTTTGGCTGCTGCCTTTAGGACAGGAGCACCCAGGAAATTGCCAAGTGCCTTTTCTTGTTCAGTATCACCCAAAAAGCCACCGGACTGAGAATAGATTTCCGAGATAATCTCTCGATCTCGAGTAATATTTGCCATATTTGCTGTCTCTGCACTCTGTTGATGAGCGAAGAGTCTGTGTTTTCACACCGGGGGCTCCCCTTTCGTTCAGCTGGCGCTGGGACTTTTGAACAGGATCGCCCCCAGCTCATTTACGACCTATTCTAGTGTGCTGGGTAAGCGCCCCCAGTGGTTGTTTCTATTGTTGGGGCCAACGACTTGACAGGGATGCAGCGCCTAAAAAGGCAAGTCCCGTGCTAAGCGCTGCCCTAACAGTCCAATGCCAGGGAACCCAACAAAACCAAAACAAAACCTGTAGTGCATCATTACAACATTGGACTTCAAGAATATGTAATTAATACGTGAATATGGCAGCCGAGCAACTGGTAAATTTCTCGGTGTATACCAGAAGCCATGGTAGCTTGGTAGGCATCTTGAACAGCACCTGGGCAGTCCGTCACGGAACTAATGCAGAATGACAGCGGCATCTAATGACGCGATCGACACACGACCAGGCTCTGAAACACTCTAACATTGGCATAAAAAAGCAAACAATAATAAAGGGGGCATCGCCCCATGTCCTTCCCCGTCAACCCGGTCCCAGCATCGTGGTTCGTGGTAACCAGTCCAATAAACGAACTCTGTGTCTAATTATATCAGGTTACAATTCAGATCCAATGTTTTACAACTGCGATATCTGCACTATGAAGCTGGTAGACGAAGCCCATCAATGGGTGGCTATTTCAAAACGCCACGTCAGTGTTGTCATGATAAAGGCGTCTATACCAATGGCCACCCTACACGCCAGGGGCGGCAAGAGACAGCCAATGCTACATGAAACAGACAAGCCTTGCATTAATATCCAATCGATTGAATAGCTTCGATATGGGGGCAGACGAAGATCGCTAGAGGCGGTTTACTTCAGGAAACTAATTATTTGATCTGTGAAGGCAACCCACGAATTCCTTCAATTTCATGCCTCTCAAAGTGCATATCGAAGTATTCAGCCAAGGCATGTACTCTATCCTCTTCCGTGGTGAACCTTTTGATAACTTCAGTCTCCCCACGAAGCACCCTCTTGACTTCTGTACCTGCTAGAATATAAATCCCGATAACCTCCAGAGTCTGCTCATCCACGATCATACGCCTAAAAGCAAGCTTTTGAGTAAACGGCATTTCCGGATTCGTGCTTGTAAAATAGCTCATCATAGCGAAGTCTTCTAGCAGGAACTCAGTCTCCGTGAAAGAGTATTGTGGAATCCACTTGCTTTCAGAGCTGCTCCGGGCCTGGTAGATCCAGACTTTTTGTGTTTGGTCCACGAATTCAGACAGAGGCGCCTTGATCAGGGAAACCTCCTCAGGCGGGATTGACGTTGTTGGCACGTTCTCCTGCAATGGCAATGGGCTGGTGGGGTTGTTGCGGCCATAACCAACGTCGACCTATAAAGTATCACGATGAGTATGTATTATTTAGTCTACGACGCGGTTATTAACGTACCAGATATTTTTGGCCAGCTATGGTCACGATAACGATCATGTGGCTCCTGGACAGCCATGTTAGGCGAATGCTCTTATGTTTCCAGCGCTACCGCATAAAAGCTTCAAGGCAACCTACAAGCATACATAACCCTCCTCGCTTGGATTCCCCGTAACACCCGCCCGACTAACGCGGCCGCCAGCCGGATAGACCTGATACCCCAGGGAGGACAAAACCATGTAGAAGAGATTGGTATTTTCCATGCAGTAGCCATCAAGACGACGGACAACCAGTTTCTCAAAGATACAGGCCCGCTCGAGGGAAATGGAATGGTGGTTCGAGTAATGCAGGGCCGAGTTGCCCCAGGGGATAGAGCTCAGGTGCCTTCGTTGTAATTCCGTCAATGCTTCCAGTGGACTTTTCTCGACGGACTGTTTAAGGTGTTTCACGCGGGAGGTGGTGTCGTCGGCATATTTGATGCGCTGGAGATACAGGTCTAATTGATCCGTGGTCAATGTTGGGGGGTTGGCAGCCATGATGGACGTTATGTTAAGTAATTATATGCAGCGAAGCATGTTACTCCAACCTGGGGCGTTCCAGGGTTTTATACCTGGGCCAGAAACTAAGCATGCATGTTTACTCCACCCCTGTTGGTGTGCAGCCTTGATACGCGGAATGTGCCCATCAAATGCAGCCACCAAATCCATGTCAAGTTGCCTCGACCAACCACTTCAATTCGCTATTAACTTCTTACTCGCAGAAAAGTCCGAAAGCCCCCCATCTCAAAATGCGTGCAGCCCGCATGTGCAAAATAGGCATGCTCAGATGCATACCCGCACCCTGGCCCTTGAAACTACGAGTTTCCTGCGGCGATACCAGACATCGGCAAAACTTCTGAACATTCAATAGACTCTTCTATCCGACTACACCCGTTTAATTCCGCCAAACCCTTCTAGTGGTGTTCATCTCAAAGCCCAAGGTCACCCATTCCCATAAAACAAAACATACACGTAATATCGCCCTGGATTGAATATTCGAGTCGAGAAGTCCCAATCATCTGACTGTGTGCTACCAGGCCACGCGTTCTCCGTTATAACTAAAGAATTCACCAGAGGTAGTTGACTTTTCCGCTGTATCAATCTGCAGTAATGTTAACAATCTTTACGGAAATAGTGGCAATGTTTGAATTACCTGCTCTGCGATTCCACACACGGCCTCCTTAACGGTTACTGGCGCCGCATCGAGTCCAAGAAACTCTGCAGCGCGATCACCCATATCTGTCTGGACTAGACTGAAACACCGCGTATGTGAATCTTCCATTAGGCAAGAACGGGGTGGAAGATATGCCTACCCTGGATCGAATAATAAAGCAATCAAATGCTCATTCTCTGCATGGATCTTCCTGACCAGATAATTCCCAGCAGCCTTTGAAATTCCATAGGCAACAGTCAATGTCGGAGTCTGCCCAATACCCCCAATACTTGCCAGCTGAGTGGATATATAGACAAACTTTGGTATTCTGGCTTTCTGCAACAACGGTGCCATGGGTTGAAACAGCCTTAGAGGGCCCATGGTGTTCACTTCAAAGTGAGAATACATATCGGACTCGTCCACTTCCAGAACAGGCCCCCAAGAGTTACAGACTCCCGCATTGGCAATGACAACGTCAATGTGATCGATACGGTGCTTTATCTGGATTTCGGCAGCCGCTTGCGCAGCGCTTGTTGCACTGTTGGCGTCAAGGAACACAATAATTAGACGACTCCCATTGCCCCTGCTCAAAGTATGAAGTTGTTTCGCTTGCTCAGACAAGACATCTCGCACGGCTGCGATGACTGTAGTGTTTGGACGCGCGAGATAGTATGTGACGAATCCTTTTCCGATGCCTGCGGCCAAGCTAACCTCGAAAACTATCCTAACATATATACATACCTCGGTTGGCTCCAGTAATAAGTACAACCTGGCTCATTTTGCTGGTGCTTTAACTCTGGACTTGTTCGGGGTACTCTCATGCGGCTAGCACGCCTGGGTATTTATATTACGCACACCTTGATAGCATTATGTATATCGTTTCCGAATAGTAAACACGCCATTGTGCTCTGTGTACACTGTTCTAACCTAGTTTGCTAACTCTCCCCGATGATTAAGCGGCGAGACAGGCGATCCGAGGGGATTAAGTGGGGTGTGGATCATGATAATCTTTATCATGGAATCCTTTAAGTATATGTTGCGATAATCACCGGAAAGCCGACCAAAAAGGGCTACATGTGTATTCCACTCTGTATGTAACCCAATCTGGCAAAAGAATGTCCACCACATGGGGCCTGCCGCTTACTCATCGGCAGCAGTCGGGGCCAGGTAGGCGTCTCTTCCTATAAATATCCTACGGATTCCTTCATGAGATTGTTCTTAACTTATCAAATACAATTCCAACACCAAGTCCTTCTGTTAACATGGCAAAACGCAGTGTTGTGGTTATCGGCGCCACCGGCTCTCAGGCAAGTCTTTCAGATCCACTGCTACTGACGAGTCACTAATCTTTTGTAGGGCGGGTCCGTTATAGAAGAGCTCCTTCAACACCCTGATCTCTACCATATCAGGGGGTTAACCAGGGATCCCGCCAAGCCCGCCGCACAAGCACTCGCAGCACGCGGCGTTGAAGTCCAGTACGCAGACTTGGACGACGGCAGAGAGGCCCTCGCCACAGCCTTTACCGGTGCACACGTTATCTATGCACTGACGGACTTCTGGCAGAAGCAGTCAGCCTCTGCTGAAATTGAGCAGGGCAAAGCCATCGCTGATGCTGCAGCCGCAACTGCAACACTGCAGCACTTTATATGGAGCGCATTGCCAGACCCGGTTGCGTTGTCAGGGGGTCAATTTCTGAATGTACACCACTGGAAAAGCAAGAGCTTGATTACTGAGTATATTCGGACCAGTAAACCAGAACTGTGGGCAAAGACCACGACCGTGCTGTTTCCTAATTATTTTGAGAACTGTTTGACCTATCCCGACCGGTATCTGCCCACCAAGGTAAGATTCCTTCATCCGGCTGCTAGACCCAATGCTAATATCGTGGTTCAGGATGAGTCTGGGACCTACACTCTCAAATTCCCCCACAGCCCTGCTACAGTGCTGCCGAACGTTGCCATTTCCGATACGGGGAAGCTGGTCCACATAGTCCTCCAAGCCGGCGCAGTATACTTCACAAAGACAATTGTATTCTGGGCCCAAGGCCTGTCCGAGGCCAACAAACTGGCTGAATTGGGACAGCGTATGCTTATTTAACCAATATTGTTGGCTTGCCCGTGCTAATCCGTTGACAGACTACAATGTCCCGACTCGCTATGTCCCAGTGAGCGCCGCCGAATTCCAGGAGATCCTTATGACCCATAGCGGCTTGTCAGACGATATTGCACTAGACTTCACCGAGCAACTGATGATCTTCGAAAAGTGCGGAAACGTCTACGCAAGTGATGAATTTGTCCAGGCAAGAGACGTAAGTCACCACCTTGTTCCATTCATCAGACGCAATCATCTGACAAAACGCCAACATAGATTCCTGGTCTAAAGCTTCAGACTTGGTCTGAGTTTATTCGCCAGCATAGATTGCTGAAGGAGGCGTAACTGGAATGTAGCGCATAGGGCTGGATGTCCCGTTGGGGAAATTATGCCAAGACGGAAGTCCGAGAAGTTGCGATTACTCAGCGGGGGCTAACCACCCACTTATAGTCAATCATTGTAGCTGTTATCGAAATTAGTTTTTGCTCTCCATTTGGCTAGTAATATTGCATATATCCCGGTTGAACAATGCCAGAGCGGAGTACGTTATCGCAGCGGGCCGCTCGGGCACCCAGGCGGCGGGCGTGCGACTCCTGTTCTCAAAAGAAGGTACATTTCCCCTGCATGAGAAGTGGCGGATTCTTACCATTTATTCCTGGAACAATAGATCAAGTGTGACGCAGGGTTCCCACAGTGCAATTGGTGCGAGCACCACAGCCTGGCTTGCACTTATAATCGAATCCGGAAGGCTGGCGGAAGGTATTATACCTGGCTATTTCCATTCTCCCGCCACTTGCCAGAACGCTTACCAGCTAACCCTTAGTAGCCAGGCGACTGTCTCTTCGCCCACAGTTACCTATCCTGGTATGCAGACACCCTGGGAAGACCGAGTTCGTAGCTAATCTCTTATAGATCCATCCATAACCAACGGCCTGGTGGACCAAGGAAGACCGGGAAATCCATTCCTGAACACCGCCTCGTATCTTAAAGGCCACCACGTATTCTCCGATGAAGGCCAAAAATGGGTCAAGTCTCAGACAGGGGAGAGAATCAATTTCGACAAGCTATTCTCTCGTGAGGTTCCATGGCTGAAACCGCTTCGTTCCGTGACAGACTCAGCGGCAACTCTTCCAGAGCTCCCTAGTAGAGCCGAGCTCGAACGGTATATTCAGGTGTACTGCTCATCCTTCCAAAGTGTGATATTCCCCGTTCTGAGCAGGTGGAATATCGGGAATACAATATCTCTCGCCTACAATCCTGCCCAATCCTTTGGTTCTGCCAGCGCCAAATCTTGTATCTATTCGTTCTTATCCCTGGTATCCCTGTTTGGATTCGACGATAGCATTCATGGCGCCATGGATTGTCGATCGTTTGCCTCCGCAGCACAGAGCTTTATGACACCTGTGATACAGGAAATGACGGTTGATGGACTCCAGTCATTAATAATGCTGGTACAGCCTGACCTTAATAAGTTTGTCTTAGCATGGACTAATTGAGAACAGGTGCAACTTCAGTATTTCCTAGGAGACCTGCAATCTGCAGCTATAACCTTGTCCATCGCCACACGTCTTCTATATACCCTTGGGGCTCACAAATCCCCCTCTAATACCAGGACCTCGAACAATTCCGTCTACGATAAGAGCGATATAAACTTCCACCTGCGAGACCTATTCTGGCTATGCTACTCATTCGACAAGGACATATGCGTAAGAACAGGCGAACCCCCGTGCATGAACGACACGCACTGCAATCTCACTCTACCCCCAGATTATATCCAGCACCACAACGACAATCTACAGCGGTATACGACGCCGATGGAGGTAACCAACCACACCATTCCCCTCTTCCCTTGGGATATCCGCCTCTCAATGCTCAAAGCAAGTGTATACCAGAAACTCTACTCCGAGGACTCATTGGACCAATCGGTTTCAGAACTCCTATCAAACATCCGCAGCCTAGACGAGTCCCTAGAGCAATGGAGACTCTCCCTACCAGCAGACTTCCGTCCAACCCTGTACTTCTCATCCGAAACCCCATTGAGCGTTAACATAAACACACAAGCTGTTATGCTACGGCTCGCATACTACCACTGCGTAATCTCCATCCACCAAGCGAGCAGTCGGCGCCAGGGTTCCGAGGGTGAACTCGCAGGCCCGCCGCTCCAGGGCATCACATCGAGTATCGGCCTGTCCATCACAGCAAGCCGCTCGACCCTGTCCTACCTCCAAAGAGTCCTCCCCGTCGTGGAAGGGGAATGTTTCTGGTATATCCTACCACCCAGCCATTCTCGATACAGAAGCAATCACTAACGCATGAAAAAAAATCAGGGTCATCCTCTTCTACGCCACAACCGCCGTCCTGACACTTTTCTGCAATATTATCTCTAACCCGGAGGATGATGATACGCGGCACAACGTGGAATTACTCGAGAGCGTCCTCGAGCTAATCCACCGCATTCCCATCCGGAAACTGACGCTGGGCGAAGTCATCCACTTGCAGTATCTGGACGGGTTCACGACGGAACTTGTGGGGGTTTGCGCACGGGCTATATCTAGACGGAACAGACTCGCGATAGACCAGCAGAAGTGGGTATAGAGCAAATGAATTAAATAACCTTACGACCGCTGTAACCTGTATAGCTTGTAGTTACCATCTTATAAGAAAATAGACCCGTAATGCTCCCTCGGATCGAATTCGTCCAGGGAAGACATCCCAGCCATCCAGTCGCTATCCGGGGTGAGGAAGTAGAGACTGTCCAAGCCGAGGCCCCCATATTCATCTTCTTCAACCCCCTGCATGAGTGTGACGTCGCTCGAAGATACCCCAGGGTCATTATGCGACGGGGCATATACCGAGGAGACGAGATTATCACCCGGTGTCTGCGCTGTAGATTCAGCTGCTGCCGCGACAGGCCGTTTCGATAAGCCAACGCTTTCCACGTATTGTCTGGCCATATGCGAGAATCCGGAGAGATACGAGGACTGCAGGGCCCCGTTTGACGCGTAGTCCAGCTGACTGAAGTGGCCGGTGATGATGTCTAGGAGTGTCAGATGTGCGCGAATATCCGGGTCGTTCGGATGATGGACGACAAAATCAAATAAGATAAACAGCGCGGAAAGGGGTATGATGGCAAGGATACTACGTAGGCTGGTTAGCGACGGACGTCTTAATCTGGCCAGGGTACATACAATACTGCGGTATACGGCTCGACGTCGATATAGCGCGTTAAGTTAATAATTTCCCGCGCGGTATTGAGAAGCGTCCGCATGGCATTCTCGCTTCTTGCGATGTCTCTGCTGACATGGAGCGTGAGCCGTTCTAGTGCGATTATTACATGGTAATAGTAGTAGTGTGTTCGCAGGGCGATCTCCTTGGATGCACCGTCCATTAGGCGACGCCGTTGGACAGGTTCTTTTGGTCGGAAATCTGCCGGGATAGACAGCCGCCATTCCTCGAGAAGTGTATGGACATGGTCAATGGCAGCCATGGTTGTGTCGTCTGGCTGATTCGATGCAGATATAGAAAACAGCGAAGCGTACGCGACGGACAATATCCGGCCAAAGCGAACAGACGAGACCAGCCAGTTATAGTCTGCAACAACTGCGTCTGGGGTATCCGGGATCGGACAACCGATGTCGTGGTCCGCAATCATCTATCTTGGTTAGAGCTGCTGATTCAGTTCAGGAAGACGTACTGAGCTGCTCCTCGCTTGGAAGGTGTACCGCTTCTCCAGGTGGTATATCACCCAGAACGCTCGGTGACACAATGTAACATCCTCGGCAACAATCGATTTATGGTAACGAAGTGCGAGTACCATTCGACCAGCCTCGCCTAGTAGAGTCTGATCTAATTGGAGACTAAAAGTATTTGTTGCAAAGATGGTCTACAAATTAGCTTGCACCACAGACGGCGAATGCAGAACACACCATTGCCGTTAATGCCTGTACGGTTAGTAAAAAGTATAGAATAATGGAGCCGACTTACCTGAAGATTTGGTAGTGATTCTGCTGTCATGAGAATCCGGTCTAGACGAGTAAGAGCAGTTTGAAAGAGCTTCCATGCATGGCTGTCCTCGGGGATAAACGAGCTGTATCCGTTGTATTGACAGCCGAGTGCCAACACTGCATGATACAGCGCACAGAATGAATAGTCCTCCTCTAGCACCTGAAGCAGGTTCGGACTTGACGCTTTCGCTTGAAATGACTGCCGATCGAGAAACGGGTATATCGGGTGCAGGACCTCAAAGTAGCCTATACATGTTAGAGATGATAACGATAAATTGGTAACTTACGTTGTATATGGGACGCAGCGTCTGGATAAATTAGTAATTCTGTCTGAATGCTGGCCAGACTGTACAACGATATCTCCTTGCCCGGTCTTGCGAGTAAGCGTGTTCGTATTGTTTTGTCAATCTGCTGGACCAGTTCCCTGACCTGGGTGTGGCCGAGCCGCTTCACCAACGAGTCAACCCGCTTTTCAGAGAAAAAGGCAAGGCCTGAACTGGGCACTGTGATAGTAAGTAGCGAACAATTCCCAGGTCATGGTGCGTACCTCGATCATCGTGGACCTTGACAGTTAGACAGGAAGATAATAAGGTCACAGACAGAACTTACTTTGAGAATAGAAAACTCGTCATATAGAACTGCACTCTCCGACGGATTTCGAATCAACCGATCAATGAATAGATCTGACGGCTTGAACTCTTCGCCGGATCCCTCTTTTGGCGTTGGGGCTGGAACGGTTAACAGTGCCCAGGGTCCAGGACTAGAACATACCCTTCACACGAAGTCTTCGTTTCAGATTACTAAACCGGCATACCTCATTGCGTTTCTATAGTCGTAAGCTAGGATCAGAATGTAGAATGACCCTTCTTACTATGCAGTGGGTGCACGCAGGGGCAGCGGTGGACGGGACTGCGTAGTTAGCGGGACAGCACGTATGAATACAGCGCATGAATATACAGTAGAAGCATCCATACCTATACAGCGGACCTTCCGGGTCCGGCACTGGTCGCAGGACTTGTTGAGTCTCGGGGCCTGCATCGTGTGGTGGATCGATCTCGGTCTCGGTGCTCGGGGTTGACAGAATATCCCTGCATAACTCACTGTTGGTGAGTCAGCTTATTATGCCAGTGGCTTATGCACTACATAACCATCCACCAAATAGGAACATGCCAGTTATTTTAGCTCCTCTTACGAGTCTGGCCTTTATATTTAGCCGTTCGAGGTCTGTCGGATTCGTGGCCTTCGATACCGTTCTCTATCAGCGCCTGGTAGGAGTCGTTCGATCCGACGAATTCAATTATACCGATGTTGCAGCGACAAGACGATCAAATTTAAAATTTATACACACAAGTATAAGGCAGGCTATCACGTTCTCTACAATGCATGTATTATTATCGTGGCCCAACAGTGATTTTGGGGGATCAGTGTTGGGAGTTGGATATATATCTCCACCTGACAGCGATTAAAAATACGACCAGACTTCGAGATGGGCCGACCTCTCATAAATACGATCTGGCAAGCTTATTTCCGATTAATTTCACCGACACTAACCTGCATAAATGCCAGTTTTTCTCCTGCCTAGTGGTTGCTCCACTCACCGTACACAAGAAAGCGACGGTGTCGGTAGAAGGGCCAGGATGCATCAGGTCGGACTTTCCGAGACAGACAAATGGATCGGGGGAAATACTCGGAATTAAAGTCAACCCAATACGGAGGATGGACGAGCAGAGTTAATGGTTGGCCAGCGAGTCAGCAGCAGCAGGGGTTGCATCGGGCGATATTCAAAAGGGTCTGGATCGCCCACTGTTGCTGCAGTTTAACCGACGCTCCTTTCCTTTTCTCTTCTTGTCACTCGTTTACCGATACTTGTACTTCTAACCGGTCAGTGCTATTGTCATTGTCATTGCAACTTCTCTTGCTTAACAGGACATGGACCGTCAAGACAACGAGGGCGAGTACTTCCCCAGCGCCCCTGGCACGGAGATTCTGTTCGATGATGCGTCCAAGCATGGGGCTGTGGCCGATCGGCTTCACCAGTTGAAGCATCGCAAAGGCGACTCGCGTATGCTGCTGGTGCCGCAACCGTCCGCGAACGACCCGAATGATCCTCTGCGGTGGCCGGCGTGGAAGAAGCACTTGACGTTCTTCAATGCCTGCTGGTATGCGTTTATGGGCGCGATCACGGGCCCGATCATGGCAGCTGGTGCGTTTACCCGGTTACACACTGATTACCTGCTGGGGTTCTAACAATTGCAGGAATGGAGGAGCTGTCCGGGACGTTTGGGAAGACACTGCAGACACTGACCTACGCGAATGGAGCGTGCCTGATCAACCAGGGCGTGTGGAACTGCGTCTGGATGCCCTTTGCCGTCAAGTATGGCCGGCGTCCGATATATCTGTTCTCGAACGTGCTGATGGGCATCGCCTGTATCTGGCTGGCCGTCGCATCCAACAAAACGTATCTTGTCTTCATCGTCGGGCGTGCCTTTCTCGGAGCGTTCCAGGCGCCGATTGAATCAATCGTGCCCTCGACTGTGACTGACATCTTCTTCCTGCACAACCGTGGAGAGCTCGTAGCCATCTACGGTTTGGCCGTGCTGGGAGGCAACGAGCTCGGGCCTATGTTCTCTGGACTGATCGTGCAAGCCCTCGGGATGAGCTGGGCATTCTGGATCGTGGCGATATTCGTCTTTGTCAATGCGATCTGCATGGTGTTCCTCATGCCCGAGACCAAATACACCGGTTCGCGCCCGGATCCCTTTGGTTCAGCTCCATCGTCGGCGGACGGCCAGCAAAAGCACCAGTTCCTCATCGAGGAAACCAGCCACATCCCACAGAAGAGCTTCCTGGAGGAGCTCAAATTCTGGAGCTCAGGCGATCCCAACGTCAACCTCAGGCACATCTTCCTGCGACCGTTTGTCCTGCTGGCCTACCCAACCGTCGTCTGGTCCTGCTTCGTCTACGGCCTCGCCCTCAGCTGGAACGTGATACTGGGTGCATGCGTGGCTCAGCTCTTTGGACCACCCCCTTACAACTTCAACCCGCGCGCGCAGGGCCTCTTCTTCCTCTCGCCCTTTGTTGGCTCCCTATTCGGAGTCTTCTTCTCCGGGCCCGTCAGCGACTGGATCGCGAACTACTTCACAAAGCGCAACCGCGGGATCCGCGAACCGGAAATGCGGCTGCCGACGTGTCTACTAGCAGCGTTCTTCACCTTCTTCGGGGCGCTGTGGTTCGCACTCTCCTATCAGCACCAGATGCACTGGGCCATGCCGGTGGTGGGGGCCGGGGTCCTGTCGGTGGGGAGCCAAATGGGGACCACGTTGGGGATGAACTATGCATTGGACTGTCACAAGGAGGTAAGTTTAATACTTCTCCTGCCGTGCGTGATTCGGGGCATGCCATGCTAACTAATGATTGCTAAGCTCTCCGTCGAGGTGATGATCACCATTGCCGCGCTGAAATCCTGCATCGCGTGGATTTGGACGTGGGTGATCAATGACTTTATTGACGCCAGCGGGCTGCTGTCGGTGTTTATGACGGTGGCTACGATTAATGTGGTTATCTACCTGTTCTACCTGCCATTCTACCTCAGGGGCAAGGAGATGCGCATCTGGCTGCACAATAGGAACTTTCTCCACGTAGCCGGACTTATGTAGTAAACAGGTGAGAGAACGAGGGAACGGGAACGGGGATTGGTCGGGGCGAATAGGTTACTTGCAAAGGACAAGAATGAATCTCCAATAATAGAGTTGAACCGTCCAGTCGATTGGGGGCTGAACCAGTCGAGAACGCGTAAACCCTATCAAGTATTACCGGACTGAGCAACAGCCAGGGATCCAATGTATTAGGGTTATTGCGAGACCCGCCCCCAGTCTCAGCGATCTGCCAGTCCGCCCCACGCAGTCTCATCCTGCGAGCCCGTCGGCCAGTCCGTCGCTTCCTTAGCGCAGTCCGTCCAAAAGGGGTTCCGGTGGCTTACCAGCCATGATCCATCGCGAGCCCTGACAGGCCGCCGGACGGACTCGGCCAGACTTGCCGTGACCCATTGCAGTGCCACATCAGCCTATCCATTGAACATCCATTCAAGCGATTTCCCCCATCTTGAGTTTCCGCCACCTACCCAGCTGGGCAGGTTCATACATCCATTCCCTGATCATCGCAGGAACGGCCACATGGGCATCCAACTGGGTGCAGGTGGGCGATCACACCTTCACCCCTCAGCCCATTATATCGCGTTTCGCCTGCAGCATTACATGGTGTTTCTTGCTGGTGGGGCTTGAGAATTGAGTTTTCCCTCGTGCTGCATACCCTGGGAGGAACGCAGTCTAGTCTGTCCACGGAGAGTCGCTCCGAGATGGAAGATCCTCCCCGAGATGGTGCGTCTACATCATCCTGTTCGTGCGTTTCAATTTCGTCGATTGTCTTGCATGGCTGTCTGCAGGATTGGTTCATGGTCTGAGGTTGCTCTGATTGCGTTTCCTTCTCGAGGATTAAATTTGCACGCAGGAACGAACCAGACTGGCAACGAGACTGGCCTTTAATTCGTGGCTCAAATGCAATTCCTTTCCAGAAATTGTCATCCCTGCCCCTCCAGGCTCGGTGAAATATGGATAAATGCTTGCGCCCAGTAAGCCCGCAAACCGGACCACGTCCGTATTAGTACCGGCATATCGTCCCCATCACCCTTTTCCCACCGAGTTTTATCTCATGAAGCCTGCAGTGCCAGCCATTGCCCTCCCATAGCAATGGCAGACGACAAGTCCGTTGTGATTCTGGCCGTCTCATGGGCTGAGACGGTTGTTGGCCTGATCTTCTTCGGCATGCGCTTCATCACAAACTGGAAGATTGTCGCTCGCTTCCGGCCTGATTTTAGCGTTGCGGGATTGACAGTCGTATGTCTCTCCATCTCTGAATATCTGATATCTAATTGTATACTACCTAGGCAACCCAAGTCACAGCCCAGATCTTCCTCCAACTCTCCGTCCACCATGGCATGGGCCAGCACATCGACACGCTCTCCCCCGAACAGCGAGTCCAAACCCTGCACTGGTCATGGGTCTTCCAACTGCTGGCCATTGCAGCGTCCATGCTCGGCAAACTGGCCATCCTCACCTTCCTGATGCAGATCCGCGGCCGGCACGAGAAGAAACCGTGGCTGCTGATAATATTGGGAGTTCTGATTGCAGCTGTGAATATCGCCGTCCTTGGCACCATCCTGGGCCAGTGCACGCCCATGCAGAAACTATGGGACGACTCGATACCTGGGACCTGTAATCCAGGACGGAAGATAAACCAGAATTACTCATTCTTTCAAGCCAGTGCGTCTCCTCCTCATATTCAAGTCTTCTAGGTGTGCTAATGGCCAGGCAGGCTTCAATACCTTCTCCGATGCCCTGCTCGCGAGTTACCCAATCCATCTCTTCTGGAAGTTGCAGATGAAGTTGCGCATCAAGGTAGCCTTGTCCATCCTCATGGGCCTAGGCTGGATGTACCTCTCCCCTTCCCATTATCTTTATATTTTCAACCAACTAACTCAACCAGAGCAGCAATCTGCTCCGCCGTAAAGACCTACGAGCTCAAAGCCCTCACCGAGACGAGCGATATCACCTGTACGTCCCTACCTACCATACCACAAAAAGGCCACAGCCATACTAACAAGCGTAGGGGCCCAACCAACCCTGCTAATCTGGGCATCGACAGAAGCCTGGATCGTCATCGTCGTCGGCTGCGTCCCGCCCATACGACCATTAATGGAACGAATCCTACAACGGCTCGGCCTAACATCGAAGAAAACATCTACACCGGCGTACTACAACAGCGGGAGTAACCCGTACGGACCGGGCCGATCCCTCAACACCAACCGCGGCACGAACTCGCATTTCCAAGCTGATGCGTATCGGTCTTCCAAGATGCCGTTCGCGGGTAAGGGGGATCTAGACTGGGTGGAGTTGGGAGATCTGGGCGGGCGAAATAGTGGCGGGAATGGGAGTAAGGAGCATATTGTGCCTGGGGGCAATAATGTTGTTGTGACGACGGATATAGTCACGCAGTTTGATGATCTGGAGGGTAATAGGAATCATGGTGGGCATGTGCATGCCATTTCGTCGAATGCGAGTTCTGGCTCGGAAGAGGACTGGAGACGGCAGGCGGATGTTAGGGGGGTTTGATTATGTCTTATGAGTAATGTTTAGTATAATTTTGTTTGAGTAAGGATAGATTTCAGGTTATATACCAAAGCATCATTGTTATGATTCAACAGCAGAGCATAAGTGGGCCTCGGATCCGAACAGGGCTGTGTGAGTGGTTCAACTTAGCTCCTTGGCGTGAATAACTCCCGTTGATTGGCCGGTATCTCGGTGCTCGGTGCTTGGCAGGATCAACGGTGTGCTGCATGTATAGCCTCACTCGGTGCTCGGTCCCATCTCGTCTATTTATCGACTATTTATACCGAACCTCTGCAGAAATTGACCAGACAAACAAAATTTCAAAATGCTGACACCACACCAAAGCCTCTCCATCGCCTTGATAGTCTTCTATGCCCCGTCTCTCGCCCCGACATCCTTCCTCCTGCACAAACACAGCATCGGCAAAGCATGGGGCTGGCTGTACCTCTTCGTCTTTGCAATTCTGCGAGTCACCGGCGCAGCTCTCCAATTCGCCTCAGAAGCCAGCGACAGTAACGGCCTACGAGTGGCCGCCGCTACACTCGCGTCCATCGGCGTCATGACCCTCCTACTCGGCATGCTAGAGATTATCGAGAACGTGTGCGCACTAGCCTACTACCCACTTTGACCCTATAAACTGATAAGAATAGAAAATCAACATTCCCGTCTGACCCAATCCACCCGCGCGTTTGGACACTCCTGCATCTATCACAATACGCGGCCTTCATCCTCAGCGTGATCTCCTCCTTCACCAGCGGGGACGACCTCAGCTACGCCGCAACCATAATCGTAACCACCCTCTTCGCCGTCCAAGTTATAATCTGCATCATCTTCTACATCCAACATCGCTCAGATACGCCGAACGAGAAACTAGACTGGAAGCAGGGTCTAGATGCAACAACCCTTCTCCGTCTGGCGCTGTGCAGCGCGCCCTTCCTCGCTGTTCGAGTCGTGTACATGCTCCTGTCGACATTCGCAAGCACACCCGCATTTAAAGGCAGAGATCTAGATGGTGACGGGACTCCTGCTAATGTGTATGTCCTTGCATTTATGCAGTACATGATGGAGCTTGGTGCCTTTGCGCTATTTGTATACGCGGGGTTTCTCATGCCGTCTCTGCGAAGGGCAAGGAGGGTTAACAAGGAGAGAGAGCATGAAGATAGGGTGCTTGAGTTACGGGGAAATGAAAGTATATAGATTTGCAGATTCCTAACCAATACAGATTCAACGATTGACGAACCAGAGATAGCGGCTTTAAACTTTAATAATGATGCAAGGTACTGTCGTTGAAGTAAAAACAGCCGAGCTGTACCTAAATATCTTGATTATTATTTGGTTACAGGGCTACTGAATTAGCAATCCTATGGATGGTATGGTGGTTCGGCAGTTTACCGAGCTTAATCATCTGGCGCCCCTTTCCCCGCAGAGATCAGATAACCGAGCTGGATCCTGATGAGATCACAGCAGATAAACACTTCTCGAGACTGTTCTTTCTCTCCACGTTGACAAAGGGTCATGCCTGTCTGTACGCTTCACCTTCTGACTCTCGACGGGTCCACCGGCCCCCGATCGTTCATTCAACAACTGAAAGATGCCTCGACCAAGGTCATCGTTGCCTCCAGACCTCGGCATGTTGTAATCCATCCGACGCAACTCGACAACAACCCGCTTGCGACTAAGAATTGGGATCTCATGGTTCTTCTCCAAGCAGATGCCGACAGTCAAGATCCGATTCCTGCCACCCTGCGCAGCTTGATCACAGACGAATACAGAATAACGACAGGCATCCCGTCCAAACTCGTTGCCAGCTATCCGTCCCGCAACGCAACACTGCAACGTGAATCCAGCGAATGCCCATTGACAGGTTCTCTCGAGAAAATCCTCAAGGATGGGGCTAAGTCCACGTCGCAAAACCTCGAGGTCTCCCCCAGCTTGCTTGCGTTCATGGGCGAGCTTACAAAAACGCATCCGGGCCCCGTTACCATGCTCAATCTGCTGCATTTTCAATACCCCAACGGCAAACAGAGCTACTACCAATACGGACAGGCATTCATCTCGGTCGCAGGCAAACGCGGTGGGAATGCCAAGCTGGTTGGAAATGTGGTGCCGGTGCAGTCGCCGCACAGCGATTCTCGGGGCCCGCCGGGAAGGCCGGAGCAGGACTGGTGGAATGAGATTTCTATTGTGCATTACCCCTCGATTCGACACTTTTGTGATATGCTCGCAGGCGAGGATTATCAGGCGATCAATGAGAAGTACCGCCTCTCGGTAAGCTCTTCTTTCGTCTCATTTATCACATCCGCGGATTATGCTAACAACCCAGGCGCTTCGTGATACGTTCCTTTTGTGTACTACAGAGTTTGATGTCGAGGGATTGGGATCTTCGAAGCTGTGAGGCCGTATACTCTAGACTAGTCGGCCTGGACGACGGGTACGGCGCCGATAAGAGAATCTCTTTTTTATCAACAGTCGCCCTTGCAACTCGAAGTTTGCAGTCCTGTTATGACTGGCTGTCCCCAATTTTCTTCGGTGCAGCTCAATGATAAACTTTCAGTTTAGTCCTCCAAGGGCAGGTACTTAATATAGTCCTTAATTTTGTTTTTAGAAAAGAAGCACAGAAGAGGTAGCATCTTAGAATTAAGAGTTATAGGTGGAAACGTGGCTGTTTATAGCCTTCGTAGCTGTCAGTTTGGACGTCAATTTGACAGGTCCTCCGCTTCTGGTTGTAATGGGCCATGGGCTATGGTTCCATACTTCCGGTGCTCTGCTAGGGCAATCCGAGAGCGTCCGATCCATGCACCAAGAAACTGAAACCCCGAGAAGCATCTGTGGTAAACGCCGCGGACGATGTTTGTCGTCGAGGAAAACGAAGACCCAATTTTATTGACTACCCGTCCATACAAGTACGGTTAACCCCGGAATAAGACGCATAGATAAGCCGTGGGGTCCGTGAGGTTGGAGTAACCCATCTCGCTGACGGTTGCCCTAACTCAAGTTGAAGTTCAATACGGAACGCATATAAACCCTTCTGTCCCTACTACTTAGCAACACTCTCCAAACTCTAGCAACATGTCTACAAACCGCCAGGCTCGGGCAAGAATCGCCCTCTCCTTCGACTTCGACGCCCTCTCCGCCTTCATAGGCACAAGCGACCACCCCGACAACACCCTCTCCGACTACAGCACGGGCGTATTCGCCGCCCACGTCGGCTCACGCCGCCTCCTCCACGTCCTCAAAAAGTACAACATCGCCGACAAAGTCACCTGGTTCATCCCAGGCCACACAATCGAAACATTCCCGGAGCCGGTCGCCGAAATCGTCGCCTCAGGCGCCGAGATCGGATTACACGGGTACGCCCACGAAGGAGCCACCCAGATGACACCAGCCCAAGAACGAGACGTACTCGTGAAATGCATGGCCGTTGCACAGAAACTCACCGGCAAGAAAGTGCTCGGCTACCGCGCGCCTATGTATCAGATCCGGGAATCGACGGTCTCCTTACTGCGTGAGTTCGGGTTTCTGTATGACTCGTCGCTGAGCCACCACGATTCCCAGCCATACTTTACACCTGCTGATGGAGCGCCGGAGCGGATTGATTTCGGCAAACCGGCGAGTTCGTGGTTGAAGCCTTCGCCTGTTACGAGGGATTTGCATGTTACCCCCGCTGGGGGGATTCATCCGCTCGTTGAGATTCCAACGGGGTGGAATAACGAGGATATGATGGCGCTGCAGTATTTCCCGCATCTGGTGAACACGCAGGGGCAGGTGGATGCGCGGGTTGTGGAGCAGCGGTGGAAGGACATGTTCTTGTGGCTGTGGGAGAATGCAGAGGTTGATCGCGAGGATGGCACGTTTGTGTTTCCGCTACTTATGCATCCTGAGACCAGTGGGCTGCTGCATGTTATTGGGATGGTGGAGAGGTTTGTCAAGTGGTTGTGTGAGTGGGGGGATAAGGTGGAGTTTTGTACCTTTGAAACAATTGCAAAAGATTATTTGCATGAACGGGGTGTCTGTTAAACCTCTAATTGAACTAACTAGTATTTTACAGTGTGAGTATTGCTTGAGACTGGTATACATGGCAAACATGTACTACAATGAAAGTTATACAACAATCAGTACGCATGGGACATCAATTTACTACTACTAGCTAGTTTACTCAAATCGTAAATTTATTTATTCTAGGCTAATTCGTATATCATGTCTCATAAACTAATAATCATATTTATCAAACGAGAGCAAAGCCGGATCCAACGAAAGCGGCGCCTGCTGCTGCTCATCCCTACACTCCGATGCCGTATTATCCGGCCCCCAATTAAACGCATCCCCCAGAATCTTCATAGAGGCAAAGCCGGAATCATCAGACGCCTGCCGTCCGGCGGCCATTGCCTCTCTCCCCGCCGAGACAACACCAGTACTCTCTCGGCCCTCTGCTTGCATCGTGATGTGGTCAAACAGCTTCTGGCTAATAAGGAACGCGCGCCGCGAGCTGGGATCCTGCTTCGCCATACTATGCAGCCAGAAGAGGGCCTTCTTCGACGCATCGCGCACAGCCTTAACACCTTCCCCGTCTCGCTCTTTGCCCAGTCTGTTCCCGTCCGTGGTGAGGATGGGCACCTGGCCGATTGAAAGCTGGATCAGCAGGATCGTCAGCGCGCGCATTATAGTATGCAACAGGTACCACCACGAAGCCATCTCCAGAATCCACTTCATGTCCGGCTCGTCGGGGAGGACGGATATAATCGCCAGAGCGAAGTGGACGCAGGCTTTTGCGCTGGCGTCGCCGAAGCACGAGCGCGGGATTATTATATTAGTGCCGGCTTTGATGTCCGGGTGTGTTAGGCAGGGTCGGTTTAGTATAACCTGTGACCCGTAGTAAGCCAAGGCAAGACCGATTTGTTCTCTCGAGTCGGTTGATGGGGATTTTTGGGTTTGCTCCGCGTGTGTCGCGTTGAACACAGTGAATTCGAATACGGGCTGCAGGCTTGATAGCTATGACTGGAGCTTTCCTTGGTAGAAGAGGATGCTGCTTTTCACACTGTTGGTGGTGGCGGTTAGACTGTAGACGGCATTACTGGCGGCGTTCATGGTAACTGCCAGGTCGGTGAGGTAGAAGAAATACAGGGACTGGCTGGGTATAATAGTTTCAAGCCATGGATCTCGTATATATAGCTCCGAGGTAGTCGAATCTATAGTCCACTGCAGTTGTCTTCGACGTGAGGATGGACTGCCCGGGAATTCTCTGGCTGCTGGCTGCCGGAATCGGATTTCATCATATGGCGGGGGTAGATGCGGAGGCATGGATTGATAGTCAACATGTGATATCCGACCAGTCATGCCGGAGAGTATATTCTCTAAGACGATAACGGACCACCAGATACGAGCACGGGTCTCTTGAGACGAAGGGTCTATGTGCTCCTTGTCTGCACGCAGATTGAGACCCATCGAGATTGCCAAGCGTGCAGCGTGACCATTTATCTGCCATGATCTATCAGACGTCAGCCAAATAACTAAGACTATAATGGCGGGCCGTACTGGTTTACTTGACCCGAGGCCAGGTAATAAATGGCCAGCAGCAGGTGAATTTGGACTTGTTGCAGTCCCGAAATCCTGGTGGCTATACCGGAGGGAGCACTTAGGGTTATTGCTCGGGAAAGAAAGACACGATCGTTGATGTCTCTCCTGGAATCCGGCTCATATAGCTGATGGTATCTAGAGCCCACAGCGAGCACCATGTTGAGCACGGCAAGCCATTTGCGCGACGGCTCCGGTCCCGAACAAGTGTACGCCTGATCGAACTGGGCCGTGAATAGTGTTTTATCGATCAGTGGAAACGAAGGGTCCACCAATTCAAAGAAGATCTTCACCAAGTGGGCCGCCCACGGCTTAGGGGGTAGCCATCTTGGTTCAGTGGGAACAAGTTCGGGTATCTGGACGTGATCAAGGTGATAGTTCATTGACGTGGCGGAATCGTCAATCTGTGACTGGGTATTTTTATTTAGCATGGCACCTAGATCCTGCAGCCACGAGATTTCAGATGCTTTGCCAATATACCCAGTTGCCCTGCTGGCCTCGTCGCGATTAGGATCTTTGCCCACCTCAAACCCAACAGGTGATGAAACACAACGCACAGGCTACAAGATATTAGATTTACATTAACTGGGATATGGCTTACATACCGGGAAAACCCCGTCCAGAGCTCGATCCTCCTCGATCTTCGGCTGGCATCCATCACTTAGAGTTTCTGGGACCTAATCGAGTCAGCCTGTAACATCTACATGGCAATCACAAACCTGCTCATCCACGGCATCATGAACAGACCGTCCTGCTCGGTATTCCTGCGCAGCAAACAGCAGACGATGGAGCTGTGCATTATCATCCGCATTGAAAGCTTTAATAATACCATCTAACAGCTGATTGGCCGTGGTAAGGTCCTTCTCCGCACGCCTCTGGGCATATTTCCTTCGCCGATCGCCCTCGACTACAAACATGCAGTTGCGGCCTGCTTCGGTGCATTTATCACAAGGATGCGTCCCACCACACTACGAATGCGTCAACAGTGGAAGAAGAATGTAGCTAAGAGCTGGGCAATTACTTTGATTCTCCGCGTCTTACACGCTATACACGCATTGGACCGTTTCGTCCGCCGTGGGACGGGGCCGGACGCCTTCAGGGGGTTATCGGGGGGGAATGGGGCGAGGACTCGTGGCAGGTCATGACCGGGGCGTGATGTCATGCTCAACAGAGGAATTGTTTGAAATTCAGGGCAGTGGCAAGGACGTGAAGTGACAGCTTCTCTCCACCAGGACAACTACATAAAGAGCGCTGGCTCTGAATGACGTCATTGGAACGACGTCATGGGAAAGACGTCATTGCCCTTCGCTGACTCAGCGCTGTATGTCAAAGTAAACCATCTGTATACTCGATCTATTTGGTAAATGACGAGGCTGAGAACATTTGGCTTGGTAGCAACTGTTCCTGAAGATAGATTTTTCTCATGGTTCATTTGCTTCTTCCACAATATATGTTTATAACCAGCACAGCTACGTAATTATGCGATGGGTCTGAATATATCCTCGAAGAGATATATGGAGACTGCATACTTATATCTACAATGCTGGTCAGCTGCGGGAGTGTGATTGCAAGTGGGAATGCCAGGTCCTGCAGCGGCGTGGATGGCCTGTTGACGCGGGTAGCCGAACCCACATTCAGAGCTTGTATACCTCCGTGGGAAAGGAAGGGCGCAAATATAGCACTCCATCCCATTGTCTCGACGCTAACATCTTGCGCAACCACATCCAGCTGGTGCTGGGTCTGGTTGGTTGATCCTGACGTGGTTAAAAACGCCGTGGCTGCATGCTCTGTGGATAGACTGAGGGGATGGCTCGTATCGGCATCCCATCCCAGCGTCTTGGTGTAGGCAGCCCAGGCAGCACCTCGTATCAGCCCTCGTATTCCAAATCAGCACCAGAATACAAATACGAGGCAGCCCCTTTCATCTCCCAGACAATGTGCATCAGCAACGTTTCGAGAGATCATGGAAGTAGACGCAGACGCAAGACGCCTCATCCCCTGGCGCATCAAATCCGGCTTCTTCACAGCAGACGAAATCATCGAGATCGTCGCAGACTATCTCATCAACTCGCATCGTGATAAGACACTCTCCCAAGCGCAGGACGCAATCCGCCCAATCGTCGAACTCGAATGGGCCAGCCAACTCGAACGGCAGAAATCGTGGCCTGACGAGCCTACAATTTCGGAGAAACTTTCCAAGGCCTTCTCCTCGCTTGAGCGGATTCATCGAATCCTTGCCCGGATGAACTTCGCCTGCTGCCAGAGATGTGGGGTTTCCGAGCTTTCGGGCGAGAGCGATGAGGATACGCGGGGGTATGTCTTCTTCCACGAGCAGGATACCGAGATCATGGCTGGGGGTGGGGATGTGTTGCTGTCCTATGGGTCGTTTACGCAGTCGGAGGAGAGGACTCGAGCTGTTGGGGATGTGATTGCCAAGTCGTTGAGGCGGGCTGGGCTGAGCGTTGAGTGGGAGGGGGATACGAAAAAGAGGATGTTGGTTCACTGTGACGAGTGGAGGAGGAGGATTAGGGAAGATGGAGAGGTTGACTCGGATTTCTCTGATGAGAGTGACACGGCGGAGCCGGTTCGGACTTCTGATGTTGAGGAGTGACCAGGCTGCCTTGCTACAGTGTATTTCATGTGTAGAATCGCGGTGTTGTTTTCATTGCAGCGAGCAGACATGCACGGCGCTTACTTCCGGTGCTCGTATGGAAAGGCCTGGTTGCTCTGGTAGCTATGACTATGCAATTTTGTCCTACATATCGCTGTCATAAGTATCAACCTCTTTCGTTGCCAGAAGGCATTCAACTCGCCTAAGTTATTAGCTGGAACCTCAAGGAAAGCCTTTTCAGGTGGAAATCCTTCGTTACATGGTATTGCCGTCCTTGGAATAACTCCAGAGCCTTTCAAACTCATGCCAACCCCCAGGCGGTGCATCCCACATGGCCAATTCACGAACCACGGTGTCGTAGTATCCGTCGCTGGGCATATTCCCCTGACAGACATTTCCCCCAACAGCGATGTTGATGAGGATCCTGAATTCACTCATCCTCCTCGTACCAGGCGGCTTCTCAGCTCTCATAACAGGCCTGCCATCAATCAACCAAACCAGCCGTCCTCGACCCGTAGCCTCATCCTCATCCCAGATAAAGTCATACCTTACCCCGACCGGCGACGTAATATTGGGAATCGGAGTCTCAAGCACACGATGCTTATTCCAATCCTCGCCATTGAAATGTCCCCAATGCAAACAGGTATGGTTAACTGCATCCCCATTCCACGCCTCCATAATATCCACCTCCCCATCCTCAGGCCACCGAAACGGATCTCTAGGCAGCAGCCAAAACGCCGGCCAAACACCCCTTGCCACCGGCGCGATGATTCTAGCCGACAGACACCCCCTCGGCCGAGCGAGGGTATGGTGACTCGATAGCCTAGCGCTGGTGAACTTCTGGGCCGGGTCAGGATGGCCGTGGTTGATCAGCGCACGCACGATTAGTGCATCGCCCTGCGTGGCATGGAATGAGTTTTGCGGGCTGTCGACGTAGTTCTGCGCCTCGTTGTTGCCCCAGCCGTGTTGGCCCTGTTCGTGGTGGAAGTTTGCGGAGACCGGGACTTGCGGGTGGAGATTGGGTTGCCAATATACCTGGGGTTGTTGCGCATAGCCATAACTTGGTGGTGCTGGTGGTGGGCGAGTCGAGGATGGAATTGGCGGTGGGGGCGGAGGCCTGTTGTAGGATTGTCCTGGCTGAGACTGAGAGGAATTGGTGAATTCTCCCAATGCCTTCTCGGCCTTGTTGACGATGCCCTGGAAGGCCTGTCTGATTGGCATGTTGGCTGTAGTGGTACAGTGATGGACGTCGTGGGGACGCGGAAGGAGACAACACAGTGGGAAGCAGAGCTGACGTCATTGTTTACCGGGTATTGCTGCCCCAGGCACAAACATCATGCAAACTGTGCAACCCCATTGGCTTAAAATCCTGCATATTGGCATGATCAATTATTTCGCCAACACCACATATCTCTCCAAGTATGACAGAACCAACTGGAGAAGAACCATCCAGAGCAGAGCGCTTTAAAGCCACCCACCTCGCCGCCCGGCACGGCAACTACCACCACTACTACGCCAAGTTCCGGGCACAGGCCGTACCAGATGAACGCCTTTCACTTCTCCCAACTGAGATCCTGCGCAACGCACGGGTCATAGATCTCGGCTGCAACGCAGGAAAGCTCACCCACGAGGCAATCGCGCACTGCGGTGCGGCAGCCGCTGTGGGCGTCGATATCGACCCGTGGCTGGTTGAGCAGGCGAAGGCAGCGTACCCGGACGGGCCGTGCACGTTTGAGCACTTTGATTTTGTGGATGCGTCTGCATACACAGGCACGGCCCTGGGGACGTTTGATGTTGTCTTGCTGCTGTCCGTTACGAAGTGGGTTCATTTGAATAGCGGGGATGATGGGATGTTGGCGCTGTTTAAGCATATACGCAGTATATTGAATGAAGGGGGGTATTTGGTTGTTGAGCCGCAGCCGATGAGCAATTATGCGAGGGCTTCGAAGAGGAATAAAGAGTTGAGAGAGACGTATAAGAATATTCAGATTAGACCACCGTTTGATGAGGAGTTGAAGGCGCAGGGGTTTGAGAGGATACTTGAGTTCGAGAGGGACGAGGAGGGGTTTGCTAGGCCTGTACATGTTTGGAAAAGGACATCATGACATGATTAATGCAGAGGACATCAAATACATCAGACTATGGCTTTGGGAAGATGTAGGGTTTTTCTGCTTCTCGTTAATATTAGGGTGTTCGTGATTTCGTACCTGTCTTAACAAGCGGATACTTATTTAGAAGACGAGGGTACTTCCTGTTAGAGGGTATAAGTGACCTGAAATGTGCAATTAAAATACAAGTAACCATCTACACTCCAATGCGCAAGGGCCAAGAGCAGGTCAGCGTATGTAGCAATGATCGGACAATCTGCTGGATAATAGCACAGAACGCTCTCCAAAGTGAAACGCGGTGGAACCCGTGGGGCCTGTACGATGGACCCTGAATCTGGCCGCGTCATCGGGGAAAACACGCGACGATCTGGCAAGTTTAACTGGATTGCAACTTAATTTCCAAGGGCGGGGAATTGAGACGAATTCAGGGTCCAAGCTGGCACATTTAGCTTCCTCAGTTTCACCAGCCATCTGCCTGATGTTCTACAATATGGCAAACAGCGCAATTACAGCCGAAAATGTATACCAGCGATTCCCCGAGCTTGAACCGCTCACTAGCACATCCAACCCCGGTAAACTCTCCGCAAGCGAAAGCGACTTGAGCGGGTACGATGCACAGCAAGCCCAACTAATGAACGAGGTCTGCATCGTGGTAGACTCATTCGACACTCCCATCGCGCGAGCCAGCAAGCATGCTTGTACGTTTACACCAACGTTTACACTTTATACCTAATGCAAGCTGACGATTCTAGGCCACCTGATGAAAAACATAAACGCGGGCTTATTACACCGCGCATTCTCATGCTTCCTCTTCAACTCGCGGAACGAGTTACTGCTGCAACAGCGCGCAGACGCAAAGATCACTTTTCCCGGTCTGTGGACGAATACCTGCTGTTCGCACCCGCTGGATATCCCCGGGGAGGTGGGTGATGATTTCGCGGGTGCGGTCGAAGGCGTCAAACGAGCAGCGCAGAGGAAGTTGCAGCAGGAATTGGGGATCAAACCTGAGCAAGTCCCTATTAAAGACTTTGAGTTCCTGACGCGAGTGCATTATCTCGCTGGTGATGGGAAGTGGGGGGAGCATGAGGGTGCGTTTTACAAATCTTTAGCATGTGGTGGCTTGTGCTAATGGTTAGTTGATTATATCCTGTTTATACGGGCTGAGGTGGATGTTGATGCGAACCCGAATGAGATTAAAGATATGCGGTGGGTATCTCCGGAGCAGCTGAGGGGGATGCTAGAGGATACTTCTCTGAAGTATACGCCGTGGTTTCAGCGTATTTGCGAGGGCTTGTTGTTTAAGTGGTGGGATAGCCTAGGGGCACCTGAGTTTGACAAGTACAAGGAGGAGACTGAGATTCGGCGGATGCTATAGACTTACTCTGCTTGGACGGATTATTTTTACATAGCGCAGATAAATTGTATATGCCGGCGTATAAAAGAAATAGATCAACCCCCACTCATAACCCTCCTCCCACTCCGCCTCAACACAGCCATCCACCGCGGTCCAGGCATGCCATCATATCCATCCGAGTCCCACACCTCCTGTACCACATCCCAAAGTATCGAAATGCTACCAATACAATACCGCTGCACATTAACCCACCACGTCCTCCACAACGGGCGCTGATCAACCGCCGCTTCACAAGCTGCAATAAATCCCGGCCAGACAATGGGGGCCATGGCGTTCCATCCGCTGCGGGTGCTGACGGAGGACTTCAAGGTTTCAGCTGCGAGGAGGTTCGTTACGCAGATGTGGTTGTAGTCTGCTCCAGTTCGTACTGCGGGGTCCCAGTTCGTTAGGGTGTAGAAGTGGATGACGAGGGCGGCGTGGAAGGCGAGGATGTGGCAGCGGAGGAGGGAGAGTGTTTCTGTGTCGTCGGGAGGAACCGAACTTAGAGGTTCGTCTGTGATGGACCAGGATGTTAAGGCGTTGTGGGTTGTTGAGATTGCTCTTTCCAAAGAGTCAGGAATTGGGATGTAGTTTGTGGTGTAGTAGCAGAGGTGCTGTGATAGGCAGATGGTAAGGTCCATGTAGCTCGCTAATGTGGCAGTAATGCCATATGTGAATTCTAGACTATGATTATCAGGGAAGAATGGAGACTTTGCCAATAAGCCCTCGATCGTCACTGGATCCCCCTTCCAGGGTTTTGGCGGTAGATATGGATCGGTGGAGCGAGATAGAGTGCCCATGAACGAGCAAATCGTTAACAGCTGATCAGTACCTGGGGATCGATTCTGCTTGACTACTGAAAGCAGCTTCTCGCAGCCATCCAGGTGGATCCAGAAATCCGACATGCTCCCTTCCATGAGCTACAACAGTTAGCCGATGATACACTTTGTTCATGAATACATACATCTATTGAAACCATGGACAGCATAGCCGACATGGTAGTGTGGAAGTCGATATTCCCCTCAGTAATCGATAATTGCAAGCTCTCGATTGCCTTCAACCGATGTAATCGTCCCTGGTTATACCGCGACTCACTTGGACAGTGCCGGTGCATATGAAAGGCTGAGACAGCCAGCAGAGCATGCAGCAGCGCCGTACCAACATGCGAAGGCGTCCCACTCACACCGACTAGTAGCAAGGCCGCCGCAGCGTCCATCGCTTTCGGGACATACAGAGACCGGTACGGATTCTGACTGTGGTGCGTTGGCTGCAGCAGATCGGCGACGACATGGATATAGTTGTGCATTAATTCCGTCATTGCCGGCTCGACATGGACTGAGAGCTCCGATGGCAAACACATTACCTGCCCTCCAACTAGTTCCAGCTGCATATCATCCAGACTTTCCTCTAATATCCTGGGACTGTCATTCCTGCGGCCATCCCCCAGCACACAGTCATATGCAAAAGCCGAGAACGCACCGACAGCGCCCTCGCCGACAAGATTCACAATCGCCTCGAGCTCATCTAACATGCGGTCAACCTCTTCAAGATCGGCATGCACCGGCAGCCGAGGATCATAAATAAGCATCGCCTTGCGCTTAACCTCGCAGGGCCGCTCATCTTCCCCGCCAATCCAATGCAGCGCGACAGCGTAGCCCTCGCACGAATCCCCACAGCGACGACACAGCGGCCGGCGACTATCGCATTTTACCTTGCGGCGACGACATGTCCAGCATCTATCATTGTCAGTACAACTCGGCAAATCAAGGTGTCGGGAATACCCGGCAAAGGTTTTGGTTTTTGTTACGCGGCGGGGCATAATGTGGGAGGTATTGATGGCGAAGCAGGTGTCAGCGATAGACGAGAATTATGTTAACTAATAAAGACAGCGCTTTGGTAGGAGACGATGTGATAAAAGAGGATAATCAGACGGAATTAGACGGGGAAGTCGTCAGCGAGAAGAGCGGGGTTGGAGACGGTGGAGACTCTTATCGTGAAGTTATAAATACTACAAGTATAATACTAAGTATAATGCTATCGTTATCTTCACTCAAGACAACCATGAAGTTCTACACAGCTCTGTTGGCCTTTGGCCAAATTGCCTACACCGTCAATGTCGGGCCCGACTACCAGCATCCCATTGAAGGTCAGACTCACCACTACACATACAGCAACACCACTAACGTCTACAGACCTCGACAAGGATCTCCCCTTCTCGCAGCCCGTCACATTCGCCCATCTCGAATGGCAGCGCTGTCTCGCCGAGTCACACAATACAGTACGCACCTCCATAGTATTGCTGATCCAGCTAACCAAACAGCCCATCGACATCGCAGTCCTAGGCTTCCCCTACGACACCAGCACATCCTACCGCCCCGGCGCCCGCTTCGGACCACGCGGTATCCGCGCCGGGTCGTCGCGCGAGAAAAAAGGCCGCAGCTACAATACCGTCTGGGGGGTTGATCCATTCGAAGAAGACCTATCTATTATCGACTGCGGCGACATCCCGATCACGCCCTTTGATGCCGCACATGCATTCAAACAGATGGAACAAGGATACAGACAGGTCCTGCACCATGAGACGACATCCAACGGAAGTAAAGCGGGCTGGACGCATCCTCGCATTGTGAGTCTGGGCGGGGATCACTCGATTGTTCTTCCGATCCTGCGCTCGCTGAAGACTGTCTACGGGCCTATTTCTGTTATCCATCTTGACTCGCATTTGGATACTTGGGATCCGTATGAGGGGTATACGGGCATTGCGTCGGAGCAGAGCGCTATCACGCACGGGACGTTCTTCTGGCATGCCAGTCGGGAGGGATGTATTAAGAAAGGAGCGAGTGTGCATGGTGGGCTTCGCACCAAGTTATTCGGGCCGAAGGATTATGAGATTGATGAGAAGAATGTTGGGTTCCACCGCATTGAGGCGCATGAGATTGATGTTATTGGCGTTGAAGGCATCGTGAAGCGCACGGTTGATGTGGTTGGAGATAACCCGGTGTATTTGTCTATTGATATTGATGGTACGCAGCCCTAACCCTCCATGATGAAGTTATTATGGCTGACCATGCAGTTCTTGACCCGAGTATTGCTCCTGCGACTGGAACTCCTGAGTCTGGGGGCTGGACGACGAGAGAGCTGAAGCGGTATATCAAAGGCCTGGAAGGACTCAACCTTGTTGGAGCAGATGTTGTAGAAGTCAGTCCGCCGTACGATTCAACTGCAGAGACTACTTCGGTGGCTGCTGCAGATTTGATCATTGATATCCTGGCGGCGATGACCAAAAACAAGAAGGGCGTTGCTGTTCGGTCAGCAGGCAAAGATGAGCTGTGATACCATGACAGATGGCAGGCACTTAACGATAGAGGACCTTCTTAAGCTAATACCTAGCTATGAATGGAAATATCCACACGATATATGAACGTTTTGCGATGGTAGACTCGTGGTCACCATAAGCATGTCTTAGAGGCCTGTTACAATTGATAGCTGTACTTTATCTCACTGGTCTAAACGTCTCAACGTATCCCTTGCCTTATCTCTACCACGGTGAGCGGAAAAAAACCGGCGGAGTTTCCCGGCGGAAAACGGGATAAGAATTACCCCACACCAGCTCCCCAACCTCCAGATCTCCAACTCGATCAGCCAATTGGAGTTGTTCCAGCAGTATACTTGGAGTTACTGGAGCTCTTTGGTTCCCGGCGGGCAACCAGACCTTCCCCTCACATCCCACCATCCCACATTATAAAAAACCTCCTACCTGATATTTTCCTGCTCACGTTCTTCTCTCATTTATCAAAATACAATCACAATGAGTAAGGGTCCATCATACCTCATCCTAGGCGCCGGGGTCTTCGGCGTCTCGACAGCCTACTACCTCATCAAATCCAACCCCAACGCCTCCATAACACTCGTCGACCGTGACGCCTTCGACGCCGAAACCCGCGTCGCCGCATCCTGGGACTGGAACAAGGTCGTACGCGCCGACTACGCCGACATCGACTACTGCAGGCTAGCCCTCGAAGCACAGGATATATTCAACAACGACCCGCTGTGGAAGCCGTATTTCCACGAGACGGGGGTGTACTGGGTTTGTCGGGATGAGTACGGGCAGGATGTGGTGAATAACTACAAGAAGCTAGGGCGCAAGGCGGAGATTGCGGCGTATCCGCTGGAGGAGGCGAGGAAGATGTATGGTGGGTTGTTTGATAAGGCGGATTATACGGATGCGAGGGAGGTGCTTGTGAATAAGACGAGTGGGTGGGGGGCTGCTGGGGATGCGTTGAGGGCTGTTACGAGGGAGGTCATTAGGCTGGGTGTCAAGTATGTGCAGGCCGATGTCAGGACTCTGCTGTTTAATGGGGATGAGTGTATTGGAGTCAAGACTGCGACGGGGGAGGAAATTAAGGCTTCCAAGGTTGTTTTGTCTACCGGTGCCTTTACGGCGAAGTTGCTGGAGTATAGCGCTGCCGCTACTGGGAAGGAGGATCTTAGGGCTGGACCCAGGATTGTTGCTGGAGGAATCACGACGGGGATGGTGACGCTGGACGAGACGTCGTATGACAAGTTTGCGAAGATGCCGGTTGGCTTCCAGGGCTATGCCGCTGATAAAGGTACGCCTTACGCCCTTATGCATAACCAAGCTAACAAGTCAGGTCCCTTCCTGGGTACTCTTCCCCCAACGCCAGAGAAGCAGCTGAAGTGGTGGGGAGCGACGATCTTCAGCAACACACAAGAAGTCCTCCCCGGACGATTCGTATCAGCACCGCCAACAGACCAAGATTACTCTCAGTGGAACGTGTCCAAGAAACTGCAAGACGACGTCCGCTACTCCGCGCGCATGTTCTACGGCTCCCAAACCGCCTCCTGGAGCTTCGACAAATTCCGAGTCTGCTGGTAAATCAAACCCCTCCTATCTAGGATTCCATAGCTAATTCTTCAGGGACGCATTCACCCCAACCGGAGACTTCATCATCTCCCCGCACTCCGCTGCAAAAGGCCTGTATGTGGCGACATGTGGCTCCTTCCACGGCTTCAAATTCTTCCCCATCATCGGGAAATACATTGCGCAGATGCTAGTGGGGGAACTTGATTCACATCTCACACAAAAGTGGGCTTGGGACCGCACAGCCGAGCAGCTGGATTCGTCTCTTAATCCGGAGTGGCCCAGGTCGGAAATGAAGGATATGCTGGATGCGAAGGTTGTAGCAAAGCTTTAGTAGCGAAATTCTGAACAAAGCGATATGTTTTGCAATTTGATATGTAAGGACTCGTTGCAGCACATAATGTCTAGTGTAAGAGAACGGTTCCACTTGCCCGTCCGTTGCGCCGCGGCCAATATCAAAGGTATTAATAGTCCCAGCACCGACAGAACCACAAGAAGTATTGAACAAAATGTCCAGTCCACCATTCCAAATTCCCAACTGGCAGCAAGCCGCTGCTGAGAAACGTCGTCGACGCGACGAGAGCATCCCCCTTCCCCACCGATTACCACTACACCCTGAACGGGGTGCTAGGAGACTGCTGCCCGCAGACCAAGAAGTCCTGAACTGTGGTATCCTGACACCGTTAGATATTGAGATAACGGATATTGGTCACGCAGCAGTCCTGCTAGAACGCATTGCGAAGAAGCAGTATACTGCAGTAGCGGTGACGGAGGCGTATTGCAAGTGGGCGTCGATTGCACAGCAGACTGTTAACTGTCGTGCGGCGATACTTTATGAGCAGGCATTTAAGCAGGCAAGACTCCTTGATTAGTACATGGAACAAAGTGGGAAGACTGCTGGGGTCTTGCACGGACTACCGGTGTCTCTGAAGGTGAGCTCGAATATGATCGTGTGAACTCAATGTTAACATAGCATTAGGATCTATACGAGGTTGAAGGTGTCCACGCTACCGCGGGACTTGTATCCTGGATCCGAAATATCTCCTCCGAGAACCCATCAATCACAAAAGGCATCCTGGCCGCGGGCGGGATCATCTACGTCAAGACCAACGTGTCGCAGGGCCACCTGATGGTCGAGTCCATCAACAACATCTTTGGCACGACTACGAATCCACTCAAGCCAGCCCTAAAAACACTACATTGTCAGTATTCTTAGCTTCCATCCCAGCGCAGTGCACAGACTTTATGTCGGGAAAAAAGCTCGTCATGACAATGTAAGCACTAGGAACTGAAGATCATATTGACAACCAGCAGGCAGAAGCGCCAAGATAAGGCTACAGAGGTAAAATATGATATATAAGGCCTTCAACCCGTATCACTCTGTATAAAGCAATAACCCGATCAATATGGAAAACATGAACCAAATAACTTACCCAGTACTACGAGAAGATGCACCGATAAGAGACTTGAAGCTCTCGAGTGCGCAATTTACTGGACTACCCGATGAGGTCGATTTCGATGACGACAATCCATTCTCTGGCTCTTGTACTACTGCGCGCTATACTTCTCCTGATGAAACATCCTATACTATCCTCATAGAGTGCCAATTATCTGCGTTGGAAGGATCTAAACCCTCAGACGCTGAGCTCCGCCGTCGTAACCAGGTAGTCGCCCTCCTCAGCAAGGCAAGTCAACTTCTCAGGGATGGAGACACAACCTGCCGCATTCCCAAGTGCCTAGGCTGGTTCACCTTTAGGGCCCTACACGACGGCACCGAAACCGAAATTCTTGCCTTCGCATCCGAGGTACCTCCATGGGTTGACCCTACAATACCACCTTTCTCCCTACGAAAGATCATGGAACAGGAGTATTGGATAGGCAAGAGCAGGCCGTCATTGAACGCAAGGATCCGCCTCGCTCGCGCAGTGGCACAGGTGGTTTATAACCTTCAATGTGCCCAATGGCTCCATCGATCGTTCGGGGGTCACCAGATAATGTTCTTCTATGACGAGAGCGGAAATCTACACATGGACGAGCCCTTCCTACGTGGGCTCTTGCACTCGCTTTTAGATGAGCAGCCAGTCGAGAACGATCATCCAGTGCGGGATGGAGTCAATGCTCAAGGGTCCGGGTCGTACTCGGAACCGGTGGTGGAAACGCATGTATACAGACACCCGGACCTGTGGACCGCGAACCCGAGGGAATATCGACCCTCTGACGACATTTACAGTCTCGGTGTGGTGTTGTTGGAGATTGGGATGTGGAGGATAGTCGGTCCTGATGTCAAGCAGAGGGAAGATGTTCATCTGCTGAAAGTAGCCAAGCAGACACTTCCGGCCGCTACTGGGGAGACATACCTGCAGGTTGTGGTTGACTGTCTAGAGGGGATGCAAAGTGACTCCCGTGCGGATGCTGGATCTTCTAACGAGGGTGGTAATGGGCTTGAAAGGCAATTACTGTGGAAGGTATTACGGCCGCTTGAACAGCTCGGGGTGTGATTATTCAATTGCTATATCGCATGGAGCAGTTGCATTGTCTTAAATTGACAATCCACGTGGCCATCATGTATTATATCGAACTTTAGTTGTAAACTGAAAGTGCGATTACCAAGCCACCCCGGACGTACTAAGCTCTAAATACGAACCTCGTATCGAGCAGGGGAGAATCTGACCTCCTTTCCAGCCTCACCCCTCAACACACTCGCAAAGGCAATGGCATCCACCGCTCTCCCGTTCGATATCCAGTATCTGATTCTGGAACAGTTATCCCCGTCTGAACTAACCGAATCAACCTGGCAGCCAATAATCAACGCCATGTGCGTCTGCCGTGAGTCTCACTCGCCAAGGTGAAAGTCACACCAACTAACAAAAAAGGCCGGTGGTATGACTCCCTCCAGCAGCTCCTGATCCAGACCCACACCGCATCGACGCTTCTAGAAGTCTGTTATCCACTTGGGCAATTCGCACTGGAGCGGCTGGCGGTGGATTACCGGTATGCCGCACGGGAAAGCACCACGTCCTCAGGCTGGATACCCACAACATACGCAGCAAAGCCCTATCGAAATCAGGTGGAAGTGGGTAATGGTACTATGGAAGACGTGTTGGGCGAAGATCTTCGCAACTGCATGTGTATCGCAGTTTTACTGGAGTACGTGGACTGTCTAAACATCGCTCTGAAGACGGGTGTCGACCCGCAGGACTGCTTCCATAAATATATAATGATGGCCGGGTATATCCCTGTGCTAGAGTTCCTTCTCGAGGGGGGGTACATAACCATGAACACGAAGATCGAGGGGAGAAGCCTGCTTGCAGAAGCGCTACGATATTCCAAGGCCGACGTCGTCGCGTTCCTCCTCGCCCGTGGCGCAGATCTGAATATCCGGCTGGATGCATTGCTGGAAGACACCGAAGGTTCACTAAGCCCCGTCTCCTACGCGGCCTTCGTAAACGATATTGAAACGGTAAAGGTTCTGCTATCACATGGAGCGGAGGTTGAAGATCCGGAAGCCGATGAGCCACCAATATGGTGGGCGATTTCCAATCGCAACGTTGACATGGCGCGTCTGTTTATCGAGAAAGGCGTCGATCTTAGTCCAACGATGCGTGGTATGTGGCCGTTATGGGTGGCCGTGAGGACTGGGCATGCTGGAATGGTGAGGCTGATCCTGGAGGCGGGTGGGATGCCGGAGGATCCTAGTGATATTACGCACTTGTATTATGACATTGCCATTTGTGGCAATCCTGAGATTCATGAGATGTTCGGTTTAGATCTAGATTCGATACAGTCTTGATATCCAAATATGTTCAGCTCAGTGGAGTATGCCGAAGGGCCTAAGCTGAGGGGCGTGAACTGAGTTACAATAATGCTAATATGCACATGCTTGGTATAGATTGCAAGACTGTACAGGCTGTACATGCATATCTCATTTGATATATTCTCCACCTTGGGATGCTCGAATGTCCACCCACATCGCACATCTGAAGACGTAACTGCACTCAGTTCCCAGGAAGGTTAGTAATAAACGCCACTTGCACAGCTGCAAAGCTATCCAAAACTGTCAGCTTATGAAGTCAAATAGAGGACCTAACTCACGCTGAAGAAGCCGCAAACACTTCAACCCGCCTGGTCTTTGCCAGAAGGCCAATCATCATTGAAAACGCCACATTGTATATGAATATGATCGCCAGGCGAACTTTGAGGTTATTGACGAAGAATAGGGCCAGCATCGAGGTCGCCGGAATCAGGGACGACACCAATGTGCTTGTTATTCTCGTCGCACGAATGATCTTCTCATCGCTGTAATAGACTGTCCCTGTCTCGACATCCGCCACCATGGACTATACCACTGTCAACACACGTTCAGTTTCAGAAACGCACTACAAACCTTTTCAGATCTGGTCAGTCTGCGACACCAAGTAGATCCATGCTTGTGCCAGAATGGGATGAAAACTCGGTACATCCATCGCGTCAACAGATCGACATTCTCATATCTCCCAGCCAGCGTGATCAGGTCTTTTACCTTCTCCTCTGAACCATACCATTGCATAATCTCATCAACCGTCCAGAACTTGGTATAATGCTTCAGCCACTGACTAAATATGTTCAGATCTCGCTGATGCGGCGCTTTATACCGAAGGAGCTGGCCATGCTGTGCCAATGCAGTGTCTGAGGATAAGCACATTGATTTATACCACAGTGGAGATACGCGAACGATTGCACGGACGGATGGGAATTGGAATAATAGGAGAACTCACTATATTTCTCCAACAACTCCCTAAGCTCCAGCCACTTCTCCCACTGCTCTGAAGGCTCACCGACCCCTTTCAAATACAATACAGAGCCTGAGAATTTCTCACGATAGGGATCCTGCGAGTCCTGGTCCTCCTGTATAATTCCCTTCAGCTCCTTCTCTTTGAGTGTGATCTCTGCCTGCAGGTAAAGCAGGTTCGTTGTATTCAGTTTCTTGAACGAGCGAAATATTGACAGCCCCTTGTCCCCTGTCATCAGAGATGCTACTTTGTCATAGCCTGCCATCTCCGTTTTCGATCGTTTAGCCGCCAATTCGTGGAATAACAGCACAGTCAGCAGGATACCTATTGCTAGGTGCTCCCTGTTGGGGTTGGTATGGGGTGTTCAGTGGATTGGACGTGATTTCTGAAGATACGAGCGTGCGTATATAGAGAAGTACGTGTATACGAATCAAGCTTGATTAAATTGATACCACCAAGTCCGACTATAGGCATTTCTCAAGGCATACAGGCTAGAGCCTCAGCCCCGCACCACTGCCATACACTACTCATGTATACAGTTCGTAGTGTCATGCATGTGTTGGCACGAATGCCCCAGTAACCCGGGCCACCTGCAGCACCGCATCCACACAGTATGCTTGATAGGCTATCTGATAGCCCTTTGGAGAAGACCCGTATTCCCGTGCGCCCGGTACTGACGTGGGATAGCACTATCATGGCAGTTGCTGCCCGAGCAGTGTCGAGGCTGCCTTTGCTGTGTAAGGCATACATCGGGGTTTCTGTTCTGCCGCTGGAATACGCCTGCTGCAGGTTCGTGATCGAGGCGACTGTCACGTCTTGGGTGTCTTCGTTCACGTAGCAATGGCCGTTCTTTCTGATGTATAGTATGCAGGCTGATGTAGCAAATAATCTACGAAAATTAGTCCACGTTCTACAGCGGGTATAGCTAATTCGTGCAGGGCACAGAATTGACAAAACCGTATCATTCTTTCAACATGAAAAGCCCAACGTTATATACACCCAAAATCCATCTAGACAAGCCGCTTGTTCGTATTATACTTGAGTCCTGTCCGTATATCGCGATCGTCTTTCCAAAGCTTACATCGCCGAATTGAAGATACCCCCAGGACCATATCGAAAGGGCTATTCGGGATAACAAAAAGCTTGGCCGTATGCCGATGCCGGCCGCCGTATATCTGCCATTTGACCTCTGTCACTCCCGTAGGCTTCGCAACAGAGCCGTTGGGCAGGCGCACTTCGTCGTAATAGGGTGTTATTGGCAAGTTCAGGAGTTGCGCGATATCATCCGATACTGCATCCAAATTGCCGTGGAAGTCCAGCAACAAGCGGCGGTAAACGGGCTTCTCATGCGGCAGTGCGAACAGTATTATATCGTAGGTGAAGGCGCTTTGCGGAATATGCACGGAAGCTATATCGCATGGTTGCGGCGCGTTGCTATATCGCTGATGGGCGCCCTCGAAGGTAGTGGCGTGGCCTCGCGACCATCTCGTTGTCTGTGTGCTGGCGCTGGTATTGGTACTCGTGCGCCGTGAGTTAAACCCGAGGAAAGGGCCTTTCGAAGGACGAGGTTCACCAGGATATCTCTCACTAGAATACCTCTTTCTGAACAGCGGCGTGTCGCGGGAGTCGCACCAGGATATTAGGCTGCTGGCTCCGTTTTGTTTCCACGACTCGAAAAACATCTGGAATGCACGGAGAAGAAATAACAAGTCAGTGCTCTTTTTTCAGACGCATATCGTGACGGTATAAGTGTATAAGGATATGGAACGGACTGAACTTACCTCTTCTTTTTAGTAAGATCTAATCAAGGCTACAATGAGGCTCCCAGTAATCGAGGCCTTACCGTCAACATGCCATCACAGCCTTTCCTTTCGTTATCAGCCTTTGATTGGTATTTGCTCGGGGCTTCTCCATCAATTTTGAACGATGGATACCAGCTTGTTTTGTTTCTTTATGTGCGGCCTTGGCAAAGGATTCCTTGAGGGGGGGCACAGCCGCCGCACGAGCCTGCTGACGTGTGATAGAGATCGACTAGCTGCAGGCTCACCCTTGCAAGGGGGTTCGTGGCCAATGGAGCCTCACTGAGACCGTCAGAGTGAGACCATGTTAAGCCGTGTGATCAACCTCCCACATGCTGGGAAACGAGCGCTGACTCCTCGTCACACAACTATCTGTCAGGACAGCGCAAGGAGCAGGAGACTTGCCGCCTAGCTCTGGCTCGTGATAGCGACTTGGAGAAAATCTGGTTGAGATATGTACGAAATGCAATGTTCCCTGGAGAATTCTGAAACAGTAGATACTCCTTAAATCTCGATACACAGCATGAATAGCACCGAGTATACAATCCTGCTTCTACTTTGCTTGTTGCTCCTTCCTGCGCTTGTCAAATGCAGCCTGCGCCTTTGCAGCTTCCTCCAGATGCTTCTTTAATTCCTCCTCTGCCTTTGCTGAAAATGGACATATATCAGCTCCGTAACAACACCACGATGCAATGGAAAGTTCACCCACCTTGAGCAGGACCGTTATTTATAAGCTCCGTCGGCGCCGCGATGTGCTCCCCCGGATGCTTCGTAGGGAATTTATCCATCCACCCTCTCGCAAGCAGAACATCATACCGGCCCGTATCTACAACGTAGAAGTCGAAGACGGAAGTATGTCTTCCGCCCCGTGGTCTGGCCAGCAGACGCACCTTGCTACGTGCAGTGTACACAACACCGTAGGAGTCCACGAACGTTTTGTCCCTGCCCAGCTCACTTGGTGTCACCTGCAGTTTCTCACATAGGTCATTAAGGCGTTTTTGGGAGATCGCGTTCGCAGAGATTGTTTTGTCGATGACGGCGTTGAATGTCTCGTTTCTTCCCACTCCGGTGTGGTTGCTGACCGTGATGACTGTGGTGGTTCCTTCCTGGATTTGTAAAGCCTGGGGTTATTCCTATTCAGCCAGGTCTTAGAAGGGTGGCAACTCACCATATTGATCTGCCTCAAAAACACTTCTAGTAATCATGCGTGTCTATACTCATCTCCACACAAACAGCGGGACATAGCGCCTGCTTTCATATCTGGACCCAGGCGCCGTGTTGGGTATCCATCTCTGTCCTTTGAGCCGCATCGCAATATGCGGTCTGCCGTTCGCTTTTCATGGAGGGTAGACGGTTGCAGACAGACAGTGATATGTTTGCTTCGCATTGGGCGGCATCCGGCGGAGTCAGGCAGGTCGAATAGACGGAGCCGATGTGATGCCTGCCATTGCAAGGGTGGTGCATTCAGCCGAGACCCTTGCGATGGTGGAATATGTGCGTGTCGTCGGATTGGAAGCAAATAATTTTGCCCGTTGGAGTAGCTATCGTGGTGGTTTATCACAGGGAGTTGGTCTGGATCTGCACCCACGGGCCTGGTCGACCACGTAATGGGAGCGCTGGTGAGCCGTCTCTATTGCTTTTGAAGGCGCCTGATAATCTTACTAGTCCGGCGAACCCCGGCATCCCACGGGGCATCTGCGGACCAATGTTACGTCGCCTTGCCATCATGTCTGTCAGTAGCAATGAGCGGCAGAGAATTAAATGCTCGTGATTCGTATCCCATGCGCCTCCCGCGGGTTATTACCAGCATGAAGCCATTAATAATTAAGTCCCTGTAACAAAGAAATCCAAAAGAAGTAAATACATTGCCCCCAAATATAAGCAAGACATCGTCCGTCTGCAGATGCAATTATTCCTATAAACGCCCGCTCCGCTAATGCTCTGGTGAATTCACCTCAATATATATACCGCCGCCCCCTTCATCTGCCGCATCTCTCTCCATGTGACGCCTAAGGTCAGGCCCAGGTTCCAAAATCCGATACCGATAGATGCTCTGACTTCCAATCAAGACATCAAAGTCCCGCATGTCAAAGACATGAAAGTCGTCCGTGTACGTGCGGTACCCGTTCTTGAAATGCCACTCGAGCCCGCGAACCACCCCATGAACCCGGAGCTTGTGCGGGCCCAGATTGCGCACAAAGGCGTCGCCAGCGGACTCTAGAACCCCGCGGCCGTCTTCGTTCAATCGGTCCCATGCCTCGGAACTCATAAGATTAAGGCCCCTGCACTGCGTGTCCAGCGACGCTGCCATTTGGCGTTTCCGGCTCGGATCGTCTCCAGGAAGTCCGACCACTATATTCTGCGGGGCGCTCACCTGGCGAAACAGCGTGGGTGGTGATTGAGGTGTTGTTTCGCCGTCGATATAGATAGCCTGCCTTCGCGGCGATACGGCGAGGCTTGCATCGCCCGTCAGGGAGGTCGGCTCGGGAGGCAAATTCGGCTCCCCGGGTGGTGATTGAGGTATTCGGGGTGCGTTGGATTCGGGGGATATCCGTCCCATATCAGAAGAGAGCGTCCTATTGCCAGGCGACGCCCGGGAGCTGACATGACGTCGTCGTGTAGTGAGCGATGGCGGAGGCAGCTGGCTGGCTTCTGCAGAATCCACCTCCGGAGTTTCCCCATGATGGCTCCAAGGGACGTTACGAAACGGGCGAGCCAATTTCCTAGGTACGACCTTCCTCAAAAAAGATTTCCAGCGCGATACTGACCTATCTGGCGGTATGACATCAGAACTTGGGGGGTTCCCCAGATCGGTACGAGATCCTGGATCGCTTCGTCCTTGCCCCTGTCCGTTTCGAGATCGAAATATCCGGCCATTTCTCATGGTGCTATGATGACGGTACCGCGCCCGGTTTGGATAAGAGATGCTGAGGCTGGAACGCCGCAGAGACGGAGGTATACGTGGGCTTATAGCAGTAGGGGCTGTGTAGGCAAGTGCAGGAGATAGACAGTGGGTAGCAGGCGGGTTGCAGAGTGTCGGGCGTGGCCCGGGTCTATGAGAAACAAGTACGTTTTCGAAGTCTGTAGAAAATAAGAGAGAAAAGCGACACAGAGGGTGGGTCTAAGCATAAGCAGCTTATTGTGAAAAAGAACACGAGCTTTGCATGGTCAGTGAGATGAGAGGAGGTGCGTGGAAAGAGGGTGATCAAAGGGAACTGCACGCCACAGCCGAGCCTTCACACTTATTTACACCCACCCGTGGTATATTGCCGGAAGAGAATACAATGTTCCCCGTTCCTGGTGAGAACTGGGAACAATGAGCTCGCCTATTATAATCGCCGGTGGAGTGTGTTTGACTGTCCCTGGCGGGAAACGATCCACGATACCTACGCCACAGAACGAGGCGCCCTACGTCAACACGAGACCCCGGAAGTTCCCCCCTGTCCACCAGTAGCTGACAGTGATTTCTTCACCAGTAACAATGGACAAAGTCTGGTTTTACAGGCTAAGAGCAGTGGCCGAGTGCAAGGGACAAGCCAGATCGAGACTCGTCAGGCTGTCATGAAGTGATGTACCGGTAAGTGGGCGATCATGTTCGCACTAAATCGCACCATCAGGCAACAACCCATAAATAATACCGTTACCCTTCAAAGATGGTTACCAAATGTTGTGCCAGCCTGGGCCTTGTTGGGGCTATACTAGACTGCATTTGGATTCTACTGGGCTTGCTGAAGCTAAATACGAGTATATAATAAGCAATGCCAAAGAGAAAGAAATCTTGTGTTGTGGCTGTCTGGAACAATAACCCAGCAGCGTCCGCAGATGATAACTTCTCAGTCCAATATTCTTAACATCAGCTTATCATTTATTAGCTACAAATAATAATCAAATAAGGATGTTCTTCACCTACAAGTACGACTTGAAAAACTGTCCAAGGGATCTGTGACGATGCAGAATGCCATCAATGGAAGACTTGGCAGGGGTACGCCGCTGCTGCTGCGTACGCGTACGCGCACGGAAAGAATTACAGGGAATAGTCTCTGGTGAAAGCCGGGTGTCAGGCTGATTCAAGCATGTCTTCGACATTGGTTGGCGCAGTCTCCCGCTGATAGACGGCGAGTGATGGATCTGAGCGTACCGAGATATGTTTTAGTTTCTGTTTCTTACCATACACGGCACGAGGGCCCATAATTACACCCTGATCGATCCACGTAACAGCACGAACAAGATCGCCCCGAACCACCCCGGCTTTTTGCTTTCTTGGCCCATGACATGGGTTTCTCTACAGCACAGTCACTTTCTTTGCGCCAGCCCCGGCCAGAGATAAGGCGTTCCCAAAAAGACCTTTCCAGGGGCCTAAAATATCCCGCATATCAATAACAGCCTTTGCTGCCATTCCTCATATCATAGCCTTGCCGATTACATCGGTAACTGCCGCTGGTCTAAGCCAACAACCTGGGCCCCCGCTCCGCATTCCTAAACCAGGCCACACGTAGACGAGCTAGTATAGCTTGTAGGACAGTTCATGTAGCGGATATCCATCTCCAATTTAACACATCCGTATTTAAACCCACACTATAGCCCCTAAAACTTAGCTCCCGCTCAGGCCTGCGGGAAATTGGTGATGAACGCAACCTGGACGGCGGCAAAGCTATGCGATAAACTATGTTAGCTTGGACTAAGAGTGCTTGTCGTTGACTCACGCTGTAGAAGTCGCAAATACTTCAACTCGTCTAGCCCTCGCCAACAAGCCGATGAAGATTGAAAACGCAACATTATATATAATGATGATGGCCAGCCGGATAATCAGATTGTCAACAAAGTATAGTACTATCATCGAACTGGCCGGGATAATAGAGGATATCAATGTGCTTGCTATTCTCGTTCCACGGATGATCTTCTCGTCTCTATAATAGACTGTCCCTGTCTCAATGTCTGCCTTGGGCTATACCCATGGCTTCGGATCAGCCGCATATCCAGTGCCGAAGGGAATCCAAGTTGATAAAGAGAGAGCACAAACCTGAGCAGACTTGAAGATTTTGTTATATTGCATGGATACGTGGCCGTGCCAGAACGGGATACAGACCCCGAACACCCACCTCGTCAGTGGATCGACGTTCTGGTATCGCGCAGACAGTGCGATAAGGTCCCGTTCGTGCTCTTCCGTGCCGAACCATTGGTCATACTCGGCAGTGCCGTAGAACTGGGTATAGTTTTCCAGCCACTGTTTAAGCAACCGCAGGTCATTTCTATGCGGCTGCTTATACTGGAGTAGTTGTCTGTGTTGCGCCAATGCGGTGTCTGTTGAAGCATGAGCAAGGCAATCTGTACATTCACCAGATGGAAACTTGCTTACTGTATTTTTCCAATAGATCTCTCAGGACCATCCACTTCTCCCACTGCGCCGATGATTCAAAGCCTTCCTTCATATACGACACGCAGGCTCTGTACTTCTCGCGGTGGAAGTTACCCGAGTCTTGATCCTCCTGCATAATCTTTCTGAGTTCCTTCTCTGTAAGTGTAATCTCGGCCTGGAGGATGAGCAGGTTCTGCGTATTGAGCTTCATGTATGAGCGAAAGGTCGACAGGCCCTTATCTCTAACCATCAGAGAAGCTAGCTCGTCGTAGCCTCCATCTTCTGCTGGTGATACCGCGGTCCCCATCTGTTCAAACCAACGACGTCCTTCGCAGGCTTTCTCGTTCGGCACGTCTTAGGGCTCTATCCAGCGGGATAAAGATAGTGACAGTTTGTGTGTAAGTGTTGAGGTCGCTGTTCTCGCACTCATGCTTATACTATTATCGCCATCACATTTAATACCTTGGGGTTAGCAGGTCTCTCGCAAGGCATACAAGGGTCGTACTTGAGCCTCAAGCCTCAAGCAAATTCTGCGGAGGCGTTCTGGCCACATCCACTCAGAATAAGCATGCGTACGACACGGTGTACTGCCATCCTGCATGCACATGCATATATACCCGAGTGACCTGGGCTCCACGCCTGTCCGTTGAACCAGTGCCTATAGGCTCCGCAGGCATACGAGTCATACATACAGCGGCCGAGCAGGGTCATCCTGTCATTCTGGCTTCTTGTACTGCATCGAGAGCTGTTCTTGGTCTACTCAAGGCAGAATCTGCGTTTCCCACTGCCTCTACATATCCTCTTTCGGTCTAATGCATGTGGTTCTGCGGCCTATCGAACGCCATTCGTTATTGAATGACTATTTTGTGGGTTTTTAAAGAGGACATTGGGTTTTTGAATGGTATCTTGTTAATCTCACGAGTCGATACATTCGCTGGGATTATTTCACCCAAACTCCACAGATCATTCTCCGCCACTTCGCTATGTAACATACAAGTCCAACCTCCTATACCCGCTTGAATCTAGATAGTCCCCGATATGTTTCCATGTTACTTTACCTATGAGGATACTGCAGTCTGCTCCCAAAGCCCGTGATCCCGAATTGAAGACGCCCCTAACACCATATCAAAGGAGTTGTTCTCGATAACCAGTACTTCCGTCCTGTAGTGATTGCTACCTTTATATATGCTCCATTCAACTTCTATTCTGCCCTGTGGGTTTGCCAAAGACCCGTTGGGCAAGCGTACCGGTGGACCGTTATATGCCATGAACGGTATGCCCAAGAGGCGCGCAACTTCGTCTGATACAGCGTTTAGATCGCCTTGATGATCCAGCAGTAAGCGGCGATAAAGGACCTTCTCGTCCTGATGTCTCCCCAATTCAATATCCAAGATTCGTTTGTCTGACGAGACCTGTTCAGAAGGAACCTTATACGGCTCCGATGCGAACCCTTTAATTCTGTGTCGGCGCCCCGGACTCAATTTCCTGTTATTATCCCCGGCATCGTTCTCGATCTCCGATCCTAGGCGGTCGAAGTGGAATTTCGGCGGAGGATCTGTATCAGGATGCTGTGGTTTCAGCCGGGCATTGGCCCTCCTGTCGCAGCAGGACAATATCCGATAGAGTATATCTCGCATCTGTAATTGAGGTCGAAAGAAACCACACGTCAGATTTGCTGGTTCGGATGGCGCGAGGTATTTTGTGTTCATGTTTTCTTTTGCACTTTGGTGTTGGAGGAGGGCAGAAAGATAGATAGGGTTGTAGAGAAACTATTAACTACCTCAGCAACGTATCCTTATATTAATATATCCATCCAAGGCTCGTATGTGGCTCTCAGGCTAGCTATCGAGGCTGCGCCGGTTTATAACCCTTCGCAATGTCATACTGATTAGCATGAAGTCGCTGGATCGAAATAACAAAGCTCACCCACGGAACGTATGCGGCTTCCAACAATAGACAGTTTGCGGCTCTTCGTCTGGGCAGAGGCGGTTCCCGTAAATAGGGTCGGGCTGAGCTGACGTGGCAGCGAAACGTAGTGGCTGTCCGGTGATGTGAGAGGGACAAACGATTCCTTGTTGATTGGCACATGTCCATGCGGCCAAGCCACATGAAAAGGACAAACATGCAAGGGATGAAGCGAAAGGCTGCGCCCGCGAGAGGCAAGCGATGGAAATCGCCCGCCTCGGATGCAGCTGGGCCAACCATCGCGGCTTGGAGAATGCAGCCTTGCCCGAGGCAGACTGGACTACTGAGCACGAGTCAGCGCTATTCTGGTTACATCGTACACCACCGGCATGGTCTACGTCATTGCGTTTTGTGTTTGGACATGGCTTGTACTGCTGTCAGATTCCGCGCACTCTACGAGTACTCTGGCTTTACAAAGACTTGACCAGATCCCAGCATCATATCAGTTGGTTGTTGTAGACTATTTCTGATTTGCGTTTCGCTCCTTCTTGATCCTCTCGGATTCAGCCTCGGCCTGTAGAGCCTTCTCCCGCCCTGCTTTGCCTTTCTCCTCCGATTCCTTGTCGAATTTCTTGGGATCTAAATGGCAACCACGTATTAGCGTCTCTGATCTATAGGCCTCCAAAAAAGGTCAAGGAGCGAGACAGCAAAAACCATGGATATGTACTAACCATTCCCCTTATCAAGATAGGTTGGAGCCACATGCTTGGACGTATCATTCAGGCAGAGCTTATCCGCCGAGGCCTTCCCCAGAACAATGTCATATCGGCCGATGATATTCTTCTCCTGAGCCTCAATAATGTAGAAGTCAAGATTCTCTGATCGCCATCCTCCAGGGGCCTTCGTGAACAGGCACACCTTGCGTCGCGCGGTATAAGGGATACCGTTGGAGCTTGCCAGGGTCTTGGTCACATTCAGGTCGCGTGGTGTGACCTCCAGCATACCCCGTATCCGGCTGAAGAGGCTCCCCGAGATTGCGTTGTCGCCGAGGGTCTCTTCGATTGCAGCCCTCAGGGTTATGTGCCCTCCTTGACCGGTGTAGTTGCTGACAGTGATTTCCGCGTCGTTGGATCCCTGGATCATAGATTTAGGGTTAATGGCACGTCCATCGAACTTTGCGGGGGTAGTGTGGCAACGTACCATCTTGTATATCTTTTGACGGCAGTAAAACTCGTAGATGTTCTGAGGCTTGTGGTTTGATGAGTCTCCTGTATCACAGTTTCACTATGCCGTTTCTTTTGCCATGGACGACGACGCGACCCCGGTGCTTTCATATCTGCGACCAGATGCAGCGTTGGGTATGGATATCTTGTTGAGCCTCATTGACACTGACGGTCAGTCCGGAATGTTCATGGAGGATAGGTAGCATATGCAGGTTGGTGGTATCATGATGGTTTGTTTGCTTCAGATTGGATCATATCTCGGGTAGTAACCCAGATCGAATATAAGGGCCCTCGTTGGCATCATAGAATCCCTGCAATAATCGAACACTTGCATTTCACAGAGTCGAAGGCCAGGGATTCTACCTCAAGCGGAAGGCTGTCAGTGAGGAGAACAGTCTGCAGGCCACAGATATTGGTTGACCATGCTGATAAATTGCCGGCTGAAGTTCCCGTCATTATGCAGTATTTGCATCTCTCATAAGACTTGGGTTTCCTGGCACACCCACGGGGGGTGAAGTGTCTCAACGAGTCATCCATTGGCAGCGAATAGCAACACACAACTACGCGCCCTGGTCGTATCCTCGCGATATCACATCCCTGTAGATCACGGCATTAGAGGCGGGGTAAGTTATGACAAGGAAGATCCCAACTGGGCCATGAACTGTTTCTCAAGGTGGCTATTATTTCTATAGTACAGTATGCCAACCCAGTCCGACGTATGAGCACTGAGGCTTTTCTGATACGCAAAACACAACAAATCAAATCAAATTAAAGAGCCCCCAACTCCTGCCATGCAAATGTCAAATATCTGGTCTGCTCATGCTCTCATGAAGCGCAGTTCTGCATTTCAGCGTTCATTTTCATTGAAGTAACGCTCAAGGTCGCTGCCGGGCCTCAGCAAATCATACCTGAGGATGGTCTCACTCCCTACCAAGACGTCAAACCCACCTATGTCGGCTACATAGAAGTCGGATTTGTAAGTCTTCGACCCCCCCCTGAAGCGCCATTCGACTCCTCGAACAATGCCTAGAATCCCGATCCTCTCTGACCCCAGGGTGCGCACAGCGACGTCGTCGACGCGGTCCAACGCACCACGGCCCTCGTTCAGCCTCCTCCAAACACGCAAACTCATCAGATTCATCCGGTCGCACTGGGTGTCGAGGGTCACCGTCGCCAGCCGTTGCTGGGCGGGCTCGTCTCCCTCAAGCCGCATCACAACATCGAGCCCCGCGGTTATATCCTTTCCCTTCCCCTTACCGTTTCGCCGCCGCGGTTTGATCGCGAGCTCGAATAGTCTCGAAAGCACTGCCCAGACCCGCGCTGCCCTGTCGCCGCGGTCGTCTGGCTCATCGGGGGGAAATCGTTTCGCTGAATCGGTACCAGGCTCTGGGTCGACCCCGGCTTTAATCTTTTTACGGACCCAGGGACGCCAGGGCTTCATGACGGGTTTGGTGGTATTGATACTTTGGTAGAACAAGGGTGCGTTGGGGCTGGGACTAGTCACAGGGAGTATGCTGGGAAACGTAGGACGGTCTTAAACGGAGGATATCGGTGGAGGGACGATGTGCTGAACAATGCTTCAGACGGGCAGCGGTGGACAGTGAAGGTATAGCTGGAAGCGGCACCTGAGGTGTCGCCGAAGAGGATAGTGTAGTTTAAGGATGGCTAGAGAGACGACAGCTCGTAGAAGGATCGTAACGGAAGGAGGGTGGCCCACGAACTCTCCGGCACTACGTCGAACGGCGAGTGACGAACAGGGCTATAGGCAATGATGCGGCTAGTGCAAGGCATAGGCCGGGCTGATAGCTTGTTGCCCTTCTTGTGCCCTTTTATCTTGCGAGACTAACGATACGATGGCTGCCCGGCCGCAGCCTCACAGCATAGCCACAAAAGGGAACCAAACGCTGTTTAACGACACCACAATTCAGCGTTGAGCCGAGACTGATGAATATTACTTGTAGCTCCTTTGCATTATTCTGGCCGTCAAACTAAATACGAGTGTTAATTCATTATTGCGCCCGGGCTGCGTGACCAGTTCCCATCATGTAAAGCTAAACACAGCCCTTGTTCCGTCCAAGTTCCAGATCCAGAGAGGAAAAAGGGATCTGCCACCAGCAGATGTGAGGTCCTCAGCACGGACGTTTTCGGCGATAACTGGCATTCTCAACACGGCCAGACTGCCCAGCTTCGGAAACTATGCTCCTTTCTCCGGGCAACTTCCGGGGTTTCCCCAGTGATCCTATGGGTGTCACCACCTAAAAGCTAGTCAAAATTACCACTCAAGACTGGCCACGACACCGAACAATTTGGCAGGTTGGCCCTGGCGAGGCGCAGCGTGGACGGGGCTCTGTGTGTGTGTGTGTGTGTGTGTGTGTGTGTGTGTGTGTGTGTGTTCTACCTGGTGCTGAATGCGCTTGGATGGCTTAAAGTGTAGAGCTTCCTCAATATCTGCCTCTAAAGCTGATTGATCATGGCCGGTCGTATAGATTGATCGATTCCACAATAACAATTCTTGCAATACTCAGGCCACCCGCATGTCTATTACGCATGAACTATAACAGCTTGCTGATATACCTCCATTCCCTATTCGGACTAATTCAGAACAACAAAGTAATATCGATCAGCAATATCCTCTATCTCGCTTGCAAGTCCGCCCTCCTCCAATGAATCATCCTCCAAAAATGCTTCCAGCACCTCAGAATCGCCTTCATCCGCAGCTCGGTTATCCGACGCCATCACCCAATAACTATGCTGCTCCAGCTGCACCTTGTCAACATCCTGCGTCCGCCAGGTGCGCAGGATTACCCTCTTCAACCTAACAGCAAATACCTGCTCCCCCGGCAGCGTGCAACTGCGAGTTGTGCTTCCGGAGCGTTCGAGGCCTGCCACAAAGCCCACTTGTCCAGCGCCGCTGCCGGCGACAAGGGGTAAATTGGAATCCGATATAGGGGCAGAAATGTCACCCCGGTTCTCAGATGCGAGCGCCAGTCCCTCCGATGTAGCAGCATCAAAGAGGGTATGCAGCCCAACAACAAAATAAGCAGTATCATTGCCGTCTTCAATCTGCTCCTGCAGCCATTCTCGGACCTCTTCTCTCTCGCAGAGTCGGCGGAACCACAGGTTGGGCTTTCTCAGGGTGTAGACGCGGCCCTTGTGTGCCGTTAGGGTTATGTTTGCATCTTTTGTTCGCTGTGTGGTCCATCTCGCAACCTGGGCTAGGAATCCTTGGAAATTGTTGTCCGAATGTCCATTGAAAAAGCTGGTAAAGTCGTCGACGTCCCGGACGGTGAAATCATCGTTTTGGAGGGGCAGGACACTTTCTAACGAGTCAAGATCGATATCTCTGATGTCGGGGATCAAGCTGGCCAGTTGGATGTCCTCTCGAGCGAACGACGACAGACCAAGAACCGTCTGCGGCGACATGTTTGCGCGACGATGAGCCGGGTAGAGAAGCACAAACGGTGAGGGGCAGGCCAGGCCAGGGTCAAAAGTACGACTCGCAACTGATTCAGTTAGCTAGCGCGTGCTGGCCCCCAATACCTATTGCGTGGCCACCTGGGCCCTCCATCTGCCTCCAACCCAGAGCGCTTCGTTTTATAATTCCACGATGGACCACTCACCCACTGCCGCGCATCTTGGCCGTGAGGGTCGCGCATTACTGGAAAGCTATCGGGAAACCGGGGAGGTAGAGTATCTCGATGAGTCGATCAACGTCGCCCGGCAGGCGCTGGCAAATGCACGGCTCCATGAGCGGGCCATTTACCTGAACGACCTCGGGAGCCGTCTTCGAGAGCGGTATGAGGCATGCCGTCGCATTGGTTATATTTCAGAGGCAATTGAGCTTGTCGAGGAATCATCGCAGACAATAGGTAACCCCTCACAACAGGCCATAGTGCTCAATAACCTTGCTACCTTTCTCGGTGACCGGTTTGAATGGAGTCAGGATGCCAATGATCTGGAACGCGCCGTTGCTGCGGCCATCCATGGCCTTGAACTCGCCGCCTCAGATACTGCTTTCCAGGCAGAGTGCAAAAACACTCTGGGTCTCATCTATGGTTACCGCTACACGAAGACCAGAAACGCAGAGGATCTGGAGGCTGCAACGCGAATGGCACAAGAGGCCGTGGAGATGACGGACCCAGAAGACGAGAATTTAACCATGTTCCTCGGAAACTTGGGTATTTGTTATGAGCGATGGTTCGAAAGGCTGGGGCGTCCAGATGACATTAACAAGGCTGTTCATTGTGCTCAGCAGACGGTCGACTTGACCACTGCTGCCGATTCAACAGAGGAGAGTAGCTGCAATCCTGCCGAACGCTCTCTGTATCTCAAAAATCTCAGCAATGCCCTCGGGCGGAGGTACACAGTCAGTCATAATGTTCAAGATATTGATGATGCTATTTATCATGGAATCGAGGCTGCCAATCTTATCCCCGGCCATGCGCGATGGTCGGAGATCCTTCATAACGTCAGCCTTCTCCTGGAGGACCGCTTCATTCGACTCGGAGATATAGAAGATCTAGACGAAGCAATTACGTCGGAGAAGACAGCTATTTCAGCCATATCCATGGATGATCCTCGCTTGCTCGTGCACTGGGACCAGCTCGGCGTCCTATATGGGCGCAAGTTTGATTTCACCGGCGAGATGCACGACTTGGATAGCTCTATCGAACTCGCGCAACAGACTATCGATGCCTCAAAACAGAACCATCCAGACGCCGTGGGATTTAAGTGGCACATGGCGCTGGCTCTCAACCGCCGCTTTGAGTACTTGTCCAAGACAGAGGACCTGGACCGTGCCATTTTGCTAGGAACAGAGGCATTACAGGGCCTTGCCCAGGATGACACCCGCCGAATTGATCTCCTCCTCGATATTAGCGACTTTCAATACTCCAAGTACCTTAAATCAGGACTGATGGAGCACATCCAAGTTGCAGATGAACTGATCGAGGAGGCGATGACGATCGATGTGCCTCCTGGCTTCTCCCAGCCTCTCCAGCTATGCACCATCAGTCGCCGGTTAAAGGAGCGCTACATTCTGACCAAACGGCAGGACGACCTCCAACATGCAATCGAACTCGCTGAGAAGGCGTTCAATTCTGTTCCGTCGGAGCATCCTCAGGCGCCATATTGCCTCTGGTTCTTGAGCCACGCGCTTGAAACACGATACCGCGTTGAAGGGTCACTCCCGGACTTGGAACAGGCCATTCAAATCATCCAGGATGCCCTTTCGATCCGTTCCGTCGGTCCCCTTGACCGGGCCGAGATGTCATATAGCCTAAGTGTCCAGCTTAGCCACCGATATGAACAATTGGGCGCCCTTGTCGATCTAGAGGAGTCAATACAGCTAATGCGAGGAACCATGGATGACATGCCGGATGATAATCGATTTGGGCTTGTAGTGTGTCTGAAATCACTGAGCGATCAGCTTGGATATCTGTTCGAACGAACCGACGATATGTCGACGTTAATGGAGGCCATCGATGCCGCGACCCAAGCATCGGAGATTTACACCGACAGGGACATATCAAAGGCTAGCATTCTAAACAGCCTTGGGCTGCATCTAAAGGCGCGATTTGGCGTCGCGGGTCTGTATGATGATCTGAAAGCAGTCGTCGATGTACAGCGCGAAGTCCTGCGCATCCTTCCTGAGCAGGACCCAGACTACAGCATCGCCCTCTATAACACCGCTTCCACGCTGGCAGATCTTTTCCGGTATAATAAAAACCCAGAGGACCTTTCCCAGGCTACGAATCTAGCGTGGCAGACACTCGATGCGGCCGGGGAAAGCCATCCAAATCGCGCAATGTACCTGAATTTGACCGGTATGCTCTTGCAGGAGAATTCTGATACCAAAGACCATCCCCTTGAAACGGGGCCCAATCCAGTAGTTCTATTTACGGAAGCCCTCGGCCATGAAAACTCCCCTCCCTTGGACCGTATCAAAGCCGGGCAAAGTGCCTTTCACTGCTGCGTCACCCATGGAGAATGGAGTGCCGCAACCTCTGTGGCGGCAGATGTTGTCAAGCTGTTCCCACTCCTGGTCCCCCGCTGGCTAAGCCGAGCTGATCAGCAACACCTGCTGAAGAATATCTCACATTTCACATCTCTCGCCGCGTCGGCTGTTCTTCACGTGGGCGGGTCGCCGGCAAGGGCACTGCAGATACTGGAGGCCGGGAGGGGAGTGATAGCTGGATTAACCATTGATCTTAAGGCCGAAATTTCCGCCCTTGAGGAGTCACAGTCAGACCTCTATGCAGAGTACATTGGGCTTCGTCGGCAAATCCTCCTTTCCACCACTTCGTCGCTCTCAAGGGCAACGGAAACGGACCATCCCCTCTCCCCGCGAAAAGTCCGCCCAAAGCCACGAGTACGTAGTGCTGCTGGCCCGGAGCGTACAACCAATCTCAGGGCACTCGAGGACCTGGAAAGCCGAATTCGGGCGGTACCGGGATTCGAAAGCTTCCTGAGCCGACTGTCTCCTGGGGAGTATGTCTCTCTTGGCACAGCCGGCCCGATAGTGGCATTCAATGTCACGAAGTATCGGAGCGACGCTCTAATAATCAACAGCACAGGTGTTACCAGTATTCAGCTAGATTCACTTCGCTTCCAGGACATGAAATCCCACGTACCCAAGGTGGCCGGGAAAACCCAGCTTTCAAAGGGTGGACCTAGCACCAGGAGACAGCGCAATGAGGACCTCCAGAACATCCTCCGTTGGCTTTGGGATACAGCTGCTCTACCAGTTCTCACTACTCTCGGACTCTCCACGCATGACTATAACTCTGGCACTGCTCTTCCCCGCATCTGGTGGGTAGCAAGTGGATATATGGGCCTTTTCCCCATCCACGCGGCCGGTGACGGGAATGGCACGGCTTTGATCGACTATGCCATCTCCAGCTATACCCCAACTCTAGAGATCCTAAGGTTCTCACGGGTCAGACCAGGCCATCGTCGCGCGGGCCAGGATCTGAATATGCTTCTAGTGCCCGCACCTACCAAGGCAGGCCAACAAGACCTAGACACGGAGTCTGAGATACGCTCAATCATGGAATATTCGGACAACATCGCAACCCATACGATACTCCATAGGCCCTCCAGAGAGGACGTCATACAGGAGCTCCCAAAAAGCCACCTCCTCCACTTCTCATGCCACGCAGAGGCCAATCCAACGGACCCTTCAAAGAGCGCTCTCATCCTTTCCCCACCGGCAGGAGCAACCAGTGCCCAGGCACATTCCCTCTTAACCGTGACAGACCTGGCAACGATTAGCCACGACAACGCTCAGCTCGTGTACCTATCCGCCTGCTCGACAGCCGAGAACTCCTCCGATGATCTCCTCGACGAGGCCATCCACATAGCAAGCGCATTCCAGCTCATCGGCTTTCCCGACGTTATCGGGACCCTCTGGGAAATTCGCGACAGGGCTGCTGTTTCAGTGTCGCGGTTATTCTACGAGGAACTGGGGCGCCGGATCCCAGCCGCGGGTACTGGAGGCGGCTTGAGTGCGGTTATCCCGTACGCGCTACATGAAGCACTCCAGCGATATCGGAGCAGCAAAGGCGTTATGCGTGGTAATGATGTTCTCTCTTGGGCTCCGTTTATTCATATGGGGGCGTAGCACAAAGCCTCATACATCCAATTGGCACTATAACTTCAAATAATGAGAGATATTAGATACATATGCATATATATAACAGGGTCTCTGCAGAGTCCCCTCCTTCGCTGATGTACATTGCCTTTTGGCGCTGATAATCGCGAAATGCTGGGGCTAGCGGACGGACTTTCGACGCACCGAGGAGCGTTTTGGCTTAGGTTTGGGTGTATGTATAGGCATAGGTGTACTTGTGGGCGTGGGTGATGGCGTACTGAGTAGTGCAATATTATCCATATGCCGCTTCCCGAGCACCCATTTAACTCCACCATCCTCTAGTTCAACCCGCTCGTATGGACGTTCTCGCATCCACTTCACCCACTTCTGTACAACAGATATAGCGAAGTTCACGTCGACTTCAAACCATTCAATGTGCCTCTTCCCGCACTCCCCACATCTAGGCTCCTCCTTTCGATATCTCGCCAGCTCGGCGTGGACGAGTTGCTCAACTCGGAGACGGTGAGGCACAGGTTCCATATCTGCTTGTTCAGAGGGAAAGTACTTCTCTAGCTTTCTCCCGCACTGTTTCGACCACTCTTTCATTCGCTTCTCGACATCCTTGGTGTATCCTATCTTCACGTGTCCAAAACCACCAGGGTACCAAAAGACGTATATGAATCCCGTCTGTGTGCTATCCTTAGGTGCCAGCGGGCGAGTGAGGCATTCTTGTAGCCCTTTCTGGATGGGCACATTGGAGAGTGCTGCTTTATGCGGTTGGAAGGCCTGAGGAGGGACAAGTCGTCCAGATGGTGACGGTGTATTAACTTGGGCCGCTTCTCTTGAATAGTCTGGCTTGACGCCGATGTCGCTTTTAATAATTCGCGATGCAGTTCTTGCCATTCCATATAGTTTATGATCTGCGAATCTAAAATCCACGACGAGGCTGAAGGATCGTCGTCGCGTGGTTTGCGGGTCGTTTGAGGTAGGCGGTTCAGATCGGTCTCTGAAGGTCTGATTGTATGTTTCAAGAAGATTTAGTTTTGCCATACGGCCGTCCTCCTCCTTGATCACCGTGGTTGTTGGCCGGGGTAAACAATTCGACTTCGGTCCAAGACATGTGATACCCGTAGATTTTCTTGTGGAGGCATCTGTTGAGGCATCTAGCTCTTCCTTTAGCCACCCATCTACAGCCTCAGTATCCTCACCCTTGATGGATGGGATGTCGGGCGTGGACGGCTCTTTTGGGCTGTCTCCTTCATTATCCAGATTTGCACAGCAGTCAGGCTCAGTATCCTCACTGGAGACTGACTCATTAGCGCTGAATATCGAACTCGCCGGGGACCCTAGCGAAGAACGTAGGGAATCCGACTCTGGGAAGCAGTCGTCATCATGCCCTGGACGCAAAGTTCCTTGGTTAGGAGTCTGAGGATCTTCGTCTTTTGCCATGGTACGATAGCGAACAAGACGAGTCGTCTGCGTGATGATAGTTCTCAAGATTCTGTGCGGCGGAGGTGACGGATTTGGGCGCTTATAATCCATGATCTAGTAAGGCAGATTCCCAGCATTCCAGCGGCACAGCAGCCTCCATTCCACGTACTGCGGAGTTTTACTTATTTTAGATCACCGCAGTGGTCATATGGTGCGGCCTCAATGCCCGCCGTTCAACCCTTGCCGACGTCATCCTGCAAGTAGATGTCGTTGCCAGTGTTGTAGCCCCCGAGCTGAGGCTGTCCGCGCGAAGTACGCCATTGTCAATATAAGCGACCCTATTGATAAAGTATCACTTGTCGCTATTATTTTTGACCTCTACCATTATAATAATACCACCAATCTACAACGGGCAGACGTTTCTGTACGCGCCACGGAAAAAGCAAAGATGCAACTCGTTTCGCTGGCTGGGCGCAGCTGAGCAGGGATTGTGCTTGCTGCCTGGAACTGGAGAATTCTGGTCCTATTGTTTTGCACCCAGTTGGACCTGAGATGGGTTGGTTGGTTGTGCGATGACCCTTCTTGTCCAGTACCCAATATAAATTTAGTTTTTAGTAGCACGCACCAACAACGCTTTTGGCCCAAGCGCCGTGCAAAGCTGGCGGCACCAGGCCTGCCATAGATACTGCTTACACTACACCAAATTTATACTACAATGGACGACTTTCTTAACAGCTTGTAACAATTGAGAGAATACTGTAGCGCAGCAACGACCCGTCGGGCCAAGTGCAATATAGTCAGTACCGCGGATATCTATATTAGGAAGAGGATGTAAGGGAGTCTTGAGCAAACGTAGTACTCTAAAATACCTTGGAAAATGCCATAAATTAGTCATCCACAAAAGGATAAAAGTAACCAAAGAATAGATATCTGTCGCTGTCATCATAGAGGCCCGTGCTCTATACTCTTAGGGCTAAATCAAACCGACTAAGCGATACCTTATTAATATCAAGGAATGTGCACTTACCACCTGAACTCTGTGGGTCTTAATCCAAATCTCAATGACACACAAATGACTCACTTTGGGGCTGGTTGAGGCTGTGGCAGCGTTTATGGCCCCAAACGCACAGCTATGAGTCGTCGCGACCCACTCCAGTAAGTGTATCCACTGTGCTAGAGGCTCTTACCCGTAGCTTATAAGACATAAGATTTATTTACTTATACTTCCCTACATTGCTGTTGCTGCCTTCACTCTGTGTTTTCATTCATGTTCATGCCCGGCTCACAAGACATGATATGGCTACAGATGTTCAGGCAAAGTTGACATATCTTCAATGGCAGCCCAGCTACACCCACACACGGCCATATCGCATTGGCCAGTTCGTTGGACGGAGAAAATCTAACAAAGCAAAACCGCGAGAAAAGACAACCAACTTGGTATTCTGCGAGGCTGGACATGCGGAAACTATAAAAGATGTTCGGGGATTTACTCCGTTTAATCTTGACGCAAACGGCTTTGTCTACTTGAAATGTCCGCGGCCTGCTCTTGCAAATGCATACGACTACTCGGACCCTGAAAAGATTGAAAATATCTTTTTGCCGGAGTGCGAAGGTATCTTGAGACGTCATGTTGAGGGGGCTGATGAGGTTATGATTTTTGATTGGAAGGTAGGTACCAACTATAGACACTGTTTAGGTGCTAAGTTTCACTTTTAGATCAGAAAGAGAAAGAGTGCGAAGGACAGACGAAGGAGAAATCCAAATCTGCAGGGCTTTGCTCGGCAGGTCCATATCGGTATTTCGAAATTTCATCACCCGACAGACGTACATTGACAATATCCAGATACACTCCTAACTCGAGACGAGATCGGAACTCCAATGATGGAGCGCATTCGAAACCATCTCCCTGCAGAATCCCACCACCTTCTTTCCGGACGAGTCCAACTAATCAAGTGAGTATACTGCCCGGATACTAGAATTTAACCCTAACAAGCCCAGTTTCTGGCGACCCATAAGCGGCCCGATTGAGGACCACCCGATTGCCGTCTGTGATAGACGAACCCTGGACACATCGACCTTGATCGAAACTGATATGATACGCGGTGATTATAATGGCACCATGCTCTATCCGCAGTACGAGCCGAATGGTACTTGTCAGTGGTACTATATGAGCGGACAAGACGCAGAGGATGTGCTTCTTTTCAAAGGGTTTGATACGAGGGAAGGTAGTGTCAAATGTAAGTAGATGTCTATTACTTCCCCTCCATTGGCTCTTTGGGCTTTGAAATTGTAGGTCATACGAAATACTAACTGGGTGACTTGTAGACACTCCTCATACATCATTTACACCATTGAATTGCTCCGAGACCCCGTCTCCTAGGGTCAGCGGTGAGGTGAGAGCGTTGGTCTTCTCGAACGGAGAGTGAATCTTCTATGGTGCAGATACCTGAGTGGGAATATAGTAAGTAACTTTACTATATCAGCGTGGACTAAATTCCAACTATAAGTCTAATACTCGGACCTATATAACCTTTGACGCTCTATCATCTGATGTATAAACATGTAAGCACACCGGTGACCGTTCGATCCTGTAGAGTCCCATCTATTTATTCACGACATTCATAGCTTCATCGGTATATTGCAATCAGGCGCTGTCTGATCAATTGATCCTCAATTACCGTTAAGCAAATCCAGTAACCTCAACATGCTCAGACGCTCCGGTAATACCCTTGCCAGCCGCAGTCCGCTCCATCTCCGCATCTTCACGATCGATATACTTCTGTGGCCGTCTCTTGCAGATGGCGTCCGGGTCACCGATGACAATAAGCGACGGATCATCACGATAATAAGCATCGATATCTTCAAGGCTTCGATTTGCTGTGATATGATCAGCATGCCACCCAATACAAGTATAGTTTCATAGCTCACCTGTCTCTGGATAGACAAAGTACAACACGGGCAAGAAAGCCAGATTTGTTACGGTCCAAACAATCCAAAACTTCCATCCAATATTCTGTATGCCGATTGGAGTGATCTCCACGATAACAAAGTTCGTGATCCTGCAACCCGTCAGAAACAATAGTAAGTAATAGGTTCATCCATACCAGTCAGTAGCAGTCGCCACGGCCGCACCCTTCGTCCTCATCGGCAGGGAATTAATCTCAGTCGGATAAAGCCACGGAACACCGAGCATGCCAATCCCAAAGCTCGCATGGAAGAGGAATATAAAAGCCACGGACGCAGATCCAAATGCCTGCCCGTTACTAGAGACATCCGCATACCGCAATAGAATAGTAATAACCAGGAAACAGATAAACTGGCCAAAGGTCGACAGAAGCATCAATCCCCGTCGGCCCATCCGTTCAACAAGCAGGGCTGCCATTCCTGAGAATACGAAATAAGAAATGGCATTGCACGCTGTCAATAGTCTTGCCGTCTCCTCGCCTAACCCCACCGACTTTGTTAACACAGTTGGCAGGTAGTAAGACATGATATTGATGCCCCCGAACTGCTGCATGAACTGGCTGCCTGCGCCTAGGAGGAGTCGACGAAGACTGTTCGTGTCATTCGGGCGGCTTTTCAGCAAGTCGCGCCATGGCACTGCATTCTCGCGCTCGTACTGGATTGCGAATTCGATTTCGTTCCTTTGCGTTATGACGAACGGGTCGGTTGGCTCTTTTGCCTCTAGACAGCTGAGGACTTCTATTGCTTCTTCTTCTCTTCCGTGCGCGAGGAGCCATCTACACTATTAGATATGGTCGTATAAGACAAGGGCAAATAATGGGTAGTATTACCGAGGAGATTCAGGGAGCCACGGCGTCGTGCTCCATAGGATTGCAATGAACATCAGCTGCAGCGCTAATGGGAATCGCCAGGCGACTGCACCGCCAGCAAAGGAGAGACCGTAGTTAATCCAATTAACGAAAGCATACCCGGCGATGTTCATCATCATCTCGAGCATGACCAGTTTGCCGCGCCATTTTAACTGAGACGTTTCTATAACCGTTAGTGTTGTATGAATCTATATTGAGAATCATACCTGTTTGCCATATAGGAGCCGTTGCGGTGTTTACTCCATTTCCTATACTAAACCCCCATTAATGCCGAGCCTATATCCAGAGGAGAGTACCAACCCAGATACGATACGACCGACAAACATCTGCGCCAGACTAAACGACGTCGTCTGCAGAATCGCGCCAACAGCCATAATAGTCGATCCCACCAACAGAGCCTTCCTCCGACCCAAGCGCTCACCAACCGTGAAAGCCAGGATCGCGCCTAGGAAGCAGCCCACATCGTAGATGGCGGTAACGGTAGACAGCGTCTTGGTTTTCGTAGGCCCGACAAGATCGTGGAGCTCGAGGAAGTCCTGCGTTATAACGACGCCGCCTGCCATGTCAATTCTCTTCTGGATGATCAGTTGGAGGGAACTTACTGAAAACACCTTGATCGTAGCCGAATAGGGTCATGTCAGTCGCGCACGCAACCTGGTGGGAAATAATCGTCAGTCTCATCAATTACACAGACAAGGGTTTGTCATACCGTGACCCAAAACGTAAGCCATCCCCCCGTCAACCCAAAGAAGGGCTTTTTCTTCTCCCGTGCAACTGTCATGGTCAATAGCAACTAATTGTATGGATATTAGAAGTTAAATAGAGAGAACAAGAGTAAACAATCGCTTCCCATCGGCCGTAGAGAAGAGAAACACCGCCGACGCGTGGGGGTACCAACAGGCCTTTATACCATCACAACCCCAACTCCTGCTAAACAAAGACAATTTAGCCTGCACTCGGCCTTTCTGCCGAGGATGGCCGCATCTTATTCTACATACGGAAAGATTCGCAGAACAGATTGCTTAACCGACAACGACTGGCTGGAATCTTCGCCAAAACTACCGCATCCAGCAAAGCCTTGTTTCAAGGATTCCACTACCAACCTTGTTCCGAACATCGGTGACTCTCCGTGTGGGGATGGGCACCTCTTTGCGGGGGGAGTGGACAGTCTGGGGAAATCCCGAGGATCAATGCTTATTTGAGCGTGGGGGTTGTGCATGAGGATGATCGGCGTCTCCTTTATTGGAAAGACTGCTTCAAGTCTTTCAAGAGTGGAAAGGAGCCTGCAGATTGATGGAATACATATACACATACATATTTAAAATTATGTTAACTCATGTTAACCAACCCTATAATCATCCCGCCATTTGTTCCCATTTTAAGGCTGAGTATAGCAAAACCATCCGGGATCCAAAGCAGAACTGCATGGAGACACTCCAAAAGATAAACTGAATACACCATTCAATAGTACATGGATAAGCCATAATTTTCCCCCCGAGATTAGCCCTCCACATGGGAGACATCTGCCTTCTCCTGAGCAGTAGTACCCCGTGCAAAAACATGGGTACGCCACCGTCTAGCAGGAATACCATGCTCAACCAGCAAAGAAATCTCCAGCCTCGTCCTCCCCTGCGTCTCACCAACACAGAACCAGACCCACGCAAGCGAGGTAACAGTCGTCCCCGCGTAAACAAACCCAACCATAGGCCCCAGCCCGGCACTGGTATACAAATACGGCGCCGTGAAGGAAATCAACCACAGAAAGAAATAGAGCGCGAAGATCGATACCGAGATGATCTTATTCTGGTTGACGCCTACCGAGAGCTCGCGTGTGATCGCAAACGTCAGAGGCCCCTGGCCGAAGTTATAAGCGCAGATGACGACGTATGAAAAGACGACAATCACGTATTTCGACGCCGTGGAGAGATCTTTCTGCGTGCCAATACCGCCGATGATGATGAATGCGAGGAGAATGAGCGCCGTGCTGTAGAGCAGGTTCGAGCGTCTCTTGAGCTTATTCGCCGTGAGCACTGAAACGGCAACGGCGATAATCTGCAGAATCATGGTAATGAGCGTTATCGTGAACGGCTGAGAGACACCAAGTTCTTGGGCGAAAACAACGCCGTAGTTGTAGAAAAAGATGATACCGCAGATCTGCTGGGCGTACATGCCTCCGGCAGCCCATATCAGCTTCTTCCGCTCGATGGGGTCTAGAAGTAATGACTTCCATGACGACGCCGCCAGCTGCTCTTCTTCATGCTCGCGGGCTTTTTCGAGAAGTTCAAGATCGGTTGAAGGTTCGTATGCAGGATTGCTTCTGTGGATCTTGCACAGGGCATTCTGGGCCTCGTCTCTTCGTCCGCGAGAGACATACCAGGTTGGCGATTCAGGGATGAATGGAACCAGTATAAATGCCGCGATGGGAAGTATAACAAGGCCGCCCATGGGTAGTTTGTAGGATAACGACGAGCTAATGCTATTCGTGCCTTGTGTCAAGCCCGCGGCCACAAGCTGGGAGCAAGACTGCAGGAACTGGAACAGATAGAGGGCAGGGCTGCGAACCTCAACTGGGGCAACCTCGCCAATACTAAATATAGTCAGTTGTCAGTTTTAACAGCCGAGATGGGTTGAACGAACTAGAGAAGCGAAGTCACTGTGAAATTGCCGACTCCAATACCAATCAATATCCGACCAACTGATATAACAGCCTCAAAGTGAGTATCCACCACCTGAGCAATACCCCCAACCAGGACGAAGAATGCCGCAATCAAAAGAACAGCTTTCCGCCCAAATCGGTCATTCAATACTCCCGAACTCAAAGCCCCGAGCATGTCACCGATGTAGATACTTGACGTTGTCAGCGATGTGAAGTCGGTAGCCAAAGCCTTTTTCCCGTCAATGACACGCGTTCCATAATCGTTTTTGAATTCCTGCATGCCCAGGATGCCGCTGTAGTACGTGTTGTCGTAGCCAAATACCAGGGCCCCAAGTGCGGAAACCGCACAGTAGGCGAATGCCCATTTGTAGTGGCTGAAGTTGAGATCGATGTCAAACATTGGAACAGTCGTATTGGAATACAATGGATAATCAAACCCCTGCCCCTGTCAAGGGCCGTTCTGGTATTTATAAAGGAATCGGCTCACGTATAGAATCACCCCGCACGTAAGTAGCACCCTCGGCACCTACTTTTTTACCAAGTGGTAGCAGAAACATACTTACAGTCTAGCGTGATGGTCTAGCGTGATAGTAGCCACTCCTCATGGGGTAATACGAAGTAGCGATATGTCGTTGGAGTTGGAGTTGTCAGGGTTGACCCCACGCCCCCACGCCCTCGGAGAATTGGCTCGGAGAAATACACTGTGGCGTCCCAAACCACCAGCACTTTGACGTTGATGCTGAAGTCCAGTCACCCCTTGCATGGTATCTCTTGTTATGGTTTACTTTGGAAGGGAACAGTGAATAGTCAGATGGCTTAACCATCCCACGTATCGTGATGGCATACAATTCTACGCTCCCAGATAGACATAAATAACCCCTTCGTAGCTACGAATCAGTTCCAACTTCGTCTCATACTCTCATACTCTCACTCCAACAACATGGGCTCAGTCATTCCTCAAACCCAAACCGTCGCCCTGGTCTCCAACCTCGGCGGCACCGTCGAATTCAAAGACGACTACCCCGTCCCAACCCCAGGCCGCAACGAAGTCCTAGCAAAGGTCCTTTACACAGGTGTCTGCCAAAGCGGTCCGTCCATATAACCATCCAAACATTAAACTCATAGTAATAAAATGAATAAAAAACAGACCTCCACACAAAATCCGGCACAGCAGCCGGCCCCGACGGCAACCCCATAACAAAAATCAAACTGCCACACATCGGAGGCCACGAAGGAATCGGCCGAATCCTCTCCCTGGGTCCCGACATTACACACCCGACAGGCCTTAAAGTCGGCGGACTGGTAGGGATCCGCTTCGCAAGCCGTATCTGCAGACGCTGCGAGTTCTGTCTCGCGGGTACAGAGCAGTACTGCGTGCGCTCCACGAACCATCTACACCACGAGGACGGCAGTTTCCAGGAGTATATTGCGCTGGATGCGGACTACTTGACTGTTTTGCCGGATGATGTGGATCCGGTTGTTATGGGGCCGGTGCTTTGTGCGGGGTTGACTGCTTACAAGGTATTATTCATAGTTCATTCAATTCACAGGGTGAGAGGCTGACTTTCCAGGCCGTGTTGAATACGCAGATCCAGCCTGGGAACTGGTTGGTTGTTGTTGGGGCCGGTGGTGGTCTTGGGCATTTGGCCGGTATGTATTCGAAGATCTTTAGTATAGTTCAGCCACTGATATGATATGTCTAGTACAATACGCTCGAGCACAAGGAGCCCTCGTTATCGGGGTGGATACCGGGTCCGGTAGACGAGAATTCGTCCTCGGACTTGGCGCGAGCGAGTATATCGACTTTGCAACCGAGGATCCTGTGAAGAAAGTGCAAAGCATAACTGGGCTAGGCGCGCACGCTGTTGTTGTCACGGCCGGTAGTGCCAGGGCTTTTGCCAATGCGTGTGATATGTTACGGGTGGGAGGGTGTTTGAGCTGTGTGGGCATTCCGCCTGGACGCCCGGGTCTGGAGACGCCGATCTGCACGATTGTGATCAAAGGGTTGAGAATCACGGGTAATCTTGTTGGATCACTGAAAGAGTGTATGGACGCTGTTGAGCTAGTGCGGCGCGGGGTTGTCAAGCCGGTTATCAAGGTAAGGCCATTTAGGGATTTGTCGAAGGTCTACGAGGATATGGAAAAGGGGGATATCTCTGGACGAGTGGTTCTTCAAGTTGCCAATGATTGAGCTGATTAGAGTTATCTGCATTCAACAAATTCTCTGCATAGATTATAATAATCTGCGATTAGTGCATATGCATGTCCCGTTCATAAGGCTTGATATTCGCAATACAATCCGCACTAACTATTATACGGTAAATTCTGTCCCAGCTGTCGCGCTGTATTCCCTTGATTCTTCCTCTTCCATACCATTCGGCTCCCGTATCAACAATCTCGCCGGCGCCGTGATCAGGACTTCAGCCATCTTACTCCGCAGATTATGCTGCAACACCGTATCCTGCTCAAGAGACGGCAGCAACTTCTGATACAGCGCATGCAGAAAGTCCTGTGGACCGTACTCGCAGCCAGAATATGTCGTGGATGAAGTGAGAAGGATAGTATCTGCCAGGGTGCTTGCTATTTCAAAGCATTTCAATAACTGGAAGCTGTTAGTCACCCACCATCTCAATATTGCGCAGAGTATACTAACCTGATCCCGTCCCAAGGGAAGTAAATCTGCAGCAGTAAAACACCGCAACGACCGTAATAAATCCCGACCAATCTGTCCAGGGAAACCAAAGTTCATCAGCGCCGTATAAGAGCTCGAAGACAGAAACCCCAGCGCGAGCGCCTTTTGCCAGAGAATAGTCCTCATCCACTCTCGTGTAATATGGCAGTCCGCCGTTCTAGCAGATATTTGATCTTCTGCTAGACAGACTGAAGATAGTTTCGCCTCGGTGTCTGTTAGGCACGGGGCAGAGGTAATGGCGTGAGGCTGGCGGTGTACGGATATATGGTCGAACGCAACGAACAGCCGGGCGAGATCGAGTAGCCCGTGCGCCTGTGCATCAATAGTAGAGCTAACTGTAATTTCGGGCAGCGATAATGGCTCGGTATATAACGGAGAAGCATTAAGATGCAGCGCATATCCCCTTCGGCATATAAGCTACTGATCCGTAACAAGAGACAAACTTACCTCTCTGTAACCCACAACAAGGGAAATATAAGCTCTTTGTTGACAATCAAATGGCTTTCCGGTACATTGTGCAACCGTGAAATCCTATCCAATCCCAAAACACGAGCCCCAGCTATGGCCTCCTGAATATACAGCATCGCAGCCGTGCGCTGGTTCAACTTGGCATGATAAACATGCAGAAAAAACGAAGTAAGAACACTGCAAATACCAATATTCCCACGGTCGCAGTTATAATCATCTCTTAGGCGCAGACAGGTCCGTCCCATGACCGAGCTATCCACAAGCACCTTGCCATCCCAGATCGGCGCAAGATGCAGCTGCGCCATTGTTGCTGCACAAAGACTCGTCACGAGACAATCAAACATCGCAGCCTGGGGGTCCGAGTTCTCGGGCTCGATGTCGTTGATCTCGCGTAAGAAGCCATGGGCATTAATAACCGGCCAGACACTGTATGAACTCTGCCGGTAGTGGCGCACGATCAGCGCGAGGACGGATCTAGATATCTGCCCGGGCAGGCCATTACTTTTATCTGAAATGCGCTCCGGAGATCCCCCCAGCCCCGGCGAGGGTTCCTTGGAGTCGGCAAGGTGACCCCGTCTGAGTCGTCGCGCCTTAGGCCCTCGTTTCCTTGCTGGCCGCAGATACGTACAGGTCACCGGTTTTGCGGCATCACTACAGGTCTCGCAGGGCGTGGCGCCGCTGCACCTGACTTTGCGCGAGATACAGTTGTCGCAGGCTCGTTTGGGTGGCATAGCCAAGTTGAAGGTGGTCAAGTCTATCAAGTCCAGACTCCAACTCTAGACTCTCCACATGTCTGCATTCCAGCCACCCCCACGTTTACTAAGGCAGTTCAAGCTCGTGGCTGAGATCTTGGCATTTCCCTTGAACTCACATCGGCTCAGAATGGGACGAGGCAGATGGTTCCATTTTACCAGTCAAACAAAACATACGTGTACCAACAATAAATCATACGGTATGCCAAATGGGTATTCGGGTTTCCATTCAGTCTTTATTCGGTGGGGCAAGCCAAGTACTACAACAATAGCCCTAATAGCAGCTGAGGCTCCACTAATTGCCTGTTCCAGTTGTACCCAGCGCCGACGATATCAAGGCTGAGGGCCAACTATCGTTTTCTGTCTTTCACAAATCTCGAGCCAGCAGAAACTGGGTATGGCGTGATTTGATAGGGCTATGGCTCTGGTTCCTCAGTCCAGGGGTCGCCTAAAATTTTTTCCCCCATCGAATAAGGAACGATCGTGCTTATTAGCAAAGAGATGATCTGCAGAAGATGATACATGTACTTCCAACCAAGCTAGCCTATACTCTCCAGCCAGGTTACATCCCCACCATCATTAGCTTCGGTACGGTAGCCCTGCAGATCTGCGACGACCACTGCTCGATATCTTCAAAATCCCCAGTATTTCGGGCAATGCTGGTGGAGACTCTTGTGGAGAGGTTGATGTTGGGCGCCGTGTTTGACCGGACTGAGTAGGGCGGCGCTCGATACCCCCAAACTCGGAAAACGTATACAGAGAAAGACTATATGTTCTAGACAGCGTCCAAAACACCAGTGCCATTTGCATCGAGCAAGCCAGGTATAAAAGGTCCCGGGGTACCAGCAATTTTTATTCTCAATCCACTCCCACTCCAATTCAAAGCATCACTTCTCTCAATTTCTACAGCAAGTACATATATCTATCCACGATGAAGCTCTCTACCTTGCTGCCAATTGCTATCACTACCGCAACCGGAGCGAACGCCCTCTTCGACTGCAACTCCAACCAGCACGCGTTTCCCCCTACGACTGGCAGGTTCGTCGTCCACTACACCTCCATCCGCGACACCGAGATCGACGGTGAACCCTGGGTACTCCCCCCCCATCTTCATCTGCTTGTTTGACTTGCTAATATAGCCAGATCCGCATCTGCAAACCAAGCGGCAATGGCTGGAGCCAAGTCGCTCCACTAACCATGGACTGCGCAAGCGACAAGTACACCTTCGGCACTGGGGACACCGGGCTCCGCGACTCATTCACTGTCGTCAACGGTAACGGCTGCAACTCGGACTCGTCGAACCTCAGTGGAGCTGAGATGTCGTATCGCGGTCAGAAGCGATCGCTGTCCGGGTCGGACTCTGGCTGTGGGAAGCGGGATCACGGCATTTCTTGCGAATTTGACCTTTAAGATGACCTGACCTGTCTGCGTTGTCGGTTCCCTTCTGATTTGGAATCATGTGCGAGGATTGGATGATTTGGGGGTTTATCTGGGTCTTTCGTTGTATCAGATCTTGTCATTGTTGTCTACTGCTGTTGAACTTGACTCGCGAGACATGTAGATTGGTAGAAGCTAGACAGATCACGGATTGAATATCAAACAATAACACCCTCCCCAACACCCCCTAGCACTTCCCTCACATCGCGAAACTTCAACTTCCCAAAATACTTCTCCCGATGCCTCCTCACCTCATCCCAATCCAACGCCGCCGATCCACTCGGAATAACAATCTTATACTCCGCCTCAATCCTCCCAAACTCATCCCTCGCATCACGAACCTCATTAACCAGCTCCCGCAATGAATGATACTCCACCTTAAACCCATCCCCAAATCCATAGTGGTCTTTAACAACCTCAACAAACCGGTTACAGCTCATCTGCTCCCCCGAGAGAAACGCATACTCCTCCCACTCCCCCTTCTTCATCTCAACCAACGCAACAAGGCCCCTCGCCAAATCCCGCGCAGCGATAAAATCCACCAACTCCCTGCCAGTCCCGGGGATAACAGCTCTCTTCTCTGCAAGATTCACAGGGAAGGAATCACCTATATCTTTCATATACCGATTTGCACTTGGGAGGATATAATCAACGATCCACCCACAGCAAACAAGCGTCCACTCAAGTTCCTTCTGGCCCCGTAAGATCCGGCGTATCGGCTCGCGAGTCTCCCAGTAAAACCCCGGCTGGTCGGGGTAATCAGGGATATTCACGCCATACTCAGACGGGATAAACCGCGTACACTCGCGGCTCTGCAGCGCGGCCGCGATCAGGTTCTCGTGGATAGAAACGAACGCCTTGGTATCGTAGGTGAGGATCGTGGAGATGAGTGTCGTCGCGGCGTGTTTGTCCAGGGCGGATTTGAGGGACTCCACGGAGTTATAGTCGACGGGTTCCTGGATGAGGTTTGGGTTGGACGTTTGGAAGTGGGACTTGGGGGTGCGAACGAGCAGGATCACTTTGTGGGATGTGCTGGCGAGAACTTCTTCGACTATGTACCGGGTTAGGTCGCCGGATCCGGCGATTGCGATTGTCATGTTGTTTTTGTATTTTCAGTCGAGGGGTGCGGTACAAAGGCTTCCGGTCTAGGGCTATTTGAAGTATACCCGGCGGATGATGTCCAGTCTTGAGTCTTATGCCATCAGGGCGCTCTTATATAATTCCATCCGGTGAGTTTCTCACCCTGCTTGATAATCTCGGATGAATTTATAATTGTTCTCTGTCTGGGCATCGTCATCGGTAACTTGATGGTTGGCGATATACGCTCGGGGTGCGCGGACGCCGAGGATCTTACATAGGCATTCGCTCCTTCGTGTTTCTGAGTCACTTTGAATCATGAAAGATCTATATTTGTTGAGATATATGGATATTATAATCCATTGCGTGGAATAATAATATCATTATTATTATTTTTATAAATGTATTCCGAGTCCAGTGAGCGAAGAATTGGTTTCTAGCTCAATCATCGAAACTACAGTATCTCCATAAAGAGCAACCTAGTGTCAAGCATCAGGCTGAGATTTTGGCATTACCAAGCTTTGCTTGCTATGCAATTATCCAAGGCTGCAGCTCAATGTGCAGAGGGATCGAGATCTTGATATTATTCAGGCGAGGTCTACAGTGCTAATTCTAGCACACGACCCAAAGGTCTTCTAGATAATTCTTTTTCCTAATAATACACGGGACTATCATCCATTCTCTGCACTGACATTATATGATCCAAGTTTATTGTAGTTCGTAGCGCTGCCAACCAGAGGTTAGACATCAAAGTTCGGTAAGCAAGACTCTACAAGGCACTGTTGTGGAAGGCGCGAAGGAGCCATGGGCTTTTACCAATAAAGAACTCATTTCGGGAACTCTCTATTTCTTTCTCCTCGGAACAGGCCACTTCCATAATTATGCATAGTTTATTGCTGCTTTTATACTTTCACTCACATGTTTTGGTATTGTTGTGGAGCGAGGGTAGCCATGAGATCCCGCCTGCTTCGTTAGAACTCTTTGTCCGGAAAAAAGTACCTGTTACGAAGCGAGTATCTTTTACCAGACGTCTTATTCTTTCGATTTTGTGAAGAATTAGTTCAGTCTTTCTATTCAAGGATGCTGTCGCGCTTAGATGGCTTTTCTGCTCAGCAGGCATCCTGCCTACCCTCCCTGCTCTGGATCAGACTCCGACCCATTTTCCAATTGTCATTGTGCGTTCTGCCTCTGGTTCGTGTGCAAGTCTGGGGAATGAGAATCTTCTTTCTATCGTCTGAATTTGTACTCACTAGAACTAAATTGTTAAACTATGTACTTAGAATCCGCCTCTACTTTAGTGTATTTATTTCGTTTTGGATACTACTAGACAGTGCGGGGAGTGCGGGGAGTAAAAGAACAATTCCCAAGTACGGAGATAGGAGAGCATGGCGAGAGAAGCGGTTAGGTAAGGGTCCGATAAGGCTTCCCAACCCCGTAAACCAATAACATTTAGCGTGTTAGTTATTAAGCTCTGTGCCCTCGCTGACGACTGCCGTTTTGGCTGTTGGGCGGGGCGTCCGAGTGCAGCGGGGAGTCGACTTGGAGATATAATGCCCTGCCTTGCTCCTGATGTCCAACTGTAGACCCCAACATGGTAGTCATGGATAGCTCCGTGATCAAGGCTCTCGGGGCTGTTGTCTCCCTCTACATTATCACCAAAATATACACAACCCTCATCAGTTCTCCGCTCCGTCCTATTCCAGGCCCTAAACTCTTTGCCCTGACAAAATGGCGTCTCGCGTGCGAAGACTACCGCGGTACCAGGACCACCTTCATGCAGGTTCTCCATGAGAAGTACGGCGATGCTGTCCGGGTTGGCCCAAATGAAGTCGCATTCAACAGTCTTTCCGCATTGCGCGCTATCTACGGTGCGGGCACTGTCTTCCAGCGAAGCTCCTTCTATCGCATGTTCGATGCATACGGGAGGCAGAACATGTTTAGCGTTTCCTCTGGAAGAGATCACCGAGGTTTGCCCCTCCCTCTATTACTATAGATAAATCTAATAGAGACAGACCGCAAGAAGCTGCTCAACCACGCATACTCCAAATCCACCGTCCTCTCACCCCGTAACGCCTCAATGGTTCAGGAAAAAGCAGCGCAGTTCATGGACCTGATCGAAAAAGAAGCAGACGACACCGGTAGACTCGAAATATTCGCAGCCCTGCACTACTTCTCCCTCGACTCAATCACCAAGTTCCTCTATGGGAAGAGTCCGCACGGCGCAACCACAGCCTTAACCGCGGCCCCAGACCGGGCCCTGCTCGACGACATCCTCGATCACGACCGCCGCAAGCTCTCCTGGTTCACCATCCACTTCCCCTCGCTAACAGGCTGGCTGTACTCCCGCACCGGTCTGGTCGAGTCCCTACTCACATCCCTCCATCTCCTCCCAATGAACAAGCCATCAACATACACCGGGATCCGAGTCCACGCACTCAAAGCCGCAGAAGTCATCAACAAATCCACCACCAGCGGCCTCGACGCAAGCGAATGCATCGCCGAGCGCTTACTCCTCGCAGCAAATAAGGAAAATTCCAAAAGCGACCCCGCCAGCGCAATGGATTACCTCGACGTAGCCAGCGAATGCGCAGACCACCTCCTCGCCGGAATCGACACTACCAGCGATACAATCATGTGGGTGATGTTCATCCTCTCGCAGCCGGAAAACTACGTCTACCAGGAGAAACTGCGCGCGGAAGTCCAATCCCTAGCCCTGAATCCTGAAGATCTAGCCGACAATGAAAACGTCATCAGCGCTGTAGCTGCTGATAAACTCCCCTACCTAGATGCAGTAATCAAAGAGACTCTGCGTCTGTTTGCCCCACTCCCAGGAACAGAACCCCGATTCGCAGATACAGACCAGGTCATCGACGGGTATCATATTCCCGCAGGTACACTGGTCAGCATGAGCCCATACACCCTCCACCGCAACGGGAAAGTCTTCAAAGACCCGATGCGCTTTAACCCGGAACGATGGCTCTCAGGGTCTGCAGAGGAACAGGCCGAAATGAAGCGCTGGTTCTGGGCGTTTTCGAGTGGAGGCAGGATGTGTATCGGGATGCAGTAAGCCATTTATACCACATACCAAGTATGCATATAGCTAACCACGATTGCCAGTCTTGCCATGGCGGAGATGACGACCCTGCTTGCGAGTGTGTATAGAATTTACAAGACTGAGATTGCGCCTGAGTTCAAGGGGGTTTCGCCGGGGGTTACGGCGCGGTATGAGATTTTCTACGATGACCAGTTTCCGCGGATGGAGGAGCATCTTTGCTTGGTGCGGTTTATTAAGGCATAGCATAGTATTCTTAAGTCATTAGTTGGTTTGATTTTGATGTTTGCGAATTGCAAATGCTGTACTGGTTGCATTGGTAGTTATTAACTGGTGTTTAACTCCGTTATTGTCTACATTCAATATTGTCTTATACAACCTTCACGAAATACAAAATCAATAGCCATGTAAAACGAATATCCCTCGTCCAGTCGCGATAGTGGCCTTCGCCGAAGCTGACTCCGACTTAGTCCCCCGTTATGCGCTGGACCCAGTAATGTGCTGCCCGTGTCTCAGCCATGCATGTCCTGTGCATGTCTGCGTTCTAGACTCAGTTCGTCGGTTAGTCTCAAATCCGCCTGGAAACGATAGATCGAGCGCCACTACTGTGATCAAGTTATCTCGAAATCTGCAGTTGTCTCAGATGCTCCCTCCTAAACTGTTCAGGCTAGCATGTCTTATACAATATAGAGTCATTGGCGGCTAACTGCTTACTGCATCATGCAGCGTTACTCGCATACTACCCTTCGCGAATATAAATAGTCTGCCTTCCTCGAGTAAACCACTTAACTGTCATCCAAAATGAACATCCTCACCTTCTTAACTGGGATCCTCTCCCTCTCCCTCTCAACATCTGCAGCTTCTATAAACCCCCCACCAGGCTGCCCCCTCCCCACCTGGACCGTCACAAACCTCACCTGGCACAACGCCTCCCACAGCCTCGACTGCATCCACAACCCAACCGATATCGCCACAAAAGGCTGCCTCTACCAAAACGCCTGGACAACCCCAAACGAAACAACCTGCTCTGCCCTCGGCGGAAGCTGGGTAAACGTCTGCTACACAGGAATGCCAAACTACTCACCATGGGGGTACGGACCGCCTCAAACCCTCGACATCGAATTCAGCAACGGCCCCACCTGCCACGACGAGTACATCGGGTACCGCGTGCACGATATCGGGAACGGGGAGAGTAACTGCGGCTACGCAGACCGTGGCATGGGGCGGATAATCTCCTTCTACGGCTCCTCGAACTATGAAACATCCACCGGGCAGATAGAGTATATACTCGGAACAGGCCATGCGCTGACTTGTGCGAACGGGAGCAGGATTACATATTCCGGGAAGACGGACTTTGGTTTGAGTTGTGTGCATGATGAGTTCTTTAATGCGTCTTGTACGGCGGAGCCGTTTGAGGTGCCGGTTTTAGGGTTTGAGTGGGTGGAATAGTGAAATAGTTTATATCAACTTTCAAGTTAGGTACGATATGGGATGGCCTCGGGCTATCAATGGAATTGGTCGCTCCTTCCTGTGAAAGCTGCGCGCCTTCCTAGATTTATGCATAGCCCTAAACGGAAAGTGCGATGGGAGTAACTGTTCCTTCCTAAATAAGTTTCATATTTATAGGGAAAGTGCGATCCAAGTAATCGTTCCTAAGTTTCGCATTATACAAACAAATTACATTCATAGAGAAGTCTCTGCAATCTCACTACCTAGCCCTAACTCTCCCAGCACCACTACCCACTCATTATCCACCAGATTAATTAAAAAAGCAAAGCATATCAATCAAACCTGCTCATTACCCTTCTCAGGCGCAACCTTGTCATCAGTAACAGGGCCCGTCCGGTCCGTGACCTTGAGATTCCCCTCTGCAATCTCGCGCTCGATGTCGTCGAGGCGCGAGCGCACCTTTCCGCGGCGCCAGGCGGGCACGCCGCTGTCGAAGACTTCGTCCATTTCTTCGAGGGTGAAGCCTTTTGTCTCGGGGGCTGTGAGGAACATGTGGACTGCGGCGACGGTGTTGAAGGCGGCGAACTAGTGTTGTTAGTTTCTTTCTCGTGTAATATGGATGCGGGATGGGTGGATGGGAGGGGACATACGATCATGTACATCTTCCAGTTGATACTCCAAAGAAGAGGCGGGACGAAGAGCGCCAAGAGACAGTTCCAGGTCCAGTTCGAGGCTGTCGCCAGAGAGACGGCCTTGGCGCGTACCTTGGCTGGGTAGATCTCAGCCGGGTACGTCCAGGAGGTCGGGCCGATGGTCGTCGCGAACGAACAGACGAAGAGGTAAGACATGGCGATGATGGCGCGGCCGACGGCTGGGTGGTCGGCGACGGTCCAGGAGATGGCGGTGGAGTTTGCGTCGCCTTCGCGCGTGGTGCGGCCGTATCCGGCTTGCAGGGCTCCTTCGACGTAGAGGAAGATGGCTTGCATGGTGAAGCCGATGAGGATGGCAGGACGACGGCCGAAGCGGTCGAGCCAGAGGATGGCGGGCAGGGTGAGGGCCGTGTTGAGGATGTATTGGATTGAGGCTGTGAGGAGGGGCGAGCCAGCTCCGGTGCCTTGCATGATGTAGACAATATAATACATCATAACGTTCATCCCGCAGAGCTGGGACCACATCTGCAGACTCATTCCCAGGAAGACACGCTTGGCGATGCGCGGCTTCATGAACTCCTCGTAGCTGGTCGAGTTCTGCTCTCGCTCCAGAGCCAACGCGTCTTGGATCTCCTTGTACTCAGCAAGAACCTTGGGGTGGTTGATGTCGCCATTCCCATGGAGACGGGCAAGGACCTGCATGCATTCATCCCAGCGGTCCTTACTCGCCAGCCAACGCGGTGACTTGGGATAGAAAAACAGCCCCACGAAGTAGATAGCACCAGGGACAATCTGGATACCCCAGGGGATGCGGAAAGCCGCCGTGCTCTGGGTTTCATTCTCCGGGCCGCCGTCGACGTTGCTGGCGCCGTACTGGATGAAGTACTGGATCAGGATACCCCAGGTGATGGCCCACTGCTGCAGCGAGATCATGCGGCCTCGGATTTGCTTGGGACTGACTTCGGCGATGTAGACAGGGACCATGGCGGACGCGATGCCGACACAGAGGCCTGCGATGACACGGCCGACGACGAGCAGCGCGATTCCGTTGGAGGCACATTGAAAACTAAATTGTCAGATTCATCATCAAAGTTGTTACAAGTCAGGGGACTTACACAGAGCCAATGATCCACAAAGTCGAGGAGAACTGAATAGCTGTGACACGCGAGTACTTGTCGGCGAGGAAACTGGAGCACAAGGCACCGACGAGCGAGCCAAACGGCATCGCACAGGTAATTCCACCCTAAACCGTTAGTCACGTTCTGCTTTCATATTCTAAGACGTACCTGTTTGTAATTGCCATCTCCGACCTGGAAGTAATTGATGTAGGCCTTGGTGCCCAGAACACCTGCAATGGTGAGCTCTAAACTAGATCAAGACTTGGACTTTGGCTTACCACTCATAGACGAGATATCGAAACCGAACAGACCACCACCTAGCCGTACGGTCAGCTTGTATTTGAAAGCTAGAAGAGTGCTAACATACCAAGGGTCATGAACGCGCAAAGGAAATAAACATTGTAGGACTTTCCGAGCTGCATCTTGACGGCCGGTGCAGACAGCACACCAAGACAGACACTGAGACGGAAAACGGCAAGAAGAAGATCAAGGAGGAGCAGAAAAGGAGGCCAAGGGCGTCTTATATCCTAAGAGCCCGCGGCAAGTTCAACCGAACCACCGGACAGGATCCCCCTCATTCTGACATGCAGCGTTAATGCTTCAGAAACAGCAGTGCAACGTAACATCCAGAGGCGCGCTCTCATTCGGTTGAACTCCCCCGAAGAAAGGTCTGTTGGAAACTCACAAGGAAATTAGTGGACGCCACAAAGGCTCCCGGTCTTGGTACTCTCGTAAAGGTTCCAATCAAGCGCTGGTGCTCTTCCCCGCGCCGAGTCTGGGGAGAAACAAAACACGCGTGACAAGCTTAGTTTAGCCACGAGGAAGCCAAATGAATCCAAGGTGTGAACTGAAATGAGTCAAGGGTGGCAGTAAGTTTCGCAGTGATTGCAGTCTGAACTGCAGGCGACATCACAATCGCAGGGACGGGGACCGTGAGCTCACTGAGTTCACCCAGCCAACACATGATACACGTCTTGCAAGGGCGGAAATCAGTCAGCCCGCTGCCATTAATCCAACTAACCCCGACAGTCTCTCATGGTGCTGGTGGCCAGACAAAGCGCAGTTAGGGCTGGGCGATTGGTGGAACATCACCAGCTGAGCCCTTGGCAGTCACTGTCGCACTCGCCCGCCATCACCGAAATGAGTCTGGGCATTCAGGAATCCTTCGCTCTTCGCCCCCAATAAAATAAGTCCGTATTGGCAGCGGCGCCCCTGCCAATCACAGCCGGCCACTAAATGACACCGTCTGAGCCCTGATCAAGGGACTTCTCCAGGTTCATCTTCTGCGGGGGAATCAGGTGATATCCGTCGAGTGACTGTGAGTGTCAATAACAATCACTATCCAACTGATAATTGTCATATTATGAATCTCGGTCGGCTTCATCCGACGGCATATTCTGTATCAATTACATTCCTAAAATAGCTCCCAAACGTACCTTAGATCACTAACCCGTCATCCGAGCTCGCGTATCCTCTGCTGCGACGTTCGTGTTCGAGTTATTCTCCTATCGTCGGTTGTTTAATTCCTCAGGCATCAAGGACGTACTGTAAACATAATATTTACGGATCAGCTCTCAACCCGCTACATAATTCCTGTTACTCTTTAAATGAGTATGTACCTCATAAATTAGATATAATGGCAGTAAGCGAGCTTCCGAAACAGGCAAAGCCTGTTCCCCCTGCACACCGTGATTCAGGGGGTCCGAATTTTGTTGTGTTTGCAAAGTGAAGCTATCCATCGTGAACATTAGATGGCGGGGTGGCCTGGATATAATTTGTACTATATTGAGCTCTAGTCCGTCAACATAACAGAAAGATAAGTTAACCTGCGTCAGTATGCTCTACATCTTCGCTACGCAGGCTACGAGTATAGAACGGCACGTGAAGAGGAATTGGATTGGAAGCGGCAATTTATGCACCCTTCAAAACTCGGCGCGATAACAACCATTTTACGTACAAACATCTAGCATAAGATCATGTCAGGTAGACTGTCCTCCAACACAACGATTTATTCCAACCTTGTGTGCCGCTGCTGCACGGAGTCTTCTCCATGGCTCCGGAATTAACCAGTCCTGCAGCGCACAGCTGTACAGGGCATGGATAAACCAGCGTTCACCTTACAAGCCACACAGTCTCGGCCTGATTGCGATAGCTCACAACTTCCCACCCGTCAACGCAGGCTTGTAGTCAGCACGATCACACCATGAGTCCGGACAACAGCCACAGGCCGATACCAGTATGGGAAGGGTTTCCACAACCCAATCTTCCAAACGCCCTCGTCACTTGGAGATCTTGAGCGCCCCTCACGCTTCGCCCTCCACTGTCGGCACCACGTCGAGACCATGCAGCTTGGCCAGACGCTCCTCTTCCTTCCTTGCCTGGAGGTTCTCGGTCTCTCGCCGTAACGCGGCAAGGTTGAAAGTTCCATCGTCTTCCTCGTCCGAATCTGGCTCGCTGTCTTCGCCCCGCCACTTGCCGCTCTCGAATAGTGATCTTCCGGTATCGTCCTTGGCCTTGCGGGCTTGTTCCTCGGCGGCCTTCTTGTCAACGCGTTCCTTCTTCCATTTGGCGAAGGACTCTGGCGTGACGGGCGTGAGATCTCCGGTGAGCTTATGTCGTTCGCTTTCGAGCCAGTCTTCCAGGGTCAAGGTGTTGAGTGGCGACTTGTCCATCATGGCCTTTTCTGCCGCCCTTTGTTCCTTCGTCTTGAGGACGAATCTAGAATATTATTAGTGCCAGTCATGCCTTTTTCGGTCAAAGAAGAACATACCCAGGCGGTAAGTTGTGTCTGTACATGCACTTGTCACCTCCATTAGGACAAACCCAGAACCAACCGTACTTCTGGTTCTCGACTGCCTCGACGAAGTATTTGCAGACCTTGTCAGTCGTCGTCCGGGGGTTACCGTGCTTGCTCATGACGACCTTGCGAAGCTTCTCCTCATCCCACTGGTCCATGGTATCGCCCTTCTTCTTCTCTTCTTCCGCCTCTCGAGAATCAGTGTAAAGATCCTTCTTGGCCGCCTTGCGCTCTACATTCGGGTCGTGACTGAACTTGCACTTGCGACCCTTCTCACAGTGGCCCTGCTTGTAGAACATGCAAAGCACGGTCTTCGGATCCACACCAAAGGGAACCTTTTGCACCTGGACGGGCTTGAACAGCTCAAGGTTATCCTTCTTCGCCTGCTCAGCCGCCCGCTTCTCAGCCTCCCGCTTCTCCTTCTCGGCTGCTTTCCGCTTCTCGTCGGCGGTCTTGCTGTGGGATGCCTGTGCTTGTAGTTGTGCAATCTGCTTCTTGGCGCTTCCACCTTTTTTCTGTCCAAGGTAAATATCCGTTAGTTATTTACTGGCTTCGAGTGGCGACAGAGAAGGGATAGGGCGCCGTGACGTACGTTTTTCATGCCAAAGGTCTGTGCAGATCGTTGTTAGCAAACGCTTCCAAACAAAAATTCTTTAACTGTCCACAAACCTTGTCATCGACGGTGGCCTTCTTCTTCTTAGGCTGGTCGGGCTTCTTAGGAGGCATGGTGGCGACTTTTATATAACCCCTCTAAAATGCTTTATAGAAACGAGAACGTTGATAAACTGATGCTCTCAACTCGGTCTAGTTGAGTTGAGGTTAGCGTCGTGGAGGGGCGCGGGTGTCTGGTGGTGTGCGAGGAAAGGCGGGATGAAAAGAGATTTATTTTATCGAATCCCAGGACAAAAGACCAAAGGGAGGGCAGCCCGATCTATGATACGATCAGAGACAACAAGAAGAGGGCCGTGAAGCCTCGGCCGGATGAGGAAATCAACGATAGTGGTGAAGGCACACAGAGTTGGTTGAAAGTTGCAAGTTCTCCTCCACATTCGGTGTGGGTTTCGAAGCCTCGCTGCGTGTGGCGGGCAAAACTCCTTCACATAATCCGCCCTCCGCCAATGACTTGGCTCCAATCTTTTACCGAACAACCTCAATTAATGCGAGGCACACGAGCACTGTTCTGTTATATTCTTGGATACGTTATATCTTTTGTGCGATGAAAAATCCTCAGAATCTTCCAAAACCCCGCTATTTCGGAGATATCTAGGCAACGTACTTGCCAGCAACAATATATATTTCTGAAAACGTCATCGCATGGTTTTATGCCAAGGCTCAAGGCTATGAAAGAGGCAGCAGTATCACTACGCACAATTAATAACACGTATCGTCTAATTCACGCAAGATAAAGGTTTTAATAATGTCTTCTACAGAAACAAGTAGTCCGGAAAAATGGATATCATAGCACTAATTGTCTTGATACAATTTGCAATAATGTTATTTTTTTTATTGTCCATGCGCTTGAAGGCATTTCGCCTTGAGCCACTAAAATCGACCGGACGCAGATTTAAGCATCGGCAATCAGCCCGGATACTGAGTGTCAACTGAGTAGTGTACTGATGATCGTGAAAGCCCGTTATACTGGGAGGGCGAACCTCCTGCAAGCCCAACCCTTGCCCGTCCCCAACTCCAGATTCTCCAAAAAGCACCAATGTTTACGAGACCTCCTGGATCTTGGAAGACTTCTCACCGGCCTTGTCGTCAGCCTCCTCGAGTGCGGGCATCTCTTCCTCATCCTAAACGCAACATTAGCTGGGGGGAATACGCAATATCAACGGCTGAGACCTACCTCCTCATCTCCTTCGCCGCCGAAGTCGCCGCCAGGGCCACCGGCGCCGGGAAGACCACCAAGTTTCGAGAAGTCAATGTTGCCAAGGCCACCCTGGTCATTGGGGTCAAACCCGCCGAAGTTGTTGGCATAGTCGTCTTCTGGTGCCTCGTCCTGCTCGTCCTCATCCACCCACTACCAGTAGTCAGCATTCCATTCTCTATATCAAAAATCGGGATAAAGATCGTACCTTGTCGAAGTTGGTCTTCAGGAAGTGCATCTTCTGGGAAGTCTCGAGGAGACGGGGCCAGTACTCCTCCTTCAGTTCCTTCTTGCGTAGGACAAGCTCAACGTCGCGGTCGCTGTGGTTCACCTTGCTGTTCTCGGGTTCAATCTCAGCATACAAGTCAAGCGAGACCGTGTATGTTACGCCCTTCCTAGAGGGGCCGGAGAATGTGACATTTTTGGCAGTAATGTCGAGCTTCGCATCAGGCCGGGGCACATCAGCAGCCTTGATGTTCACGTAGAGGTAATTGCGTTCGGGGTCAGACGCAGAGGAGCGCTGGGCCCATGTGACTGCAGATTTAAGACGCGAATTAGCAATTCGCACAGTTAAAACAACATAGCAAGCGGATTGAAAAGACCAAATCTCGATGGCCAGGGGTATTTATTTTGGTTTGGGTGCTAGGATGCACACAGCCGAACCAGACGGAAGCGGGGAAATAATGAGGGACCCGTTAGAATAACGTACCTTCGGGAGTGTGTTGAGGTAGCTCGGGCATGGTGATGGTAGAGGTTATGGAGATTCGGGACAGAAGAGAGTAGTAGAGAAGGGGTTGAAATTTAGATGAGGGTGAATGGTAAGGATTTTGGAAGGGGTTGTTGTTACGGCAGTGAGGAGCAAGCACAGAAATCCAGCCTCTGTTCGAGCTGATGATCACCACTCGAGTGGTGCTAGAAACTTTAGAAAGTACTGGAACCTGCTCAGCCCGTTTGCGCTGTTTGCATCTCCCTCCCCTCACCCGCGACGTCACGCCTCACTGAGTGAAGGCCTCAGGCAACTACGCGCCCAGGCCATAGGTACTCTTGGCGCCGCCAACTTCCAACGGCTGGCTCATGGCAATGCCAGCAACGTCGCAGAATGACTTGGAGTGTGAAGAACCAATCTGAACAAGCATGAGTTCATGATATTCACATCTCACTACCACTGCTTTAATTCTCGATTCCCTGCGTTTCACAGGTATCAAGCCCTACTCTTCACCCCATACCCCGCTCCGGTTGCGGGCATTCGAATCGGGCTTCCCTTTGTTATTCAAGTTCGGTTGAGAAGCACTGCGTATCCAGACTCTCGGTCGTTCAATCTTCATTGCCTTGCGACTCAGTAACAAAAAGGATCAATATGGAGTCTCTCAAGGCTGTTTTCTTTGGGCCAGACCCTCAGACGCAGGTATATTCAGCCCAACCACTACATCATGTCCATACTAACTTGTCCATTCGCAGATGCGAAAGTGTAACCAACTTATCCGTTCAAACACCCGCCAGCTGGATCGCGATATCATGCAGCTCAAAACTCTCGATACCAAAACGCGACAGACCATCGTCAGTGCCTCGAAGCGGGCCCAGAAGAATCCGTCCCGTGCGAAACAGGCCAACATCGAAGCCAAAACACTGGCGCGTGAGCTTGTTCGAGTTAGAAGGCAGGCGAACCGATTATCAACTAGCCGGGCTCAGTTACAAAGTGTCCAGATGCAGGTCAACGAAGCCTTCTCCATGCGAAAGATCCAGGGCAGTCTACAAAAGTCGACGGGTATCATGAAGGACGTTAATACATTGATCCGTCTTCCGCAGCTGTCAGCAACGATGCACCAGCTGGCCACTGAGTTGGTCCGCGCCGGGATTATCGAGGAAATGGTGGACGACGCTATCCCGAATAACGAACTACTCGAGGATGAGGAGACAGAAGCCGACGAGGAGGTCGATAAGATTTTGCAGGAAATTTTACAGGGAAAGCTGTCCCAGGTGGAGGAAGTCAAACCGGAGAAACCGCTGGAGGAACCCGAGCCGGCCGAAGAAGAGTTCGAGGACCCGGAAGCCGCTCTCGCGCAAATGCGGGGACGTCTCGAAGCCCTAAAGAGCTGAGTTCGGTTATCAGCGACCTTGACATGATGTTGCATGGATATACAAGTATTATGGATGTTGTCGGCTTGTCTTTTAATTGTTTCAACGGAGTTTGGCACGGTAGAGCGTCCATGGTTTCTTGAAGTTGGCGGCGCTGTCATTTTGCGATATTCTGATTTCAGAACTCTGCCAAACAGCTGGCCTTGGATGCAGAATTCTGAAATAGACTGCGCGCCCTATTTGCTGTTCTTTAACACTCCTTACATACTATACACATCGTACGAGCTGTCTCATATTCAGGCCATTAGTCGATGGTGGGTGCTTTGCCACTACGACTTAATATTCATTCCATCCATCACCGCTCCCGCCGATTTTCACCTGTAGATATTTACGTATTGTAACATTCGAACTACTTCACTGCGAAAAAGCACTTGAATCCCCAGCACTGGTTATTGTTTGGGTGTTTGTAGGCACCCAAGTAGTCACCCGATTAGTACTAGCGGCTGTGTCAGGCTACAGTCACAGGTTATGTCACTTTACTCCGCCTTCCTCTTTCAGGACAGCCAAACCTGCCGAGTCTGTCCTTATCATCTCCCATCTCCCTCCCTCTCAGGTTCTTTCCCCATCGATCTCCATTAGTTCACAGAACCTACGAACTCGCTTCTTATCAATTTTCTTCGTTACTACGATTGAACTTCTGCGCGTCACGATCATCGCGTAGTGCCCAACCACCTAGCTGTTACGCGCCCCCTGTCGAAGACAAACACGACAGGCGCCACCGCAGGTTTTCGCGCCCAACGTCAGCGAAACACTCATTATTCAACCACGAGTCTCGCATTTCTCTTCAATCCTCTATCTACCAACAATGTCTGCCAAGCTCGACAAGTCGTTGGACGAGATTCTCGTCAACCGTCGCCAGGGCGTGCGCAACCGCCGCCGCGCCACCCGGTCAAAGGCTGCAAATGCCGCCGTGCCTGTTGGAGGAGTCAAGAAGACCACAAAGAATGCTAAGCCTGCTGGAAAGGCCATCCAGAATGGACATCCGGCTTCTGGCGAGAGCAAGATCATGGTCAGCGGCCTGGTAAGCAAATATCGCAACATCATTCATCATTGCAACATTCACTAACGCGCTTTTTATAGCCTGCCGATGTGAACGAGGCCAATGTCAAGGTATGTTGATCGAGAGGCCTTCGCCGCCTTGGGTTTCTATCGCCGTGTCTTTTCCTCGAAGCCTTCGGGTCGAAGCGGCTCCCATTCGCCCTCCGACCCCACTGCGTCGCTCATACCGTGGTGGTTGCTTCATTATGCGCAGGCAGTGACTCCTTCCTGATCGATCGCACTGTATTGCCTTTACTCTGGTATCTGCGAACGTCGGAAGTTGAGGCTTGCTATTGTCTTGCAAACGTGTATCTTGCATCGGGGTCTGCGAAACCTTTGCCTGATAACGCCGCAGACCGCGCTTTGGTGAGAGTTGAAATATACACCACCAAAAATTTAGCCTGCTTTTCCTACCTGCGTAATTCATTTCTCGGGTCTTGGGCGTCAGCGAGTGCATCAGCATATCAGCAGTGAACCAGAAAGTCAGTGGACTTGCATGGAAGGCACAACCCAATCCATCGATCCCGAAATTGATCTGGTGGGTATTGTGCGCTTCCCTTCGTCTCATCTTGAGACTGCGATATTTTATGTCGCTCGAAATTTGCCCTTGTATGGGTGTGTTTGGCATACGGGATCTCTCTTGCCGCATAAGCGACCAGTGAAGTGCTCTCTGGCTCGGTTATCTGTATTGTCCTCTCTTTGTTGGAAATTTTTTTGGGTGTGATACATGGGATGGGCTGCTTCAATTTGTGAGGGGACATACTGAGGGTGATCGCATCATTGTGCGCTGGGGCAACATTGATGGCCGTTTCGCCATCGACTTGGTTTACGGTGTCGATAATTTCGGTTACGCTGGTCTGCTAGTTACTTAACTAACCACCGCTGTGCGCTCGCTGATGCTCGCTGATGTCGAATTTCGGCCTTGTTCTTTTTTTTTTTTCACTGCGACCATGGCCGCACTGCTGACGCGTTTCATAATACTTTCGAGCCAACGTACTAATTTTCTGTCCTCGTTCCAACAGGAATACTTCACCAAGTCTGCAGGTCCCGTCAAGCGAGTTATGCTCACCTACAACCAAAACGGCACTAGCCGTGGTATCGCATCAATCGTCTTCAGCAAACCCGACACAGCTGGAAAGGCGGCCAAGGACTTGAACGGACTTCTCGTGGATGGACGACCGATGAAGATCGAAGTCATCGTCGATGCATTGCACGCCCCTGCCGTGCCTGCTCCCAAGCCCCTTGGCGATCGTGTAGCGTGAGTCTCACACGAATTGCAATTGACGAACAATCACTAATATCTTTTAGCCAAACCAAAGCTCAGCCGAAGCCCGCAACCACTGCGAAGACCCAAAATGCCAAAGCAGGACGCGGTCGTCGTGCTCGCCGGGGCGGTGGTCGCGCCGCCGGTCGTCCTAAGACCAAGACCGCCGAAGAATTAGATGCTGAGATGGTTGATTACTTCAATACCGGAAACGAGAATGGCGCTGCGCCGGAAGCCAATGCCGCAGCAGGCGCCGCCCCCCAGCAACCCGCTGCCGGAGAGGATCTCGGAATGGCTGAGATTTCGGTGAGTACCGTTGTTGATTATTGTGGGATTGACGATTAATTTGTCTTTAGTAAATACACACTCCGGCTTGGATCCATAACTGCTTCGTTTATTCGCGCGCGCTCCAGAGCAACCTTCGGAACCCTTTACTCCCTAATATGATTATCTTCCTTCCATATGTTTTTCTATACTCTCTTCGATGAACTTGTTATTGCATTGATATTCCTCGTCGTTACTTCGATTATCTCTGGGGTCAATCAAGACCGCGTGTATGTTACAAGCAAATGAATATTACATGAGCAACCGTCCAAATCTCAGTAGAAACTTGGGTTAATCGTAGCAAAAGCTACGCAAAGATCAATAATTTATTAAACCAGTGGCGGAGGAAGTGGTCTTTGGTCTCGCCATCTGCCCCGTCATTCTCGCCGTTCTCGTTCTTGTCATTTTCGTTATTTTTCTTCGAGTCCATGTGATAACGTCTCTTTATGGCGCTCCAGCTCTGCAACACTTTCCACAAGTCTTCATCCTTCTTCTCGGCAAGGGCCCCGGTCTTCACCGGCTCACAGAAATAATAACGGAGGAATTTCTCGAGTGACACAGCTGCCCGCTGGGCATTGGAAAGATCAAACCGTTCCGAATACTGAATCACCAGCTGCCGTCCGTCGTGGTATGCCTGCAGGATTCTTCCCGAGCGATACTCGGTATCGTTTCCGGACCTAGTTGCAACATAAGACAGTGCAAGGACCTATCTCATCAGCGATGTCTTGAGAAGCGAAAAACAGCATGGAAGTTTAGACATAGCGAAGAACATACCGGAGGGCAGCAGCCATGGTGGCGGTACTGTCTCATATCCATGCGAAGCTTCATTACGCGCACGATGGCCTTTACTTCATTGGCGGTTAGAAAGGACCCATCTGTATATCCTTGCCCTCTGACGACGATTTCGACGATGGCGTGTGGGTTGTTATAGGTGGTGTCTTCGAGGACTTGAGTGACTTTCCACTCATCGTCTTCGTGGAGTTCGACGGCCTCGTCTTGTGGGAGTTTGCCTTTCATTACTGGGCTTGAGACAGTGTTAGTATCGAGATGATCTTGGATCGGAAGGTTATCTCTTACCCGTTGGCTGTTAGGATGGGCTGGCGAGCTGCCTTGGGGAGAGCGGGTGGTTCAATCCCCTGCATCTCGGCCAGGCTCCGGATCATGTAAGGGTACCTTTCACTGTGCTCACAGTCTAATTGTTCTTGTTCTTCACCTTCGGGTTCTTCTTCCTTTGGTTCTGGTTCTGCTTCTATTTCACAGGCGGGAGATGAGCGGGTAGAGGAGAATGAGAAACGTCTCGAGAACGACCAGGCAGAAAACGAACGAGACGAGGACAGGCGGTTGGGTAAGGTAGACAAAGAAGAAGATGGAGAAGAAGGTGCCGCACAAGATGCACACTTCGCACATCGATGGTATGTGCTCAGCTTGTCTCCTTTTGGCGGGATGAAGAAGGCTGGCTTGAAGTTCACAGGTGATGACGAGGTTGAGAAGGTCCGATCAATACGGCGAACCTTGATGCCGAGCTCTCTGGCGGCAGAGAGGGACTTGATCTTTTCTTCTTCTTCGTGGAGACGGTTGATATCTCTGTGTATCTTGCGGAAGGCTGGGTCCATTTCGACGCGACTGGGTGGGTTTGATGGATGAGGGGTCGATGAGAGAGATAGTAGAGAAGGAAGGGACTGAGAGTACATGAAGTTGGAAAAAAGAGAGTTTGGATGTGAAGAAACCATAATCAACGCACCGGATTCCGGCACTGCAGTCCCGGTGCCCTCTTCCTTATGCTGTCATATGTGCTTCACTTCTGCCATGTTCACGGGAACTGATATCATGAGCTGAAACACAAAAACACTACTATTTTAGCAGCAATTTTTGTCAAATACACCTGGGTAGAAGTCAAGAGATGTCCCTGATATCATCTGTACACTATTCGATGCCGATATCAGATGTTGTACAGCGATAGTTATAAAGTTCAGTCTTAGTTACAGTACCTGCATATTTATAGCTAGTGAATGATTGACTCACAGTCCATAGCCTCTGAGGAACTCCCAGAAACTCAGTGACATGCTAAGTGTCAAAGATAATGCATTGTGGTGTATAATGTGAACCATGTTTCTTCCCCACCACCCGATGTTCCGGACCATGATCCGGACCCTGGTTCAGTGCCATGACAAAGAAGCTTATTTCCTTGCATACATCTTATTCAGTGGATCAGCGGCTTGCATTAGAGTCTGACTAGCTTTATGTTTATGGTTTGTCTCTGGGGGCTAAATTACTAGTAGTTATGTAGTGCTATCATTATCAGATGTCAACAACCCCCCACAACACAACTCACCAACTACAACCTCCCTGGATATCACAAAATGGCCACCTACGCTCATAGCCCAGAAGAAACCATCTTTTAGATGGAGTCTTTGAAATTTAGAACAGCCCTCCGCCAGACACGGAGCTCGGCTTCCTGCCCTCCTCATTCAGTTCGTCTCACCAAACGCATGTCATTAAGCCTCAAAACTAACAGAATAAGCTTTATACAATCCACGGCACAATCCAATCCTACCAAGACCTCAACCAACTAAAGTCCTACTCTATCGGCTCTGTCGGCTGGATCACAGGCCTCTTCCTCTTCCTGGGCTACTTCCCCAACATCCAACTCGGACCTTTTCTACATCCTCGCACGAGGAGCCCTACTTGGACATTGGCTATCGCAGAAGATTTGAACGAATAATTTTATTGAGGATCATCATATCCATATATTGGAAGGTCGTTATAACATATAGCGTCACGTTTAGCGGGTAGTGTATCCACCGTTGGCGAAGATGGTCTGGCCGGTGATCCAGGTGCCATCCGTGCACAGGAAGCGGACAATGGGGGCAATGTCCTCGACGAGAGTCAGGCGGCCGCCCATTCCATTGGCCTTGTGGAATTCCACGGCCTCGGGGGACTCCTGGGGGTAGAAGAAGGCTGGGGTCGTTAGCACATATATTTTTCCTTATTTTATAGAAGGGTTTCGTACGAGTATCCATGGGACCGGGAGCAATGTTGTTAACGCTGACGCGACGACCCTGGAGTTCTTTGCAGACACCGCTGCGTAGTATTAGTATCATACGCCACCAATTGATCGAGATGGGGTTTATGGAACTCACCGAGTGAAGTGCTCAACGGGCGCTTTGCTGCCAGCATATGAGGTGTAGTATCCGGTGAAGGCACCAAGCAGGGCCGTGACGATGGTGATGATCTTGCCGTCGTCAGCGACGTGCTTGGCGGCCTCCTTCAGGACAAAGAATGCGGTCTTCGAGTTGATGCTTTTCATGGTCAGTAAAATACAGAACAGCTGTTGAAAATAGAATAGAAGCATACGCAAACATGGAGTCATATTCCTCCTCGTTAATCTCCGTGATAGGCTTCTTGAGCACCTTGCCGACGGTGTTGACAACGATGTCAATCTTGCCGAAGTCACGGAGAGTGTCCTCGAAAAGCTTGGTGCATGCACCAGCGGAGGTCAGGTCGGCTTGGTAGGTCGCGACCTTGACAGACTGGTTCAGCTCGGCCTCGACCTTTTTGGCGTCGGACTGGCTGCCGGCGGAGTGGTAATGGAGGGCGAGGCTGGCACCCTGACCGGCGAGCTCGCGGGCGACCTGGGCACCGAGGTTCTTAACACCACCGGTGACGAGAGCGACCTTTCCAGCGAGAGACATAGCGGTTTTTGGGGGGATTTGACTTTGGGGGGGATTAAGTCTTGGGGTTGGTTGAAGGTTGATTGTCGAGGATTGAGGGAGGAGTAGCTGTGCAATTGGAAGGGTATTTAACCCCGGCAGCCATAACCCACATTCACGGAGTTAAGGGGAATGCGCTCGGTTTGCGTAGCCCGTCGCATCATAGAGTTACCGAGCTTGAGGATATCCAGATCGTCAAGGAGCTGGGACAAAATGTGATAACCGAATTGGGGATAGCGTGGCCGATCGGTGTCGATGTGATAACCTTTTTGGGACGGGGACCCATCGGAGCCAGATCAATGGTTCATAGCCGGTGATATCATCTTCTTTCTCTGTCCCGCCAGCCACCGTCAACTCAGGCGGTGGACTACTATTGCGCTCCTAGAAAATGGCCTGGGTTCGGGTCCGGCAGCGGCTGTCCTGGTGCGAAGCTTTCACCAGGGAAGTACAGCGTCGACCCATTTAGGAACGCCCCATTGCGGTCGATCCAGATCACAATGCGACGCAGGAGTCCACCAAGTCCCAATGAGTAAAGGCCCCCACGAAGCTCGACAGCCCGCTGTAACCCTTTCATGTGGACCGCATAGTTTTCAACATTTCCGTACATGGCCTCGTAGCTGGCCATTTTTGCGATCGCACCGATCAAGGCATCACTGACGGCAGACGGCTGCAGCTCTAGGGTGTCGTTCACAGCCTGTACTGCGTCGCATCGCAGACCGAGCAGGTGTAGCTTCATATCTGTTGAGTCCTGCACGGATGCAAAGTTGGATGCCGCGAGCAAGACAATCACCTGGAAGAGCGATGGGTCGCTCATGACAAGAGGGAACCAGTCGGTACGAAGGAGGCCTCTGTTTCCAGGTTGGTCCAGTTCAGGGATATCTACGGCCATGCTCATAAGGTCTAAAAGCTGTTACAACGAAGTTATCGAGTTGAGACGGGAAGTACATACAGTGATCTACCAGTTGTGGTAGAAAGGGCCTCCATGCGACTGGGTAAGACCGAAAGGGGTCCCCTCGCAGGCCACCAAAGGGCCGATCAATAGGCAAGGCCCAGAAGGATACAGGCACCGACTGGGCGGGACTGGAATGCGGAGGATCGTACTTGATCAGAGCGCCCGCGACTCGGCCCTGCTGACCACGCTCGAGTTTAAGCTTATCGGGCTTGTCAACTTTGTCGACTTTGTCAGACTTCTCGGTCTTTTTCTTGCTTTCAGGCTTGAGAAGGTCTTTGTCCTGAGCCTGTCTCTTTGCTTTTTTCAGAACTTTCTCGACCGCCTCCTGAGATCGCTGTTCTGTCTGTTTCCACTGCCTGCGCGTCACATGGGCCCGGATGCGCGAGTCTTTCGCCAGCTTGAGGGCGTCTCTCGGTTTTTGCACATTGATGAAGACAAAATCGGCATTCATGGTGTTGTGAGTGATGGCAGAAGAGGAGAATGTGACAGGAGTGACAGATCCGAGGCGAGAGAACAAGACACCGCTCGACCCCCCACCTCTTGGCAGCCACTCGTATTTCAACTGACATCTCTCAAGCCCTCGCATATAATAATATATTCATATTCATTAAAGCAAGCTGCGCTGGAATTTGAAGTTCCTGGCTGAGCCATGGATCTACACTCTCGAGGATAATTGGTGTCTGGAGGAAATAAAGATGAAACCATTCGCCCCACGCGAAGTGTCCTAGCGCATGGTACGCCTGGGCATTGTCGATTGTCGGAGCTTCAGTTGAAGTTGCGTCTTATCAGATTGACGTTTCCGGTCTGTCACTAACTCCAGGCTCCAGCTGTGCCTTTCTCGAGCCTAGTTGCGGATTATTCTCCCGGGGTCGTCCCTTCACATCGCCACATCCTCGTTTTTGCCTAGTCCTTTTGATTCCTTTCTTTTCTCTTTGACATTTTTGACAAATCAGACGCCGTACTGAGACCCGAATGCGATCTCACTGTCTAGAGAATCAGTTTAGCTCTGGTAGAGCCGGTGTTGTCGTCGGCAATATTCTCCTGGGTATCGGCATATCTGAGGTTCGCGATCTTAGCGAGTCAAGACTTTACTCGAGTCAGGGAGATATAGATGGTTTAAGGGTAAAATTGCTGGCTTGAGCTGCACGGGTCATACCACGCAGGGAGACACTCCTAGGACCGGCAGGCGACGACGAACATTGGGCGGTGCCTGTCAATGTCAGTGCGACTACACTTATCGAAGGCTGGGTCGTAATATCCCAAACATCGTTACCAAATATGAGTCAGTTCCATAGGGACAGTTCCGTGAAGAATCCTCTCGCAGTCACAACTCAGTGGACCGACGAACCTTGTCAGGAAACTGATCTTATGATTACCGGCATTAATCGGTTCAAATGGTCCACCCTTAAACAGGGGCAATAGCTACAATTGGTTCATCTCGAGATGTTCCTGAACTGAACTAACTTGATCTCAAATTAGCGTGATGGGCATTCGGAGGCACCCGAGACGATGAGATCATCTTTTCAGCAACCCTATACGAATATTATACAGTTCTATGTCAAACTTATTATTTATAACCAAGGAGAATCGCAGTTCTTCCGTTCTTTCTGGTTCCTTTCTTCTCTTCCTTTTCCATTCACACCTGCAATCCAAAATTTCCACCCTAGTGGACCCAAACTAGTCTATAGCCTCACCAGGGTCCAGACTCGAACTAAGCGATCCAGTGCCACCGCTAAACAAGCGTGATATTAGAACCATCCTTTTAAATAAACCGTGGGCCCATTTGTTCTCATGAGTCGTGAATTTCACTTCCAAGACAGCATCTGCAGCATGTTCAGGACGCGAGTATGAGTGCCGGTTATCTACCCAAGTCTATCGTTAACTCTTTATACAGCGCCTGCGGGCCTTTTACTCTCGTTAATCTTCCATTACTGCATCTTACCTTTTAATATCTTGAATAATCACTAATCCAAAATGCGCCTCAACCTTACTCTCCTCCCTCTCCTCCCCCTCACAAGCGCCTTCACCCTAAACACCAAAACCCCCTACTGGTCCTACACCACCACCTCCCTCGCAAACACCACCTCAGAAGAATGCAAAACCGCCTACAGCGCTGAAATAGCATGTGACCCCTACCTCCTTACCCTAGTCAACGCCAACGAAATGCGTCCTTACCTCCCGTCCATGCAAAAGTCCAATTTCACAAAGACATGCATGAAGACATGTCATGATTCGTTGGCGCAGTATATCCAGAACGTGGAGAGCACATGCTCAAGCCCCGAAGACGGCGATGCAGCGCTCAAGGGCGTTGGCGTTTGGGGGGGGATGGAATTTCGAAACGTCCCTGTGGTTACGGTTGGACGGGTATTGGAGTATACGCTTATGTCGGCTTGTGCGGTTGATGAGTATGTCCTCCTCCCTTCTTCACTCTGCCCTCCATATATTTTTGAAGATTGGCTAATTATGAATACAGGAATGGTGAGAACTGCTACATCTCGCAATCGTCAGTCATCCCAAGCAAATTCAGCTGCTCGTGGGGCTGTGCTGTGGCATATTGGTATAACAGGCATGAGTACCCATACAGCGAGTGGCAGTTTGGGGATACATCAGGGAGTGATATCGAGATGAGTAAAGACGGGAAAGCGCGGGAGGTGAACGACATGAACGCTGTGCTTGTTCAGCATTCTGTGTTTGGGGACCAGATGGAGGGAGCCTGGAGGGTTGTTGAGGGGTGTATGGCTCGGAATTCGTCATTCAAGACAGGGATTGAGGGTGTTGCTGTTGGTGTCAAGGTTGGATCTGGGATGAATAGTACGAATGGGTCGAATGATGCCTCGTCTAGTCCTGTGAAGTCGGGGCCTGTGGATGAAGGTGCGGTGGGGGTTAGGGTTGGGTGGACTATTATCATGGCTACAGTGTCGAGTCTTTTTTTATATCTACTTTAGATGTGTATTGTAGGATTGTTGGAACATGTTGTATTTACCTCAGTGCTGTCTATATAGTGCATCCAGATCAAACACGGGACAGTTCAATATTATCATCCTCACCCGGGCAGTGGTATTCTAAGGTGCGTTCGATGAGCCACCATTTGTAAAGCAACCAGGTGTTCTTATTTCCATACGATAATAGGTACGATGTCTGGATGGACAGCTTGAAAGGTACCAAAACTGTTTCGAATAGGAAGGATAACTGCGACTCAGGTACATAGCCCATCGCACTTGCCTTCCTTCTCCTTTAGTATCACAGGGAAGGAGCGATTGTCCAGGATTTTACAACGGGAAGGCGCGACTGCTGTCCACACCGAAGGGAAGAGCGCTCATCAGCATGGATACCAAGGCGATCCATCGCACTTACCTTGTGGGCACTAGCACAGTGAGAAGGTGCGATTCAGCTCCGAAAGGGAAGGCACGACCACTAACGTCTGAATAGGAACCAGTAGAAGGTGCACTCATCACTATGGATATCCGGCGTCAACCATCGCACCTGCCTCATAAGCGTTTCCAGAATGAGGAAGGTGCAACTAAACTGTGCGTGCAGGAAGGTGCAACCCTCCTTCAGCATTTGGAAAGGGTTCAGCCATCATACTCGCAAGTGTCCGCGTACTGTCTTTTATTCCTATACTCCTGGTAGTATCAGCCGAGGAGAGTATCAACCTAACCATAGGAAGGCGTTAGTTTTGACAACAACTGGGAAGTGCGCCATCACCATGGATACCAGGTGTTTATCGCACCTTCCTTGCGAGTGGTATCGCCACAAGGAAAGTGCAGTCCTCATGGTTAATCTTGAGCAATCGGAAGGAGCAACTGGCGGGCACCTCCCTCGTTTCAGAGTGTTCATCGCTCTTTCCCTACGGGTTGTATCACAGCAGAAAGGCGCGACTCACCCTTGCTCAAAGGCAAACACCACTGTTGACCTTGAGGAAGCTGCGACACCCAAGATTGAAAACAGTTGGGCACTTTCCTCCAGTGCAATCACCGTTCCCGCTCTTGAAGGCAATTTCACCGTCATCTCCAGACAGCCCTAAGTACCTCGAACGCCTGCCTCTCTCTTAGAGGCGGATTATTCTCCGTCCTTCCCGCAAAAAGAAACACCGCCAGTAATCGCCCAGTTCATCGTCAGCAACCCCAACCAGATCAACATCGAGATCAGGGTCGGAAATGAGACGGAAGCGGCGCCGTCCGCGTCTAACGTATCAAAAGACGGTCAACTCACCGCAAGGACAAAACAACCCGGGGATGGACGGAGGACATCTGCAAACAATACGGTGAAGGGTCTGGAGCGAGCACAGCACCACGTCAAACTGGCGGGATGCAAATGCGATGCATGCACAGTGAAACGGACACAGCCGTGACGGGCGGGGATGTTTGTCTCTACCTGCCGGAGAACAAAGAACGGCCGGATCAAATCCTGGTAGAGTTTGATATGTGTTTGATATGCGCAAACAGCTTTGGTGCTTCTGCTGCACGGGTACCTAGGGTATCTACCCAGGGTTCAAGGTAAGGTACTTTGTCTTGTGTGGTTGTGGTTGGATGGTGGGACAAGCAGCAGCAGTTGAGGGGACATGCAGGTTAATGCATGTGAGGAAACAGAGCAACCAGGGTTGATTTCACCGCCAGTTCCTGGCTCCCTGATACGCAGCTCGTGCCCTGTTTCGGGTTTTCTTGTCGCTCTCGCCTGGCTGTCTTCTTGACTAAAGTTGACTCAGGGCTTGCGTGGCCGGCAAACACATTGGACAAAACACTGGGCCACCGGGAGCTGTTATTATTATTCCATCAAGCCCAGTGGCGGAACTTGGCGAGTCTAGACCCTCAAATTTTGCAGGAATAATGGACAAGGACCTCTCCGTCATCTGGCAACCAGCCCACTAATCAGCATCACCATCGCAGCACCTCCGGATCGTTGGCTGATTTGACGAGCGAGAGGCAGTCCGAGAGCGCGATGCGACAAGGATGAGGGCGCCAGCCTTATCACCACAATAAATAAGATAATCACGAGCCAGAGCCCATGTGTCTGTGCTGTCTTCAGACTCATCACTTGCTGCCCGTGATGGCCGGCATGATTGGAGATGACGATTACCCAGTGATAGTCAACGCACCATCTTCGCAAGGCCAATTGCGTGAGAAACACCGAGTCCGACTGACGCGTCGCTCAGATATTCAGCTCTGACCCCGATAATAATTCATCCGACTGAGACATTGTGAGATACGAGGTCTGTGTTGCCGCTGCCTGTCGCCTCGGACTCGGAGTCCGCCGTGTCGCGTCGCAAGAATAGCATCGACTCATCAATAATAAGAATCAATAAATCTGAATCCAGAAACTAGCAGTCGAGCACTGCAACCCACCGATCTACGGAAGGCTTCTCGAACGACACCCATGTCGCGATAACCGCAGCGGGGCAACTCATGTGTTCCCTGTTTACTAGCGGTTATTCAAAATAATGTTACATGTTGGGCTGCCAGGCTGACTGGCGCTAGACCAAAAACTACACCGTCAACCGCTGATAAATCTTATCACCAAACGTGGGAGGTGGGGGGGGGCTGCCATTGGAGGGGATGGAGGGGAAACTGACGATATTCAATAAGCGCGGTTACCTCGAGAACAGACCGGCACCGACACGCCATGATTATGATTAATATTGAATAATAGTATAGTAACAGATTGCCAGTTCAACGTGGGTGGCGCTGCCTTCATTTTAACACCCTCCAAGATATCAAGGAAGTCCACCCTGCAGAGAGTCATAGCATGTGTTTCTTCATCGCGACCCACACTCCAAGACCACCAAAAGGCTGGACACTAAATATCCCGATTAGGAAATCATAAACACGGTCTCGACCTTCAGGTTAGAGTTTAGGAGAGCGACATTCGGCGAGAACCGAGACAGCAGAAAATCGTAATTATTGTGTCATTCTCGAGTAGCAGTGTCTAGCTCATGCTTGTTATGAACAATGATGAAGAGGCTCTCGTTCTGTTTTGACCAGTCGGTTAATGTCAAACACCAAATACATACGAATATATATATATACCCGCTATATATCAGCAATTCCGCATCAATAAATTAATAATATTACTGTGTATTTATCTGAACAGTCAAATATCTGCATTGAGGACTCCCGGATTATTTTCTTTAAATTCCACGATGACGTCTGGATGGCTGTCAATCATATTCATATTCATGTCATTCACATGTAAATAAAGCTCTCGCAAGCATCGGCATGTTGAGCCTCGACACGAGCTTCGGCCTTAACAGATCAGCTCAGCATAATCATATTCATAATCATAATACGTGATTATAGCACAATTATACCCGAAACACTCCGACCCGACCTCAACCGACCGAGTGTCAGCGCCGCCGACCAACCGTCGTGGCAATCACGATTATGATCATGATCACCGTATAGCCGGATTACTAAACTCCCAACTCGAGAATAAAGTACACCGAGAAAGGGCCGGGAAATATCCGGATCCTCTTCTTGGCGAAGTCGCCGGTCATCGGTAATCGATCGTCTCGACTCAGAGTCCAAGACAGTCCAAGACCGCAAAAGCCAAAAGCCGAAAGCCCAGCACTCTACACTGCCGCTCAATATAGCCGGTGTGGTGGCGAACAACGCGTCTCGCCCCAGTAAGAGATTTCCTCCGACTTGCGGTGGCTTTTCGATAGGGCGTCTATGGCAATAATTAGAACAGTACGTAACAGTGTCTTTAGTCAAGTAGGAGTCTTGGTGGATTTGTTTGAGGCGACACTGAGTGCAACTAAATGCGGAGCGGAGTGCATTTCCGAAAGGGGACTGGAGTTGAGTGCCCCGGCCGTCGCTCTTCTCCCCGGACCCCAGGCTTGCCCGAAGTTCGAACCATGGAAGAGGAAAGAGGAAGAAACAGAACGAAGGCTGGAAAACCTCCCGATGGAATTCAATACCCGCTTAACCGCTTCACCTCTCGGCTTCTGTCCGATTCAAGTTTTCAACCTCTCTCGCCCGCCCGGTTCAGTTGCGCTTAAACAATAATAATAATAATAATAACCGTCACTAGAAGAACGGCAACCTCGGAGCCGATCCGACGCTTCGACACTAGACAGCGAACGGTGGAAAGCTGGAACCCAAAGTAGTAACTAGCAATGCCTAATCTGGAATTTCCTCACCCAGGAAACCAGTGCGGAGGATGCGTCGCGGGGAGGCGATTCCGCGGTGAGGAGTCACATACCTAACCTGGGACTTGATCTGTGCGCTGCCGGGCACAGGACTACAGGGTTGGAACATTGCACCTACAGAGGGTGTACTCCGTAATTTTCTCGACTTCCCCGTCCTTCCATCGTCAGTGGCGTGGTTTGAAGAAGCTGGGCCGGCGTCACCGTCGCAGAACAAGGTCATTGTCGTTACACCTGACGAGGAAATGGGTGTTGCCCCAGCTGCCTTGCGATCGCGGCGCCACATACCAGAGTTGCGTTGCGTTGCGTTGCTCGAGTTGTACGAGTACGACTGATCTATGTACCGTGCGCCGCGGGTGCGGATAACTCAACTCGCCCGTGAGCTATCGCTCTCCACGAGCGATCCACCAGCTTGCATTGTAGACAAAGTACTCCCGTACTTCCGGAACGGAGGGATATCCAAACCTTGAGGCGAACCTCATGGTCTGGGCTATTCTGCCATAGCTCAAAGTTAGAGCTCCGAACAGAGCCTGTCCCCGTGGCGGCGGCGACAGACATGTTTGGTTCCCCGTGAATGATTTGCGGGAGCTATCCATCCCCTGCGTCGAGCTCCTGGCGGGGGTGCCGCGGAAGGGAGACGCGATGGGGATGAGATGGGGATGGGATGGGGATGGGATGGAGATCATAGCGAAGGGCGGGGACTGGGACTGGGAGCCGGGGCACCGGGATCAAAGCTTCAGCCACAGCAAAGCGGCGAGCGCCTCGCATGAAGAATCCAGGCCTTCTGCATGTTCTTGATTTTTG